TTACCACCTTTGTGGGTCAAAACATCCGTTGTTTAGCTCTGCTGCTGATGTTTTTTCTACATTACTATGGCGATGTATTTTCTGTCATGCATTATAATCTGATTGGAAATTATGCCATCTCTCCTTCTCTATCTCACCCCTTTCCCTTTGGACCCTTACCAACTCTCCCTATATTTCTCTCTTTTATCAGTCCTTCGAGCTTGAGCTCTCTTTTCCTTTCTCTTTCTGCTCGTATTTCGATTGTGATGCTCTTCTATTCTACTTTCATATTCAATTTATATTCATACCTGAATTTATTCATGATGTGATTCAGAATTGTATTTAAAATTCTTGCCATGTACATTATGTATAAGTCATATAATTGTCTTGTTATGTTTTGTGCTGAAAGCCGGAGGACCATACCTGCTCATAGACTTTTTCTTTATATATAGAGTCTTGACGCCCTTCTGGCTTTCAGCACACATAACACCATGTTGTTGTCTTATGTTTTATATAATTATTACATGTTACACCAATGGAAAACAAATTTCTGTATTATATTATGGACAATAAAATCTTGAATCTTGAATCTTAAATGGGTTCACTGCAAGTTACTTCAAAGTTAGCAGAGGAGTAAGACAGGGTGATCCTTTTGTACCCCTGTTATAAATTTTGAGATTGGAAGTATATTTGAATAGAGTACGAAATACAGGCAATATAGTGGGTTTTCGAGGTGGGGGGAAAGGAATAAAATACACAGCTTATGCTGACGACATAACATGTTTTTGCAAAAGTAATGACACATTGTAATTTCAGAGTTTGAGGAATTTTCAAAAATGTCTGGTCTTTGTATAAATAAATCTAAAACTGAAGGCATGTGGATTGGTAAAAATAGGCATCAAGGTGAAAAAGAAAATGTGTTTTTTCACGGCCAGAGAAGGCAATAAAAGTTTTGGGCATATATTTCTCATATCATTTTGAAGAAGCAAGGAAAATAAACTTTTAAACTCCAATGAAAGAAATGAGAGATATACTTGCTAAGTTGAAAAACAGAGGACTAACATTAATTGACAAAACACAACTCTTAGAATTCTTTATAATGTCCGAAGTAATTTATCCCTTCTCTAACATTTCATTGTCTCGGGTTCATTATCGACAGCAAACTTAAATAGGATGTCCATATAGATAAATTATGTAAGAGGGTTGGGAACCCAGTAAAATATTTGGCTAGACTACGTTACTTTATTAATGAGACGAATTTGAGCTTGATCTATAAAGCAATTATTTACCCCTTTTTGACTATGCAGACATTTTAATCGATTCATGTGATAAAAAATATATTAAGAAATTGCAAACTCTCCAAAATCGCGCGGGCAGAATAATAATGAAAGTTAATCCATATGAACACATCTCTAATGCACAAATTCAGTCACTTTTAAAATGGTCATCTCTCGAATCCAGGCGTAAGACAAATTTAAATGTATTTGTCTATAAATCAGTCCATAATAATGTTATCTCCCAGTATGAATGAAATGTTTCAACCCCCTTCTCATATTTATTCCCTCTGCAATTCCGGTAACTTTGTTCTCCCTAAACCTAGAACTGAACTACCCAATACAGAAGCTCAATTCAATTTAATACTCTACCTCCTACCACTAAATTCCTTCAAACTATTCACACATTAAAAAAGTATTTAAACAATATTATTCCAGACTTCTTGTAGCTGTATCTTTTTTTTTTTTTACTTTTTTTTTTATTTTTTTAAATAAATAATTTACTTGTCTAGCTTTCTCTCTTGTATATATCGTAAATATTTCTTTCATGTTTCTTGTTTTACTTGAATTTGCTGTTATCATTATTGTAAGTTCTTATTTTGCTGTAATTTTTCTTCACTTCTGTACTATCTATTTTCATGTTTTCTATGTCTATAGGGACCCCTCTGTAAACCAGCATCAGGCGCGTACGCAGGATTTTTTCAAGGGGGGGGGGGGGGTTAACATTTATAAATCGGGTCGAAAATTTCGCAACAACACAGCCAGCCGCTGAATAAGCGGGGGGGGGGGGGTAAGAGGTCACTTTTTCTTCTTTTTTTTGGTCTCAAAAAAATCGCAACGTCTCAGCCGACCGCTGAATAAGCGGGGGGGGGGGGGGGGGGGTTAGGGGGGGGGGGGGTTTACACACAGAATAATACCAAAGGGGGGGGGGTTGACTCCCTAACCCCCCCCCCCCCCCCCCCCCCCCCCTGTGTACGCGCCTGACCAGCATTGTTATGCTAACAACGCTGAGTAGGGCCATCTCTTCGTCTTCCTTTTTTGTTATCAGTGTGTCTTTATGTATATGTTGATGTATTTTTTAACATATTGCTCCGATTGTCTCATTTTCGCTCGCGTGAACATTGCCAGCACAAACCACTGACCTCTACCTCCTGAACGGATCATCGCCCATTCCCATTCACTATACGTTACGTACTAAAAGGCTGTATTGTCTGACCGTTCATGAATATTCATGTTTTTGCTAAACTCGGCAAAATGTTTGCTTTTACTAAATGGAAAAATTACGGTGGGGGGTTGGATGAAATGGACATAATGAAATAGGCAGAAGTGATCTATGATAATTCATGCGTTTTATGTTTCGTGTGCTCGACCTATAATCTTCAAATCGCTTGGTAAACTGAGTCCAAAGTTAGACTTGTTTCACATGTGTATTATAGGCAATGACGAGCTTGCAACCTATTTTGAAAAATTACGGTGGGTGAACTTTCAAAAGTCAATGAGACATGAGGGCTCAAATGAAAGAGCTAGTGATAACGTACGTCGGGGTGGATGTGCTTTTCGTTTAAACAAAAAAAAAATGAATTTTTAACGATTTTTTAAAAAAAAACGTCCATAGGCTAACATGTTAGGCTGCTGACGCTGACCATGCTCTGACGATAGGGGACGTCGTGAAATGAGACTAAACGGAGCCATATGAATGACGGAAAATAAATACAATACAATACAATACATTGCCCACTGAATTTGTCAAAGAAATTGAGAAGCTCATTTTTTCATTTATGTGGAACGGCCCGGACAAAATCTCAAAAGCAACTATGTATGCTAATCACTCAGAAGGGGGACTGAAATTCACAAATCAGATCACAACTGGACTATTCCCTTTGTGAATTTCTTGAGGTTATAATATGGTAAATCTATTTTTGTCGGTAATTATACAATTGAGAAACTTCCAAAACTCGAGGATATCCCTTGATTTCATGTTGCTTTATTAAAAGCATGGTTGCTAACCAATATTCATAGTGAATTGGTCACCAACAGTATAGACGTCAGGTGAGTATACTGAAAGCAGTGTGTTTGGAATAATAACTTCATTTTACTTGATAAAAAGTCAGTATACTGCAAAGCTTTAAATGAGGCAGGGCTTTGTAATATATACCCATTATTTGATAACAATGTAGAAATTCTTCATTTTGATTTCTGGAAGGAAAAAGGTGTTCCAAACAATACATTTATCATACGAAATACATAGAACTTAACATTGCAACACAGAAGAAGATTGAAGGAATGCACTATAAGAAATGGTCCCCTATGTAAGAAATAATTTGATTATAATCCTTTGATATACTCTGTAGGAAGTGTCACCCACTATTTCCGTATTGTTTGACGTTTTTCATCTGATTTTACCTTTTGTAATTATAATTTGTACAGTGATTTTATGATTATTGTTATTATGATGTATGTACGATTTACTTGATTTTAAAAGTTTATAGAGATTACAAAAAAAAATTCTGTACTTACCAATCTACATTGTTTCCATTTGGATCTTTGCAAGACAGCTCACATGATATGAGACACAAGGATGTCAGGGAAAAGAACAGAATACCTATTACATGTTTTTTCACAGCCATTGTCAACTCGTATAATGCGTGTTCAGCTTCCAAGGTCCTGGCTATGTTGCGAATGATACCGCAAACAAAAACACATGTATATTCAAACAATGCACGCCACAAATAATGAGAGACAGTCGTATTTCAAATAAAGGAAGAAATTACACCCAAAAAGATAACAATAGCCCTCCGATGAAAATGTTCGGCTGTTTTATAGCAGATATAAATACTTATTTGCATACTGAGTACCGATCTGTAACACAGCCGATCATGTGATATTCAGGCGCAATATTAATTGAATAGAAATTCCCATATTTATCTCTCACTTTCGATCCATGTCAGGTTTTATAGCTTACTAATTCTGGTAACTTTGTTCTCCCTAAACCTCGAACTGAATTTTGTCGCAGAACTACCCAATACCGAAGCTCAATTCAATATATAATACTCTACCTCCTATCACTAAATTCCTTCAAACTATTCACACATTCAAAAAGTATTTAAACAATATTATTCCTGACTTCTTGTAGCTGTATCTTTTTTTTTATACTTTAAAAAAAAAAACTTTTTTTAAATAAATAATTTACTTGTCTAGCTTTCTCTCTTGTATATATAGGCCCTAGCTATATGTTGCAAATGTATACCGCAAATAAATTGGTAAATCGATCCAGTTAGAAGAACCAGTGATTAATTATTGATACTTCATAATCGATATTGGCAACTGTCCACCAATTAGGTATATTCAAACAATGCACGCCACAAATAATGAGAGACAGTCGTATTTCAAATAAAGGAAGAAATTACCCCCAAAAGATAACAATAGCCCTCCGATGAAAAATGTTCGGCTGTTTTATAGCTGATATAAATACTTATTTGTACCGATCTTTAACACAAACGATCATGTGATATTCAGCTGCAATATTAATTGAATAGAAATTCCCATATTTATCTCTCACTTTCGATCCATGACAGGTTTTCTAGCTCCTCTCTGCTTGACATCCACCTTCTCTCTCTCTCTCTCTCTCTCTCTCTGTCTGTCTCTCCCTCTGTCTCTCTCTCTGTCTCTCTCTGTCTCTCTTTTCTCTCTCTATGTATCTCACCTCTCCCTATCTTTAACTTGTCCTTTCCTTGGGACACTTATTAGTTTTAAGCTTCAAGTTTCAAGTTTATTGATACTAATCTACAAGGTCGGATAAACATCAGACACGAACAACGATACATTAGAACAAAATACATACATTAGTACATATACATTAGGTCAGAATACACCTAAGATATCAGGCACATGGCGAAAATAAATTAAAGGTAATTTAAAGTACATTACTAAGTCTTGTGAAGTAATTTCTCTCTTTCTATATTCATTTGACTTATACTCAGTACACAGATACTACTAATGTCATAGTCACTACTTAGGAGTACAAAATAAAATTTGCTCCTCCAAATTTATATTTTTCAATGACGGAACTATATTTATAATAGTGTCAAACAAATCAGTTCTCTGGTTATTTAGAACTTGACTGTTCATTACGAAATGACACTCTCGTCCTAGCTCTGCTAAGACGGCACTATTCACAGCTGCTCTATTTATACTCCTAATAAATATTTCAAATATTTAATATGAGCTTTGTCGGGTACTGTTTCTCAATGTGGTTCCTACCTTTACCTAAAATATATGATATCCAAACCTCTGAATTATACATTATAATAGGTTTAATACATGCATCAAATAACTTTATATCAGAACTTATTAACTTCCGGTCACTCCTAAGAGTATTTCTTATAATATTAACAGAAATATAGCCTTCTTAGATTTATCAGACACATTTTTATTTGCATAAGAGTATGTTCCATATACGGTTTAAACACCAATCCCAAATATTTGTATTCATTAACAATCTCAATATGCATATTTATTAATATGAAAATTATATTTCTTTAACGCTTATTGAATATAATAATATTTTTCTTACTTGTATTAACTTAAAAATTCCAAACTTAACAATATGCGCCAAGATTGTATAGCGCATTGTGTAGCCCCTCTGCTGATTCTGACATAATAACTAAATCATAAGCATACAACAAGCAGGATAAGATTTCATTTCCAAACGTAACTAGACGGCAGTCATTATAAAACATATTCATAATATATAGAGAGAAAATAATACAGGGCTTAGTGTGTACCCTGTTTAACACCAACAAGTGATACCCTGTTGCAACTTTATAGAAAGTTGCACGTCATAATACATGTTTTTAATTATATTCTCAAAAGGTCCTGTAATTACAAAACGTAAGCAGTGACCTAGTAACTGTTACGCAAGGGAAACCGTTTACTATCTAGATTTTACTGTCAGACACTGTTCAAATGAGTGACTGACTGCCTTTTTAAATTTGTTGATAACATAGACAAAATAAGATGTAAAGGGTATATTTTCATTCGTACACTTTATTGACCTGCTTCTTATAATGACCAAAATTAAACTTATCGGCCCTAATTCACAAAGGAGGTTTGTCGACAAACCTTGGTTTTCGTACGTCATATGACGCGTTTTACGCGTTTTTTACAAACCTGGTTTGTACAGAACAAAAGGAGGTTTGGCGAAACAAAAGGAGGTTTGAGCTCAAACCTTGCTTTGTGAATTCGGGCCAATGAGTCTTTACTCGGCGCAAAACGTGCTACTATGCGATACAAGGGTCTGAAAATCAGACTGCATCCTAGGCCTATTTTTTGCAACACATTTTGAAAATTCGATATAATTCCACATAGGGCAATTACCATTTTTTAATCTTTTGAGAGGAGTTTTGAGTTGGTATTATCTTTTGATTACCATAGGATACACATAGTTTTATATTCTCAGCCTCCAAAAGAGACACACTACCTTTGATACCAGTTGTTGGGTCGGGGCAATATTTGCATATTCGTAACAAAAGAAACTTGAATATTGATCATTTTTAGTTCTACTAAATAATGTACAATTCTCCTTTACTGGAAAATTAAATACCAGTCACCTGGAAGACTAGTATTTTTCATTGAATTTGTAATTGAACAATATTCTAAACACGAAAAAGTAACACTCGCGTGTTTCACTATTGCGACAACAAAATATTCTCATCATAGTTGGCTATATAAGTTCGCATGCAAAAGATACAAACGTTCCTCCGATATATATATTTTTTATGCAATGTTGCAAAATGTACATGCATGGGCAAACATTTCGGTAGGCCTAATCTTAGGAACAGCATTGTTCCATCTAGGAAATTCTAAACGAGATCAAGTCAAGTCTGCTGCTAATATGTGAAGTTTAAGTACGGTTTCCAAAGACACGTTTGGTAGGGCACTTGTCTACCTGTTGTATTGCCGATGTATACTGCTCCCAAGGAGTAGCGAGCAGACCACAAACTGTTCCACCACCGCGCTTATATTGACTTCCCTGAACAAAATCAAAAAACAAAAACAAAACACAAATCAAAACAAAAGAGAAGGGACAAATTAATGAAAATACCCAATGATTTATGGTGATTATTTTTGTAAATACTGTAATTTCAGAGCGGGCGGTTTGAATTGGGGTGAAATGAGCATGAGCCAGCTAAAGAGGGGGCACTGTATTGTCATAACAACTTCTGTGGGGACGTAGTGATACAATTTGCACTTATAAAATAAGCGGGGAGAGGGAGGGGTGGGGGTAGTGAGCACTAGTTGTTTTTAATTTTTCCCCGATTCGTGAGATCAGCCAGACGGCAAATAAGCGGGGAGAGGGGGGGGGGGGGGGGGGGGGGGGGGGGGGGGGTTGGAGCACTTTTAAAAAAAATCTGTTTTCCATGTAAAATTAACGTTTTTACCTGTTATTTGGCCAGGCGTGTATCCGCGCCTGACGAACCTCACCCCGGCAACATGTCCTTTCCTTTCCTCATTTACAACATACCCGAATGCATTCGTTGCATGATTTTTGCTCTGAATCACAGGTACCAGTTTTACCTACTCTTATGGTATAATTGGTCTATGGGAGGGCTCCCACTTAGCCGAGTTAGAACCTCGAGTTGTGGCGAGCTGGCGCGATCTTATGGCAAGCCGTTTTATTATTAATTGATATCAAGAAATCAATTCTTGATATCAAGAAATAATTTTACGTTGAAAAGCAATGGTAATTCTTGATATCAAGAATTCGATTTCGTGATATCAGGAATTCGATTTAGTGATATCAAGAAATATCTTTTAATGATAAAACTGCTTGCCATAAGATCGCGCCAGCTCGCCACAAGTCGAGGCTCCAACTCGGCTCAGTGGGAGCCCTGCTTTATTAATTAGGTAATTGTTATAGGGGTATTACATTTTATTGATGATATTCAGAATTTTCCAGAATTTCCAGAATGTTAACAATGTATTTATTTGTATATAATTTATCAAGAATTGTTATTAGACAATATTTTACCATTATATAAAATTATATTGCTAGGTAACTTTTTTGTTTGTTTGAAATCTTGTATGTGTAATTCAGTTTATTGTTGCAAAACAAGTTGTCTATTATAGCTTAAACCAATCTTTAAATTGAATTGAATCATTGCGACTTTTCAACCTCCTTATGTTCACCTACCATTCTGTTGATGTCTCCAATGCACACCCACTTCTTGTTCTTGCCAATGGCCCACTTGGAGTGATCCACAGTTTCCTTGAACCCTGGTACGTTTGGGAACCCCAGAAGCTGCACATTCTCAACGTGGTAGCTGCCGTTGCAGAAGGATGGTAACTTAGGCGTACGCAGCCACGACTCCACATAAAGATCATCTCCAAGAGATGGTGCTACTAAGTACCAATATAGATCTAGAGGGGTGGGGGCGGTCATAACGTAAAAACTGAATTAAAGGACACTTCTACGGTATGTGACACCCATAATATCAACTCACTCAGTCAATATCCCGATCTAGCTATATTGGTTCCTATATCTTTCGATAGAAATGGGAATGATTGAGCTATAGCTTTTTCGTGTTTGCATCCCGCTTAATTAAATCCCCACTCCCATCACCAGCAATCTCCAGTTTGTCTTTTCGTGATTGACTTTGCTCTGTCTCTTTGGTATAGCCGCTTTCCACTCCCACTCTCTCTCTCTCTCTCTCTCTCTCCCTCTCTCTCCCTCTCTCTCTCTCCCTCTCTTCCTCTCCCCCCTCTCTCTCTGCTTTGCCTGTCTTTATGCATCCGATGCCCCTCTCGCTTGATTGCCCGCCCCCCCCCCCCCCTCCGAGAACGGAGGGATACCATGCGTGTATACCAAAATGTCCGGTAAAGGGGTACTTTTCGTGCGACAAAGTCCGACCCGAGAATTCTATTTAAAAAAGGGGTGTATTTGACTTTTCACCCGGAGATTTCTTTAAAAAGGGGGTGTTTTTTCTTTTTTACTCTCATCTCTTTGGACTCCTGAGAAATTAAAAAAGGGGATTATAAAATATCTTGAACATAAAAAAATTGATCAAATCCCGGGACTGATGTAGACTAGTTTTGTACTGTAGTCTATCCTAATTCACACACATCTGCATTACTTTCCTGGCTGTGTCCTATGTATTGAACCTATTTGATTAATTCTCAAACATTTCAAACACCACTGTACAACACTCAACTGATTTCACTCAAAATCGGTACTTTAGTTTAGTGACAATTATTGATGACACCTAAAATTAAATAGCAGTAATTACTGATTCGTTAAATCTAAAAAATATCTTTAAGTAGATAAAGTACTGTACTTAGTTACAGAGTTTGATTACATTATGACAGGTATATTAGTATGTGAAAGGACACATCATGCAGGCACAGCCTATGTCAGTTAAGATTAATGGAAGGTTTATTTCTAACTAAGTCTCAATATCAGGCACTAAAGTAATTATTCGGTGGTGATATATTATGCAGATAAGTGAGCATAGAACTAATCTGCAGACTTTGTTTATTCTTACAAGGTATGAATATAAACACGAGCACAGAATTTTTTCTGTATTTCATGTGCTAAAATTAATGTCTGTACGTAATGCAGGCTGAGTTCTTTGGGGATATTCCCTGGGTGTGTGAGCCAACCAATAATGACAGCTTATCTGAGATAAGGGGGGGGGGGTCGGTTTGCATGTCCTGAAATAGGGGGTTTATTGAACATTGTTCCGGATTTAGGGGTGTCTCCAAGGCAGGAAAAGCCCGCGAAACTGAGCCCGCGAAAAGCCCGCGAAAGGGGGTCCAGAATTTTGGCAGTCCTCAGATAGGGGGTGCTTTTATAAAGAGGGAACAAGCATATGCGTACCCTAATTAACACTGAGTGGGGGGGGGGGGGCGGGCTTGATTGGCGTATGTAGTGGTCTGTGGATATATTAAATTTCATAACTTAATATTGTTCTCGGCCCTTACAAGTAATCTTTAATAATTCCCTTTTTTCGCGGAGAGAACGGTGAATGTTGTTTACGTTAATAATATCTTCATCATTTACCTTGTTCGAAATCGGTAAATTTGGCAAAGCTGGTGAAGGATTGTCCAGCAAGAGAAGTCAGCAATACAGTGCTGTTCCATGGAGGTTGTGAGATTGGTTCACTCTTCGACACTTCCACAAAATTAGAGAATTTTGACTGGAATGAGGGTGGAATATTCCAATCATATGCACTGGCGTAGTTGTAGAGAAGCTGTTTTCCTGCGTGCAAATTAAGAAATAAAATGTGTTAAACGTTACTATACTGGAGTATAAAGTAGATAATTATGTTTAAACGGGGTGGGGTGGGCGTGGGATTAATGCTGTCCATAGGGACATGCTAATTTACGGCCCATGTAATGCAAGGATATTCAAGGATGGAGAATGACGTGAAAAACACGTTGTTTTTGCATCCATCTGCATTCTGCTAAAAGTACTACATATTTTGTCTAGTTTGACTATTATGATACAACTAAGACTATATGTTTTTTCTAGTAAAGCAAACGAATTAAAATTTCATTATGATTTACTATCGCGTTATGTGGGGAGAGGGGGGGGGGGGGGGGGGGGGGGGGGGGGGGTAAGCGGACACTTTTTTTTTTTTTTTTTTGGTCTCGAAATTTGAAAATTTGACATTTTTCTTCGTTGGGGGGGGGGGGGGAGTAAGGTAACCTTTTTTAGGTTAGCCGTGGGCATATATATATATTTTTTTTTAAATAATAAAAAAAAAAAAAAAAAAAAAAAAATCAAAGGGGGGGGGGGGTTTAGTTTTTTTTTAGGGGGGTTAACACATATAAAAATACCAAAGGGGGGGTTTGAACCCCAAACCCCCCCCCCCCCCCCCCCCCCTGCGTACGCCCCTGGTAACCAATGTATGAGATAGATAAAACCATGGTAACGAAAGGTATGGGAGAACCATTGTAACGGAAGGTATGGGAGAACCATGGTAAACCGTGGTACCGAGAAACATGGTTAAGGTACCAAATTCCATGGTACCCATTGTACTGATAACCTTGGTTACCATGGCTCTTTGTCCAAATTACCATCTACCATAAGAACCATGGTAGTTCCATGGTACTTAAAAAAAAGAACTAACAACCTAAATGCAAACATATTATTTTGTTGAATTATCTACCCAGAAAAATAATGTTGTTTCCATACAATGTCAATGATGAACTATACTTTGCTGCGAGGGACGGGCTATATAATATAGTTCTAGGTGTTTATTAATTCTTCATGAGGTTTATTCAATCATTACATCGGCCCCCGTCCTTTACATGACTTATATTGCTGACAAGCAACATAGACCATCGTTAAAGAAGACACAATTGAAGTAAAAGTAATTTCAAATCAATTTAGGGGCAAATAGGACCATCCCACTTCCTTCTTTACCCCCCTCCCGTATAACACTGCTCCTATTTAGGCCTTTTGGGACGGTGCCCTCGCCCTCAATGGCAGGGTGTAAGCGTAAACATTGATTAAAATAGACCTTACAAGTCATGTCAAATGAAAGCTCATAATCAAAAGAAAGTGAAACGTGTCATATCCTTTGCCTAAAAGTACATGTGACAACAATCAGAGATGGCAGTCGGAAACCGGTGGAGAAAACGAGTGTTAGGGTTGATTCCCTCCACACACAAAAAAGAGCTAAAAATGTAATTTTTAAATAAAGAATTGGCGAAATTTGTTTTTAAGAAGCATCCGTATGATATCTTTATCTTTTTTTGAAATAAAAACATCAACAACTTTTGGGCGTTTTATTGGTTTTAATTTGGGCGAGAAAAATGAATGATGAACAATTCGTGTTTTGTTTCTGTTTATACGATTTAATTGTTAAGTATATAAGAAATCTGAAATATTAGTTTTCCTCCAAATTCCTGAGGTCATAAGCTATAAGCTATATATATATATATATATATATATATATATATATATATAGCTTTATTTTTATAGAATGGCTGCTTTAATACTTACCGACTTTAACGAACTCGTCCGTCTTCATGGAGATACACAGCATAGATTGCCCGTAATTACATGCACTACTAGGCCAGACGTAACTATTCTTTGCGAAATCGGGGAACTTGGGGACGCTATGAACAAGCCAAAACCCGGACGCGTTGTCAAATGCGATTGTCCCTGCAAAAAAAAATTAATACAAAATAAGGGGCCTGCACCATTGCCTATAAAGTTGAATGATTTTTTCTTACATTTTCTCATGAAATGATTATGAGAATATGATTTATTCTTGATAGATAAATTATCTTGTAAGAACTTTATTAATTAATCTAAAGAGTTATCTTTGATCAACAAAAGTAATACAAAGCAATACTTTATCAATCAAGAACATAGACCGACCATATTCTCACATTCACTACATGAACAGAGCAAAGAAAAATTGTTCCAACTTCATAGGCAGCAACAGCGTATGTTTGACTATAATTATATCTTCATGATATAAAGAAACAAGTTTGTCTATAAAGAGCTGACTTTAAAATATAAATATATTATATCCTTTTCCCCCCTTCATCTCAGTCATTTATCAATGTGATAAATGACTGAGATGAAGGAGAAAAAAAGGATGTAATATAATTATGCACTATACTGCATGTTATTTCGATATTAATTACTAATATAATAATATTTTATATTTTAGGGTTTCATTAATGGAAGCAAATCGAAGTAAGGGCGTCCTGAAATATTGGTTTGGAAATAATTCATTTCATTAAAAAAGATTTATATTAAAATCGAATGCATTATAAAAACATAATGAAAGCAGCATTATTCTTACGAAAGCACATTCTGAATCTTACATTAATTCTGCACTCTGACATAACAACATTCATTAAATAGATGAAGTGTCTTTCTGTGAGATTTATATAATATGAAATCATTCTTTATCCAATAAGGGAATTTTTGAAGAAAAAAACAAGTATATAAATTCTATTATATACCTTTTGTATGTCCGTGGCCTTCCTTCGTTCCGTTCGGAAATTCATCGTTATACATCATGTATAAAACATTCTATATGTCATAGATAAAACGTCATAGAGAGAGAGAGTATTTTGTTAATGCATTGATTTATCGAATTGGACCATAATAGATGCGAATTGCATGAGTCTCTCCGGTGTAAAAGTGGATTTCATTCAACCCAAAACATAATCATAGATTTTTTTTCTTCATTTTACAATTGGTCATCATTCCACAGATTATTATATAAAACAGACCTTTAAAGAATATATGCTGTGATGATGATAACATTTAAATTTATTTACCACTCTATTTCTGTAGATTGTTTATAATAATATTGTCTTCCGTATAATCTACCTGGCTTTCGAAATTTGTGTAGATCTGCTTTAAAGTATATCCCACTGCCTGGTTACTGTCGTTCAGAGAGACGTCGGAAAGAGAGAAAGATGAACTGTGGACGTCCATGTACAGATGGGCTACGCCATCATGAATCAAGGGATTGCTGCTTTCGCGGTTCCAGGGCAGTTTCTGGACTATGAACCTGTCAGTGGTGATTAAGGAGAATTATACATGTACGTGTAGCTACTGATGGCCACAATGTCCGATTGTATACAGCCATTGCAGGGGCGGCAGATCGTTTCTCAAAGTGGGGGCACAAACAAAGAAGGGCACTTTCTGGAAAAAGGTAACCTCAAAGGAAATATTGAACATTTTTGATCAGGTATGATCTTCAAGATTTTCCCTTTACGTGTTACAGGATCTGCTTCAGCACCATATTATGACCATACTTTGTAATTGTCTCTTAAAGCTCATCTATAGCTACAAGTAGGACAGTGTGGCTTTAAATAGTTTGAAGATTTACTTTGTAAGGCTGCATTGCGACCGATAAGATCGTATTATTAGTTCTAGGACAATTACCCCTGGGCAATCGCACCCGGTCAAATACCAGCGGGATAATTACCCCCTAATGACAATTACCCCCCCCCCCCGGAAAATGACCCCCGTGGACAACCCCCCCCCCCCCCCGTGGACAAATCCCCTTCCCCTGGACAATATTGTCCCCCGAATAAAAAATCTCCTTTTGTTAAAACCAACTTATTTTAAGGGTGGAGATTTCCATTTAATAAACAGGGGAAGGGGAGAGGACATTTCGGGGGGAGGGGTAATTGTCCTCGGGGTGTTTGTCCTTGGCTGTCCTGGGGTAATTATCCTAGCGATTATATTTTCAGGGGTGGGGGTTATTGTCTTCGGGGGTTAATTGTCCACGGGGGTAATTGTCCACGGGGGTAATTGTCCACGGGGGTAATTTTCCGGAGGGGGGGGGGGGGGTAATTGTCCTTTGGGGGTAGTTTTCCGGGGGGTAATTTTCTTGGGAGTGATTTTCTAGGGTTTTATCCTGATACGCTTATTATTAGTACCATCTATTTGTGAAGGTAATTGGGTCGTATTGACCCAACTGGTATTTTTTGGAGTTATACCAATTTTCGAGTAGCCCAAAACGTCTGGATCGAGGGATGTATGTGCAGCGCTTTTGTAACTATACAAGGAAAAGGCGCTATATCAAATCCATTTTTGAAGGGGATCGGATTCGATTGGATTGCATAACCAATTCAGCCGATCCTGTAGTCCAGAATGTGCACGGTCCTTTATAATTTCCCTACACACTTGATTCAAGCCGTCGAAGATGGCGTTATTAACAAATTATGCTCACAAGCCCAGCCTATTTTTTCGGCTGGTAGCAAGTAAATAGGGAGAGGTAGCGTTGGTGTGGTGGAGATCAAAATTAAATAGGCCAGAATCTGGACTACCGATCCTGGTGAGGTTTTAAGCACTATCTCATAACGAAAGAATTCTGTAAAGCGCTAAGAGACATTGTATTAAGCGCTATATAAAAGCGGAATATTATTATTATAAAAGGCCTTTTTTAATGATTAATGACATATATATATGAAATATATTACAAATGAGAACGAGCGTAGCGAAGTACTTTGGGGGAAATTCGAGAAGAATTTGCTCTCGGTCACTTTAAAGGTTAAATCTGCGATGCATAGTCATACGTGTTATCAGTGTCTTTAATATCATGGAGTTAACTCTATGGTGGTGTAAGTGTTAGGCGCTATATAAGCACTGTAATTATTAGTATTATTATTATTATTATTATTAATATCGAAACCCTAAAAACAATGCGCTTCAAAATGATAAAGAAGTGCGTCAAATGGGTAAAAATCTTTGAATGACCGATTTTACCATACTCATTTTCCCCAAGAGACTGTAGTGTTATAAAAACCGTTAGGGAAACAAATTTTGAAATTTTGATTTTCAATCATAAATATATTGATAATCAGACATGAGATCGGCTTATAAAAGTCGTGGGGTTCCTGAATGACCTAACAGTTTATAATTATCATTGCAGTATGAGCTAAATCCAGGATTTTTTTCTTCAGAATCTGAGACAAAGATACCCAATCCCTTTAGATTAAAGGCACATGTTAAAGGAGGTGATTTAAAGATCCAGTTGCCTTGAGTTTGAAAAAAGCCTTCATGGTCTTATTAAACCTGTATATGTTTTAACAACGGGTAATTGATTACCTTGGCATTCGTTGAAGTAGTGGCATGGAGTTGAAAGGATTATAGGTTGGAAGAGACATCTTTCAACAGGGAAGATATAGGCGCCGATTAATTCAAGCCCGAGTCGACTTTGATTAACATTATATAGATCAAACTTAGTTTTGTTCTTACCAATCTACATTGTTTCCATTTGGATCTTTGCAAGACAGCTCACATGACACGAGACACAAGGATGTCAGGGAAAAGAACAGAATATCTATCACATTTGTTACTACCGCCATTATGATTGCAGAAAATGTGTGTTCCAGCTTCCTGGCTATGTTGCAAATGTATACTGCAAACAATGTATACTGCAAACAAAAGTACATGCACATTCAATCAATTTCACCTGTATCCAGGCGCGTACACATGGGGGGGGGGGGGGTTGGGGGGTTAACCCCCTCTTTGGTATTTTTATATGTGTAAACCCCCCCTAAACCCCCCTAACCCCCCTTTCAAATTTCGAGACCCCCCCCCCCCCAAAAAAAGTGTCCTCTTACCCCCCCCCCCCCCCCCCCCCCCCCCCCCTATTCAGCGGCTGGCTGAGTCGTTGCGAAATTTTCGGCCCGATTTATAAATGTTAAACCCCCCCCCCTTGAAAAAATCCTGCATACGCGCCTGCCTGTATGATATGACCTCCAAAGAGCAGCTGATCGAAAGCAAACTTCCTGTACTTCCTGATTGTAATATACCATTAATCTTATGAAGAGGAGATCTAAAAGTTAAGAAAGGATTGGTTGGGAATTTGGGATATCTATTTACATCCTGTTCCCGTTCTTTTGTCATGTTTGCCTAGTGGTATATCATTTGAACAGGGTGACTCGGGCAATTATGAAGACGGAGGGACAGATAATTGCTACGAGGGCTATATCCCACCCCCATCCCAAATAAAAACAAAAACCAATTGTTCACGGCATTTTAATTTTAATTTTGTTCCACTAGACCTCCTTACCCATTACCACCACCACCACCACCACCACCACCCCACCCCAAACAAACAAAAGACAGTTAATGTTTGATCCATATTTTGATCGTATTACCTATTTGTACGCGATTTGACGCGAAAACCTTCAAGGTCCGAAAGTGTTCAAGCCCCCTATCCCCCAAACAAAACACAATTTTAAAGTGCCTCCTCCCCACCCCTATCCGGGCAGTCACTAGGCAGTCACTAGGCAACTCCAATTTGCCCCCCCCCCCCCGCATATAAACAGGCTATACGCCGTCTATGGACTATTGTGACGACATTTTTCGGTATACTTGTACCAAGGGAATGGGGGAAGGTGGGCCGAATGGCGCAGCGTGCAGGTCGGACTGTTTTTTTTTTTGGGGGGGGGGGAGAAATTATTGGCCCCGGGGTGACGGGTTGCGTACAATATTTGGGCACGCCCTTTTCTTCTTTTTTCTTCAGAAATGAATGTATTCCGTACTATGAATAGCGGTCCTTGTGAGTGGTGAACCCTAATATAAATCGTGTTTTTGGAAGCGGCGACCCCGATTTCGATTTATGAATAGCGGTCCTTATGAATAGCGGTCCTTAAGAATAGCGAGGGTACCCCATATTGAAAGAGATCTATACAAAGTTTCTCCTAAGAATGATATCTACATAATTATATACATACCTGTATATATTTTTTAAGATGAATCATACATAGGCGTAAAGCTATGTGGGTGTATGTGTATGTGTGTGTGCGTGTGTGTGTGTGCGTGTGTGTGTGTTTTTTTTGTGTGTGTGTGTGGGGGGGGGGGTATTGAATTAATATTGCATCAATATCGCATGCAATTAACGACCTCCCCCCCCCCCCCCCCCAACACTGAATGGGGGTATATTGTGATGGAAATACTGCAATTCTTTTTTTAATTATTTAATTTCCAGCTTTTGAATTTACACTGTAGAGATGGCTATTTGAACAGAAAATTCATATGGTATAGATCTAGTATTGATACAAGTTACAGTTAAAGATAAATAACTATAATTGAAATCGAGAAACATAAACTCATGTATTCCTCGACCTTACTTCGACGGATAAATATTGCCCATAGAGGGCGCCCTATTATCAATCTTTTCTTAAGCTCTCAATCCTGGAAATGAATGATTGAAATGTTTCACTAAAATACGTAAACATAAGTGGGAACATGATTAAAAATACAACAAATTGATGAATTTCATATTAAAGTGTATCTTTGGTACAATGTATGTTTTGGATTATGTTGGGAGCACATATATCAGAGGCGAGAAGTACACGCGTGCATGGCACTCATCAAAGGTTAAGGGGCACTTATCAGAAGGGGATCGAAGAGCACTTATTTAAAAAATAAAAAAAAGGGCATTTGTTAAAGTAAAATGAGCACCTCTCAGATTTGATTGGGGGGATAGGCAATTATTATAGGGTGCACGCGAGGTGGTAAGAGGTACTTATAATGGAACGGACACCTATTATATTATTAAAAAAGGGCGCTTATCTGAAGTAAAAGGAGCTCTTTAGGGCCCTGGAAAAGTGGGAGGGGGCACTATACTTCCCTGCCCATCGGCTCCACCGCCTCTGTGGGGGGGGGGGGGGATTTTTTATCGCGTGCAATTAACGCAAGCCTCCCCCCCCCCCCTCAACAGTATAGGGGCACATTGTGATGAAAAAAAACTGCAATTCTATATAAGTTATTATTAGGTTTCCAGCTGTTGAATTCACACTGTAGAGATGGACATTTGAACAACAAATTCAAATGGTAAAAGATCCAGTATTGATGAAAGTTGCAGTAAAACGTAAATAAATTGAAATTGAAATTGAAAACCATAGACTCCGACATTGGTACATCGACCTTACCTCGCTGTATAATTATTGCCGATAGCTGGCGCCCTATTATCAGTCTTTTTCCGTGCGGCACGCTCTCAAGTAAGACATGGAAATGAATGATTGAAATGTTTCACTAAAATACGTAAAAATAAGAGGGAATATGATGAAAAATACAACAAATTGATAAATTTCATATTAAATTGTATCTTTGGTACAATGTATGTTGGGGATTTGTGATCGGGGTATTCTGTAGGAGTATGTTTTATCGTCCTTGAAACGCTCCGTTCTCGGAGTTTTGTGCACAGCACAGTGGTCGCATTGTAATGTCTACGGAACGTGTACAGTGTAGTGGATGGTCAGTTGACATGTGGAAGTGAATGGGAGCTGTGTGTACTGTGCTGTGGTACCAGAATGTACGGGTTCAAGCGTCGCCCAAGTTTGTTAGGAGGTGCGATGTAGCCTGTCGCTGCCTTTGAATTAAACTGAGAAAAATATAGGCATTGCATTGGCAGTGATATTACATTTAAGATCTAAGTTTTAACTCTGCTAAATTTTATTAGGCCTAGACTTTGTTGATTACATTTACTAGGGTGTCTGAACGATTTTTCAAATTTCAATTTGGGATCGTTTTTCACCATTTTTGTTTGATATTTGAATAAAAAATGTTATCAGAATAATACATTTCAAATTTCAAGTCTCACCGATGTTTCTATCAAAAGTTACAGCCCCTCCAACACGCTGGTATATTCATATCATTTTGGTCAAAATCGTCGAAAAAGACGTCCACGCAGAGTGATGTTGTTTTGCTAAATTTAGCCAAACAGCTGTATCGCGCGATATGCAAGCGTATGCATATCGTACGCATGCTGCTAAGCCAATCCGCGACTTGCAGCTTGAGCTACGCTGTCTCCGCGACATGTGCGATTGACTAGTATGGTTGGCGTTCGTCGCACAATAAACCCGGAAGTGAATGCACGTTATAGTCAATGGCAATATCGCGGAGACAACGCACGTTGTCTCCGCGATATTGCCATTGACTATAACGTGTATTCACTTCCGGGTTTATCGAGGGAATTTCCAACCATAATTTCAGTCACTATAATGTGTAATTGAATTTGGGGTTTCGTTCGTGCGCGGAGATGTTACGCGATGTAACCATGGTTTGGACTGAGCGGAGCGCACGCCCCCTAATTAGCTGATCCACCAAATAGCGAGAAGGGTATTTTTAAACTGTTATCAGTTGTGATCCCTGGGGGCTAGCGAAAATATAATCACATAGAATTGTTCCTTAGGACTGGGACTACTTATCGATCGGGGCGTCATATCTCAAAAGTGACAAACCTCAGAGTTAGCCAGGACACAATGTTTAAATTGCTGTTTTGACCAAGATATTTTTAGAATTTCGGGGGCTACGCCCCTTTGGAAATATTGGAATTCACCTGCTCTTTCATATGACACCTCATTCATTGATTATCACCTTCAGGATCACAACTGATAAAGGTTTGAATCTCGATTTGAAAAAAAAAAATTGACTTTTTTTGCATGGTCGCGCAATGCACGTAGGCTGCATAGGGATGCGTGTAATCTCTATGGGAAGATTTTTAGCACACAACATCGGGTGCGCGATCAGACACCCTACATTTACAGTAGGGTAGGGGGTGCTGGTCCATGTGTAATTAGGATCGTCGGCATAAACAAGGTTATCTTCGTTAACACGTGCAAATCGCATCCTAAAAAATATTTGTGGACGTCTTTTTTTTCTTTGGCGCTCTGCGGGTGTATGGTTACCGATCCGCGCGCTGGCAATGCGAAAAACAGATTCCACGTGAGTAAATACCCCCAGTTCACTGTCTACTTCACGAGTTGTTCGTCTTTCTGAGGATTTATCCGTCATAATGTAGAAGTCTCTGTGCTGTGTAAGTGATACATGCATATCATGGAGCATCATCGCAGAATCTGTTTTTTTTTTTGCATTGCCAACGCGGTAATATTGATTTAGGATGAGATTTGTCCATGTTTACGAAGATATCCTCGTTTATGCGGACTATCCTTATTCTCGGACCAGCGCCCCTACTGGATTAAGGCCAAGCCCAAGGCCCTCACTGCTCTGGCTGGGCAATGCTTTGACATCGCGACAACGCATTGGACATGCTGTAATATTTAGCTTTCAGCTCGATAAGTGATCATTACAAACGAATAATATAAAATGTAGGGTCTACGAAATGTAATAAGAGACCTCTCTATGTTTATGATCTGATAACATCTAATTTTTTAATTTATTGACTTGATGCCAAAATAATAGTCTTATAATTATAATATTTATTGATCATAAATTAAACTTTCTTGAAGATTGAAACTTGAATAGACTTTGTGGTCACTTTTTGTAAGATATCTGCTGAGGGGTAACTCCTCACTTGTTGGTCCCGATTAAACTTTTTAGTGATGTCCCCAACCCTACATTAGAAATGTGTATATTATAAATGTGATAGGATATATTGGAACTATTTTGAAGAGCCATATGATGCATATATCTCTATGACATGAAAATACAACATTTCCAGGAGTCAAGATGGATGAAAGGGGCCCCCTCACAAAACTTTGCTCTCTGTTCAGGGAGATAAAAGCAAAATGGGCAAAATGCTGTGTTTGCTTGGAGCCAGTGAATATGGGTCTTAGTCTAAGAAGACTCAGAAATAAATCCTTGCTATAGGTGACGTGAGCAAAGATTTTGTAAGGGATTTCTTTAGAACCCCCCTCCCCCCCCCCCCCCTCTATATTTTGGCATTAATGTCACTTTAAATCCTTGAATGTGCTGAGAAAGATCTCGGAAGTTTTATTAATCTGAACATCCTTTACCACTCAACCTGTGTTTTTTTTTCAGGAACTTTACACAATGTCGGAAGACTGGGGAAATGAAATTGCTGCAAACACCGCAGCGGCCGCAGTGCCGCCACCAGCTGCTGCTGAGTTGCCAGAGATCCAGCTGTTTGGTCGATGGAGCTGTGAAGAGGTCCAAGTCAGCGACATCAGCTTGACGGTAAGTAATACGACAGGCATTTCTTCCAAGAAGCAGACTATTATCTTTCTGACCACACCCCAAAATAATGATGAAATATAATTATTAATTATTTTTTTTAAAGGATCATCCCTTTGTCGTTAGCCTAAACTATTTGATATCGAAATAAGAGGATTTCAACTGTAGGTAGAACACCAGTCGGTCTGCTAGTCCTGGAGCATACTTGTTGAATGCAGATGATTAAATTTGAAATAGCAAGGCAAAAACCTACATCGACCAACTTTTTTCACAGTTAAAAATTTAGATAAAGAGTTTCTTGAAAATATAGTTCCACTATTGATGCACTTCCTAGATAAAAAGAACAAAATAAGCAAAAAATTGAAGAAGAAAAGCAAAACCATACAACTTTTTTATAGATAGATTGCTATTGATTTGCTTGAAACCGTTGCCTCCCATTGTAGGATTACATCCCAGTGAAGGAGAAGTTTGCCAAGTACCTCCCCCACAGCTCTGGCCGCTACCAGGTCAAGAGGTTCCGCAAGGCCCAGTGCCCCATCGTGGAGCGCATCACCAACTCCATGATGATGCACGGCAGGAACAACGGCAAGAAGCTGCTCACCATGAGGATCATCAAGCACGCCTTTGAGATCATCCACCTGCTCACCGGAGAGGTATGATTCATAATGATAATAATAATATTAATAATAATAATAATAATAATAATAATATTAGATATTCATATAGCGTACATATCCACCATGCATGGTGCTCAAGGCGCTCCAACTATTGCCCCGGCTCTGCTTGGCAGCTGATTTCAGCGCTCACAGCATTCAAGGAATTCCTTCCTACTGGTACCCATTTAACACCTGGGTGGAGAGTGGCAAATGTAGATAAATATCTTGCCAAAGGACGTTGGTGCCATGGTGGGACTCAAACCGCAGACCCTTTGATCCAAAGTCCAACAACTTGGACCACAACACCTCTAAACACCTAGGCCAGTGTTTCAGATGCTTGTAAAAGTTTATGAAAGAAATGTAAACAAATTGACAGAGAGGTATTCATGTAACCTACATTGTTTCATCATGAATACATGGGCAAATCCAAGATACTATTGTTCAGTACTTTGTGAATATCATCAAAACTTTTAATATACACCGATTCTTTCATGTTGTCAACCATACATGAACGTGGATCAGATCAAAAATAGGACCCTTGAAAACAATTTTTAAAATCCAATATCTTTATTCTTGTCAACATAGGTATTCCTATTTCAGGCATGTCAAAATCTTGCCTTAGAACAAATGGTTTTGCAATGATAATCTGAGAATCTTTGATGCTACTCGGCTCTTGGCAGAGACAATGTCCAATTCACAGAACTTAGTAAATCTTACCCCGGGAGCACAAAACGAAAAGAAATATAAAATAAAAGAATTGTAAAAGACTTTTTCTATTGTTAAAAGCTAGCATGACTATTAATCACCCATATTTTTGGTATATCTTTCTGTCGACAGAACCCTCTACAGGTTCTTGTGAACGCCATCATCAACAGTGGACCTCGTGAGGACTCTACCCGTATCGGTAGGGCTGGTACCGTCCGTCGCCAGGCCGTTGATGTGTCTCCACTCAGGAGAGTCAATCAGGTAAACAACCATTCTAATTACAGTGCTGTGTTCGTTTAAAGCTTATCTGTACTAGTTTATAGGAGGGATTAGACCGCCCTGCAAGGTCACTGCACAGGTGGTTATCTCATCAACTCGGCTCTCAATTAACATAAGAAAAGAGGATCATGGGGGACCAATGGTCACCGATTAGGCATTGTTTTCTATATAAAGGGAGCAAGTAGCTACAAGTAGGACAGTGTGGCTTTAAGTGTATTATACAACTTCAGGCTTCAGACATTTTGATCTTGCCTTGAAAAAAAAACACCTCCAGACCGAATCAAAACATTTTACATGTACACTAATTGCAGGTGGAGGTGAAGAAGTAGATGTGTGCATCAAAAGCTCCTTAGCATGTGAACAAGAAGAAATATTTTTTTCCTGTAGATTGGAGAAAGTTTAGAAGACTGCTTAAAATGATTGGATTTATTGCTGTTTTGGTTCATGTGATAGAGAACATTTGGCCCGAATTCATGACAGATTAATTAATAGCATTGTCTAAAGTCTAAAGAATAGTTTTACCTCCTATGTTGACTAGAATGAACCACACATCTTATTTTCCCTATACTCTTGTATTCTTATACTCTCCTAAACTCTCAGGCTATCTGGCTGCTGTGCACTGGAGCTCGTGAGGCTGCATTCAGGAACATCAAGACCATCGCTGAGTGCTTGGCTGATGAACTCATCAATGCCGCCAAGGTAAGCCTCTTTTTACTCTCGGCAATAGTGTAAAACCAGAACATGTTGTAACCTCAAACTCTTCCATATTGTCAACAACGTCCATTTTTAAATTGAGAAATACATAATGTCATTGTTATTTAGTCATTTTGCACCATGAAACTTGTGAATCAGGACCACTCATTAAATTTGGCAAAGTATCAAGCATTCAATCTTTTTTTTGACGGACTGTAGAGACCTGTCCAAGTGGTGGCATGCCATATCCCTCAAATGGCCTTGTATACAGGTTCACTTCTATTAATGTATCAGAATTAAATGGGTCCACACTGACTTTGCCCTTTGGCGAGACTCCACAATAACTTACGCATAATTTTGAGGAGATTAAGTAGATATGTTCTTGTAGTGGTCTCTGTTACCATCAAATAGTTAGGAACTTGTGAAATATCTCCCGACATATCCCAACACATACGGTTCAAATTTCATAGTGCTTCTGCATTTACCTCTACGGAAATCTTTAAAGAGCTGATTAAATTTAGATTAAGCTTTCATGATTAACTAATGATGGCACAACCATAGAACTAAGGCTTTATTAATTTGTTTTTTCCTTCATTCTTCCTCTTTCCATTCAGGGATCCTCCAACTCGTACGCAATCAAGAAGAAGGACGAGCTCGAGCGTGTTGCAAAATCCAACCGTTAAGAAGGGATTTCATCGTTGCTGTCGACTGGTTCAGCTTCCAGAGACACACACAACATCTTATTAGAGTGTCTCATACATTGTACATGTAAATTAAATAATCGGTCATAAAAAAAGGGAACCAAAAAGTGTATTGCAGATTTTGTATTGTGTGTTACAGTGATAGTTATAGATGGACAGTGAAGTCAATGTATTAACCCTATTTTAACTGGGCTATTTCAGACCAGGTTTTTACTGGGGGGGGGGGGGGGGGTCAATTTGACCCCCCTTAAGATCTCAGCCGTTTCACTGCCGATTGCCGCGAAAATTTGCATACATGTCAAGTGAAGTGTATAAAATACTATGGTAATTTCAATTTTTTGAAAAATTCACTCATTTACATATTAATGGTAATTTATGCAAATAAGGTCATAAAATTCACATTTTTGCCCATAAATCATACATTATTCATATTTAAGCATTCTTTTTCACTACATATTATTTGTTAAATAATTATACAACACAAAAAAATTAGAAGAGCCAGGTTATTCCTTATGTTATCTCTTGTTTTGATAATTTCTTATGTATTTTATTGTTTTTGTTGTTTTATTTAATTTATAACTACAATTCAACTATTTTGACCCCAAAAAACACCCAAACTTTAAACAAGACTAAATAACCAATGTTTTATCTCTTTTTAGGAAAATTGACATTTCCATATGTTTTGTACACAAATCACAAAAATGAGCGATTTTCGGGCTGACATGCAACAACAAAATGTCACGTGACTCCGTAACTGTACGTCCGATTTTCAAAAAAATTGTTTTAAAAGATGCGTAAGACTCAAAAGAAAAAAGTCATGAAAGGAAAATTTTATATCTGCCGCGGTTTCGGAAAAGTCGCGAAATTTCTACGGGGGAGGGGGGGGTCAAATTGACCCCCCCCCCCCCCCCCCCCCCAGTTAACGTAGGGTTAAGTCATTACAGGATTACAGGAACTTAAAGTCATCTGAGTAGTTAAAGACATTATTTTATATTACAAATATAAATATAAAAGAAAAAATAATGGGGGGGGGGGGGGCAAAGGAGAAGTAACCGAACATGTGCGTACAAGGAAGTTGGAGAGAGTGAGCAATAATCAGAAGGAGGGAAGTACTCTGAGAGAAAGAAAGAGAGAGGGTAAGTGAGAGAAGAATATTGGAAGGAGGACTCTGGGAATAGAGAGTACATGTGTTAATGAAAGTGCAAATGAGGCTGAAGAGAATAAAGAGATGTGTGAAGTAACCTGACTTGTGCATAAAGGAAATTGGAGAGTGAGCAATAATCGGAAGGAGGGAAGTACTCTGTGTGAGAGAAGAATATTGAAAGGATGACTCTGGGAAGAGAGAGAGAGTACCATACATGCCAACTGTTCAGATTAAAGAGGAACATTCCTCTTTTTGGGAGAAGATAATTATCATTTTAATGCAGGTGTTCATCTTCCTTTACAAATTTGTCTGTAGTATTGAATAGGAGAGTTAGGATTGTTCCTCTTTTTTTTGAAAATAGCATAATTTGTAGAGATTTCTGATTTTCAAATGTAGGCATGTATGGAGTACATGTTTTTATGAAAGTGCAACAGAGGCATAAGAGATTGTTAATTGAAACTTTATAACGGAGATGCAAGTGCAAGGATGGGTAGAGAGAAGAAGAACAAATGCAAGACGCAGGAGTAGCAAGAAAACTGCATAAGCCCATGAGAGGCTGTAAATAGTACATGAGTTTGCAAAATCTCCCCAGGATATAAATAGAGCTGTCTATTGAAATAAACATGTAATGAATCTATTTGGGATGTGATACTTCGTTTTTGCAGTTCTGCTCTCCTTCCGCCCCTCGTATTGTTTCATGCCTGTGTTTTCTTTGGCCATCCTAACCTTCTCCCTACCGAAGCTCTTCCAGAGATGCCAACCCTCCCTGAAATTTGTTTTTCTCGATACGTCACTCCACACAAATTTTAATGCCTCCCTGATTTTATGAAAGATTATTCCTATTATGCTGTATGCAATTGATAAAAACCTCCCCGATTTCTGAATGAATCCTCCCTGAAATCTGAATGTAAAGGTTGGCATATCTACTCTTTTTCACACTGCCTGTCTTTAATTTGCCTCCCTCTATGAAGGCCTGTTAACATTTGCTGCAATGAATTGCAGCGTTTATTGCAGGTTTCTTACAAACATTATCGACACTTCACACTCTTTTATCTTGTAATACAGTATGCAGATGAGCGAGCATTCAATGGCCCTTGTGCGCAGCTACTTTTTTCATCCCCACTTGACATTCATTCAGTATAGTAGTATACCCCTCCCCCAATGAAAATCCATGGTTTACCCCAGCACATATAAACAAGCTTTTAATCTCCATTTTGAAAGCTTTCATTTCTGACAACCTTTTATAACTCTCCGTCCTTCACAAGTCATTTCTCTATCTGCCGTTTCATATCGTTGTTTTTTTTCATCTTTCTCTCTAGTGCCTTCTCATTGTCATACTCATTTACTCTTACTGGTATTTATACTCCTTTAAAGGGATCCGGTAACTTTGTCTTAGATCCTTTAGAAATAATCCTTGATTTAGCTCATGCTGCAATGATAACTATAAACCTTTAGGTCAGTCAGGAACTCCATGACTTTTACTAGCCGATCGCCTGTCTGATTATCAAGATATTAATGATTGGAATTACAAATTTTGAAAACCTTCCGCTGAACGGTTTTCATAACACTACAGTCTATTGGGGAAAACGAGTATGGTAAAACTGGTCACTCAAAATTTTTACTTTTTTGAAGCACTTCTTGATCATTTTGAAGCGCGATTTTTTTTAGGGCTTCAATATTGCTCCATATCACAGGCACTGGTAACATGTAGTACCGTGTATCTCAGATTTAACATTGGTAAACGATCCCTTTAATACTCTTCATCTCTCCCCTATGCCTCCTCCCCCCAATACATATTTCCTTCCATGTGGTACACACATTTCTTTTGATTCCCTATCTTTCCATCTCTCACCAATTCACACCTTTTTTTGTGGTCATTCTTTCAAGATCTCAAACACATTACAGTAATAAATCGATTCGATCAAATATTTTTCATTTCATACGCAGAGTACTGTGGATCATGAACATATTTTATTTTCATGTCTTATTTGTTTCTGAATTTATTTTGAAGAGCAATATTATACAAATACAAAATGGGGAAATAAAAAAAAAAGTGCTTTGCTTTCCAACAGCAGTAAAAAAAAGAAAGGGGGTATTAAAAAAATGATGCATGCATATGTAACAATTTTTTCAGGATTATTTTTTACATACATCTCACTTCATGGTCATTGATACACATATATCAGAAATTTTGAAATGTAATTTCACTTTTTTTATCAATGGCTATTGGGGGCAGTACATCACAGTTGTGTGCCACAATTGTAAACGTAAGCTCTGGGCACAGTCTTTCCTTGCTGTTATACATTGTATAGATTAAATATTAGTATTTTTTAAACCAAACCCATTATGAAAAAACTTGAATAAGTCAAGTACATGTACATTCAGGAAATGTATAAGGTCTGTGAATCACCAATTCATTTGTTTTGGGAAAAAATTATTTTAATAAGAAACTGCAAACACACAATATTATACATTCTACATGTACATGTATACTAATTATTTCTCACAACTCTGTTCTAGCTCAAAATTATCAAAACGGACAACAATGACATGAAAGGAGTACTTTACAAGTTTACAAATATCTGAACCTAGAACAATTGGCCCCTGACCCCTTTAAGATCTTAAGAAATAATTAAACCACATTGATAATGACTGAATGAAAATGCAATATTTGTTAGATTATAAGGTAACGGTTGATATAATACTATTTCAAAGTAATTTCTTTTATAATGATAAAACATACTGCTTTGTCAGACAAAAGTGTTCTCTTTTCTTCATGTCTTTCACAAGAACATGCCTATATTTATTGCAAAGTCTTTACATCATTTAACAGGTAGATCACTGTCATAAATGAATGAATAATTTTTGAACGATCAACTCGTTAAGTTTTAACAGACTAATTTGTGTGATAATCAAATGACTAATGCATGTACAATGTTGATCAGCAAAAAAACTTCCAAGTTATTTAGGAGGAGAAAAATGACAATTCAAATACACACAAAAAAGTAGTTTTTCCAAAAGAAGACTCCCAATTTATATCTGTTTGGGCCAATCCTAGAGTCTATGTTATATACCCTCAGCTTTCTAATCATGTACCAATAATTACGACTATTACGTCAAACAAAAACTCAATGTTTACTTAGGCTCATGCTTGCCATGGGGTACAGGAGTATTCTGTAAAATAAAAATGCAGGTTTTCATGTTCTCTACGTATGTGTGATGAAGGGATCAACATTAACACATGGAGGGAAGAAAAGTCTTTCTCAAGTTTGTTCGATGTTGACCAATTCCACTACAAGGAGCACAGACGGGAAAATGGTGGAGCAGTGGTCATCCAGTGGTCACTCTAAAGTTATTCAGTGGTCATTTGGTGGTTATTTGGTGGTCACTTGGTGGTCATCGCCAGTCAGCCATGTAAATAAATCCTGTGCAGCTGATGGACCATGAGGGAAGCAGAGGACACGGCTTGCAAAGTACGCCTCCAAAACACACAATCATAAACAAAAAGAGTTTCATACAAAGAGTCAGTACGGCTATACGTTGTACCGTCATTATGTCTTTCCGGCTGCTTTCGCGTGCGCTTTGGAGAACTCTTGTTGGAGTTTACCCAGTTTCTCTCTATGAGCTTCTTGCTTCTTATCCATGTCCTTGATTTGGGTGTCGTACCTTTTCCTGTAATTAAAACAACAAAAATGCACAGAGATTCATTACAGAGAAACCTGTATATAAAGCATTGAGAAAATTATTATTATCAGTCATTGGAGCTCTTTTAGGATTTGGTATGTTATTAGTGCAATTTTCTCAGAGTGATAGTTACTTAGGTACTTAGTAATATTGTGATGGTTGATTTCACAAATCTGTTGAATCAGGTTGCAAAACACGTAAAATTATGTTTGTATGTATGGATTATCAAACTACGATGCCCCAAATCCGAAATTAATTCACGCAATATGAAGATTTTTAACAAAGTTCAACGGGTTTTCAAACGGGCGTCGATGTGCGGCGCTTCTGAATCTAAATTCTCCCAACCATTTTTTAATTTTCCCAACCGTTTTTCCATGAAAAAAAGACATAAAAACAGGCTATAAAAAATCTGTCAACACTTAAATGTCTGGAATAGAATGTAGAGCCATTTTATTGCTTTGTGAGATTTCCATTCACGTAAAATGTAATTAAATTGTAATAATATAGTTGGGAGAATTAAGGAATCGATCGGATCAGTTTTTCCCGATTTGTACCATGAATAATGGTCTGTTTTCGCTCAAATTTTCATATTATCTTTAATTGTACATCTAGCATTGAAGTCACTACCTTACGCCACTATCTCTCATCTGAACAATGTTAAAAAGTCCCTTTAAGTATTTTATTGTTATACAATATTACCAGAGCACGTTAACCAGAGCTATTCTGGAGCTTTCCAAAGCTAAATCGCTCATCACTTTTATGTATTTTTTCTGCTGGTATAAAAACCACCAAAAGACATCAAATATTGTTTCTTTAATGTTTCAATCTAAATCACTCTTCAAGGAAAACCAAACTGCAATATTTCTATACAACTGGAATTACTGGATATTACGATAGGTTTGACTGTATTAGAATATATTTATGCATCAAGTGAGGATGCATAACACTACAGTCTATTGGGGAAAACGAGTATGGTAAAACCGGTCACTCAAAGATTTTCCTTTTTTGAGGCACTTCTTGATCATTTTGAAGCGCAACTTGTTTAGGGCTTCAATATTACGCCATATCACAGACACTGTTAACACGTAGGGCCGTCTATCTCAGATTTAACATTGTTAAACAATCCCTTTTTAAAGAAGTAAATGTACATTATGAGCAGACAATGAATGTTGGGTTGCCCAGAGAGTTTTCTGGAAAACAACATCATCACATGTACATGTAAATGTAATGAATTTTCAAAAGCAATACCCTTCCTTTTGAATCTTTAAAAAAAAACTGACTTTCAATCTGTTATTTTAAATCTTAGTTTTGTTTGTTTGTGATTGTCTAACTTACACTTCAGCTGTGATGTATTCCATACGTTTCTTGACAGTGGCATTGGCTTCTTCTACATCTTGCTGTACGAGGACAGGACCCATCATCTTGAACACCTTGCTCCCTCCTTCTAGGAGATCAAGTTCCTAGTAGGGATTCGAAGAAAATAATAAGAAATTAAAAGAAGAAAGAGGAAAAGGAGAACAAGCAGCAGGTGAATCAGGGGGAGGAGAAGAACTCAGGCAAAGGAGAAGGAGAAGGAGAAGGAAAAGAAGAGGAAAAGAAGAAGAAGAATGAGGAGGAAAAGAAGAAGAAGAAGAAGAATGAGAAGGAGGAGAAGAAGAAGAAGAAGAAGAAGAAGGAGGAGGAGGAGGAGGAGGAGGAGGAGGAGAAGGAGAAGGAGAAGGAGAAGGAGAAGGAGAAGGAGAAGGAGAAGGAGAATGAGAAGGAGGAGGAGAAGAAGAAGAAGAAGAAGAAGGAGGAGGAGAAGGAGGAGAAGGAGAAGGAGGAGGAGAAGGAGGAGGAGGAGGAGGAGGAGGAGGAGGAGGAGGAGGAGAAGAAGAATGAGAAGAAGAAGAAGAAGAAGAAGAAGAAGAAGAAGAAGAAGAAGAAGAAGACGGAACAAAACAAAAACAAATAAACAATGTGGTAATGTCACATTGCGAGTATTCAATAGAGAATGGTCAATGACGGCAATTAATGTTTTGACTGATATAGATCAGTTGACTGGAATTTCCAGCTAAAAATGGTTTTCGATGCAGACCTAACCATTATGTACAGTATTTTTTAAACACAACAACTTTTGGAAAGAAGAACAGTCCTACTGATCCCACAAAACCCTTAGGGCTATGAAAACCAAGGGTACAGAACACTTAAAGACCATGCGACCAATAGGACATAGGACTGACTAAAGAGACATAGGCTAGCTTAGGATATTAGGTGAAGTTTCATACTTACATCTTTCACCATATTATTTTCATTCAGTTGAGCATCAAGCTGTTTTCTCAGTCCAACAACATTTTGATATTCTGAAACAAAAAAGAATCAAATTGAACTTCAATAGTATTATTGAAAAATTTATGTAAACTTGGGAACAAATTTTAACTACGCTTCCCATTTTTGTATCTTACAACGCAGAGGTCAGTGCATGGATGATGGATAGCGGATACACTCAATTTCGCAAGTTCTTCGTTACGCACATTTGACATTCATTTCCACTTAAAGAGAAGGTTGAGTTCTGGGAAGAGGTGAAAAATAATTTGTGAGCGTTATCATTCTTATTATGCAAGCGTGGAAGAACATCAGATAAGACATGTTCCCTGAAAAGCATGGCTCTTCAAATGCCTTTATATTTTAAATATGTCATGTAACTCGTAAAACTCGGGGGGGGGGGGGGGGGGGGGGGGGTAGGTTTTTTTACGCCACGTGTTCGTGTAGTCCCATATACATCTTTCTGTGTACAGTGTTTATAACTTTACCAAGACTTGGCCAAATTTCTTATCATTTTGATGATTCCAGAACCTTGCAATACACACAAATTCTTATATGCTAGATGATCAACCTTTTCTGGTCGATTTCACACCGTTTCTTTGACAATGCAATCGCATTGCAGGGCTTGCCCTTAACTTTTTTTTGAGGTGGCCAGCAGGGCCACTTGGGTAGGAGATCTGGGTGGCCAAATGGATTTTCAGGTGGCCCCACTTTTATGCGGTATTAAATAATGCAAATGTTTAATAAAAAAATGCATAAACTATACGTGTTAAAAGCAGCATGAGCTGCATTTAATAATGAAAGGTGAGTGACTCTTTAGACTCTCATTCCAAATCCTCTCTCTTTGTTTCTATACTTCTGTCTCAACTTCACTTCAATGTTTTTCTCCCTTTCTCCTCGACTATCATGCATCACAAGGACCCCCTCCCCCTTAAGTTAGGATTGTACAGGGCACACAAGGCGCCAAACTTCTGCTTTTCTTTGAGCTCCAAGTTCTGTTGGAAGATATAAAATTGATTGTATATTTACTTTAGGCCTGAGTCGAAACGGGTCCCCGCCCGGGCCCCGACCGTCGAGCTGAAACCCGGTTTTGGTTTTCGGGTTTCGGGTTTTTCAAAATTAAATTTCACACTGATATTTTGAAATATAGAATTAAAAATATGGAATTCACAAACTTATATTTCAATATAATCAAATAAATATGCTTTTAGAAATAAATGGATATTGTTTCAGTTGACGGTAGGTGTTTTTATCGCTCTAAAATTGAGGCTGCAAGAAAGGAATCACGCTTCGTGGTACCGATCGAGTGCGTTCAGAAACGGAAGTGGAAATAGATCTATGACCCACTGAAGACAGAGCAAGAAAATGCCACACACAAGACTAAAATATTGATCAGACTATTGCAATTAAATCGTAATACTAAAGGCATTAATTTAATTGTCAAAATATATCCACAACATAATGGTTTATCCTTGATAGTTTGATGAAGGAAAATAAATTAGAGCTCTTGAAATAACATCGAAGTGCCTTTCGTTCGTTCTAAAAAATGCGTGTATAACGGCAAGCAGAAGTTACGAGTCAAGCTTGATATGCACGTTTAAATCCCTACACCGTCATCCGACCTGATCGGAACAATAAGCATTAAACCAATTAAAAACATCACGTAAGACTTTAAGGGACTCCAATTCAACAAAATTACCGTAAAATAATTATTTGCTTTGACAAATAATACTATAGATATTTATAATATCTTACAGAAATAATGATATTTCATGAGCTACGTACTCGATATCGAGTTCAGCTAGCCATCATTTTGAAATGAGTCGTAGTTGTCATGCATGCAGCGCAGAATGCGGCAACTCGCAGCTAGAGAGGGAAAAAAAAAATCACGTAATAGTCACGTGAATATGACGTGATCTCAGGCCCGCGCTTTTTCCTCTCTCTTCTGCATACTGCCCTCTACAGTCTACTGCATGACAACTACGTCTCATTTCAAAATGATGGCTAGCTGAACTCGATATCGAGTACGTAGCTCATGAAATATTATTATTTCTGTAAGATATTATGAATATCTATAGTATTATTTGTCAAAGCAAATAATTATTTTACGGTAATTTTGTTGAATTGGAGTCCCTTAAAGTCTTCCGTGATGTTTTTTTAATTGGTTTAATGCTTATTGTTCCGATCAGGTCGGATGACGGTGTAGGGATGTACGTGCATATCAAGCTTGACTCGTAACTTCTGCTTGCCGTTATATACGTATTTTTAGAACGAACGAAAGGCACTTCGATGTTATTTCAAGAGCTTTAATATATTTTCCTTCATCAAACTATCAAGGGTAAACCATTATGTTGTGGATTTATTTTGACAATTAAATTAATGCCTTTAGTATTACGATTTAATTGCAATAGTCTGATCAACATTTTAGTCTTGTGTTTGGCATTTTCTTGCTCTGTCTTCAGTGGGTCATAGATCTATTTCCACTTCCGTTTCTGAACGCACCCGATCGGTACCACGAAGCGTGATTCCTTTCTTGCAGCCTCAATTTTAGAGCGATAAAAACACCTACCGTCAACTGAAACGATATCCATTTATTTTTTAAAGCATCTTAATTTAATTCCATTGATTATTTTATTGTTTTGAAAGCAGTAACTGTCTTTTCCGTCGCATTATTAGAACAGCAACTTAGTCTAACTCCCGCCGCTGCATGCACACGATTTTTAGTGTCAGTACACCAATCACAATGCTGGGATTTGGGAATCCCCAACTTACCCGCCAGAAATCTCATGCGCAGTTTGTAACTGCGCAACAAAGAGTTGAGAAGCGTACTAGCTGTGCTGCAATCGACAGCTGCCCTATACGCGGTAGCATACTATGATAGCGCTACGCCTATGTACCGGCCAGGCCGGGGTGGCGGCGGCGGTGTGTACAGTACCTACGCGACGCGACGGCGTGCATCGTTTTTATAAAGTTAGTATGCGAAACGAAACATTTCCTTGTTTGATAGATCGGATTGCGTCGCTTGGAAAAGCTTGGAAAAATAAATGTCGCCTCGGTTTCGGGTAGATCTAAAGGTTAAACAAGTTGTTGATAAATAATTTATATATTACTGTCCAAATATTTGGGTGGCCAGCCGGGCCATCTAGTCGGTGATTTCAGGTGGCCCGACAGCGTTTCAGGTGGCCATTGGCACCGGGCCACCGCTAAATTCAAGCCCTGCATTGGCCAGAACTCAACTTCATCTTTAACAAACTAAACAAAGCAGCCTTTTTTATATGTTGCAGTCGTTTAACTTTAACGCGCCATATCTGAACAAGCAAGTTCAAGTCTTAGGCAAGTAAGGGCAAGGGCCAAGGCATTGTCAAACTCAAAGTCATATAAAAATCAAAATTAGTTCATTTTGTTAAATAGATCTAGATCTAGACCTGGCTGGCTATAGATCTCTAGACCCTATTATTTAAATAGACCTAGATCTAAGTTTAAGAAGACCAAGGCCAAGCTAATGCCGAGACGGAGAATAAGTGATAAACTTTTTTTTTCTTGATCTCTCTCTCTCTTTTCTCTCTGTGACTCTGAGCTCTGCAATGTTACCGTTGGCTCCGAAACACTGTCATGACTGTCTGGCATGCATGGGCACGACGCGCGACCTGGGGTCAGTTCCTAGAAACCGTCATAAGTCTAACTTCTTGACTATCCCATTGAAACATGTGTTAATTCTATAACACACGTTCAATGGGATAGTCAAGAAGTTAGACTTATGACGGTTTCTAGGAACGGGCCCTGTACGTACCTGGCTCCACCTCCCATCATCACGGGCCACCCCGAGAGTCAACCCGCCTCACCCCGGCGTCCCCGCACCCACCCGTACCGGTTCCTCCGCACCCAATGATAATCCACGATCATGTTCTCTTTTTTTCATCTCGAACACGATTAATCTCAGTCAAACCTCTCATAAATTACAGCTTCTAAGTTTTTCAAATACCTTTCTCTGATGCCTTGAACTTTTCTAGCTCCTCTTGCAGTTGTTTTTGGACAGTTTCGTTGGCCATGGTGCTTTTTACGTACAAGAAAGTGAAAAATTGTAATACAATTTCGAGTGCAAATGTAACAAGCGCGTATGTAGTAACTCGTCTTAAAATCGGCCAATGCGAAATCGCATTATTATTTGTCGCTACCCCTTTACACTTTACGTTCGAGTTCCCCCTATACAGTGCGTCCCAGAAATTCGGAAACCGAGAATTATCGATGTTTTATTATAACTAAGTCAAATTAATAATTAATAAATGACATATATTTGGAAAGCTTGAACCATCCTCTTTTATTTGATGCAACTCATAATGATGCTTATTCACACATGAGTGATTAAAATCAATTTGAAGAGGTGAAATTCAAGAAATCAAAAAGTCATTTGGCGGTCGAATTTCAAAGAGAAAATCACATTTCTAGAAAGTTGAGTTTCTGCCCTTTCACAATTTTTACATGACACCTCAATCAGGAAGTATGAGCAAGGAATGAAAAAGTTTTGTTTGTTTAAAGTAGTGCTTGCATTTCCATAATTTTATCAAACGAATTCGTTTCATTGGCAGCCCGCCCGGAGCCCTCCGTAGCAACAAGCAAAATTGACAAACGGCTTAACTCCGTTTCGTTGACAATCAGCCACGCATGAAGTCTTTCGTCTACGGCTGATTGTCAACGAAACGGAGTTAAGTCTTTTGTTATTTCCGTTTGTTGCTACGGCAGGCAGCAAGTTAAAATTACGAATTCGTTTAATAAAATTATGGGAATGCAAGCACTACTTTAAAGGTAATACAAAGTTTTGGTATGGGGTCATGAATTTGGTTCAAATAAACATAATGGAAGCAAATGCCATACTCGCGGTTGAAAACGAGTCTAATGTTTTGAAATTGTAAATAATCTTTAAATCTTTATGTTTTATAGCTCCCTCTCAAGGTCAAGATATTAATTAAGCTATAAAACAATGTTTCTTGACTAAAATCGACCGATTAGCTATTCCCGTTTGGAAATTATATATCACAACTACATATTCTGAGGTTTTCATGGTCGCAGCTATTGTACGGCCGTATAGGCGCTATTTGAAATTTATCAAAATTTACCAAGAGCACCGGTAAATTTTTTTATTCAATTTTTCTCGAAAGCAGAAGTGTTTTACTCTTTTCACACTGGTTTTGCTTAACCCCGTACTTTGCTTAGCCCCGTACTATCCTTAACCCCGGACTATTTTTTGGCTTTTCACACTCGCTGTTTTTAGTCCCGTACTAGCGCCTATTCCGGAATAAGAAAATTCCCGCTGTTCTCACTGCATTTCGTTAACCCCGGATATCGTGTATGTTATGATTGGACATACCTCGCATCTGGCCAGCTGCGATACGCTCCATTGCGTAGTACCGGACTATTTTTCGTTTCTGTTCTCATTCATTTGCTTAGCACCGCAATTGCGGGGTTAGCAGGAGTTAGCACCACAATTGCGGAGTTAGCCCTGCTATTTTGCAGGGTTAGTTAACCCCGTACTATAGGTGGGGTTAGCCAACTTTAGCCCACTTTGGTAAAAACCAGTCTGAACAGAAAGTGGAATAGGCTTAACCCTACTATAGGTGGGGTTAAGACCCCCCCTTAACCCCACCTATAGTACGGGGTTAAGGAAAATATTGCCAGTGTGAAAAGCATATTAGAGGCTTATTTTTCTAGTGCTTATAATACATTCACAGGGGCATCCAAATATATCAAAATTGTAAAGAATCATTATCCACCCAATTTTCAAAATTTCCCAAAACTTTGTATTACCTAATCAATCAGAACTTTGTTATTCCTAGCTCATATTTTCTTCTGATTGAGGTGTCATAAGGGCGGCGGCAGAAACTCAACTTTCTAGAAATGTGATTTTCTCTTCGAAATTCAGATACCGTCCGCCAAATGACTTAAGAGTGACATTTATTCAAAATTGCTTTTGATGATTATCTACTCTGTTCACAATCACATTGATGTATATCTATTTCATGATGTATTGTAATTTGTAGGTTTATTTGCCTATAATTGCCTTTTTTCTTTTTTTTGTGGGGGGGGGGGGGGGTTAATATGTAATTGTTTATCATTGTATTTTGTTTGTTTCACAGGGGCGGCGATCCCGGGGGGGGGGGACACGTCCTCCCCCCGGAAAATTTGAAAAAGTGCAAACAAATAATTTACAGTAAATACTGACTAAAGACTGCTGCCCAAGAGTGCAGCGTTTAGACAAATAGAAATGCAAAAATCTTCTGGCTCGGGAGCTATGCTCCCTCGCATAATATCTTTCAAAATGTACGAGTGAAGTGTGAAAAAAGTACATTGTTTGGTTTTATACTATAGTTTTGCTAAGGAATATAATTTTGTAATACAACAAAACTTCAAAAACTGTGAGGGGGTAGTCACTTTCATCTCATTCACTATGCTCACTCACTCGGGCTTTGGGCAGTCCCCCCCCCCCCTCACGATAAAATTCAAACGGTTTATTTCGAATTCGATACCAGTGACTAATTTACAAATGCTGCTGAAATGGCATGATTTTCCCTGAGCTTCCGGTGGCTCTGCTCCAAGGTCCCTATAAGGCGGGCCCCTGGTTGCTCAGCTGACCATAATTAAATGCCTAAAACACCCGAGCTTCCGGGGGCTCCGCCCCCTGGACCCCCGGGGCCCTAAGCGGGCCACTCGGATGCTCATCTGACCATATTCAAAAGCCTGAAACAATGAGCTTCCGGGGGCTCTGCCCCTAGACCCACCAAGGACCCTAAGGTGGCCCCTGGATGCTCATCTGATCGTAATTTAATGCCTAAAACCGCTGAGCTTCTGGGGCTTCGCTCCCTGGTCCCACTCCGATTAGTGACCTGCATGCAAGTGTCACATCAAACATAATGCTCATCTGACCCTTATTAAATGCCTAAAAACTCTGAGCTTCACCTGACCCCCTGGACCCTGCGCCAATTTACGCCCCACTTGCTTTGCTCTATCTGATCGCAAATACTTTACCCCCCCCCGCCCCCCTCACTCCCACTTTGAAAAACGTTCCGCGGGGCCTGCATGTAACATGTAAAAGCGGTGATGATGCGGATTTTTTTTCTTCTCCCCCCCCCCCCCCAAAAAAAAAAAAACAGATTTTGCTCATTACGTCACTCAGCCTCCCTCGTTCCTCGCATTTCGTCCCCCCCCCCGGTCATGAAAAGAAATCGCCGCCGCTTAGAGACATCGGTGCTAACTGCTAAGCGCTTTATATCGTTTTTATTATTAGTATTATTATTACAGATATGACTGATGCTAGCTTAGTTTTGAGTTTTAAGTTTTGAGTTTTTGATCGATCGGGTGGGTGGTACATGCACAACATTACTTATTATAGGCTCTGTATAAGCTTGGCTTGTTAGAACTCTTGTGAGTAATGTGCCGCGGGATTCCATATCCTCAAACTGCTGGCGAACAGAGCAACAAGACCAAGCTCTGTAGGCCTAATTATTAGGATCTCTGCCCAGTAGTGCCGTGCATGGGTGTCGATCCTTACGTAATACCTATTGTTCAGGGGGGGGGGGATGAATGAATAGATCACCCCCCCCCTGATCACTTACAGATCGACACCCATGGTGCCGTGTTTGTGCCATCGAACTGGATCGACCAAATCAATTGATTCATAATATTTGTTCCCGTAATTACATGAGAGTAATTTTAATAGTTTCATACTATTAATTAATGCAATGTTAACTGTTATTGTATAATTGTTTTAAATGGGGGCACGCTACCCCGGGGCAACGTGTCTGACACGGCCGGTTGAAGCAACTACTCCGAAGATAAGGTAAAGACCAGCTATAGTATTGGAAACGCCCCAATTTCAAAAAATGAAATGGAAGCTCTCATTACCAATTATGTGAAAGAATATGTTTTGACTAATACATGATGATACAAAATTTGCCGGGAAACCGCCTACTAATTCATATATTTGGAAAATTTGTTTCTCTCATGGTCTGTGAGAGATATAGGGTAGTCCCATAGTGCTTGTAACTTAACGAAGAATGGGCCAATTTTCTTATCATTTTGATGATTCCAGAACCTTGAAATACACACAAATTCTTATACACTAGATGATCAACCTTTTCTGGTCGATTTCACACCGTTTCTTTCACAATGCAATCGCATGACCGTAACTGGTCTTTACCTTTAATCTTGATCTAAGGAGACACGAACGAACCAACGCTATAAACGGGCGAGTTATTATTGGCCGAACTAAAATATGCAGCTCCATCAGCCTCCAGGCCATGGCCTGGCGATTCGAGAAGTGCAACTTACGTTTTAATACATGAACTGAGATTTTGAAACCAAAAATGGCTTTTCCCGGGAAAGTGGGCAAACAGTAAGTTTTACATAGTTTATCATAAGGAATGAGATGGTTACTGATCAATTCAATCTGAATGGTGTTATTGTAATTTTGGAATTAATGCCTTCATGGTAGAAGTATAGCTTTTAATAGTTTTAGTGAGTATTAGCGTCTAAAATTAAAACTGGGCTTGGTCAGCGTGCTCTCTATAGCTCGCGCTCTGGTCGGCTAGCTCCCCGCTCACGGGGCGCAAGATACCGGCTCGATTAATTGCGTGCATACTGCATAGAGGTCTAGCCTAGCATTGTACATCATGTTGTATGGCACTGGCCTGGTTAACTGGCCATTAGATCATTAGTTGTTGAGAACACTCTAGTCTAGATCTAAAGAATTATACAGATATTTCTAACTGAAACTTGATGTTATTTTGTTTTTTACTAGTCTTATGTTTTTGTTTTTTGCAGTTATTGATTTTGTTTTCTTTTATTTATAAATTATTATTCAAGTTATTGCCTTGGGTCTATCTATGATGACATATGCACCACACCCATTTCCATCACACTCCACATATTTGCTTCAAACAATTATCCAGATATTACAGCAGTCTGTTGCATGGTTAAGACAACAGTAATGTAAAATCACTACCAAGGCTAATGAAATTGGAAAGGGTTGCTTGATGAAAAGTGTTCTAAAATGGTAGCTCCTGAAAAAAGTCAAGATGTTTATCTCGCATCTGTCATTTGAATTAACTAATATACTCAGTAAAGTATGGCAAGTTATTGTGACCATAATCAATCACATCATCTATATGGGTCTAGACTATAGCTCTATAATCTTGGAGATCTAGACTATATCAAAGTGTTAAATGTTACATTTCTTTCACTTTTAGGTATGGGCTTATCACCAAAGGCAAGAAATCATCTGCTCCTGTTCTTCAAAAACCTTCCATTTTCAATGAGTCAAGTGACGAGGAAGAGAATGTCACTACACTGGAGATGGCGAAGAAGAGACAAGCTGCCATGCAAACCAAAATAAAGAAACAAGTAAGTGACGACTAAAGACTTACATTATTTGATGTATTTATAGCTTGAATGAGGCCGACCCGGCCGAGTAATAACGTTGTCGTTGATTTTGCTATTATGACAGTCAGTCAATTTTAACATTTCCTTGATTATTAAAATCCTGGAGTAATTTTGATTAGGTAAAGTAGATGTATAATGTGAAATGTCAAATATGTTCCGTCGCCTATTTTAATATCATTGTGTTGTCTGACTTGACCTTTGACCTTTGACCTTTGTCTGTTGCAGACGCAGCTGGAGATCCAGAGGGCTCTCGAGGCTGACCCCACCGTGTATGAATATGACAGCATCTATGATGATATGGAGCGTAAGAAAGAAGAGAAGCTGATAGCGATCAAGAAACAAAAAGAAGGAAACAAGGTACATCTACGCTTCTTACAATCACATTAGTTGCATATTAAACTAGGACACTCCCTCAATCAAATAGCAAAAAGGGGGAAAAGGATTGAGAGAAAGAGAAAAAGAGAAAGAGAGTGATATTTCCCTCAGGAAATTGAAAAGAAAGAAAGAAAAAAACTAATTTGAATTAAAAAAATAGTTTCCACCCTGCTCTGTGATCAATTAAAAAGTGGTACCGGTAAGTTAATCTAAGGTAATAAGAACATTCATGTTTACTCACCCTACAGCCTAAATACATTGAAAATCTCTTGAAGTCTGCCGAGCTGAGGAAGAAAGAACAGGAAAAACGCAAGGAACGAAAGATACAGAAAGAGAGGGAGAAGGAAGGAGAGATGTACGGAGACAAGGAGGCCTTTGTAACGTCAGCTTACAAGAAAAAGATGCAGGAACTAGCTGAGGAGGAGGAAAGGGAGAAGAGGGAAGCAGAAGAAGAAGGTAAGATTTCCTGATTTTCATTATGACCCACTAGGAGTAGGAATAGGGATAATGACTTCTAAAGAGCTTTGGATGCAGGAGCTAGCAGAGTAGGAGCAAAAGAGGTAAGGATTCAACTTCATCATCCATCTCCCCTCCCCCCTGGAATTTTGAAATTATCACTGTTCAGGCAATTATCATTTGGACAAGCATCACTTTGAATTTTGGCAACAAGGTGATCTATTTGTAACGTATATATCTTTTCTGATATTTGACGGCAAAACATTTTCACTATGACAAAGCTGATTCTCTCCCCCTTCCCCCTCCCCCTATGGGCATATTTAGTTCACAAAGAGGTAGAATCCGAACCATCAACCACGTGACTATTATGTCATTATTAATTGTCTTTATTTCATGATTTGTTTCCATAGCTGCCAATGATGTGACGAAGCAGAGTGATCTATCTGTTTTCTATCGACACATCCTATCTCAGACCACGGGAGATGTGCAGGTCAAGCAGGAGAAGACATCCGATGATGAAGAGAGCAAGAAGAAAGTCAAAGAGGAGGTACTGGAGAAGAAGACTATCAAAACAGAGAGACATTCTGGTCTCAATTTCAATGAAAGGTTAGTAGCGACTTGAAGATTTAAGGATTAGAGTTGCTTTGTATTACTTGTGCCTTGTTCATGCTCGACATATTTGAGCAATCTGTTGGGTTGTGAAGGGCATTGTTCGTTTAAGAAGTGTGCATACATGAACATGGTTTGGAATATCTTTCAAACAAAAATGTGTGTGTGACAATTATAAATATTAATTCAATGAAGTTATGTATTCTTTATGCTTTACTACCTGAAAACTGTAACACATTGTAGGTTTACCTGGTATGTTGGATTGTATTATTCATTTTTTTGTTACTGTTTTGTTACCTTCACTTGATGATTTCATTCTTTTCAATAACAGAGACAAACCAGACTCATCAAGACACAGAAGTGACAGAGACCAAAATAAAAGGAGAGAATCAGGCAGCGAGGACGATGATAACAGACGGAGCAGGGATTACCATAGAAGAGACGGAAAGGAATCTGGACACAGGCACGACAAGAACGATAGAAGAAGCGAGAAATATAGAGAGAAAAAGGATGAGCCTCATAGCAGCAGTCGTCATCGGGATGATAGCAGAAGTCATCATCGGGATGATAGCAGAAGTCATCTTGACGATGGCAGAAGGCATGACAACCGCCACAGGAGCAGAGACGATGTAAGAGATAAGGATAGGCATAGAAATGAAGGCAGTGATTCACGTGATGACCGGCGTGAGAGGAGAGTTGACACAAGAAAGGACAGAGAAACCTCAAGTGGAAGAACTGAGAGCAAAGAAAAGGAAGACACAGTCAGAGATGGCAAGGGCAATGAGAAAGCAGAGTCCCTTCCGGAAAGTAGTCGACCGGAAGAGAGAGTGGAACCCGTTGCCAATCCAGACGCTGATAGCGATTTTGAGATAGACTCCGAGGATAGTGATGTTGAGGAGGAGAAAGTCAAACCAGCTTTGGATAAATCAGAAGTGATTTCCACATCAGACACGAAGAAGAGGAAAGAAAAAGAAGAGGTGGCAAAGTCTAAGTTTGTGAAGAGGACTGGTAGTGAGACAGTCATGTCAGCTAGAGATAGATATCTGGCTAGGAAAGCAGCTAGGGACACAACTAAAACCCATGTCAGTCGTGAGGATAATTGACATGAAGGAGATGTCAACAAACTGGGAGTCTACAGATTATTAAATCAGGATTATAAAAGTCAATCTATCAAGAACTTTTTTCAGTTTCATATGTAAGAGAAGGACTAATCATTTTCATACTTGGTGACATTGTAAAATTGACATATTGGCAATATATAAACTGATTCTGAAATTTACATCACAGCCAACTGTTATCAAAAGGCAATGTCAATTTGACAAACACTTCATGTCATTTCAATTTGTGGAGGAATAAAAATATAGGTAATTTGAGGTAAAAAAATATTATTTGTATTGGTCTTTTCTTTTGTCAATCACAATCGCAGTATTTCTCACAGTGCACTCTCTCAGCCATTTTATAGACCTGTGTAGACATGATAATCCAATCCAGAAGGACTAAGCCATTCTACCTAATATAATTATATCTTTTTTCTTTTCACCTAGTGCACGCTATTGAATTTCTTTTTTTAAAGATGAATATCCATACTTCTTTCTTTCAAAAAAATTTGGAAAATAAGTTTTTATGTTACATATGTAACGTATAGTATACTTCTTCCTTTTGAAAAATTTGTCTCGTGGGCTGAAGGGCCAAAATTTACCATTTTTTTTTTTTTTTTAGAGCTTTGGGGTTCTTAACTTAATGGATGTGGTTTGGCCTTTTTTTCAACGACCAGTCAAAAGTAACTTAGGGGTTGGAAGGGGCAACTGTTTTTGTGACGGGCTCCCAGATTCTGATCCACACCACATAAAACTTGTACAATCTGTGGTTTTTCCCATGCACTTTCTTCACCATCTACATCAATCTCTTTTCCTTTGCTCCCTCATTCACTTTCATCCTTCCTGAAGACAGGACTATGGTCATCGGGACCTAGTCATCACTATTTAGGGCTAGACTCTGTTTCTCTCCACATACGCTCTTTCACCCCATCATCTTCTAATCTTCTATACATATGAAGAGTTTAATTCCAAAAGGAGCTAAATCCATTTTGGAACTTCTGAGAAAAAGAAGGCGGAGTGAGGCGTTTTTCATGATTGCTCCCAAAATGTAGGTAAATCAATTTTGTTGAAAGACAGGTATATGTACAACTCAATTTTCATCAAAAGTGGATTTAGCTCCTTTTGGAATTAAGCTCTTCATATATATGGAAAACAGCTGAATTCAGTCACATAATCATACTAAGATCAGCACAAAATTTGACATTATTTTACTTCACATGTAGTCATTTTCATATTTTATTCTTTTTTTATACCTACTACATAAATACATGTATGTCTTACAACCACACAATTTGGAAGGGATTACATTGGCCACAGGTGCCAATGAACTTTTTATTCTGTTTCCTCTTTATGAACAGGGTAAATGTACATGTGGATATATTAAACTATATTTTGTCTATAAAGGATTTTTTTTTACAATAAACAATACAAAGAGGAAAAACAAACATTTCATGTTGTTAAAACAGTATTTTTTCTTTTTCAGTTGCTTCAAAAGCCTTAATCTAGGTGCACTGTGATCTGAAGCTATATGGTACAATTTAAAAGAGAATTAACCCTAAATAGAAAGCTAATGGGGCAAAGAAATTTAAAAGATAGGAAATTTTAAAATTGAGATACAGGAAATCACCCACATCATGATAACTTCCCGACCCATTAGAAACTCTCTTATTTGTTCCATGCATTTTTTTCTTTTCATTCCAAGTTGAGGACTGAACAGAAATTTTGTATGGAATAATTCCCCTTTTAATAACAATTATCGGATACTAAAGATCACAGATTTTTACTTTACTGAAACATTTTACTTATTAACAATATATGTTTTTTTAGGTCGGCTCAAACCAAAAAGTAAGAAATGATTTAATACTTTTATGATTTGCACTGTTCACAATGAAATTTACAGGCATTGTTAAAACATATCTTACAGTATTGGAACAATAATACAACTCGCACAAGATCAAACAAATACCGGTAATCAACTATTGCAACTTTCCAATAAATTAGTTCACTATCCATTCACCTACAATACTTAATGCCACAGTAAATGCGTTTATTGCAAACACATGTAGCTTTGCACATATATCTTTTCAAATAACAATATCATCACAATGATCGCACATGTACAGAAGTAATGTCATTAGCATTGCTTTTGCAGCAGCTTTGCACCATTACTCTACAAAATACACTAAAGAAAATAGATGTGTTAGCACGAAATCATACACTTTGCTTCATAATAATTTGTTTAGACCAAACTGCAAAACGTGTTATTTAAACTTCAAATAGTCCAATTTTGCATGACTTGAACTATTTTTTGTGGTCCACACAGATTCGACTCATGCAGAGCTGACTGTACTCTCATTCATAGCTGTCCACAACTATCGACTGAAATCTAATACTTTCTCAGTCATTACATTCAAGAGATACCTTTGCTACAAAGGGATACCATATGTCACATTTTCAGTTCGACATTATCTTTGGTATCAGTAAAGAAAGGGTGTTGATGCATTTACCCATTTGCCATACAAACCCCAAATTGGTAGAGCCAATAGATTATTTATACACCAAGAAATGCCATAAGATGGGACAAAGTTAAAATGTTCACATGCAATGTTACTGTCAACTCGTACTGTTTTCCATACAAGCATTGTAGAATATTAGATCTAGTCTTGCTTGGAACCTTACTGTTCAACTAGCCAGGTTTAATCAAGGACGTCAAGTCTAGTTATGGCCTATATGTGGCTTCTGCATTCATATCTTCATCATTTCAATACAAGAAGTCTAAGATTTCATGTGAAGTCTTGTTGAATACCTTACTTTTCAACTGGTCTAGTTATGTTTGGAACCTTACTCAGCTACAGGAACAGGACCAGGCTTCTGAATAAATCTAGTCCTCCTTTTAACACTGCTACATGTAGTCTATGAAATAAAGTCTAGTCTTGTTTAAAGTTTTAACATCTCTTCTCGACCAGTCTTGTTTGAAACTTTCTCTATTAATCTAGTCCTGCCTAACACATCAATGACTCTTGGGTCTTCAAGCCTGGTCTTGGTCTTGGTCAGGATGAGGCTTCTGCGATAAAGTGTTCATGCTTTCCATACAAGCGGTCCCAGGTATCACGTCAAGTCTTGTTGAAAACCTATCAACTAATCTAGTCTTCTGTAGAATCTGATTCCACTATGAACTTTGACCTAGACAAAGCTTCTGAATACGTCTATCTTTCCCTGGAACCTTCTGTATCGGTCTAGTCCTGCTTGCCATAAGAACAGTCAAGGACATCACTCTGCAGAGCAGCTAAGAATCCACTGGAAAAAAAAATATATAAAAAGAACAGCAAATTAATCAGTGCATCAAATGCTTTGTGAACACTTGATCATAATTCAGCACATCCATAATTCCATCAGTACAGTACGCAAAATGGATGCTAGGATACATACATGTACAGCATGTACAACATAGCTCGGAAGTCAACAAGCCCTTTCTATAAAAATGTGGGTATGTATCCTATCCCAAAATATCAAAGTACATGTATAATATTTTTGGACTTATGGTAATTTTTTGTTTGTAAAATAAAGTTGGCCCATACTGCCTACATTATACAGTCAAACCTGCTTTAGTGACCACCTGTCTACAACAAGCACATTTTTGTTTCCCTTGAAAATGGTTTCTCATTAAAACATGTACTAAAGGAACCTGTCTACAAAGACCACCTGTCTATAAAGACCACTTTTGGTGTTTCCCTTGGGCGTTCGCTGTAGACAGGTTTGACTGTATCACCATTCCCTTGATGTATATGGACACTAATAAAGCGAAAAGGAAAGAAAGATGAGGAATATTCTTACCCTAGCTGGGCTCTGTTTGGTCTATGTTCCGAGGCCGGTATGACATCGGGTGGAGGTCCCTTTGCTCCTGCTTCTCTTGACCCACCATCAAAGCCTGAAACACAATCAACACAAAATCAAAAGGAATCTTCATGATGATGATGATAATTGCATAAAAACTCTTGAAAATTAGGTTAGTGTTTTAACTATGTACATCCCATACTCATTCCTTCTCAATTAAAAGCAGCTTTTATTCTATGAACTCTCAATTCTAAGTACAATCGGCAAAAGCTAAGGGAAATATCTATGCTTACATGCCAATCCGCACATTTAGTGCAAAATAATGTCATGTCAATCCGATTGTACATGTATATCTCTTCCTCCCCCATCCTTTTTTCCTTTGTATATTTTTGAGTATATGTGTCTTTTGGATGACAAAAAGTGAAAAGAAAACTGTCAAAATACACACACATGGTTGAATATGTAATCATCCTACCAGTAATTTGTTCATAACATTAGTTGTGCATACTTTGCATTTTTACATGTATTTCGTACATTTTAGTTTCATTTATAGATCTGCAGGGTGTAACATGGCAAATACTGGTTAACGTCATCTACCACTTCTTTTGGACAACTGCACGTAAAGGAATGGATTTGATTAACGGTCAGTGTGCCCTAGCGTTCACGAAACAGACCGAAGTTCTCCTCACGCTTCGGTTTCGTGTATGTTGCACGTACGTGAATACTGCGGTCGTGTTGTCCGTAGTCGAATTATACCCTAGTCAGGCCACAGGAAAGACACAATCTTGTTATGCTACACCCCCTTCAATAAAAATGACTGAATACATCAATCCTACCTCCAAATATACTGGTTGGGCCTGATGAGATTGAAGAAGACTCCATCATCCTGCTGATGTTATCTAGCTGCATCTGAAGAGATTTCATCTGATATGTTGACTGCTGCTCCACAGATGAGGGCGCTACACTAGACGACTGATCAAAGATTCTCTGGGTAGGGGTGGAATCTCCGCTCGTGGTACTCACAGTGCCATAGGCAAATTTGGATGCTGCCATGAGCTCTTCAATGCTCATCTGAAACATTTCAAGAAAACATTGAAAAAAATGTTTTGCTCCTTTTTTAATAGTACCTTGCTTTATTGCCTCAACAGCTTGTTGCTATGAACATTTTCAGGGTACAAGAAATACACATAAGCGTTATGATTTTCTTTATATAACCTGTCAAAAGATGTTATAACAGCTTTATATACTGCAAATAACTTCTCTCACCCATCGAATCAAGTCTTTCCAAACATTCATCAGCACTACCCTAAAAGTCTTCTTAAAAAAAAGTAATCAACATCAAGATGGACATTGTGCACTATTTTCTTGATATCAAATCAAACATTCAGTAAAAGTGATTTTTGAAAGGCCTATCCTATATAAAATATTCCTTGATGCTGGAAAAAGCTGTCTTATTGATCCAATCAACAACAGAGTGGTCATTTAGTCATTTTTTTTGGCCAAAATATAACATTTTGTCCCTATGTCAATACAATATGCTACAAATTGTAATGGCAAGATAAAAAAATCAACAGCTCAAATTTTGGCGAGTTTCTCACCTCTTTCTTAATTTTGTTGTTGTTTGTCTTCATGTGTGAGAAGTCAGTGTTCTTGATATACTCCATTGCTGCGGTGAAAGTTACTAATGAATACCTGCAATATAATCAATGAGAGAAACAATAAGGTAAATAAATTAGCGAAAAAAAGAGCCCAATGCTGAACGTTATGCCCTTTTTAACACAGTTGTGGGTTCAAAATCTACCTTTGTGGTTATGTCCTAAGAAAAGGCATTCTATCATCAATAATGCCTCTAAATGATGTAAATACATGCTCTGGCAACAATTGCTGCGTGGTCAATTTCCTGCACTAGAAAAAAATTAAAAGATCATAAATTGAACCATGGATCCAACTTTATACCAAACCTTAACCCTAACCATAACCGTAAACTCAACGTAAACCCCAATCACAAACCTAACCCTAACCCTAAACATAACCGTAAACTCAACGTAAAACCCAATCACAACCCTAACCCTAATTCTATAACCTTGATATATAAAATCTGAAGCAATTGTAGCCACAGCAAACCGTTTATTAAGAAAGATAACCAACAGTCCTTTTCAGAACTACACACCCTCAAGAAAGATTACCGAGAGTCCTTTTCAGGACCCCTCAATTCTCCCTCTCTCTCTCACATGGTGCACCCGCAAGCCTACTGTATAAGAAGGGTACCGTATTAAAACTCATATAAATTATCATAGATTAAAGCTCTTCTGGTTCTGAACAGACAGAATTCCATAGTATTTTGTGTGTGGAGGCATGAGAAGTATCTCTATTGAAGCTTACCCTAAGTTGTCGTGCTTTGATGAAACCCAGTGGAAATTTTCCAGGTAGTACAGATTACTTGCTAGATGTCTGCACTTTGCTTGGCTGATTACAAGCACCTGACAGAAAGAAAAAACAACACAAACAAACGATGAATTCATACAAGTATGCTAACAATGATATAAACATGTTAAGGCATTAAAAAAATGTACATGTGTTCAAATCCTTGAGTATAAATAAACAATTGAATAGTAATGAACCAAGGAGCCCTGTGGAAGACCAGCTGTCTTAGAATTGCTTTGTACATTTACTTCATTAATCCTTGTATTAGGTATGCCTGTATTATAAGTATTTAGTATAAAGCTTTCTAGCTAAACAGGCCACTCTGAGTAAAAATACAAGATAACTCATTAACAGATTACAAACCCAACAACTAACTTCTGAGGTCCTTCTACCCCGCCAAACGTTACTTGGAGTAATTATCTACAAGGGTAGTTTGGGAGTTAGGGGCAGAGAGAATTTTGTAGGTATACCCAAGGGTTGTCATCTGAAAAAAAGCACTTCACATAGTTATATTGGCAGAATGATTGAGTTCACTTACCAGGAGCGGAAGGAGATCATCGGATGTGAGACATTGGGGACTGTGGCCTGGTGCTAGGTTTTCTCTTAAATGGATGTTCACCTCTTCTGTGATGTTATCCTGCAATGTAAACAAAAGAAAGGATTACCACTCTTCTTAAATTCTTCACATCTGTTGATGTTCCGTCCACAAACATAGATATAAAGATGGCGTAAAAGAAAAATAATTGATGCTTATTATCAATGAATGTATCTTTCAATTACACATGGGGACAAAATAAAACAGCAAACAAACCAATACAGTAAGCACATGGAATTAACAGAGTTCTGTGCAAATGGATTGTGATTTCAATTTTAAGCTTATACAAAGCATCCATATTCTCACCGAGTTGAACCTAAAACAAAATACAAATCAATTTAACATACACCTGAACTTAACAGAATATGTAAATATGCATGGAATATTTTTATATTGATTTTGATATCTCAAGGGTCCATGTTCTTACCAGAGTTGAATGAAGACAGGTGAGTTTCTCGTGAGGAGTGTTGATGCCGTCTAGCCTTGCCAACTCCACAACCTACAAATGAAATCAAACAAGAATTGCATGAGACAACTCTAAATTCAACAAACTAACTTAATCCTTCTCTTTCCCTCTGCAACTCATCAATTTTTTTCTTATCCCTCTTTCTTTTAATGAAAGGAGAAAAAATGTAAAAAGAGGACTACTTACAGAACTAAAAACTTCATAGAATTTTTGCAAGGATAAAAGATAGAGTAGAGCAAAGGGAAGCAAGAGAGAGAGAGAGAGAGAGAGAGAGAGAGAGAAAGAGAGAGAGAGGGAGAGGGAGAGGGAGAGAGAGAGAGAGAGAGAGTGAAAGAGAATGAAAGGAAAGAAAATGGGAAAGGACATGAGAGGAAAGTAAGCAATGTTTTTATTTTAGTCACACTGAAGAAAAGCAAAATCTTGAGAGAAACAATATACAGAACAGAATAGAAACGTTATAAGATAGCTTACCGCTGCTGGCAGAGGGCAGCAAAACTCCTCTGCAACTCCTAGCTGTTCCCCTGTGATGCCCTGGAGCTGCTGTAGCTTATCAGAGATGAGAGCGTCATCTGGATTCTTCTCAGCACTGATTGCTTTGAAGACTTTTGCATGGACACTGCCCATCACGTAGCTACAACAAAAAACATACACATAACATATTTCATGTGTGTGATATGGATGTCAAAGGCAAAGGCATCACTCAAAGAGAAAAAGAGAGAGAAAGGAAGTGAGAGATAGAGAGAGAGATACAACACACAAGGAAAAGAAGAGAGATGAAAGTGAGAGGAGAGAGATAGAAGAGATGGATAAGGAGAGAGATACATGATCATAACAAGAAAGATAAAGGACTCAATGGATACTGATGGAGAAAGAAGGAGTGAGGTTAAGAGAGAGAGAGAGAGAGAGAGAGAGAGAGAGAGAGAGAGAGAGCGAGAGAGAGAGAGAGAGAGAGAGAGAGAGAGAGACACACACACACAAACAGACAGAGGGGGTACCCACCTTTCTACTGCCACTGATAATACTTCTTCAAGCCTGCCATCTGATTGTAGCTTGATGTAGTGATTAGCTTCAGCAAACATCTGCATAGAAAACATTACATTGCTATCATAGTAAAACATGGCTAAGAATATGAAATTGACAAAACCTTTATACTGAAGACACAAACAAAAGAATATCACACAGTTATTAGTACATGGGCTCACACAAAACGTGACATCAGAAATTTTGTAAAAATTTGACTTTTCATAGCCATATCTGGAAAATGAGAACACTTCAGGAGCAAAAACTTCAATAATAATAATAATAATTCTGCTTTTATACAGCACTTTACATGATGTCTCTAAGCGCTTTACAGATCTATTACCCCTTTAATGCCACGTTGCTACAACGATAACCGTTGTCACAGGAATAAAATAAATGAAAACACACATGTTCTATATTATCAGTACTCAACATTTTCTTGAAACTTAAAACTGCACAAGAGATAGTACCTGTTTGTGCTCTTCACATATTCTTCTGAGTTTCTTGGCGATATCTTTCAGGTATCCTTGTACAATCATGTAATTCTGGTTGAACTGATGTATGCTTTCTTCAAGGCATTTTACAGTGTGACGATTCTCAGGGAACATACCCAAGAACTGTTTGTTCCTGGAAAAATGACATAAAAAGATGTTTATCCCATATGGATCAGGGCTGAAAGGAATTTCATAGACATTATTAGATAAATGCATTCTGGTTTTGATTTAAGAGTTATCATTTCTGTAGATTCTGAATGCACAGCTGCTTCCAATAACTAGCGCAAACACATTTGTACTGATATATTTAATGATCTTCAAGATAAAACTGAGTATTATTCGTGAAATTCATTGTGCAAGACACTGTCTAGATGTTTAATATGTTGATCACATGCTCGTAGTAAATAGGGACAACTGAGTATTTGGGAACAATAAAACTTTGATAAAAAAAATGTAAAAACTGGCTGAAAATCACAAATTATGAAACGCAGTGACATAGGATATGACTACATGGGACTACCGTACACAAATGTTGAACATCATGACTCCATATATTACAAGGGAAGAAAGAAGGTATGACTTTACAAAATATATAATCTCAAATACTTACTCTAGGAACCTTGTTCTTGGGGTAAGAAACTCGTCTGATAACCCTGCCGATCCTCTCCTTCCCTGGAATATGAAATACCAACACATTATGTATGGATTCCTGGCTTTCCATACTACCACTGGGACAAGCCTCAAACAAGAGTGAGTCCTGTACACATAAACCACCACCCCCCCCCCACCATTTCACCCTGGACCCTCCAATTCTCTAATTCTCAAAAAAGGTGCCTTGCCATCACCTGGGCCCTGTTACATAAAACATGTTACCAATAACAAGACATGATAACCGTTATAAGCTACTGAAATCCTTACATGTGGTTGGGTAAGAGTAGACTTGTCACATATCTGTGGCAGATGTTATCAATAACAAGTTTTATTTAAATAGGGCCCACGTAAACAGTGAAACTAGGCTTTCCAGGTACCCATACCACATCCCAAGAGATAGGCAAAGCGTGCTTAGTTCCCATCCATTGTTCCACCTTTATCCTCTCTCCATGAAATTGAGAATTTAGAGCACTTCAAATGATGCATCAAAACTGACCCAAATGTGAAAATACCGACTACATGCATTAGAGAAGCCTGCACCTTTTAATTTTTTTCCACAGAAAAATGGTGCCACATACATGTAGGTGATGTGAGTTATCATCAAAGAGGCAATGAATAGATCTCAAAATGATATCAATATCATATAACAATCTAATATCCTACGATAACTTGTAGGACTCTCAGAACTTACAAAATAAACTTACAACCTACAAAATACAGCATAACTGAAAAATACATCTTGAAAAATAAAAATATTTAAATTCACCTTGACTGCACCTTCCAAGGGTTTCTCAATAATCAACATCTTGAATGGCTTGTAATCCTGAAATAAAGATAAGTGAAGATAAACATGAGATTCAACTATATATAAACCAGAACTATCACTGCAAATCACACAGATAATCTGTGAAGATAGGTAGAATTAACCTAAGTGCTGTCACACAGAAAAATAAATCTACCGGTAAGCATCATTGGCTGACGACCCATTTTAAAAGAAAACAGCATCTAGAATTACAAGTTCACACAAAAGAAATAAATACTGGTACACAAACAAACAAACAAACAATAAAACCATTTTTTCACATAATCCTGTTAATTTCAGAGTCAATTCTTTTGAGAGTTAAAATCACTCCTCCACTATTTTTGTTTGTTTGTTCTTTTCTTCTATTTTTTTTAACGTACCTTGTTATAGCCTAACTCCTCTGACAGTATGCGTATACGACCTGGCTGGCTGAAGCCCTCTGTTGTCAAGATAAAGGCTTCGTCGACAATGATCGTCTTTGATCCATTCTTATCTGTGCTGATGTAGTGACTACAAAGAGAAAAGAAGAAAAGAATACTGTAAACACCCAGTTTTTGTGCTTCCAAATAGAATAAGTCTTAAAGGCTAAACCCACTCTAAAACAAGTTTGAGTAAAATCGGATAACTAATAAGGAAGTAATACATTTTTTTTAAAGTACGATAAGCTATATGGAACTAAGAAAAATCCCTACACAAATTGCCAATTTGGTTATCAGTTTGTGACTTCATTGCCTCGGATATGACTTGGATGCTGGTGTGAGGAAGATATTTATATAAAGAAAACAATTACCGGTAGTAGATAGTGAGGCAATTTGTCTTGTGATTTTCAACTTTTTTCATGTCATTAAACATTCATAACTTCCTTATTACCGGGGTAGTTATCCGATTTTGCTCAAACTTTTTTTGATTGGTTTGTCTGATTTTTCTGCTTCTAATGAAAGTAAGTTATTTTTGGAATGGACTTGCACTTTAAGGGTTAAGTGCATGGTATTCGGTCTCTCTGAGTCTCATATCTCACCAACAAGTATTATTTGTCAAAATCACTCTGAGCCCCATGTGCATTTTGGGCTTTTCACAAAACAGACAAACTTAAATTATCCTTGATCAATTGTCCTTTGAACTACACAACTGCATGCTTATCTACAAACATGCCACTAATTTTGTGCAGCAAATAAACACCAGCCCACCCCAATGAATACTGATAAAGTCTGTGTCAATAATACATGTTCACATATTTGTAATCCTTGCTAAACATTTTTGTTGAAAATCAACATTCACATTTTCATAATGATCAATGTTTACACCTTGTTTAATAATCAATGTTTACATTGTGACTCATAGCTATGGCTGACAAGACTGACAATCTGAAAACAATGAAGTAAAGAAAGAAAACAGAAATAGCATGAAGAGCCCCCCCCCCCCCCAACCCCCTTCCTTTCCACCCCTTCCCCTTCCTTTGAAAGAACATGCGATTGATTTCCTAATTAATATTACCACTGAGTATAATGATTATTTGTATTTTTTTAAAACATAGTACTATTCTATTTTCGTATGGAATTGTCTTTTGTGTTTGGTCAATCAAAGTAGAAAAAGAAAATCAAATCTCTTACTCTTGTAGCATAGGGGATGGCTTCAAAAGATGAGTGTCTATAAAAAGAGATACAAAGATAAGAGAACAAGACAAATAAACAAGTACAATAATAACACAGTTACTTGTATTTCAATGATTCAACCTTTGAACAAGGTTAGATTACAGATTACACTAGATTTGCGCAATACACAGGCTTAATATATACCAAAATATATTACAATCATGATTACTAGGTCATTCAAAAAGATATGGGATAGAAATTAGACACAGAGATACAAATAAAGAGACAGAGAGATAAAACAACAAAGGCAATGTCCTAATGAACTCTTTAAAAAATACGCTGCATAAATTAAGAGCTACCATAAAACAATTCTGTTAAATGGGTTTTCATGTATGACATTAGAAACCCTCAAAGGGACACAGTTTTGTAAGTAGCTCTAGTAAATTTGCTACTTTTTTAAAATAAAAACCTTACTATTGATATTAGGCCTGAGTCATGTCGGGATTTTCATAAACCGGGTCCCGACGGCCTTGTACCGATCGGGACCCGGTGTCCCGAAATCAGCTCGCAGGATTTGTCACTTGCCTCTATAAAAAGCGCATATCATCAGTATGTCCTTTAAAAGTGACCTTTTTTATCAATCAAATAAATCAACACATGCATACCTCGGCTCAGATCGGTATATTCTTCCATTTGACATTATTTTCATCCATGATTGGCGATGTTTAGTGCCATTTTCGTGCCTCTAAAAGTAAAAAAACTGGGGCAGAAATAGAAAGACAACATTCGAGCCGCCATTTTGATTTATGCAGGTTGAATAAATCTGGTCAAAAAATATGAATGTTAGAATAATAAAACGGCTTTCTAAAAATTTGTTCTGTGCAATATACCGATCATATAATATTTTAAAGACAAAATAAATATTTATCTCTTATTTTAAACATCGCATGCTTTTTTTTAAAAGCTGAAAATTACTTGTTAATCAAGAGTTTCGATACGGATAGCTGTTGCAAGGCAAGTTCAGACTAGTCTCGGAAAAATGCGCAGTGCTCCTCGTAATTAGCTGTAATGCGTGCTAGAACGAACCCAAACACAAACGTGATCGTAACGAGAAAAAAATCATTAAAAAAACTACGAGAGCACAATTGGAAAGACAACTACTGCTCAAAATTACCATAATCAGATAGATAACTTGGACAAAGAATTCAATAATCGCCCAAGAAATGCCACAGAAATTGTGATAATCGAGGAGTAACTGGGTACATTTTTAACGCAAGGGGCCTGCTGCAAATACTCGAATCCTTTGTTATACTGCTTTTTACCGTAGAGGGCGGTATTTGCCTCGTATAGCCTCGTGTTCAATTTAAACACGTGTAATTCGGATATTGCAGCAGGCCCTTCCGATAATGATTGTATCTATATAGTAACTCCTTAAATATCACTATTTATGTGGCTTTTCTTGGACAACTATTTTTTTTCTTCCTCCTAGTTATGTATCTGCTTACGATAATTTTGAGTAGTTGTCTTTCCAATTGTGCTCTCGTAGTTTTTAATGATTTTTTCTCGTTACGATCACGTCTTTGTTTGGGTTCGTTCTGGCACGCATTACAGCTAATTACGAGGAGCACTGCGCATTTTTCCGAGACTAGTCTGAACTTGCCTTGCAACAGCTATCCGTATCGAAACTCTTGATTACCTAGTAATGTTCAGCTTTTTAAAAAAAGCATGCGATGTTTAAAATAAGAGATAAATATTTATTTTGTCTTTAAAATATTATATGATCGGTATATTGTAAAGAAGTACTTTTTAGAAAGCCGTTTTATTATTCAAACATTAATGTTTCTTTCAACCTGATGTATTAATCCTGCCGAGAGACCCGGCCAGTACAGTAGCTAGCTAGCAGCTGGCAACAACAACCCCATGGGGCGAACTGCCTTGCAACCCATATTTATATCAGCAGTTCGGATTGATTCAGGATGAGCTAGAATATGATTGGTAACAATTAAATACTTAAGTTTTAAGGTGGATTGATTTTAGTGGTGTGCAAAACTGCAATTTCTTATATATTTCGTTATTTTTTTCGGAGCGTCGGTTCTCAAAAAACGAAACCGGGACCCGACGGCAACGGTCGGGTCCCGGTGTGATCGACTGTACCGACTCAAGCCTAATTGATATCAAGATTATAAATGCATCTTATCTATTCCAGAAGTCTTCTACATATCATGTCCTGACAAGAAACGGTTTTGAAACCCAACCTCAAATATTTCACAGCTTACCAAGAAAATTGTTGTCGATATTGACTCCTACTAACGAGGCTGTCTGTGGTATGCACACAAGGTATCTCTTAGCTTGAGCGTCTTCAAATCGGCTCCAGTATGTAGACTGTGAATTGTAAAATCAAAGCATTCATGAGTATATGAACTGTATTTCTACCGGAACTTGCTATAGGATCTGCTTATCAGATATTACTGAAGTAGGGCTATTAGGACAAATATAATCAAATTAAAAACTACATGGACCTTCGACTTCACGCAGTCGAAAATGATGCCATCGCAATGGAGCAATTTTACAAACCAAAACAGAAGCAATGTTTAAAGTTTGATTGTAATCCACTAAAAGATTCTCAGAATAATGTGATTACAAGCTATTTTTCATATTGTTTGACCCTTCGATCTTTGACCTCATGAACCTAAATTCTAATCACATCATTGGTTCTGCAAGATACATGTTTTGAGTTTGATAGTAATCCCTCCGTCGGTTCTATTGTTAATACGTTCACAAGCTATTTTTGCATACATAATGTCATAATGAGCCCCATATCCTTTGACATTTGACCTCCTGACCCCAAATTCTAATCAGTTCATTGGCTCTGCAAGATACATACATGACCCCAGTTTGGCGGGAATTAAAGCCTTCACTGAATAGGCACTCTGGCTATTTATTTGCACCAATCTTCGCTCCAATGATCTCGAGGCAGTAAACAGAAAGAAATTGTGTGGATAGTCAAAAGTCTACGAGAGTGGACGAAAGCTTGTAAACTAAATTGTTAAGGTTGGTAGAAGCTTAAACAACATGAAACACATGCTCTCTCCTAAGGGCAATTTTTTACACCAAAAAGTTGTCTTGGGAATCACTTATTCACTTCTATCTTTCGGGATGGGGTCCAGGGGCGGAGCCTTTGTCAGGAGTCTAGGGGGCGGAGCCCAAGGAAGTTCTTTAATTTTTAACAATTTATAAATAGCCATCATGAGCGATAGAAATTGTAATTTTTTTGAAATTTGTCACATTTATAGCCCCTTACAGGGTGTGTACATTTCATTTTAGTTATAATCTCGAATTAAAGCTTATCTGTACAGTAACTAGTTTATAGTAGGGATTAGACTAGTACCCTGCAAGGTCACTGGACAGGTAGTTATCTCATCAAATCAGCTCTCAATTAACAGAAGAAAAAGAGGATCATGGGGGATCAATGGTCACCGATTAGGCATTGTTTTCTATATAGAGGGAGCAAGTAGCTACAAGTAGGACAGTGTGGCTTTAATAGAACTTTTTTTCTTCTTTGTATTGTACTTTCCGTAATAAAGTCTCTATGAGTAAAAATAAAGTTTCATGTTCTTCCCTTTTTTTCCTTTTTCTAGCTCTTTCTTTTATTCTTCTCTTTTTCCTTTACCCTCACCATTATTTTTTGCTCCCCCCCCCCCAATTTTTCTTCTGTCTTTCTCTCTTTTCCCCATTTCTAATACACATACACAAAACTTGCAGTTGCCGACCCGATACTGGAGATTTTAAAGTTATTAGTATTCTTATTTTTTCCTTTCTCTTCTTCTCTGGCCTTCTATTTCATTTCTCCTTTTTCTTCCGTCCCTCTCTCTACCCCCTTTATTTATTTTGGCCACCAGAAAGGCCATTTAAACAAAAATTAATGTCTAGTGTCCTTATAGCTAGCATCCCTCTTTTTTTTAATGAAAAAAAACAATTAACATGAAAAACATAGAGTAAAGGAGGGGAAAAGAAAAGAATATACAACTGTATCAATTAATATCACACTATGAATGAATATGAATTATAAATATAGACTATCTGTATCTGTATCTGTCTGTGACGTACAATCACCAGCATCTGGTTGTCGCCTACGTACGGTTAGGGTCTGGTAAATGCTAACCGCCTAAATTGTTAAGTGTGCTTCGGCTACACGACTACGCGATGGTGAATCAGAAACTGAGAATATCTTTAATATAAACATAGATCTACATTAACAAAATATATCTAAATAAATGCATAGTCATAGATCTACACAATTATTGAGACACACACACACATAGGTCTACAATACAAAAACAGAAAAACACCCCCCCCCCATAACAAAAAAAAACAAACAATAAATATTAAAATAAACAAAACAATGTTCAGACACAACAACTGCCAATGGCAATGCCATAAATAAGTCATAACAAAACAGCAAATCCAAGAATTGTGCATGCCATTATCATCAGGCTAGCTTAGGAAGATTAACTACACCAATAACGATTCTACAATACAAAAACAGAAAAACACCCCCCCCCCCATAACAAAACAAAAAACAATAGGTCTAGATCTAGATCTAGATCTAAATATTGAAATAAACAAAACAATGTTCAGACGTCACAATAACTGCCAATGGCAATGCCATAAATAAGTCATAACAAAACAGCAAATCCAAGAATTGTGCATGCCATTATCATCAGCCTAGCTTAGGAAGATTAACTACACTAAAAAGGATTCATTAAAAATGACTTGATGGCATTGTCCCCCCCCCCCCCCCCCAATTAACCCAAGCCAAGAAAAACAAAATAACATTAACAAATAATTTTAATAATAAATAAATTCCAACAAGGTAAGAGTTCCTTTACTCACCTGAAGAGTTTTGTAGAATGGGTTGAATTCCAGATCTTCATGGTCTGCCATTGTGGAACGTTTTAGTATTCTGGAAATTATAACATTTATTGTTCTCCTTGTTGAGTACACTTTTCCTTCTGTCAGTTCTGTCTGAGTTCCCCTCAGGCCTCCTGTACAATATCGATGTGCGACCTATGCATTGTACGCGCGGCCTACCTATCTTCTAGTATGGAGCGGGACATTTCGCCCTAAATGAACCGTGTCTGGCAACGCTACAGTTTCGGACCCTGGACAAGCTCGGCTCGAAAGAAAAACCCAAAGGAGATTTTGAGGCTCTCTTTGATTTACAGACGTAACTCGGCGGAACACTTAGGTCTACATCCCCATTTTGTTTTTCTATCTCATGCTAATCTGCCTCCTTTTTTTCCCTTCTTTTTTGGGGGGTGAGGAGGGGGTTTACATAGTCTAGACAGATTTGGTTGGAGTGCAGCAGCCTGTGAAGCATGCATTTACAAGGGTCATTCATTTTGATAGAAAAATGCACGGTACCCATTAGATTTCCATTCACAACGCAATAGCGGCCCACGTTTAATGTTAATCTTTTTTTCTTCATTAGAAAAGCAACTCATGAAACAGCTGGCATGGATTCCCCTTTCCCCCTCCCTCACCTCCCTTGGTGACATGATTTAAAGTAAGGCGATCGAAGTAATTGCAGGAGAACATATTGAGGGCGAGTTTACTAGGTTTTTGCGCGCGCTGCAATACATCTTTTTTCTTGTAGGATGGTTGAGGATTTCCAAAGACATGATAGTCTCTCTCGGAATACCCATCACGTAATTTTATGTAAATTGTCAAATAAATTATTCCACAGAGGCGGTGAAGCGACTTCCAAAGTGGGGGGAGGGGGAGGGGGATGAGGAGGGGGATGGGGAGGGGGTATGGGGAGGGGGGAGCACCAACAAAAAAGTGCACTTTCTGGAAAAAAGGGCACCTTCAAATTAGAGAAATCTCAAAGCTAAAATATACCATTTTTTAGACATTGCATGGTATGTGCCCCTACATTTTCAAGATTGTGATTGGCAGGGATGATTTCAATATTGTTTCTCTTTATACATTGTATAAGATATTGCTTAAGCATCATACCTAGCAGTTGGGTGTGGTGGTCTGAAAATTAATTTGCGAGGGAAAAAAAAAAATCAGATTTGTGAAAAATTACATCTTATAAAGAGGAAAAAAACCAATCCTGGTATGATTATAAGCACCTTCTCATATATAACAGTAGACTGAAACGGCCTTTGATAAGTAACATAATTATAACATCTATAAATGCAAGCGAGCTTTAGGAGATATTACTCTTAGTCGCTTGAAATTAGGGACTCGTTTAATGATGAGAGGAAAAGGGGACTGAAAGGGAGTATTAGAAAAGAAAAGGAGCATGTACTGTCAAAGTACAACAGGTAATTATCAGAGGCGAAAATTGGGTACTTCTTACATCTAAAAAAGAGGCACTTCCCAGGGATGAAAAAGGCACTTATGAGAATGGGAAATGGGTATCCATCAGATTTTATCAGCCTTATACTGCTATTATGATCGTTCCATCCATGGACTCTCGAGATTACTCCCATACTTTTGGGGTCTGTAAACACAGACCACTTCCCTATGTTTTTACACTGTGTTTTTTGTCGTACTACAAAAGCAAAGATACCTCTCTCTCTGCGGACGACACCGACGCTGACCCCGCGGCCCGGAAGCAGTAAGTCCGAGAATCGCTTGATTATTTTTTCCTGAGTTTGTATGGAAAGGAGACAAGAAAAACAGGGCGTAATTCTACAGTCTTTTGATTAGAAGGTATAAGACCACTTATGGTTTAAACATAAGCTGGTAGAGGTTATAAAAATCAGGTTTCTTCAACTGAGATGATGATTATGAAATTATGCGTTTGACTGTGAAAATTGCGAGTGCGAATGAAAATTGAAATGAATGACGGTGATGAAGTTGTTCATTGTTGATGGCAATGGCAATGGAGCTGTGGAGTTAAATTTACTGACTGAAAGAAGTGAGCCTCAGTTCGCCTCTTTCATGATAACTAAAATGGAAAAAAATTCGTAAGATCTCTCTTAAGTCTTGGGAGATTATATAAACATTATCCTAGATTGAGAGTGATTGAATGTTTGACTTTGACCATCAAATAGCTCAGTAGCTGACTGAATATGTGTGGGTGTGGTTCAACAAATCAAATGTGTGATCAAAATTTTCAAGTGTTTCATTGAGTCTGAAGATGATGGTCATTGTTGAGTGTAGACTATATGAGTTTGACAGTTTTAACAAGTTTCTGAGATACAGCTAGTTGTGCCTGTGCCCCGTGGCTTTGAAAAAATGTGGGGGGGGGGGGGAAACTGAAGACAAGTTTCAAATTTTAAAAAAGATGACCATCGACACTGACTGACCACCGTGACTACCATCAGCAGACATAACCATGATGAAGACTACGTATAACATTTCCATTTAAAGTCTTGGTCTGGTGCTCGAGTTCAAAATGATGCAATTCAATTTGGTTTACGCCTAACTTCTGTTGAATTTGAAGTTGAACTTATTTGCCATCAGCATCAAACAGGAGTGCGAGTGTTACTCAAAAGTCAAAATCCTGTTCAGGCAACTTCTTATGTGTTGGGATAATTACTCCAAAAGTCTAATGGTGTGTGTCCATAATCTTGACAAGAACTGGGAGCTTGGGGTTTTGAATGAGAGCAGGATTAAAACGGGGTCTTTGATTCTTTTGAGGACTTTACTTTAGACTACTTGATATTTGTATTTCAAATTTTACAGATTTATGCTAAAGAAAATCTTACTAAAAGTAAAATGGCAATCACCAGTTTATTGTAACTGATTGCTAAGTTTTTCTTAGTAGTTACAGTTTTTCTTTTTTAAGCAAAAAAAAAGAGAAAGAAGTGAAAACACAATAGGTCTAAATTGACTTTAACTCTCTTTTGGATCCAAGAATGAAGGGGATTCAGGTCTTGGTTCCAAAAAATGCCGAAGCCAACAGACAGGACTCAATTGTATTACGGTGTGTGTACATCTTTATTGTTGATCTATTCCTTCACAATTTGTTTGCTTTTGCTGTTTGACAGGAGGCAACCATGACATCCAAGAGGTCTATCAGTGAGACTTCGTCGTCGCCTAATCAGGGAGCCTCCAGTAGCGCAGGGGAGCCTCCTTCCAAAAAGGTCTATGTAGAACCCTACAGCATAGGAGCCGTTTCCTCACAGGTAATAACCCAATTAATGATCTAAACTGAATCGGACTAGGCTGATAGTCGAGGTCGAAGGAGACAATATTTTTCTTAATTATGTATGCTCTACCCTCATGCTAATACGTGTACAAATTTAATGATGGGATACAAACTTTATGGCCCGAATTCTCAAAAGAGGTTTGTTGACAAACCTAGGTTTATGTGCATCATGTGACGCACAAAAACCTAGGTTTATCGACAAACCTCCTTGTGAATTCGGGCCTAATTCTCTGGAAATCCCCCCCCCCCCCCTCCTCCCTCCTCCGTCCTCCCTCCTCCCTCCAGAAATAGGAAGAATGCAGTAGATAGTTTTTCGGAATTAACATTGTTAATATGGTCTCGATTTTGAGCACAATTTGTTAATCTCTGACTCATAAATAGGTTGGATTAACAATCCCAGGTTATTAGTACTTTCAGTACAAGGCTAAATACCAAACACTCCATTAAAATGTATCTGTTAGATTGAGATGTGATGTCTTGCTTTGACCTAACACCGGCTTCTCTTAGTCTGACACATTGTAGATGTTCACCACTAGTTACTAAAGAAGTATCTCGGTAAGTGATGAATGTTTGACGATGTTTGAGGCTTTGAGCACAGAGTTAGAGATTCATTAAAAAAATCTCAAATTTTTACATTAAAATAGTTGTATACTCGGTGACATGTTGGCAATATATAGATGAAATATTAGGTGAAAAATTGAAGGAAAAACAGTTGACATTCTGCGAGCAGTCTGAAAAGTTTGAGAATCCACCTCATGCTCCCCCTCCCCCAATCCTCCTGTGGAGTGTACTCTGTAATAGAATGGGTGGATGTAAACTGTCCAGCCAACTCTTAACTTGACCTTGTCATCAAAACGGGTGTTCTTTTAATTATCGTTAAAAAATCCCCCCCCCCCCCATAACAAAGAAATCAAAGTGACTACAGTAGATAATTATTCAACTATTGTGTATCTATCATGCAACTATTCTCTAACCATTTGGTGTATTTGCAAACTATTTTATAATCATTCTTCAAATTTTCGTTAATTATTCATCACAATTTGGATGTGGATGAATACTTGAAAAATAATTGAGGGTCAAACGGAACGTTTGCAGACCAGTTGAAGAATAGTTGATGACTGTGGTGCATATTGCAGATTATTTTGCCAACAGTTATGTTCTCTAAAATATCTTGAAAAGCTGGAAGATGTAAACAAAATTCCCCTGGAAGGTTTGCAAGCATTTTAAGAATATTTACATAAGTTTTAAAGGAAACCTCACCCCAAAGAATAAGTTCAGGTATGTTGAAAGATGAGATGTATTTCTGTCATTTGATGTAAAATATTCCTTATGAAGGTGGACAAGACATATTTAAATGTAGATATTCTTGGCAAGGAAGCGGCCCTTTTCTTGATAATGTGACGTACCAGGTGAAGTTGTACATGTATCATGCAACAACATTTATTTGGAAATACTTTCTAATTCAACAACAAAACCTTCACTTTTCAATGAGGGAAAATCATAGCTGAGAAAGGTATGTTTGGTGAAAAATATGTAACAGGGGAACAAATGTAACTCATTTATTAAAAAATTCATAAGTATGCAGTTGACATATTTATGCGAAACCTTCACCCCAGAAGAACACCAGTTAACTTATGCAAACTTCTATTCTGACAATTGTAGTACAAAGGATAATAGTAGGTGAATGAAATATTGCACTACACACACCTGGGAAGGAAGCATTCATAAATTGAATACATTTACTTGATAAACTTTGCTTATTACGTCCCACTGTCAAGAAAATGGTGATGCCTATGTCGTGCTGAAAACTACAGTATGCCAAGAATATCTTGCTTTATACCTCTCTCATACACTTAAGTTGAGGATCTTGTAGATTAAGGGGCAAGAGTACAATGAATCTCTCAGAATAATCTCAGTCATTTCTTTGGGTGAGGTGTCCTAAAAGAGTAATTGATGATTCTGGTAAATGTCTGAAAGTGTCCATTTGCCACTTTTGCCAACTTATAGCAACCTTTCTAATGCTGAAATGCTAAATGTCATGCCCACTTATAGGAGGAAATGGACATCAAGGTGTTGAGGTTTCAGAACAAGAAATTGGTGGAGCGACTTGACATCAGGAGTGTTCTGGAGAATGACCTAAGAGGACAGATTGAACGTCTTCACTCAAGACAGAACACAGATGAATATGTACTGGGATTGATGAATCAGTACTGGACACAGGTAAGGAAGTTTAGTCTCTTCTGATATCTGTGTATTCTCGTCTGGAGAATTTCAAAATGTACCAATCTCCCAAAGATATTGTGCTCTTTTTAGTAGGGAGTCCATGTTGCTTTAGTCTGTTCTGATATCTGTGTGTTCTCATCTGGAGAATTTAAAAATGTACCAATCTCCCAAATATATTGTGCTCTTTTTGGTAGGGAGTCCATGTTGCTTTACTGTAGTCCTGGGGGTGTTTCACAAAGACTAAGATCTACTTTAAGTTGGACTTAATTATGGCAGGCCATTCATGTCACTAGTTGCTCTCATCATTGGTCTCTCAATTATGATCTTTAGATAATATTTTTTCCTACTATAATGAGCTATCAAAAAATGTAAATTCTGTAGATTTGTGACCACGATTGGTACGTTCCTTAAGAAACCAATGCCAGTAAATGATGAGAGAAAATAGTGGCATGAACGGCCTGCTATAGTTAAGTCCAACTTAAAGTCGACATTAATCTTTGTGAAACATCTCCCAGGTATGATATAATGAGATATTGGACCTAATTGGAAGTTTACACTCTCAGTTGAAATAAAAGCATGACTTGTTGATATACCTGTATGCGATGGCATAGAATATGGCTCGCATGGAACCCAAGTCTAACTTGGGTTCTGTGTTTGGTTTAGTGTTATTCGTTATTTCCTTTATACTTCTTAACATGCAGCTCATAGAGTGCCAAGTAAAAGTTTTGGGGTTCTAGATGTCCAGAAACTATTGTTTGTGGTCATTGGTACCCTACCCCTCGAAGCAAAATTACTTATTTTTATATCTCATATAAAGGTTACCAGATAAGTTCCGATTTATATTCACCAATATTTGCAATACTTAGCCTCTCATGCTGCATTTTGTATAATTGGAACCTGTGATACATTAAAGTAGGACATAGGTTTCATTTCTCTTTAAAATCTGACAATTTACTTTAAAAACTGACAATTTACTTTAAAAACTGACAATTCTTTTGTAATGTTTTATTACAGCTTGAAGAAGATCTAAGAATCTTGCTTGAGAGGTTCAGGGTCCCTGTCACCGAGACCAAGCCAGCCGTAGTAAGCTTTCCACCCATCGTCAGCTTCCCACCCATCAAACCAGACCCTGAACCATCACCAGAAATCAAGACAGAACCACCTAATATCAAGCAGGAGGTCAAACAAGAGCCTGGGTCAGAGGTCAAAGTTGAACCTGTGGAGGTCAAGGGTCATGGGTCAGATTATAGGATGGAAGGATCAGATGATTCCCAGGAGAGGCTATACATGGATTCAGATAGTAAAGATAGCATTAAGGATGAAAAGAAAGGTAAGGATTGATAGAGTGAGTGGGTGATTGTTCAAAGGGGTTACATCTTGTACATCTTGTTAAAAAAGATAATTGAAATATGATTCAATAAAGTATCTATCAAGTCTGTTACTTTCAAGGGAATACCCAAGTATAATTCCTATCCAAAAGATTAGGCAATGGAGGATCCATGACTAAGAATATAGAACCACTATTTTCTTCATCAAATCTCTTCGATTTTGCTTAGTGAAAGTGCAGTTCCATGTGGCATATTAATTTTGTGCTTTCTAAAGCTACATTGTCTACTGTGCCCTCCCCCCCCCCCCCCCCCTCATGGGCACTAGCCAACTCACTTGGTTTTGAACCAAGGTCACCCAATTGTCAAGAACCTTCCTCTGTCAAAAGAGCTATAATGCTTCACTAATTTCTGAGAAAATAATTTAGAGGTAATTTATTTGATGTTGTCACTAAAGATACAAAGTACTAAGTACGTCCTCATGATGTAAAGGAGTGACTTATAATAAGATTTGAATTGTAATTAATGCCATTACTCTGGAACAATCTGCTGTAATGATCCAGTAGTTTTATGCACGTTTTACACATTTAACAAAGTGTTATTTTGACATTGCAACAGATTGTACTTTTTATGCCTTTGTCATAAGTCTTACTTCATACAAATATTTCTTGGACAGTTCCCATTGTAAGGTCATATTGAACGTGGCGGAATATGAGGAAATGCAAGTGACTTCTCATTCTGAAATAGAGAAAGGAAACAACACTTCCGAAAGTTAAATTGAAAAAGAAACTTGGTATGTTGCAAATGTCATTCCATTGAAGATATATATTTAGAAAATGATTTTGTATGAGGCATTTATTTTTATGTTGTACCATAGTCTACGCAAGTGTTGAATATAAGTCTTGCAGAGTTGTAAATTATGGCTATTCTCAACTTAAGGGAAGGACTGAAAAAAAAGTGAATCTCGTTGATACATGAATGAAAAACCTGTACAGAGTGGGAAAACTGGAGTGTAAAGTAATCTGAGCTTTGTGTAAATTAAAATTGTTTTGATAATATGAGTTTCACTTTCATGTAGAAACAAATTGGCTTTGTATCAAATGGATGAGCTGTATCTTGGCTATCAGTCAATTAGCTCAAATCTATTTATGGTTGAGTTACACAATGCAGGAAAAGAATCTTATCAGGTTTGTTCATGTGGAAACCAACTTGATCTTGAATAGATCTTGTCCCACAATTGACCAGATATACTTTAACCAATTGACTATTAAATTCTCTTATTCCCTTAAGCTATGGTCACAAAGGTTTGTATGAACGATAGAATCTCCGTTTTTCCATTGTCTTCCCGAATTTCCATTGTCTGAAAATCGTTCGTACGGCGTTCGTAGCAGTTCGTAATGGCATTTGTGACTGAGGCTTTAGGCTTGATACAGGAGATCATGGTTTATGTGGTCAGTGGGTTCATACTCTGAATAATTAATGTCCATTAGTGCTCTGTATACGTCAGTAGAAATTCCTCAGCTAACAATGGTTGTGGCATATTTTTGGATGATTTGCAATTAATTCTAGTCATTCACAGACATGTGGTTCAGGTGTGTCATTAAATAAAATTACGCATTTTATTAATATTCTTTTGGAAATTTTCATGGTGAAAGTCTAAAGATCAATTTACAAAAAAAAAAAAAATCATAATCATAGACAGTTACAGGAATGATAAAATACATTATAGCAGAAGAGGTGTAATACTTGTAGATCAAATAGTCCAATTCCTGACATGTACAGCAGGGTGCGTCCGGAACAGTTGATGGGTGAATGAAATGGAAAACAACTTATCCTAGGAGGTAATTTTCTGGGGGATGATTATCCTTTGGGGAGGGGGGGGGGGGGTGTTCATGGGGGGTAATTGTCCTGCTGGTAATTGACGGGGGGGGGGGGGGATGGTTGATTGCCCAACACACAATATGACTAGGTATCGATCTGATTTTGAAATAATTGGCAATAGCAATTAGCATAAACATTCAAACATGTAAAATCTTAATAATCAAAGGTCTGAATACTTCTGTGAATAATGAAATACCATTGCCGGGGACTGCAAGCTTCTTTGAAGAAACAGAAGTTCATATAGGCTCAGAATCGTAGTAGTGTCATTTCAGATTGTCTACAATTTGAAGCCGATTTTGTTTTTATGCTGACTAGAATGGTTATGAAGATGATATTTATTTACATAACCATATCCAATGCAACTGCAACTTCTTTGAACATCAGATCTTTGAAGGATTGTACAGTATGCAATGGGCTTTAAAAAGACTTTCTTATTTGCTATACTATTGTAATTATTTTTATGGTTAATTTCTAAATCTAATTTGTTAAAATTTGAAATAGCCAATGAGGAGATGACATCATTCCTTGCCATGATGTCGAGCTGTGATCAGACTGAGATCGATCTCAGACTCAAGGAGCGCTGCAAGTTTTCCAAGGAAGCCGTCTCGAGGCTACTCAGGTCGTTTGATGACCTCAAGAGCAGGCAGGAAACATTTGTGAAAGACATGGCAGTAACAGGTTAGTATTCACCTTGTCATTCATAGAACGAGAAATCATTCTTTCGTTGTATTGTATTGCAGGTTTCTGGGCAGGAATCTGTATACCCTGGGTCCAAATTGAATTCACAATGGCATTGCAGCATCTAGGGGGTTGTTCTCTTTTTCTCTTCAAGATAATCTGCCTCCTTCAATACTGAAGATTCTTGCAGATGTTTGGAAATACCATAGTAATTTTGCAGGTTAAAGTATGCAGTGATATATTTATTACCTTTGTTCAAAAGTACCCTTTTCAGGGAGAACAAACCTTTGATATTTTCATTCTGAAGGCCTTCCTGCTTTGCAAGAGCTCATACTGTGTATTAAAAATATGCTGTCTTAGAAACATGTTTAAGTGCATTTTATGTAACTATTAATTAAGTATCAAATTTCATGTCCCTGTGATGAAAATTTGCTGTGCCTTGAGTAGGAAATCTTTCCCAAGATTTTTTACACCCACACCAAGTCTGGACTAAGATTAGTTATTTGGTATTTATTTTTGAAATAGAATAGGTACAAGCTTTTGTATTGAGTTTGTTCCCAGGGAAGATTCCTGGGTTTTACAGCCCTTCTTCCCTCCATATTACTTGAATTCTAGGAAAGAGAATTAATTCCAAAGATTCAAGGAACTACGTGTTTTGTTTTCCTAGCATTGAAAGCACTTTATATGTTATTCTCAATGTGTGATTCTCAATATGTGCATATTCTACATCATTAGCTCATCTTCAGTTGAATTTTACCTTATTTTACCTCATTATGTCATCTTCAATTTAAATTTAAATTTATTTTACCTCATTTTCTCATCTTCATTTGAATTTTTAGTTTATTTTACCTCATTCTGACATCTTCATTTGAATTTTACCTTATTTTACCTCTTTATCTCATCCTAATTTGAAATTGCACAGAGTCTGAGCAAGGACTGAAGGTAGTAAATGATCAGCTGTATGAAGAAAACAAGAGATTGACAGACATGATGGCATCTGTGCAGGAAAAACACAGAGAAACTACTTTGAAGGTATGTTGTTATGATGTATGTTCAGGTGTGATGGGTGTTGTGAAAGGATGTGTGTGCGCGTGTGATAGAATTGTTACAGTCATGTATCAGTCAGATCTGATTATTTACGTCTGGGCACCGACCTTTAACATCACCATCACCGTCACCAAGATGTGACTCGGGTTTTCTATCAAGGTCTGTCAGAGTGTGTCAATAGGCAATGACAGAGGGCTGACCACCAGAACAGCTTTATTTATCTCTCAAATTCTTGTTTTGAGATAGGTTAGCTTCCATTGCAAGCTATACCTAGTTTTTAAATTGTTTATTTCAACTGCCCCTCTTGTTCTTTACAATGTGACAAGCCTTGAGTGATCAATCATTACTTTAATAGCAAATAGATTCATGAATAAGCACATACTATTTGGTATGTATGTATAAGGATTTGTGAAATAATTGCTAAGTCCCCTTTTTATCTTCACCTATGTCAGTGGTGTGAGTAAGGATCTGTTTCTCCTCACAAAATATATGCATGAATTTTGTAAGCTGTACAGTAAACAATGGTTATAAATTTGAAAATTCCTATCACAAGATACATTATAAGACTTGGAGGGGTTAAAGTCATCAATGCTCAGCAAGTAAAATGTATTTTTGACATGTTTTAGTCAATGACTCGTATATCACACATTAGTCCTTAAATATTGATTGTCTCATCTGTAGAAATGATGATAGGAAGTGCAGTGATAATTAGCTCTGGTAAACTTGAATTGTAAGAAGTCATCTGTAGAAAAATTTATAATGATGTATCAAAAAAAGAAAAAAAAAGTCAAAAGACAACCAGGAAGTTCAATTTTGTTTTAAATGTAGAAATCCAAAGAGATGCTCTCATGAAATAAACCTAACATTGCATTGTTTTCCCTTTATCATAGTACACTGGATACAGTGACAAGCTGGTCTCGGTGGAAACCAAACTAGCTGAAGCTCACAACCAAGTGGATGACCTTCAGTATGATCTCAACCGAGCCAAGCAAAGAGTCTTCAAACTAGAACTTCTACTGGAAGAGAGCTACACCAAGCTCAAAACGGCAACATTCATCGGAGGGTCTGGCGACGGATCGGGTGGACTGGCTTCAAAACAGGTAAGATCAATCTCTCAGGCTGGTGTTCTGACAAGGGTGTTTGTTTTTGTCTTCCAATTCCGTAACTCTCTGGCTCTCAAATTCTATAGCTTGTCCCAGCTGTGCCTCGACGTGTTCCAGGTTAGCAACGAGAGATTCAATGGCTCTTTCAATCATCCTTGCAAAGTTTTTTGTTGCTGCGTATCTCGCTATTCCCGCTGTTGTTGTTACGTCATCGGTGCATTCTTGAGCCGATGACACCCCTGATAGGGAAGCGTATGCAGCTAGGCTACCACTGGCGTCTTCTTTGTGGGGAATGCCGGGGGCCGCAGCAAGTGCCCTTCTGATGGTATTCTCATCATTTCCCTTTTTACTTTCCTCTGAGGTCGTGAACGTGTTGTCTGTGCCCTTGGTTGGCTCATGGTGGTAGAGGCGAGAATCACAGCTGGGAAGTTGATAGTATAAGTCTATCCTTGAGATCAGGTGCAAAACTACTGACTTCCTTCCGCAGCCATCTCTATGTGCATTTCAGATCGATAATGATATGAAAATCGGAGTACATGTCCTGGCTTCAGGGGGGCAGAGGGATGCTTCCTTTTGGAATGGTGAACAAAAAACAAGAAGAGAGAGAGAGATGGGAAAGGGAACAAGAAAAGAAAACAACAGGAACCCCTCCCACACCCCATCCTTTGACTTGTTATCTAGTGTTTCAGCCCACCCAGTGAGACCGATACCCCTAGTGATGCCAATGCCCTTTCAACAACTGGACCCACATCCCATACTATGCAACTGATAGCTCTTAGAGAATAGCAGTTGAGAGATTTCATAGGCCCTTGATGCTGACTTCCATGTTAATTTATTTCTGATATGACGATAAATGGATGAGAGTGAAATATTTATTTGATTTATTTTTCCTCTTCGATACACCTTGTATAATTATTTCAATTTTTCAAATGACTTAGAGACATACTGTAGAACCAGAAGATTTAATCAGCTGAAATTGAAACTGGCAAATTTCGAAGAAAGAAAAACAATCACTTTTGTAATTTTTTCAGTTTTTCCATGCATTATAATTGAAAAATCTAGACCACTTGTGATACTTGCGAAAATCTTGTGCACTGTCATACATGTGTTCATGATTTGACTTTTAAAATCTGTTTCATACAAATTGTATTGCAGCTTCAGAGTATAGTGAACGATCTTGAGGAGAACAAGGACTTGGCTTCAAGTCGTCTGAATGACCTGGAGAAGCTCCAAGAAAAATATCAAGATGTCGTCAAAGAGTTAGAGCAGTCAAAGATGAATGTGAGTCTATTTTCATTTTTGTTTGTGTTTTATAATTTTTTCTTTCTGTGAGGGATACTTTGTGTAGGTGAAACATGAGACTTTTGGCACCTTACCAATAATTTCTTAGATTCTCCAGAAGAGCCTATTTCACAGCATTAGTATTGTGAAGTTTAATGTAATATAAAGACAATGCAAATATTGGTACTTTTGAAGAGTGTTACTTTACTTTATTCCTATCAGCTCTAAAGTATAAACGCTTCTTTTGTGAGAGTTTAAAAAAAAAAATTAATGGTTACCAAATGTTCTTAGTGACTTTACATATCATAGTCTTGCTGAGCCAGAGATAATCTTCACCTCTGGTAATGATCAAAAATATATTCTAATTGAACCCAACAGAACTATCACCACATATGTATACATGGATGTGTGAATAAATAGGAATGATTAATTACGTCTGAAGGAAGATGTGCAATTACTAAGTACTAAGCAAAGTAATCAAGGCATTCATATCCACATCATGTACGTTGTCTCCCTACAATGCTTTCCCATGTGTACATATCTGTGTTGGTGAAGTTAAGGGTGAGATTTTGAGCAAGTTTGCATTATTTTTTCTTATTTTTTAATTTTGTTCACCCATGGTTTGCTTAAACTTTACCATGACGTGTAATTATTCCATGGTAACAATTCAAATGGATTTGAAATATGTTTACTTCAAATGAATTTCACTGTGAGTTTTTATATTGGGTATAATTTTGATGCCCAAAATTCTTCACTACACAGGTTAAGCTGTTACCTGAGCATGTGATTAAGGATACAGCGACGTACAAATGTCTTCAGTCTCAGTTCTCAGTTCTATATAAGGAAGCCCAGGAGATGAAATCGCAGACGGAAGATGCTAGGGCGTTATTACAACAGACCAAGAAGACACATCTCAGACAGATTGAACAGATGGAGGTAAATACATTGAATTGCGTATTTATGACGTATGCTCCAAAGACAATTTACTTGCGCTTTCAATTTTGTTTGGCTCATGCTCGAGAGACAGTTATTCCACTGTCAATTTGTATTCATTCAGTTGATTAACTGAATTCCCTACTTCAATCCTAGACCAAACTCTACCCTAATCCTAATCCTAAGGAAAATCCTAATCTAAAACCTAACACTCATTTGCCACCCTCACCTTAGCCTATGTCTTTAGCCCAGAACATATGTCAGAGAAATGAATTTGTTAGATCATCTGAATTGCTATTAATCAAAATATCACATGCTAAGATCTTGAAGGGTATTGACTTTATAAAGAGATGCAAATTGAACATCCGCAATCAATGGTTATCAATAGACAGAAAATTTCTGATTTAAAATGCAAACAAATTCTATAATTTTAGTTCCGAGCTGAATGATCGTCATGAAATTGTGTATTGTTATTGACTTATTAGGAAGAATATTATCCAAGAACAAAATCTCTCGGAGAATCTTCATAACTTGCTATATAACTAACATTATTTTAAAATTAAGATTTAGATAACCAACATTTAGTCCTTGCCACATTAACACTTGATGCCAAGTACATGGTGCCCGTCTTGACCACTTGGGGAAATTACTATATTGAATGGACCTCTTTATATGTTGTATCAACAGAGTGATGAGCTTGCCTGTCAGAAGAAGTTGCGTACAGAGGTGATGCAGCTAGAAGATAACCTAGCCCAGGTCCAGAAGGAATATGAGATGCTGAGGATAGAGTTTGAGCAGAATCTAGCTGCTAATGAACAAGCAGGTATGAAGGTCATATTCACATTTAATGTATATGTTCAGAAGGAAGGTCAGCGGTCGCTACTATACACCGATTCGGTTTGGGGGTTTTATGTACCTGCCCGCCGGTGGCGGCGCTATAACTGGGGGGCTTCTCCGATCCAGCTGACAGTACAGAGAGCTCGAGAGCGGTTACTAGCTAGCGGAGCAGCGACCCTGGCCGGCCTGGGCGAGGTTCGGTATAGGTATAGCATACCCGTTGCAATGTAAGCTAGCTAGCTGCAGTCAGACGCCCCCCAGTTATGGCGTCACCTTATGAGGGCGCACTTCCACCAGAAGGCGCCCGAATCGGTGTATAAAGCTGTTTAGCTTGGTGAGAGTTTTGTGTTCAACCGTCATGAATCAAACAACATGTGAAAATGAGCTGGAAATGTGTGTAAAAATATATATTGTAAGTAGCCTGTGTTAATTATCAGGAATTCTGCAACTCATTAAAATATCTTTGTCCCTGTTATGTGGGGAGGTACCTATATGTATCGGCTTATACAGTTTTTTTTTTTTTTTTTTTTTTTTTTTTCCAACTTTTTATTGATTTTCGAAATTTTTTGTAACATTACAAAAACAACAATCATACAAGAATTAAATAATTGTATAACATTAAAAGAACAATAATCAAATACGAATCACTGTAACAATTACCCCAAAAAAACACAACAACAATCAAACAAACAAACAAACAGACCTGATGTAAAAACTAAAAAATCAGTCTCGGGTGGTTTGAACTATATCATTATCAAAATATAATTATGGATAATTAAAATAAATTCTCAATAGGGGACCATTTTCTATAGTGCATGTTTTCTTTGTGCTTTTGTTTAGCAATTACCAATTCTATATGTCTGATTTTGCAAATGAACGTTTCAAAACCTATGAAACTTACTACTAAATTCCTGCATTTCTGAATATAAATGTATCTCTTCAATAAGATAATTAAGTGATTTAATAATATTTTATGTGGTCCCTTCCAATCCTTTATGAATCCAAACATCATTCTTTTCCTAGATAGATCCTCATATCTGACAGATAGCTTTAGACCAATTTTATCAACAAAAGCTCGTCTTAAATCTTCAGCAACCTTACACTCATAAAAAAGGTGTAAAGGAGTTTCAACAGAGGTCTCGCACAATGTGCAAAGTTCTGTCTGAACTTGCTTCATTTTAAATAGTCTCTCATTGGTGTATAGAATATTATGCAAAATTTTAAACTGGAAGACTCTCATCTTAACTTCTATTGTGCATTTAAATGGGAGTAGATACATTTGTGGCCATTCCTCCTCTTCTATCCCATATTTAGTGGAAAATAGGGGTTCACAGACAGGTCTACATGTCAATTTACTAACTAAATCAACATAAATATTTCTAGTTTTTAGTTTTTGAATTTCTACTGTCAAAAGGTCAGACTGATCATGTTCAAAATCTATTTTCTCCAAGAACATTTTTATCAATAATTGATTAAATGAACTTCCCCATTTCTTCCTGACTAGCGATACTATTGCCAAATATATCATGTAGTATTTACCTGGTACTCCTCTTGCTTTCCAAAGATTAAATTGAACAATGTTTCCATGTAGATCAAAAAGTTGATATACATAACATAGACCTGCCTCATGAAAGGCCTTACAGTAAACTGATTTATTATCAATAAGAATATATTGATTGTTCCAAACAATTTGACTAAGTACACTTGCTTGGGCTCCTTGATCATCAACAAATTGATTATACTCCTTTGTCTTGGACCATGCTAACAACAAGTTATGATAAAATATGGGAATTCCAAGAGAATTCAACTGGTTCATAGAATAATTACTCATAAAAATCAATTTTCCACCAAATCGTTTACTATAGTGGTCAAAGAACAACTTCCAATGATGATCTGATTCTGTATAATATCTCTGAATCCACTTAACCAGCTGTGTCTCTATCATGCATTTTAGTTTCGGGAATTTAAGACCACCTTCAGTATAATCTGCAATCATTGTTGCCCGTGATATCTTATCTGGACCTTTCCATATAAACTGAAACATCAACTTTTCAACCTCCTTAACAAAATCATCGGGTATTTCAATATTGGAAACAATATACATAATCTTAGACATAACAAATGTTTTCAACAGTTGAATTTTTCCTATTAAAGTTAACCCCCGATTCTTCCATCTTAAGAAAGTACATTTTATTTCATCCAGTCTCTTATCAAAGTTCAGTTTCCTGACTACTTCCTGATCATATGAGAAATGAATGCCTAAAATTCTTATGCTTTTGTCTGCCCAATGTATATCATTTGTTTTTTCTCCATTGTGCCTATCTTTCCCAACCCATATACCTTCCGTTTTTGTTTTATTCAAATAAAGACCTGATATGATTGAGAATTCTTCAAAAACTTTGAAAACCATCTTCATTGATTGTATATTCCTACAAAAGCAAGTTATGTCATCAGCATATGCTGTATACTTTATTTGTTTTCCACTAAATTCAAAAGCCTGAATATTATCATTATTATTAAGTCTTGTAAGAACAACTTCCAAGCTCAGTATAAACAGTAAAGGAGCCAGAGGATCACCTTGTCTGACTCCTCTAGACACTGGAAAATATCCAGTGGTAAATCCATTCACCAATACACAACTACTTATATTAGTGTGCAATGTTCTAACCCATTGTATGAAAGATGGTCCAAAATTGAACGCTTCTAAACAATTTAGCATGTACCTGTGGCTTATTGAATCAAATGCTTTTGATAGATCAAGGGCTAGCATAATACCTCTCAAATTCTCCTCCTTAGTATATTGTAAGAGGTCTGATATTAATCTTATTCCTTCCCTATGTATCTGCCTTTAATAAAGGCAGTTTGTTGACTATCTACTAACTTTCCTATCACCTTAGCAACTCTCTTTGCCAAGCATTTAGAAAGTATTTTAACATCTACATTTAAAAGAGTTATGGGACGCCAATTGCTCAGTGTGTGTTTATCTCTATCAGGCTTAGGGATGAGTTTAATTGTACCTTGTCTTTGTGACACAGACATTACACTATTTTCATATGCAAAATTGAAAGAATCAATAACTTCTTTTGATATCAAAGGCCAAAACATCTCATAAAACTCCACAGTTAACCCATCGTTCCCAGGTGTTTTATTTCTAGCCATTTTTAACAATTCTGCCCTAGCTTCAGAGCAAGTGATATTTCCTTCACATGAATTTCTTTCTTCGTCTGTGAGTTGCTTGATGTTACTCTGACTTATGTAATCTTTGCTCACCTCATCTTCCACCTTATCTTTGTTCTCAAACAAAGTTTTATATGATTTCTTAATGAAATCCTGTATTTCAGACTGTTTATCAATACGTCCTACATCTGAAATCAAAACATCAATATTGGAATTTGCTGCTTGACCTTTTTCCAATGACAAAAAATATTTAGTACTCTTTTCCCCTTTCTCATACCATGTACACCTTGACCTCAAGATTGCCCCATCTGCAAAATAGTCATATATTTTAAACAACTCCTGTTCTATTTCCCTTTTCTTTTTCATTAATTCTTCATCTATATCTTCTGCTGCCATCCTGTCATCTAATTTTTTCAATTCTTTTTCAAGAGCCTTTCTTTTCTCTTCCCTTTCACATTTCTTCTTCTTAGAAAATGGTACAGTAAATTCTCTAATTTTAAACTTTAACCAATCCCATAGCCCTCCTTTATCATTACTATCTGTAAACTCACCAATCCATTCTGAGTATTTATTAGCTAAAGCATTAACATACTCCACATCATTCAATAGACTATTGTTAAATTTCCAGTAGGACGGACCAGAATTTTTTGTCTTAATTTTCATGTGCAAACTAACATGATCATGATCAGACAAAACACACGGTATGATATCATTTTCACTAATTGTATTCTGTAAGGATTCATGGATTAACCAAAAATCCAATCTAGATTGCACCAGTGGGTTATACCTTCTCCATGTAAATCCTTTTTTGCAGGGGTTTCTGATTCTCCAAACATCAACCAAACCAAAATATATTTTCAGATTTTCTATAAGATTCACAGAGTGCTTCCAAATGCTTTTCATTGAGCCACCTGCCCTGTCCAGATCAAGGTTTTGAATTAAATTAAAGTCCCCACCAATTATTAGAATTTCCTCATTTTCAACATTATCTTGTATGGTCAATTCTACCTTCTTAAAAAACTCAACCTGATCCTTCTCATTATTTGGTGCATATATGTTGCATATCACATAAACTTTCTTCTGAATTTCAACTTTTACCAATAAAAATCGTCCCATTATATCTTTAATGGAGTCTAACAATTTAAAATCGGGTGTCTTTCTTAATATAATGCATACTCCTCTGCTCTTAGAAGTTCCATGACTGAAAATAATATCAGATCTAACTTGATTTCTCCATAATGATTCTTCCTTTTCTACAGAATGAGTTTCCTGTAAAAGGATAATATCTTTGTTCTGTTTAAGCATATAATTAAAATAACGTTTCCTTGCTTTAAAGTCCCCCAATCCGTTAACATTATGTGTCATCAGCTTCAAATCCATAGTTGAGATATGAATTACTTAGAAATACCACCATTATAAGATCAGGTTTAACATATATTAAACATTCAGGTTCAACAAACAAACAACACAAAAAACAAATCATAACAAAGGCTAGTTCTTCTGTATGCCTTAGGGAGATCAAGGTGGCGCTCTACATCGTGGTCTTTCCTTTTATCCTTTGAGTGCTTTTTCCACATATTCACCTATAAAAGTTCACTCTCAGAGTTAAGTTCTTGTCATTAACCTAATCTAAGTATTCCTTTTTCACTTTTCTTCTTGTTTTTAAGTAGGCAAGGTAAGTCCAGCTCTATAACATTATTCATGTTTTTGTTTTTTTAGTGTTTCCAGCATTTCGATGTGGAATGATAATATTTTCTTTCCTTTGACGTTTTGAGTTATTTCATCTTGTATTCTTTCTCCTTCCCGTCTTTTCCTTCTTTGTAGAAGATGCGAGCAGGATACTTGAAGTACACTGCTCTCCTTGTATTTTCCTCTTTCAGCTTCTTCTTGATGTGAATCAGCTTCTTCCGTTGTTCACGAATTTCCTTGGGCAACATTTCATCCACGTAAATAGGATGCTTTCCATTGTGCTCAAAGGGTTTCTCCTTCAAGAAGCGACGTGCATTTACCAGGATCATACTTTTGGTCGTGTACCGATTAAAGGCTGCAATAATCGGCCTTGGTCGAGGTGATGAGGTGCTTCCGCTGCGATGTGCCCTTTCGATGATTACTTCAGCTTCAATCTGCAAATGCGACTTGGCAAATGACTGGATCAAATTTTCACAATTCTTGTTCTCAGCACCCTCTGGAAAGCCTTGGAACACAAGTGTGTTTCTCATTCCCCTGGCGGATAGGTCTGTCAGACGTTAGCGCAACTTCTCATTCTCCTTTTCTTGTGCGTGCAATTTCTCTTTGATTGAACCAATGTCAAACTCAATCCCTTCTTGCTTTTCCTTCACTTCTTCTATCGCTCTCTTATTGTTATCAATCTGAGTAAGGGATAAGTCTAATCTGGCCACTATGTCATTGAATTTTGAGTTCATTTGATCCATTCTGTCAAGAAGCTTTGCTAGTAAATCTTCAGTGGTTGTACTTGCCTGCTCCTTTTGATCTCCATTGATCTTTCGCTTCTTCTCTGCCCGCGGTTCGTCTTCGTCCTTTTCCTTCTCCTTTCCCCCGACAGCTTGGGGGTGCGACTCCTGCGAGTCCTGGCCTGCTTCGCTGGTTCCAGTAAGCACTGACTGCTGAGTGAGATTTTCAAATTGAATGTCCGAGTTTTCATCGATATCCATCTCTGTTCTGCCTGAAATTGAGCCAGAAGGGGTGAAGTATTGGGAAATCCTTGGTGAAACGTCCATTTTGTCCATCTGTCTTTTCTTTCCACTCATTTTTAAATTATCTTACAGAAATTTTCCACGATGAGAAAAAATACGGTTTGACTTTAGTAGGGCGCCATCTCTCTCGGCTTATACAGTTAATAGGGAGGCAGTGGTCTGAACCAGGAGGTATTGGGTTGAAAACCTTTTGGTAGGGCATCAATCACCAAATACAAATTTCACTGAACGGTGGTTTAAATTTAAATTTAAATGCTTGGATATTGATTGGGTTTGTACAAATTCCTGCAAGTATCTTTACTCAAGAAGAACATTGTGTGATGTCTTTTTGATGAGAATTATCTTGAAATAACGTTTAATTCCTGTATTCTGTCACTCACATAGGCATAGTGCAGGAACTACCCATTTCTTGTAGGTAATGGTTTTAAATGCACGAGTACTGGCTTGGTTGTCCCATTTTTCAAAAATATCTTTACTGAAGAACAGCATTTATATGTCAAGCCTACGTTACGATGTGTTTTGAAATGCGTGATGGTTTTGTTCCCTTTCCTAGGTCCAATCAACCGTGAGCTTCGTCACCTTGTGTCCAGTTATCAGAGTCATAATGCCCAACTCAAAGGAGAGATCAGCCGCTACAGGAGGAAACTCAAGGAGGCACAGGTGGAAATAGCAAAGGTAAGAACAGAGATTTAAATATGATATCAGAAAATTGAATAAAAGCAGAAATATGTAACATTCATCAATTGTATATCATCTTGTTTATGTACATACATAGAGCAAGACTCAAGATTCACAGGGGATACATGGACATGGTCCCTCTAATTTGAAATGTGAACCCCCATATTCTTTTATTTAATGATTGGAAAATCTTCAGTTTGGTCGCCTTGATATACCCTCAGGAGATATAGTGTAGATTGTATTTTCCTTAATTGATTGTATTGTAACCTTACATCTAGGAATGGTCAAATTCGATGGTTATGGATATTTGTTATGACTGTTCTCTGAGTTTGAATATGGACAGCATTTTGTAAGCCATTTGCTAATGAATTTTTTATTTGTTTTTGTTTTCCATGATATGTTTAGTTGAAAACAGAAGTAGAGAAACATGCTCAAATTAGCAACAGTAGCACACACCTAGGTGGATCGGCAAGTTCGTCGCTGGGATCTTCCTCGGGGAGTGGGAGCGGTAGTAATAACAGCAACAACAAAGATGCCAATTCAGAGCATAAGGAGGGTGCGCACGATCAGCCAAAGCGTGATGACCACTCCCACCACCACCATCACCACCATGTGGATGAGAGGAAGGATAAAGATAGAGGGAGGGAGGATAGAGGGAAGGATGGAATGAAGAATGAGACAGAACTGGTGAAAGAGCTAAGAGCATCTTTGAAGTAAGTACAATGCTTTCTTTGAATCTTCGTCAATGAGAGGAACAAATGCCCATGCATTTCTTGACAGTCTGTAATTATGTATCTGATCAATTTATTTCATGAAACAGAATGTTGGTGTAAACTTTGATTGACATATGCAAGATTGTATCTTTTCTGTTGAAAATGTTCTGATCTCATCCAAATGATTCTCAAACTTCTACCCCTGGAGTATCAACAACCTCCCTGGACAACTACCCTCTTTGTTAACTGCCCCCCTCTAGAAAATTGCCCCTTTGTACAACTACCCAATGGACAGTATCCCCCACACTATGACAGCCCTAGTCAACTACTCCCTAATTTAATGACTTCATAGATAGTTACCTGAGGGTAAATCTATGCTTTTTTTTATTTGACTTGGTAGTTTCAAGCACTCGAGACTAATATTGCACATACTTTTTTCTTCAAATGACAGGAAAGCCCAGGAGAGTCAGAAAGAACTCAAGTTGCTGCTAGATATGTACAAGGGCCTGGCAAAAGAGCAGAGAGAAAAGGCACAGGTAAGTAACTCACTGGTCATTGTTCAGTAGTTCTAAAGGCTGATTAAGTTAAACCAGGAGCCTGGTTTCATAATTTTTTTTTATCAATAACAAGTGTCACATTTCCATAACAAACTTGCTCTCAGCCAATTAAATGAAATGATTTCAGTAGCATAAATCAGTTATTGCAAACTGTTATTGATATCAATTTTTATAAAACAGGGCCTTGGTTTAACTTTATTCACAGGTTTATGGATGCTAAGTGTCAAGCTATTTATTTTTTACGAGAATTGAAAAAGAGATATCAGTCCAATAGTGATTTCTGTATATTTATGTAGTTTCATAATCATGTTAATCGTGGTAATAACATGTAATTATGAGGCTGACACTGATGCAATTGCAGTTCCAGAAAAGAATCTTTTATAAAAATGATCACATTGTATGTAGGTTTTGTAATTTAGTTGTTTGCTGCATGCAAAATATTCACATGATTTCAATGAATTCTCCCAGATAATGTCCAATGAGCGGAAGGCAAGAATGGAGATCGACGAGCTCCAGAAGAGAATACGCCACCTAGAGGAGAGGGAGAGACAGGAGAGTAGAAAGATGGCCGACGATGACGCCATGAGAAAGATACGAGCCCTTGAAGAAGGCATCCACCAGCTTCAAAAGAAACTTGCCGAAAAGAAACAGGTAGGTCATTATACCAGAATATTGTTCACTTTATAAGTGGGGGTAGAAAGATGACTGATGATGATGTTGTGAGAAAGATACAAGCTCAGCTTGAAAAGGAACCTGCTGAGAAGAAACAGGTAGATCCATATCTTTTGGCAAGAAAGTAATCTACATTTGTCCCTCTCCACTCTGGTAAGGGTAGCTTGTAGGAGTAGATCCTGTGAATGCTTCTACCATGATGAGATATTTATTTTCAGCAATATTTGCCCTGCGCTTTATTTGTCAAAGATATAGAGTTAGTGTAAATTTTCTTATTGTAGGATAAGTACCAAAGGAGCAATTTGCTGGTGCTTGGATTGCAGAACCTTTTTAACACCTCGACAGCTTAATGAAAGCCAGAACATTCCTAAGCTTGTGTAAGGCTTTAACAAACAAAAAAAATGTTGTATTGCCCTTTAGGTGACAAAACATGGGTCGGTCGGTCAGAATTTTTTTTTTTTTTTTTTTTTCTCCCTCTTTTGGCTGATTTTTCTCAGTTTTGAATGCTTTAATACATATTTTCTTATTCATTAAACATTTTTTTTCTAAAAAACTAACAAAATAAACAACTTTTTCTTAATAGCTCACTGTAGATTTCAAGATTTTGGGGTCAATCGCAAAGGGCAATACAGCATTTTTTTTTTTAACGTCTAAGGCAAAGCTGATATACAAACAACTCTCCATATTATTATTCAGTAGTCTCACAGTTTCTGTTTGTTTCTTTATTTTGTGTAAACAGGAAGAGGAGGCTCTATTATCTGAAATGGATGTAACGGGCCAAGCGTTTGAAGACATGCAGGAGATGAACACAAGACTCTTACAACAACTCAGAGAGAAGGATGATGCCAATTTCAAACTCATGTCAGAGGTGAGCTTGTGAAGGGTGTTCTAAAAAGTCATGATTTGTAAATATGACAACATGAAAGAAGTTTGACAGTCTGAGGGAGCTTAAGGGTTACATATACATTGCTAATACCAGAAGTTCTTGCAATAAATGTAAAAAATATGAATTACGCATTCACATTGATCAAAAAATGAAAAGTTACTACTTGCTATCATTTGACATACATGTGTTATACTGTGAGAGATTACCTATGCATATCTGTTTTTGTCAAACCACAGTGGTGAATGTTGAAAGTGTTTAAGTGCAGAAGTTTTGTGAAGCTTGTAGGTCAACATTAGCAACATTTACTGAGGAGATATGAGTAAATGTATACTATAAAACCAGAAACAATAGCGACATTAAACCAATCGTTAAGGATAGCCAATTGAATGGCAAGAAACTTCAGTAAATTTAGTGTTAGATGCTGCTTATAAGCATCGGCTTGCAGTATAGCTTGGAAATCCCAGTATAGCTTGGAAAAGCTGCTTCAGGGATTACCTCATCAAATGGTGATGTAGATATACAGTATGCTTGCGGTTGCACCATAAGAGAGAGGGGAATTTAGTGTCTCAAATGTGTCAAGTCTCACAATAGCAGACTGGTTTATTGTACCAACTATTAAATTTATATATATTCATCTATTTATCCTTCATTGTTGCACAGAGGATAAAATCGAATCAGATTCACAAGCTGTTGCGAGAGGAGAAGGATGTTCTAGCAGATCAGGTGGGGACGTTACAGACCCAGGTCGATGCCCAGAACCAGGTGGTGAGGAAGCTCGAGGAGAAGGAGAGGATTCTACAGACTACGCTGAGTACCGTGGAGAAAGAGCTTACCCTTAGACAGCAAGCTATGGATATGCATAAAAGAAAGGTATGTGACCATCTATTTCTTTCATCTCTATTTTTTTTCTTCTTTTTCTTCCTCTTTCACCGGCAATCCTTTGATTTGATTTTTTGATTTGATTGATTTATTTCTGTTTGATTTTCTTTTTCTTTTGCATTTTTGCAAATTTACACATGACAAAAGAATATATGTAGAATAAAGTAAGGCTGGGTGTAACTAATCGAGAACATCAAACAGGAGGGTTGACAAAATAAGCAAAGCTTGATAGTATGACTACCCTCAAAGGATACATAATAATACAAATATGGAGGAACAAAATATTGGCAAAAGGGGGAAAAGACAGAAAAAAGAAGAGAAAAGAAAGTGGGGATGCACATCAATATTCACAGATTTATGTGGTAGTTGGATTTCAAATTGATATATAAAGATTTTAAATAAGAAAAGAAATGCAAATTTGAATACTGAGTGGCCAACTTGGGATACAATAGAACGAGAAGACTCGCGAGGTTCGGACAGTAAGAATGTGAAAGTAAGATCAGCCAGCTGGTTTTAAACCTGGGCCTGCGAGTCGGAGCCTTGAAATGTTTGTATAGAAGACAGTGTTTTCCATCCATTCTTTCTCATCTTGTTTCTATTTTCTCTACTTCTTCATAACATTTGCTATATATTTACTAATTTCAGTTTTTTGTTGCTTTCTTTAAATTTTTTTCCCAGATATTATTCTATATTATTTTGTTTACTTTCTTTTCAATGTCTTTTGCATGTCCTTTTCTTGTTTTTTCCATCTCTCCTTGTATTCTGCCTTCTCTGTCTCCTTTTCAAAATCCTACCTTTGCTTCTTCATCTTTCTTTCATTTTGTTCACCTGTTCACTTTCTTTTTTCCTTTTTCTCTCTCTGTATAAGCCATCTTTTCTTTTTCTGAGGTAGTCCTCTTGTGGAATTTTTCCCAAGTTACATGTTGTTTATCACAAATTAAATGACATAAGATAAGAAAATCCAGATATCTTTTCAAAATGATTCAGGATCAAGGATTTAAAAAAATTAAATGAAAATCAATATTTGTATCACAATTTTACATCAGGTTTAATATACTAACTGTTGTTTCTTTTAGGCCATGGATATTGCTCAACAAGCAGCAGACTTAAAACTGAAGTTGGACAAGATAGATGGAACTACTGAAGAGCTTCAGAGGCTTGTCAAAGAGAAATCATCAGCAGTAGAGCAGGAGAATCATAAATTTAGGAGAGCACAGGTAAGTAAAAAAGAAAAATTAACAACAAAAATCAACAACAACAAAAAATCCATAAGGGAATGTATACAAATTCTGTGTACTTGCCTTGTATTCATTGGTTTGATTCTGATAAAGAAGTTAAGTCATTGAAATTTTGTCTTCATAAACAGATGGATTTAAGCAAGTCTAGAGTAGAATTCTCAATGAGAGTTAGGGAATGAAACTGTGTAATATATTCAGTCACATACACTTCATATTGTTAGTTGTGACTCGTCGCATGCAATGGAAGTTTTTAGCATCAAAGTAGTTACTGTCCATTATGTATTAATTATGATTGTTTGTATGTATTAGTTTGTACTGTTTGTTTGTCGGATACAATAAATAGCCCATCATCCACGTTTTCTCTTAAAAGCTTGGGAATGATAAAATGATTTGATTTGGAAAGAAATTTGTGGTTGTTATCTTTTCTCTGAATGATAGGTGTCTTAAACACATCAAGTACATGTGTCAACCAGGGTGCGTATTTTGTACTTGTACTTTTAAGATGTTTTACAAAGTTGATACCATTTATTCATGTTTGATAGTAAGTACTGTTATTAAAATGATGAATTGTTTCATTGAAATGCAGGAGGAATGCGTGAGCTTAAAACGAAAGGTTGAGAGGTACAAAAGAATGGAATTAGCGAGCAGCGCTGATGAGGTCTTAGCGGAAGAAGTCAGATCATTGAAGGTAAGATTCATTTTTGTATTTACATTTTCATTTTTCATTATCATGTTATTGTTATACATTGTTAAGTAATTCATCCAAATTAAGCGCAATATTCATTTCACGTTTCTTGTTTATCCTTATTACAAATAGTTTAACCGTACTTTTCATTTCATTTGTTTTGTAAAGCGCTAAGAAACTGTATTGTATACCAGAGCTATATAAATCTTAAATATTATTATTAGAGAGGAATAATGATTTGACATCATTGCAAAAAGTTCTTTTTTTCTATGAGTACATCTGTAATATGAAGAGTGGTGATGTTTGCTTCATTCAGTAATGACCAAGACGTTAACTTTTTTTGATAATTTGGGATTCAGGATAATTTGAGATTCAGGTTGTTTATTTTTGTCAGCATCAGTGCAATATACATTCATAACATTTTAGCTTTATCATAATCATTCTTAGCTCATCTAAAAAAAGTGGCTGCAGTGTTTTTAGCTTCTCCAAAACTGTTCAAAATCAGACAATCTTGGGATCTGAAACTTTCGCGGTTTGTAAATGATGGCTATTTCCACTATGAAAAATTTCTGTGAGTTGCAAAAATTTGGTGTGCCAGTTGTAATTCATCTTGCAGCATTAAACTTTTGTGTAATGTGCACAAAGTTTCTGGGTTTACAGTAACTATCAAGTGTAGATTTTATCCAGACATTATTTGTAAAATTTTGTATTGTCCTTTTCTCATCAAAGTTGATCGATCGTCTTCTCCCTTTTTTCTCAGGAACAACTGACATGTCCATGCTGTAAGAAAGGTCGCAAAGACGTGGTCCTCACAAAGTGCTTTCATGTCTTCTGCTTCAACTGTATCAAGACGAGATACGAGACCAGACAGAGAAAGTGTCCAAAGTGCAATGCTGGATTTGGAGCCAACGACTACCATCGAATATGGTTGGACTGAGGACCTTCCAAAGTGGTTGAACTTTGCGCGCAGAATGGTGATGTAGTCCAGAGACAGAGAGCGTGAGGCAAACTTCGTTTAAGTTACAGTCTTGTAGCATTTTGTCTCGGGGGGTCGAGTTTGAGGTTCGACGGCAACACCGCACGTGGACATTCATTCAAACAGTAACGGCAATTGAAAGATTGGAATATATTAGTTTTGTACGAGGTGTTAGCTGAAATATGGAGTTTGATTATGTTGATTCGATGACCTGATGTTCTTCACGGCTGTGATTGTATGGAGAAAGGAAAGTAACCTGGTGAGCCTCATATCCGAATGTCTCCTGTTATGTTGAGAACATAACGCCTGATTTGTCTCTGTTTATGATGCTGTGATGTCAAGCTGCTTGTATAATACAATACGCTTCTTGATTAAGAGAGACATTGACCTTTCACCCCGATGTATCTAATGACCATGCCATGCTCCATTGTCGTCTTGCATGCTTGTATCCAATACATAGTCACCACATCATGTCCATTTCGTAATAGCTCAATTACTCTCTCTATGCTAGTAATGACAAATCGACTCTTTGCAAAGGTAATTAGTACATTCCATCGGTTGAGGTGATATCATTTTACTCTTTATGGGAAGAATTGGCACTGTCTAGTATTTAGTTCACTCGATTTGATATTCCCTGGTATTCCCAATTATCGAATTTGGTTATATTTTTTCACTGTCATCTAAAATATAGTCGAGTTAGCTGATGGCAAAGCCAAGATTCCTTTGTACATACACACCAAAGACGAGTATTAATCATGACTCCTGTACATCATTAAGTGGTACTGTATTGTATTCTATAGCAGGTCATGTTTAATACAGAACCCTACCTGTTTCAGACCATGTATCTTTTAAGTGTACTGTGCACTAACTCTTGTAAGTTCAACCATTCCATCATCTCATGAAGAAGAAAAAAATCTGAGTCATTGAAATTGTCCTCATCATTACCATGCACCTAGTATAACTTTTATCTGCTGTAAACTCTGGATTTTCATTAGCTTTACTTTTTCATTTTTCAATGTGGAGAACATTTTTGATATTCACACTTTTATTTTAGTTTGGAATACTGTGGCTTCAAAATCATTTTAATTTTTTTAATGTTCTTAACTGATTTTATTTATGTAGATTTGCAGCAAAGCGTATAGTTATCAGGGTGCTCCAATTAATCAGCCACGTTTGTGTCGTATCTTTACAAAGGAATACATATTATCATTCATTATGATACTTATTCATTCTCCAGTCCGTAACATACATGTATTTCCTCAAAAATATATTTCTCCTAGTAATGATGTACCTTTTTGTTGTATTATATTCTTACTGCCTTTTCAAAACAGGAAGTTAGGTCTGTATGTTTTTAGAGAACAAAACAAAATGGCTATTTGTTTGAAAAGAAAAAAAAATATCGCTTTCAGTTTTAGAAATTGTTTTCAAGTTTCCACAAGAAGTTTCTATTTGTGTATGGATATTTTGGTGAGCCTGATCACCTTGTCACTCCAAGTGGCTTCTACATAACGAAAAATTGCATTCAAGTTATGTTTAAAAAAACTGTATGATATGATGTAATATGAAATCTTGTTATCTGAAAATAGTGTTTGTAAATAGAGTTGTATATGTATATATGATTAGGGAATGGGAGGAGAGTGATTGGCATATGTTAGTGGTGTTACATAAATCAGCTTTACTGAATGAAATAAGGGACAACAACAAAAAGGGAGAAAATAAACAAGGACTCTGAGAAATTAAGCTCTGCAAAGCTGGCGAGGATCAATGACCACAAAAAAGCAATCTAAATAATATCATGTAAGTAGAAAAGTCCCAAACAATTTTTTTCTTCTTCCTCTATAAAATTTGATTGACCTTAATCGGTCTAGCACAACTTCTGACAACTGAGTACATGCAAATACTTGGAAAACAATGAATAATGCACAGTGAAGATAGTGCACTCATCGTTCATTGCGTGGTAGTGTGTACAAAAGTATTAGAAAAATCCTAGGCCAACCTGCCGTTGATATATATTTTTGTAACAATGCTTTGGATGTATTAATTTCATATGTTTGCCATTTGGAAGGATCTTTTAATTACATGACTGATGATTCATGGATTATGAAGATAATTGAACCAATAGCATATTTTACCCCCCCCCCCCCCCAAAAAAAAAAAAAAATAAATAAATAAAAATAAATAAAAAATGATGATAATAATCTATGGACACCAGTAAAAAGAGGCTTTGTGAAATCCTTTCACAAAGCCTTTTTTCATTGACAAATGACAAAAATCAGTGACAAATCTGCTGATAACCAATCAGAAGCAAGTATTTCAGAAGCTTATAATAAAAACTTGCATTTGTCACTGATGCCAAGTTTTGTGAAATGCCCCCAGGTTGACCTCAAAGGATCCTCTCCATGCCTTTCGTAGGCGCTGCTTGGCAGTGAACATTGAGGGTGCTATATTCATCCAGCGTTATTTGCTGTTTTCAGAGTATGTGCCTGTACTTGGTTTTCTGTAATTTGTGTCCAACTATTAATGACAATCCCAACACAAAGCTGTAAAAGTTAATGAATTTATCAAACCCCAATTAAATAATATTGTTTGTTTGAGCATTAGCAATGTATATCCCCTTTCAAAGTATAAAGAGTTATAAAGAGCGTGTATATATTTCCCCATTTAAATTCTTCAAGGTTATCCCCAAAGTATATTTTACATTACCATTGAACCATTTAACTCTTGTCATGAGGGGATATATTATGTATTATCAGTACACTTTTATTTCTACCTTAGTGGTTCTCTCCAAAAGTATGTAGGAGGAAACAAAATAATCATTTGTTTTATTCTTCTAATGATACATTTATGACTTCATACACTTTGAATTATCTAAGATAACAGGCCTTCAATGGATAGGTTTTCAAGCATTACCATTTAATGATTTTTCCTTTAGCCAATGCTGAGGCATCATTATTTATGAGTGATCTGACATTTTGCTCCAGGTTTTAAACTCGTCAAAGGTTAGGGATTATGGTCATGACTGGGTCTTACATGTAGGTTAGGTTTAGGTTTACAGTTAGGTATTAAGGAGTTGGTTTCAGGTTTGAAGTTAGGAATTTGATTAGAATAAGATATTGACTGACGAGCAATTAAATCTGGAGCATGTATCATTCAACCATGTTATATCCTTTGTGTTAGAAGTCATTGCATGAAAACCTGCAATGATATTGTGGGTATCACTGCATCTGGTTGGTTTCAAGGTGCCTGTAAGATTATAAATTTAATAATTTCTAGGCAAGAATTGAAGATCTGCAATGTGCGGCTATAGAATTATGAGAGAATCGTAACTATATGACAGTAATACATGTTATTTCTCATTGGTAAAACCTGGTTTAGTATTAGAATTGAAAGTACTTCTTTTGAGCATGAATTATTTCATTTGTCCATAGAAAATGGGTATTTGTCTTGGTAAAGGTAGAACTATGAATGTTCCTCATGCAAAAATGTTACATTCAGATTGATACTCAACAAGTCAAAGATATTGACTTTAACCGAGGAACTTCTGTCTGATAAACTTAAAATTGGACTGCACTGTCCCTACTGTTTTGTACACCATCTTAGTTAATGAACCAATATGTTGTCCAATTGTATCTGTCCAAATTGGAGAGCTCTATTTAAGTGATGTTATTGGAAGCAAGATTGTATTTAATACTGCCAAAAGAGCTACTATTTCCTATACATGGGGATCATGTTCAATGTTGAAAGAATTGATCCGATATTGATTACTTTACCATGCTGTTCCACTTGTGTTTTTACCCCTATGTGTGTATCAGTCTGTTCTGCTTCCAGTATTTGTAGGAGTATACACAATTCAATAGTTAGGTATTGTTGATATGAAAACATGTCGTAAACACAAAAAAACAAACTGCTCTTTGATGTTGGTAAATATTGGAAAATAAGGGATAACTGATGTTTCATCAGATACAAAATTTAAAGCTTAAATTATCAAATGATTATGTTTTTTACAGTTATGTGAATTGTATTCTATCAAATAACAATATTTTACACAGTCATATTTTCTCCCTTTTTCAAAGGATGATTTAGAAGTGGATTACTTGTAAATTACTTGGAAGAGAAATTACTTGTAGCAAGTATGCTTTCCTTGTAATTGGCTATTTGTAAAATACATTGCCTGCAAGGTACCCTAATTTGCATTGTTGAATAAAAGCTGATGTATTGTGGCATAACATGAACTTAGTTGTGGCGATTGTCCTTCGATTTATTTGTGTATGTCATGGCATTGACCTTTGGAGACAGTCCATTACAAAACAAGAAATATACACTTGCACATTTCAAATTCCGTAAAAAAACTGCATAGTTTAATTATCCAACCAACCTCAAACTTGATAGAAGTCAAGTTGGATAAACGGTTTTTTCCTGATATTTACAGTGTCACTATTCACAAGGGTATAATTCCTCTTTCCAAGGCTTCCATCCAATTGAGTAGATAATGGTCGGTATCACCTTTCAATATTAAAAATATCTGAGTTTCATATTCACTCTGGTATTTCGAGCCTTCTTCCTCACTGACAGTGTATGATTCCAGAAAGGCTTGGTAGGGTAATTCAACATCAGTAGATGGCAGACGAACTTTACATCAGATCACTTTGATACTTGTGGCTTTTTATTCCTTAAAAAACAAGCAGATCATTCTCATCTCACCAGTCACTTTTTGACAATTACAATGTCTCTGAATGTCATATTCACTCTGATATTCAAAGCCTTCTTCCTGACTGGCAGTGAGTGATACCAGTAAACATTGGTGGGGTAATTCATCATCAGCAAACTCCCGTGCTCCAGCTCCAACTTGACCGGTGGTACCTTGCGCTTGGCCTGAGCACCGCGGGCCTCGCAGTGTCTGAAGATGAAGTCCCTATGTTGCCCAAGAGACAAGGAGGCGATGGGGCTGCTTGCAACCAGGTCCTTCTCATCATCCCGATGCTCGCCCATGTAGTTGTTACCATCGGCATACCTACATATAGAAAGATATGGAAATGTGTCAGTTTGTTGAATGTGTGAGATGACTAAAATATGGCGAGACAAGTTTCTTGACATCAATTTTGTTTACTAGTATAAGAGAGAGAGAGAGAGAGAGAGAGAGAGAGAGAGAGAGAGAGAGAGAGAGAGAGAGAGAGCAGACTACTTTTACAAATATATATGTATATTGCAGTTGCTAGACACAAGTTGAAATATTTAGTTATACCTGTTAATGAGCACAAAGTTGAACTTGTACCCTGTGACTTCTTGGATCCGATCCCTAATCTCTAATAGTGCTGGTGTCCATGGTTTGGCTGGCACTGTCACTCCTGAGTACTTATAAGTTAGACCTGTGTCACCATGTGCCACCTGGAAGAAGGGCGAATGACATAATTTGATCAACTTTTGATTTTGGTTTTGATACATGTGCACCAGAATTAACATTGATTTACAAATATTTAACTAAAAGTCATTTAAATATCGAATTCAGAAATAACATTGGCTGAACATTAGAATTGGGCACATTCATTTGGACTCAAGAGTGCAAATCAGGAATATCACCCAACTAAAAATATTCCTTTTCCCTTGTACCTATAAGTGTCAAGTTTGATTATCAACAAGTTAGGGGAATAAAATTATTATGGTAATAAATTACTTGTAATTTTAGATAAAAATCAAAAGGTATAGTTTTGAATATATTGTCAAATTTGACAAAACTCACTCCTCCTTTAATTGAATTCAAATCAAACATTTAAAGTTAATATTTCTTAACAGTTCTATCTTCTGAGCACTTTCAAGGACAACAAAATTAGATCATAAGTTATAAAAATTACATTTCTATCGGCACTGATACAAAACAAAATTGAAGAAGAAGTTCCTGCTATTTATTAAAATAAATCTGCAGGACCAGCTATTTCTCAATGGAACTTGCCTGTTTTCTTGGAATATCATGCCACTTCCCATACACTTTGATTCTAGCCAGATCACCCATGAAGTACTCCAGAGACTCCTCACATCGTTGAAACAAGTCATCTGCCTGCTTCTTTGGATAGAGCCTCATGTAATCGCAGTCTAAATTTTCTCCATGTATCTTTTTTTTCTCAGGAATATGATGTGGTATTCTTTGATCCAATGCTGTGGTTTCAGTCACATCAGTTCTTGATCTTTTGGTCAGAGGTTGATCCTCTCCATCCCTTTCCTCTTGAAATTGGCCACTACATGTGGATCCTGTCTCTGCTTCAGGATGTTTTGATTTCTTCTTTCTGATTATGAACTTATCCATGATAGACACTCAATATCTGCAGTAGACAGAAATAACCGTCTGATTTGGTCATTTCTTTTGTAAAACTGACATTTGTTACAATCGGAGATCTAGTGAAGCCAAACGTAGTCTCAGTGGAACAACCGACGATTAGAGAGACTGAAGTTTTCGGTCTATCTCTGCAGCCAATTAAGTGCCATTAATTATTGGGTTCAACTCCGGGCATTTTCTGCCTTTTGCCATCCTGTAGATAGAAAGAAGTAAAACACAAATGACAAAGCCTACAAGACGCTACCATATATATGCTATTTCATTATCTTTTCTATTCTGGGTGGCACATCCCGGGTGCTTACATATCTGCCACTTTCAGTTTGTTTATCATCTTGACTGCATATATGACTGCGATATTGTGGTCATGTAATTATGTAGACCGATTTTTTCTGTCTCTTTCGTTCGTATATATAAGCCTCTGATTTGGGTAAAATTCGGTCTAGTAATTATGTTACTCTTCATTTTAGATTTGAATCCACTAATTCAAGCTCCTACCTAGTATTGTGATATTTTTTTTATAGATATTAGAAGCTTACAAATACAAATAAGTCGGGCCAAAAACTTTTACAAGGATTTACTCACCAGCACAACAACTGCTGCTCAGCTGCAGCTCTGCTGATATGACTCGAGCAAAACAGTGATTATGCAATCAAGACTTTTTTATCTGAAATTATCGACAAATTATTTTAACAAGAACAATTTAAAGTTTACCACTGTGTGATCCATGACAATCATATTTGTGTATAAAAATGTATTATGAAACAATAAATAACCTAATATATATATTCAATTATATATTTAAAATTTTAAATCTGAGTAAATACTATTCAAAATAATATTTTACGATTTAAAAATATTACCTTATTCTTTAATTATAAGATTGGCAACGCGAATATAATGGTAAATGGTGTGAACCCGAGGAGCACTCTCTTTATCCGATCCGTGCTAAGCTTCCACGTAGTTAGCTGAATAGTGTACGTATCGCGTACCGGTATGTGGTAGACAAACGATAATCGACGATCCTGATCCTGCTGTTAATGCTATTGAAACTGCGAGTATTACTACGTGTAATCATCTTTCCCTCTGAACTGAGTCCAAGGAAAATGCGAAACAACATGGCACAGGGGAATCAGTGGGAAGGTGAGAAATTATTTATTTTGTTATTGACCGAGAAACCGATTTACTGTTAGTGACATGACACTGACACTGTTGATTGTGATGTTGAACCGGGCCGAAGCCGAGGCCTTGGGCTTAGTACAGTGAGTAAGTAGTGACTCATTTATGTGTTCAGAAACTAGTTTTGTATAGGCCTAGATAGACCGAATTTTCCGTCTCTTTCGTTCGTTAGCCTCTTATTGGGGTAGGGTCTGCTCTTTCTTTAGAGACGGAAACCATCTAGACTATACACATTCCCTTGATAACGCCACGGCCATTTCAGGTCGTAGCGTTTTGCCCCCAAAATCCCCCAAAATGTCATTTTACCTCATGCATTGATTATTTAAAATTAAGAGAAGGTTATACTACATCGGTTCCACTTACCAACTTGACTGAAATAATCCGTTTAATGGTCCCTTTTAAGGAAATTATGGGTCAAAATCGACATCCATGTTGAAATCTTGCAAGCCGTGTAAACTCTCGCTGCGCACGGAGTCATCTAAATCAATCTCATCCCTTCTAGTCTACGCCGAAGGCAAAACGATTATGAAGGAAAAACTGTGATAACGCCATTACGAACGTGTAGATGGCGCACAGTTTTTCCTTCATAATCGTTTTGCCTTCGGCGTAGACTAGAAGGGATGAGATTGATTTAGATGACTCCGTGCGAAGCGGCTTGCAAGATTTCAACATGGATGTCGATTTTGACCCATAATTTCCTTAAAAGGGACCATTAAACGGATTATTTCAGAGTGTACATGATCTGCGACTGTATGTGTCACTATAATGTAGTCTCTGCTCTGACTACCTGTGCCTCTGTGTGGATAAATGAGACAATTTTTACTTTTTTATTCTTTGCATGATGAATGATGCATGACATAAGTTCATGCACGTCGCACAGTTCCATATATCTATACAAAATTGGCAAGAATTCGAAAATTTATGCCACCAGTTGAAAGAGGAAACAAGAATTTTCTTTGAAATATGTAGAAGAATTGTTTAAATATGAACAAAAGATCAGCAACTTCTGCAGCGTTTGTTGTTGTTGCAACAAACCACGAACCTTGGGCTTGACTTTTGCTCGGTCAGTGTTAACTCCCACATTAGTGAACACCAGAGTGGTAGAATTCATGGTGTTTCCCAGAGCTGTAGTAGTAATTAAAGGGGGAGTTCAACCTGATATTGTTCAACAACAAATAAAAAAGAAGAAAAGAAATGATTGAGTGACAGTGTGAGGAAAATTTGATTTAAAAAAGTGACCGGTATTGTCGTCAGTCAGACATAAATTGGTAATTCCATGATGTACCTTTCATTTCAAATGCATTTATTGAGTTGAGGCTGATAATCACTTAATTGTATTATCTTCTTTTGTTGTTGCTATTCTGAAATGCAGATTTGAGGAAGAGAGCAAGGCAGCTAGAGAATGAGATAGATCTTAAGCTGGTTTCCTTCAGCAAACTTGGGACCAGCTTCAGTGCTATCAGATCCAGTGACATAGACAGGTATGTGCCCTTTTCATTAAGAGGTATTTTGGGTATTTGAATTGTTTATTCTATTTTTCATTACATTTAATCTTTGTTAACATCATCAATGGAGAGTAGGAAAACTGAAGAAAAAGGTCAATATGCAAGTGGAAACTACCATCAGTTTTGTAACTTTAAGCCACCTATTGTAGACTCTACATGTATATAATTCTAATTTTCTCGTGTAAAGGTAAATACTAAGAATGAGATATCCAGTGGAAACTATGCATCTTGAATCAAAATTTGCCATTTCCTAAGGGTAAATGAAAAACTGAAATAGTATAATTTTTTTTTTTTTTTAGTAGATTCATAAGACTTTCAAATCCTTGTGTTTTTTTCTCCACAGCAGCTCAGATACTGCACCTCTTCTAAATGCTTCCAACAGTGAACACATGTTTCATACAATGGCCATGGAGATAGAACAATTATTAAATAAGGTAAGAATGCATAAGTTCATACAATTTTTGTAATGATAAATAACCAAAGATACAACAAACAGTCCAAGTCAAATGAAGATTCTGAAATTCATGAATGGAAAACCTTCCTGAAGTATAAAAGTGAGATAGAATATTGAAGAAAATTATGTTTGATAGCTCATTATGTTTATTACAGTAAATTAAGCATCAATCAATTATCTCAGAGAAAAAAATGAAGTGTAGCAGTGGCAGACTTAATGACCCGTGTCACCTTTTATAACCATGGTGGCACACCTTAAGTATACTGCGCCCCTCCCGGTTGCCTTCTTGTGCCTTCTTTCAAATGTTTGACCCAACTCTCAGAATCCTACCCCCCCCCCCCATATTATCATATCCCTGATGAAGAGAATATCTATTCAGTTTGACTTCTTAATCTAATTTCATACCCAAACTTTATCTATTTCCTTTCCCCAGTTATCAGACGTAAACGACAGAATGGCAGATTACGCCGGCAGCGTGTCAGTGGCATCTCCCAGTGCCGCCCTACTCCACACCCTTCAGAGGCACAGAGACATCCTCAAAGACTATACCCACGAGTTCCACAAGACTAAGGCCAACATCGAGGCATGCAGGGAGCGGGAGGAGCTCATGGGGTCCGTTCAGAGGGAGATTGACAGCTACAAGAGCTCTTCAGGACTCAATAGGAGAACGGATCTCTATCTCAAGGAGAATGAACATATACGAAAGTAAGGCAAATCTTGTTCTTTAATAGGTGTCTCTTGATTTAAATGGACTACAGGAAATATGGCAGAAACATAAACTCAGACTATAGTTTGAGTTTTGAAGGGAGTTATTGAGTCTATAGAAAAGCGTAATAAACCATATACTCTGGGAATGAGATCTCACTTTCCTGAATGAAATTCAAGTCTTGATAGACACAAAGGGCACAAACAATTCATAACATGCAATTTACTATTACTATTGTTTCTGTTATTTGTTGATTGCAGTAAAAACTTAAATAAAGAAATGATGGAATCATGTGTATATATGTTTAGTCAGCCATTTATTCTGGAGAAGAAGTATCGTTTCAGTATCGATATTAGACATATCGTAACAGTTTTCAACAATTATAATCATAGCGTGACTCATTTTTCTTTTTAAAAATCTGTATCTACCCACAGTTCAGAAAGAATTGCAGATGAAACGATAAGGTAAGCCATTAATCTATCCATTTACTCAACAGAGGAAGTCAGTGGTTATTACATCTATTCATCGTTGGTGCTCTGAATAATGGGACATTTTATCATTCTGCAAATTTAAAGAGCTAGTGAGTTATGGTATTGCAAACTATTTTAAAAGGCTTCAGGAGGAAGAATAAGAGAAGTAATCAGACATGTCTCTATTTCAACAGTTTACCCCCTCAAAATCTAAGCTTGCTTGCATCAATGAATTTTGTTCTATTAGTAACTTGAAATGTCTTTAAGATGGTATAGTTATGAGTCAATGCATAGCTTTTTAATTCTTTGATAACCATATTCTCTAATTCTCTCTTCCTGATAGTGTCGCCATGGCAACCAAAGAAAATCTGAGTGGTCAGAAATCAGCGCTGAAGAAGATCTCTTCTAGCATGAATTCCATGGCCAGTATCCTTTGCAGAAATTGAACTTTGACATGCAATATTTTAATGTACATGTATTTCAGTGGCAGATTCAGGATTAATTGATGAGGGATCTGGGGAGGGATGGGCACAGCTTAATAAATTACTGACATTAGTCAAGGGGGGGGGGGGGACTGTAAGGGTTCTCAAATTTTTCTGAGATTGTATTGTCTTTTATTATACTTTTGGGCAGGGGTCCAGTTTTCTTATACTATGTAAACAAAAAACAAGAAATGGCAGGTTGTTGGGTTTGGGAAGGGGGGGGGGGGATGGGTGCGTATCATTTCTCTACCATTTACCCTATAATCTATGTACTTTAGCAGAATCTTGGGAATGTTCTTCCTTAACTCTACTGTCTTCACAGATCGGTTTCCTGTATTAAATAGCTTGATCCAGAGGATAAACCTTCGAAAGAGGAGAGATTCCCTGATACTGGGAGGGGTCATTGCTGTATGTATTGTGCTCTTACTCTGGTATGCCTTCCGGTAGAATCCAAACATTGTTTTTGAAGAACTCTATGGAACAGATGCTTGTGATCAGTCGTAAGAGAAGGATGGGGAAAGCATCGTGTGGGACTCCTCAGTTTGGAGGTTCCCTGTTTCTGTCGAGACCCTGAATGACCTTTGACATGTAACTGAGAAGACAAACGGATGGAAACATGCATATGATGTTTAATTTCAGCAGAGCATGAGGTTCAGTGGGAGCATTGTCACCATTGGGGATTTCATCGTGCAACAGATTCAAGCATTCCGCTGGAGCGTATATCCAGTTTTATGGCTAACGTCTATTATGATTCAGAGACAATCTGACAGCTTCAAGATATTGTCCCTAGGAGGAACATTTCTCAAAAGTAAACTTCTTCCTGATCAAAGATTATAGTGTTTACCCTAAACTTTACCTATAACTGTCAAACAGAACTGTGGCCTGACAAATGCTTGAAAGTATTTGATGTCATTATATAATATCTGAGATTTGTATTTGCTGGAAGAATCTTGTATAGATAAGCTACGACACAAGTTACATTGGCACTCATGTCTCTCAAGGCTTTAACTTTTTGTGATATTTCACTTTTATGAGCACCATGTATTGTGGTTCTGTTGATATTGATGGAAATGTATTTCACTATTCATGTTGTGCTTATTCAATATTATTCATGTAAGATAAGGTGATGTTAAATTCCTCTTATTTGGGACGACCACTAAAAAATTGCTTGATATCTGACTCTTCTTTCTGTACATGCTTGGTATATATGGTAGGGCTCAACACTAACAGGCAACTGGGACATGTGAGACCCTCATTCCAAGTCCGGAATCTAAAAATCTCAAGATTTTTGCATGGCCTTGTGCATACAGATTTAAAAATTTTAAATCGGGATCCCCTCCCAAAAAAAGTTATTGTGAAGCACTGCAATGATATGGTATGCTACTGGGTACTTGAATTACTGGAGAGGCATCAATGTTGAAAGGGGCATCTCATGAAGTAAATTTGATGAATTATTCGTAAGGTGGCTTGCATTTTAGGTGGCGCTGATGAAATGTCCAAGCTGTATGAAATGTGCAAGATGAAGGATAATCATTCCAGTGAGAAAATTAGAAAATGAAGTACATGTATGAGGATTAAGCTGCAGCCAGGCAGCAACTTTTGTAATGTTAGAACATGATAAATAACACGCTCTATACACAGCACTGTGGAATCATTTTTGACTACTTTCAATGAAAGTTTGTTGTACTGAGTCTGGAGTCGGTAGCCTAAAAGGCTAGAAACACAGCACAGGTTGGGGATAAGTTGATCTATTCAAGACTCATTACATTACTGTTTGAGTGAAAGTAGGGCATTTTGTTTTTTATTATCATAGGGAAACCTTCTCTACCTTAAGTTACACAGTCATATGACGATTTTAACTCTTTATTATGTACAGGACCGGCCTTTAACATCACCATCCAGGAGATATCATGTGGCTCAAATTAAAGCCTGGGTTCTTTTATTACCACTACAAAACCAGAGAATCAACCACTAAACCCACTTTGTGACTGGACCCATTCACTGTAGGTTAGGACTACAGAGCTATTTATATGACATGTTAACATTGCAAATATTGGTGTCTGTCTGGCAGAATGAGTTTAATTACTTATTTTGATACATTATGATATTATGATCACTATTATGAAAGATGAGGGTTGGTAATTATGTACATATATTTCTGAACATAAAATGAAGTGCTGTGCCTGTTACATTTCATGTACTGTTTTGCAGTACATGTACATGTAACAAACCCAAAAAGGCTTTCAAAGGTTTGGCAGATGTGACGAAAATAGCAATATGAATGAATTGGTTTTAGGATTATGATTAGCTACTGGTATATTTGTTTTGCTTTGATAGCAACATTAATGTTTCTAGAGAGTAAAGACCCTACCAAATAGCTGTTTTATTTCTATATTTTGTCTTTTGCCACTTGTTAGTTTTGTTGTTGCTCTGTTTATTGTAAAAATCCACCTTACCTGGTACTCTGAAATATCCAGTTTAGATTAGTCATGGTAATTGCTTTTTCAAAGCTAGGCAAAATTCTGACAAATCGAACAATGAGTATGAAGATCAGAATAAGAGTATTGAATCGTTACATCTACCCAGTACTTATGTATGGTAGTGAAACATGGACTTTAGCCTCTGATACTAAAAAGCGTTTGGAAAGTTGCGAAATGTGGTTTTTAAGAAGAATGATGAAAATCCCCTGGACCGACAAAGTTAGTAATGAGGAAGTTCTCACACGAGCTGGAGTGCAAAGGAAAATGATACGTGAGATGTTGATTAGGCAGTTGAAATTCATGGGTCACATTACACGTAAAGAAGGCCTAGAGAATCTTGCTTTGACAGGGAAAATTGTGGGAAGAAGGAGTAGGGGAAGAAGGAGGATACTTTGGATGGACAGTCTGCAGAAATTGTTGGAGGAGAGAGGAGTGAAAGAACTGGGAGTGGTACTAATACAGAAGGCTAGGAGCCGAGGGTTGTGGAACAGCATGATCGCCAAAGTCAACGATATGGCACTTAGAGAGAGAGAATTGCTAACATAAGCAGTTCGAGAAGTTTTTTTTTTTTTTGGGGGGGGGGGGGGGGAAGGGGTCTATTGGGGTTATTGCAATAATTTTTACAATTTTGCCTTGCATAAAATTCACTTATAATCAAGAACAACAAAATTAGGGAGGGAGCTTGAACCCCGCAAGCCCCCCATCTACAAGGCATCTATAACCACTACTGATTGAAAATCACCTCTTTTTCAGTTGTGCATGGAAGTGATACTATTTGAAATTTTCAGCCATAGCTTTAGCTCATCCAATTTTTGTTGTTGTTGTTATTGATAGTGGTACGAGTTTCTTAAATTGTCCCAGTCCCAGATCTAGATGTTGATAAAGTGATAATTTGACTCTAAGGCCACAATTCAATAATTTGCAACTAATATTCTGCAAGTATCAGTTAGCATGCATGAATGTCTGCATTTATACAGATTATCAGATATATATTTTTATTTCCTTTATGTACTGTGAATTGAAGATTATTAATATGTCACATGTAGTGAATATTTTCTATGTTAATATATTTTAATGCAGTAAGAAAGAGCACTTCAAGCATGAATATTGTTGAAGTATGAAATTGAAACAAAATCAATATTAACAAACTTGAAAATGAGCTTGGAACGCGTGGGCAAACATTGTATTGTAAGTAGCTTGCCTTAATTATTGCAGAAACAACTTACGAAATGTCTTTTTTCTCGTCATCTATTAAAATATCAGCTTATACTGTAGTCTAAATACAGAAAAAAATTGACAGTTTTATAAATTTTTGAGGAACATGCACCTGATAAGTTTGACCTCTATGGAGATGTTCATACCTTGCTTTTTATTATTTAAAATATTTTTTTAAATGTTTTACTGTATTCAAATGTCTTCTTTAAAACAAAAAGTAAAGATTACCCAAGATTGTTCTTGTAAATCAAGAAATAGCTATGTGTTTTGACACTGTTCTCCCCAAGGAAATTAGATGAAAAATGTATCCTAAGTCCTGAACCAATACTTACATTGGACATTTCTGTTATATGATATATGGTAGCTATATTTTTCACATTTCTGCATATTGTATATTCGCTACTTTTTAAATAAGAATTTATTTAATTGTATGTATACGTGGAAATCGTTGAATTGAGATGGAAATTATAAATGTGATATTAAAATATGAATGTAAGATATACCGGTATTTAGCATCCTATATCATTTTTGAATGCCAATTTTCCCTCATAAATGTTGATGTTTTGTGTACAATTCATGAAAATATATTTCTTTGGTAAGAGAATACAGAGAGAGAGAATACAGAGAGAGAGAGAGAGAGGGGGGGGGGGGGGGGGGGGGAGAGAGAGAGAGAGAGAGAGAGGGAAGATTGAAAATGATTATGACAGCGAGGAGTGGATAAGGGAAATAAAATGTAAGTAAAACATCATTTTTTTTTTCCTCCAAAACCGCAATAATTACTAAACAGAAACAACAAGGCCAACTTGAAAGTTTTTGGATGGGGGATGCAGAAAGAAAGACTATAAAGGATGTCAAAGAATGGTAAAATTAAAAAAAGAATTGCTTATCATTCTTTTCAAATACCCCAAGATTCACACTATCTAACATTTATTGTTTTTGTCTCTGAGATATATAGAAATCGTGAAAAGGGTCCATCCTGGGCCACATGCACACCTGCCCCTCCCCTTTCTCAAGCTCGTCCAACACGCCATACACACGTCGTACGTACGCTGATAACGTATTACGCCGATTCGCTGATTACGTAATAAGCAAGAAAGCAATGGCTGGGCTCCATGCTGCGAAATGTTGCGTCCTAAACAGTAGGAATGCATTGCTGAAAAGTAAATACAGTCAAAGGGTGAGAGTGCTAGACAGATGGCTAAGCTGTTCTCGTTCATTAGGTAAGATATTATGAACTTTCCATCATTCTGAAACGACTTTTCTTAGCAACCGATCTCATTACAGTCCCATGTTATGATAATTTTGTTGGTAAAACAAAATCGAACTGCTTTATTGCGTTGATCTGGATGATTATTTTGATGGTGGGGGTGATGATGGTGATGATGATGATGGTGGTGGTGGTGGTGGTGGTGGTGGTGGTGGTGGTGGTGGTGGTGGTGGTGGTGATGATGATGATGATGATTATGATGATGATGATGATTATGATGATGATGATGATGATGATGATGATGATGATGATGATGATGAAGGTTTGATGATGAGGTTAATGGTGGTGATTATTTGGTGTTAATATCAAAGGTTCGGCTTTTCAACTAAATGCAAGCTAGCAAAAACTACTAAGTGAAAGAATGTTATTTGATATTGCTATTGAATAATGAGTAAATGAAAATAAATCTTCATTTCACAAGAGCTTGGACGATCGATCGATCCTCTCTTTTTATGGTAGACCCTACACTGCTACATTACAAAATTACTTGCAAGTAATTTTAAAATCATTGGTTGAACACTTGAATAAACCTACTTGGTCTGACATAATTCAGGATTAAAAAGAAAGATAATTAGATTAAGAAGTATCAACGGAAATGGATGTGGAATTCCAGATTTGCTCAAAACTGAAAGAAAATTTGGTGATGAAAGTTCAGAGAATAAAATCCTGTGATTTGTTGCAAAAGATGAATGTAAAGAATAGGTAACAATTGTTTTAAGATTTCTATTTTTCCCCCTTTTCTTGTCTGCAGGTTCATCTTATGATTATGATCTGGCAGTCATTGGTGGAGGATCTGGTGGCTTAGCCTGTGCAAAAGAGGGTATGAGAGTCGCTTGACATTTCATCCAAATTATCTTTTGTAACATCACACTTTAGCCAGCAGAATTCCTCATTACATTGCTAGTTTTCAGTGAGGGTTTATAGTGTAAAGATACTGGATTCATTGTTTCTTTACATTTGAAATGAAATGACTGCTTTATCCAAAAGGATTAATATTGTTGAAACTTTTTTTCTTCAATTATAAATTCTTATTACTGGAAATAAGATGATATGATCTTTTCTGTTTCTAATTTTAAATGTGCATTGCTGTTGTATTTTGGAAAAAGAATATTGCAATCTAAAAATAAATATCAAGAAAAAATAAAATCTTTAATGATGATCGATGATCAAGTAAACTTGCACATTGTGGATAAAATTCCAAACTTCATTCTTTAGTGTGAATAATTGTTATAAGTGATCCCCTCATATGTTTAAACTATTCCATGAATATTTATGACAATGTAGAGAATGCCAAGATCAATTCAGCTTTAATGTATCAAGGATCCACACTAATGTAACCTGGAATGAAAATAAGGCTTGTGTGCATTGGTCCCCAGTTTAGGTTTTATATTTTGGGGATCTGGTGTAAAACAAATTGCGCCCATGGGATTTGATCTCCCAGTGTACAGGACATTAAGAAATACAGAAGATTTATTTGCGAAACACAGCCAAAACTATTTTTTCTTTATTTCTTCTTTCACAGCTGCTGGTTTTGATAAGAAAGTCATCGTTTTGGACTATGTGGATCCATCACCCCAAGGTGAGTATTCCTTAAAGAATTTTTCAGTCTCGACTTCCTGAAATTTATTAATGATATCGGGTACGGTATCTGTATAGTTCTCGCATCCACCTCACAAGATGATCAAGGTGTTCTCCAGCTAGCTTTAGCCAGGCAACCAATTATGTCACTCACAACATTCAAGGCATTTATTACCTACAAGGTACTAATTTTCTTCACCTGGGTAGAGGGTGGCAAATGTAGATGTAGATCTTGCAAAAGGACAGTTGTGGTACTATGCTCTAACCATTATGCTCACGATCGTCACATCTGCCAAGGTGTTTAAACCAGATAAATCATTTCATGTTTGCAAGTGAACACAATTAAGTCTGCTTTGTCATTTGAATACAATTCATCAAAACAAATGTTATTACATTTCCAAACTCTTTTTCCACTACAGGAACCAAATGGGGCCTCGGAGGAACATGCGTTAACGTTGGCTGTATTCCAAAGAAATTACTCCACCACGCCTCACTTCTCAGAGAATCTATGCATGACGCTAAACATTATGGATGGCAGGTTCCAGATGATATTGGTCTATCATGGTGAGACACTTCAGCTTATTTTATGACCAAGTGATTTTAATGTTATTTCTTGCTGAACAGGCACAACAGACCCTGTTCGTTACCAACACAAATAGTTTGTTAGAACACTGGTGTTATTATAGCTATTAGCCTATTATTACAGCACAGTAACATGGACTAGCTAGCACTCCATCAAGTCTGACAGCCAATCAGAGCTCTTAAATTTGTATGTGCTTTGTTCCTGTAGTTTAATTTAGTTTTTCTGTTCAGTTTACATATTACTCTGTTGATTGGGAGACAAAAACAATGACAGAATGACTTCGTTCGAGGCAATTTTTCAACAGCAAAAATCTTTGTGAATAGGTGTTTTCTGAAGCAACCGCATATAATCTTCACAATATATACTGTCAGTTTACTTTAAGTGACACCATTTTGTATTGTTTGTACTAACTTGACATCTTTTTCATCTGCTTTGTACAGGTCCACTTTGATTGGTGGGATACAAGGTCATGTGAAGTCATTGAACTGGGGTCACAGAGTTCAACTCCAAGACAAGTAAGATATATCTTCTGCTTTTTAACATTGATGCTCACTTTCTAGAGGAAATATAAAGTCTGTTTATGAAACTGTTCTGATTTAAGCAGGACTGTTTCTAATTTGAAGGTTCAGTGACTGTACAGTAAGAATGGGCACTTAATAAACAAAGGCTAGATATGTTGAGATTTTGGAGTTTGAAGTATGTTTGTTTAGATGCTTGTATTTACCTTGGATCTTTTACAGATAAATGTCAATCAAGTGCGATAGAATTTGAAAGGTACTGCAATTTTCAGTACTGTTTCTAATTTTTCTGATGTGCATACAGGTTTGAGCTACTCTAATCACAGTGGTGTAACCATGGGGTTTATACACCTCACAAGACCTGTGCTCCCCCTCCCTCCCTTCCCCTCTCACCTGACACAAATTCTTCTTCACTCTTCTCCAATGGCTGGACTCATGCCATACCACTATAATATCTATTCATGCATTTATGTAGGACATTTATTGCTTTGTATTTCACCATGGTAGATAACATTTTACGGAATCACAGGTACACAGATTATATATTGTGTCTTTGTGTTTGCTTCCACCAGGAATGTTGAATACGTGAATGGAAAAGGTTCTTTCATTGATGAACATACGGTGAAAGTCAAGATGAAAGATGGAAAAGAGGTAGGTTACCACTCTACATGAATGAAGCTTACTTCCATTTAATGAAAAAAATAAAGTACCAAAATACAAAATGATTTTGATAATGCTTATATTTGTATAGATAATTTGCTCTTTCTTACATGTATATTTAGAGTACTGACTCCACAAACTTTAGAGTTATTGTCCATATAAAATTGATGTTCATTCTCTGAGATACCCCGGTAATTTTGATTGATGTGTTTTATGTCATTTGATCCAGACCCAGTTCTCTGCTGCCAACATAGTCCTCGCCACAGGAGGAAGACCCAAGTACCCTGATAAGGTAACACTGCCATCACTTCAAATTTGTAACAAACCATTGTTTTGTTCTCTCAAATGAACAGTGCCCTGGGAAAAAAAAAGAAAAAAAAAAGAAAAAAAATTGTAAGTAACTAAAAGTATGACAATAGAAGTGATTAACATTGCATTTTCATTTGCATATTGGTATGGCCTGTCTGAAATAAAACTATAAATGTCATCAAACAGAAATAAATAAATGTGATGTACCTTTATTCTTTCTACAGCGGATGAATCAACTTCAGGTTGTAAAATATATTTACAAATTGTAATCAAATTTGGTACAAGTTGCTTGCACATTTTCTCATGATGTATTTCAATGTAGTGTTTACATAATATCAAATATCATTGTTTGATCACTGTATACTGATCATATCTCTTTGTACTTGATTTGAAAGGTACCCGGTGCTATGGAGTATGGGATTACCAGCGATGACATCTTCTCTCTGAAAACTCCACCAGGAAGGAGGTATGATTTAATAGCAACTAATCAATTAAAACAAATAATGTCTGTTGCAGTTTATGTATCCAGCTCATATGAAAAGTTGTGTATGACTTACTCTAATGTATTTATTTTTGGTATGGGAGGGATTTTGCCATTCAAGTTTCGGCATTCCCAACATATAGCCAAGTCTGTAAAGGAACTTTTCAAAGTTACTTGTCATGCTACAGTAATGATTGCTATGAAGTGTGCCTTCAGTGATGCATTTTCATTTTGTAATCTCATATATTATGTACATTTTTGTGTGTGTTGTAAAGGTTGAGCACACTTATAAGTAAGTGTTGAACTAACAGTTACATATTAAAGCATTTATGTTAAAATTGTTTATTCATATTTATTCTTAAAATTGGACTTTATCTCCTGATATGAACCATATTTCACTTTCTTCTTTTTTTTCTTCTTTCTAGCTTGGTTATAGGTGGCAGCTGTATCCTTTGAACAAATAAAGATATTATAAATTATTCCTGGTCGAAAGGTGAGATTAAGGTGATAGTATGAGTGGGTGAGAAGGAGGGAGAGACATACAGAGAGACAGAGAAAGAAAAAGACAGAGTGGGAGAGAGAGAGAGAGAGAGAGAGACAGACAGAGAGAGACAGAGACAGAGACAGAGACAGAGAGAGAGAAAGAAACAGACAGAAACAGAGAGAGAGAGAGAGAGAGAAAGAAACAGAAAGAGAGAGAGAGAGAGAGAGTTTGTATTGAATCAAATTATTGATTGTGAACTAAAACTAGGTCCAGATCAAATAAATTTCATAAATATCTTTTGTTGCTCACAAAGTATCATGGAGGTGCTACACTGCTTAACATCTATCTTAGACATTTTCCTTGACAGCTACCACCTGATCAGATGTTGCTTTAGAATGTGCCGGTTTCCTGCATGGTCTTGGCTTCCCCACAACTGTAATGGTACGGTCCATCTGCCTCAGAGGGTTCGATCAGGTATTGAAATTAATAATGACTATTTGAGTATGATCGCATGTATACTACATGTGACTGCATTTTAGGGGATCTCAAAGCTGCATATAAGTGGGATGTTCATAATGTTCTCTCCATCAATATGATTGAATGCTGTTTTGTGTTATAAATTCTTTTCTTTGCGAGAGCATTTGTAAATTTTTGGTAGAAATGCAATTGTGAATGGCTTGACATTATGGATTTTAGGAGTTAGCTAGCATAGTCGGATTTGCAGTTACTTTTCATAATTTATTAGTGTTTGAACCTATAATCTTACAGAGTCTTATATTGGTATATTTCTGATTTTCAGCAAATGTCCAGGCTTGTAGCAGACCACATGGAAGCCAGTGGTATCCAGTTTCTATGGCAACAGGTCCCTGAGAGTGTAGCTAAGAATCAAAATGGCAGCCTGAATGTGAGGTGGAGGTCAGATCAAGGTCAGGAAGGTCATGGAGAGTTTGACACTGTCATGTTTGCTGTAGGTGAGTGCATACTGTATGTTGTTTTGAATTAAGGGAGTGAGCACCATGTATATAGGGGATCCAGTTACCAAAAGACTTTGACCCCCATCCTCCCGTCCTCCCTTTCCTGAAAATCCTGAATTCACCCCCCTGAAACAACATACTTATTCACCCTTTTTACTAAAGTCTGGATGTTTGATTGTTTCTTTCATTTGTAACGATTCACCTACTCCATTATTATTGAATGGAATAACACTAACATATTACTATGCCACTGTCATCACTTTAGGTGGACTATTCCATTTGTTCCAACACATGGTTTACGTATAGATAGAGTCGACTTCTTATAGATTAAGAATGAAATAAATCCTGCTTCTATCTTCACAGGTAGAGAACCAGAGACCGCTCAACTTGGCTTGGACAACACCGGTGTTCAACTCTCTGAAGGAGGAAAGGTCATGGGGTCAAATGAACAGTCTTCCGTCCCTCATATACATGCCATTGGAGACATACTTGAGGTAATGTTACATGCACTGAATGAGAAGAAAACTCCTTGACCTAAACTTATGAAAATTGTAAGTGCTTTCATGGCAAGAAATTCATAGAATTTGTTATCAAATTTTGAAAATTCAGTCCCATGATTTATATTCAGTGCTCTACTACATGACTACTACTATGACTGTATAGGAACCTACTCTTAGTGATAAGAATGGTTCATATATCTTGAACACTTGCAAAACTTCAGCCAAACTCCCTTGCATACAAATGTAACCGGAGTTGGAAAACGTTGAGAAAGCAAATTAGTAATTCATTTTAGGAGGTAGCTAGTCTTCTGAGGAGCACCAATTGGTTAAGTGATTCCTAATTGTCATTTTTTATGGGTCATGAAGGAGAAAAAAAGTATTTTGACTGCAGATGTTAAAAGATGATGAACAATACTATTTTTTTCTGTACAAGTTACATACTTATCTCACTCTATTGTTCTGGATACAGAGTGGAATAGAGCTTACTCCTGTAGCTATCAGAACTGGCAAGCTTTTAGCCCAACGATTGTTTGGTCAAGGCACAGAACATATGAACTATGAACAGGTGAGTACCAATGTGACATCTGTTATGTTTTTATTATATTATATATTTACTGTCCACAACAAATAATTGTGCTAATGATCTGTTTGTCAATCTGGCAGCATTAATTAATTGCTCAGGCATAAAAGATTCTTTAGTGTATAGTTATATGAACAAAAAACCCAGGATAAATAGATTTAGATGCAAAGAGATAATGATTTGAAGGCTGAGAGATTAGGAGAGGAGATGAAAAGAAATAGAGAGGAAAGAAAGGGAGAGAGAGAGAGGGTAGTAGGGGCAGAGCGCAGGAAGAGCTAAAAATGATTTCAAGAAGGGTAAAGGGATCAACAACAACAAAAAAGTAAGAAGAATAATATTATAAATATTTTAATATATTAAAGAAACAAACAGTTTTTCAAATTGTATAAAGAAGAATTTATGAACCTTACCTTTTCTCTACAGGTAGCCACTACAGTGTTCACTCCTCTAGAATACAGCTGTGTAGGTCTCTCTGAAGAGACTGCTACAGAGAGATACGGGGAAGATCACATAGAAGTAAGTTGTTACCAAATCATATATTCTACGTTCAATCAGTCCAATTCAGTTGAAAACCCAATAAGTCGGTCCTGTCTGTCCATTTCAGTGTTGTTCTAACCTGTCCAGTTCATGTTATTCCTATCCATTCAAAATAAATCGGATTTAATTTGATTAAATTCAGTCCAAACTAGTACTTCAAATTACCAATTCCATCCTAATCCTAATAATAATCATAGCTCACATTTATAATGCGCCTAATACTTCGTTTCTAGGCGCAGCACATATTATTACCCCTGTCGTTGGATTTAGGCTTACCCGGCGCAACACAATGTATGCACATTTTCCCACTCCCTGGGGAGCATTACCTAATCCATTACAATCCGCTAATTTGCTGGAGAGCCTTACAATTCTATGTTTGTATTTTTTTTGATAGGTTTACCATGCCTTCTACAAGCCTCTTGAGTATGTAGTGCCAAACAAACCAGCCGAGCAGTGCTATATTAAGGTGAGTAGTTCCCAAATATTGATGTTTATAATGGATTGTACAGTAGCACAATATGTACAAATTGTCATGTATAGCTGTAAACACTGAAATATTTGCGGTACAATAATTTTCGCGGATTTCGAGCAAAGATCGGCAAGCGTTAATTTTACAACTCGCGAAAGTATAAGCATGGCTTCTTGTGCATGTTTAGAACTGGCTGAATTGCGTGCTACGCGAATTTAAGAACCAGTGAATATGTTTTGGGGTCGCTCAGCGCGAAAAAATTAATCAAGCAATAATAACAGCGTTTACAGTATCTCTTTGACTATGTGGGGAAAACGTAATTGAAGGTCTTGTAAGGGAGTTTTGGTCCAGCGGATGTTTTATTCATCAAGAGGCTTGATATGTTCCGCAAACTGCAAATCAACCCAATATTTACGTGATCTCACTAATCCCCATATTTAGTAAATACTATCAAACCAGTCAGAGAGGTCATATACAAAGGCCACATTTTTGTGGTCACATTTTGGTGGTCACATATATAATCCCGCTTAGAACCTTTCTAAAAAGGCCACTTGTAAAAAGTGGTCTCTCTTTTTCTGAATGGGCATTTATAATCAGGGCCCTGTTTCATATAAGTAGTGTTATCAATAACAAGTACCACAGGACTATAACAAAATTTGCTCACAGCCACTTAAAACAAATGCAAGGACGGTAGCTTATAACAATTATCGTAACTTGTTATTGATAACAAGTTTATGAAACACGGCCCTGGTATTACCATGAGATCTTGGATGAAAGAACCTTACCCATGTTGTGTACTTCTGTATATCTCCTTTCCCCAGGCTATCTGTCTACGAGATGGTGATCAGAGAATCCTTGGTCTTCACATTACAGGCCCGGGCGCAGGGGAGATTATGCAAGGTTTGCATTAGCTGTCAAGTAAGTCATTTCTTGCTCGTTAACCTTTTTTTTTAAAGAGGACAAAACACCCCTTTAAAAAAATGTATATATAATATATAACTTTACTCTATCATAATGTTATGAGCAAGTCATATGATTGAAGGATTTAGAACGATTAAAGAGCAAATATTCTGTATCTTTGAAATGTGCATTTTACCACAAATTACCTTTATGGAGTTGAATTTCACTAGAAACTATAAAAAAGAAAGAAAATAGATCAAGGCAACTGATTGATAGTTTTGCCAGTGATTCACATTTGTGTTTATCTATCTCTGATCATTACTAGAATGGGGGCCACATACCAGCACCTGTCCTCTACCATCGGTATCCATCCCACCTGTGCTGAGGAAGTAGTCAAGATTCACATCACCAAGAGGTCAGGTCTTGACCCCATGGTCACAGGTTGCTGAGGTTAAAGGTCATTTCCCTATCACACGGTATGTAGGCCATAAATGAGAGTCTGATCAAAGGATCACTCAGCATCAGGAATGCGATTAAATGGACCATTAAAGCCCCTCTGCACTAGTTTGGCCAGGAGGGATTACACCTTCCTGCATGGTCACTGACAGGTGCTTCTCTCATCAACTCAGCTCTCAATTAACATAAGAAAAAGGGGACCAATGGTCACCGATTAGGCATTGTTTGCTATATAGAGGGCACTAGTAGCTATAATTAGTGCAGTGGGGCTTTATAGTGTATGGGCTAAGACCCACATGGCCAAAAAAGACAATATTTTGTATGAAACGGCATATTTTGTTGCTGTTGTAGAGAACTCTCATGTATGGCTCATGCCTGGGGAAATGACATTTTAAACATCTTATTCAGTTTATAGAATCTTTTGCTAATGCTTTTATGACGGATCATCTGAAAACCATTCTGTGGTGGGTTGATCTTGATGTGTTGCATAGTTCTTTATCTTCTGGTATCCCTTGTATATATATATATATATATATATATATATATATCATATAAATAATGACGCGATAATTAAATCTAACGTTCTGATATTTCATAATAATAATAATAATAATCTGGTTTTTTATATAGCGCTCAATACACCGATCCAACGATGTACCTAAGCGCTTTACAGATATATTATTACCCCGGTCATCGGGTTCAGGCTTACCCGCACACAATGTGTGCACATTTTCCACTCCCTGGGGAGCATTCCAGCCAGTCATCTAATATGTTTTGAAATGTTCCATTCAAAGTGCAGGTATATAGTGGAAACTCATTATAAAGAGGACAGGAATCTTGTTAGATATATACCAGGGTTAAAATACAAATAATAAGAAGACCTGGGACCAGCAATATTACTTAATTGTTATATCAAGCATCTTTTTATATCAGAGCTCTTTGATTCGAGTTTCCACCGTACATTGTTACGAACTTAGGACAGAGTCTTGGGTATTGAAATCCCTCTGATATTAGTATGATGTAATTTCACAATATTTTGGTGAAATATACCTATTCTGAAAGCTTTTGCATCGTTCTACAACTATTATGTACTTAGAATGGTATCTTTGTCAAACACTTAAAGCTCAAGACCAGCTATGGTAATGCAATTGCATAGTGAAAGAAACGTTGTGAAATCGATCAGAAAAGGTTGATCATCTAGCATAGATGTACTGCAAGGTTCTGGAATCATCAAAATTATGAGAAATTTGGCCAAGTCTTCATAAAGTTAGAAGTACTGTACACAGAAAGATGTATATGGGACTACACAAACATGCGCGACACATGCATTTGTATCTCTCAACAGAATATAGATATACTAATTTACCAAATATATCAATTAGTAGGCGGTTTCCTGTCAAAATTTTATCGTCATGTAATATTCAAAACATTCTTTCACATGATTGGTAATAAGAGCTTCCATTTCATTTTTTGAAATTGGGGTGCTTCCAATACTGGTATTTACCTTTAACTTTTCTACTACATCATGTATAACGTAAGTGCAATATAACTGTGATCTAATTGATAAATGACAATATTGTCATTGTCATATTTCTTTGATTTATGTTTTGATGAATGCCACCTATATAGGATTCATGTGTATAATATGACTACATAATATGAAAGTTATGTTTCTCCCTTTGTTTATCTTGTTGATAAATACATATTTGACAATAATGATTAAATCAATTGTTTATGATATGGTTCCATTGTGCATGTATTTTTGTATTGAACGAGTTGAGAATTTAAATACTGACAAAGAAGAAAATGTCTTCTTTTTATACAGACATATCTTTGAAAATCATCTTATTGAAGAAACATGTTAAACAAGATCTCTCTGTAGAAAAATGTCAATGTGATGAAGACTTCACAATAAAAAATGCAGAGAAATAAGATTGTCTATGTATTCTGTTTTTCAATGTCACTGTATTTTCTTTAAGACTACTGCAAACTTTCTTTTATTTTTGATCACACCAAATGACGTCTTGACTTTTGTCAACATATCAGACACACAAAACCTTAAAGAAGAAAGAGAGATAAGGAGGGAGACTGGGGGAAGGCTGCGGAGAGAAAATATACTGTATTTGCTAATTATACCAGAGAGAGAGAGAAACATTGAGGATCTTTGTTCAGCCTTTGCATTTATTCTGTTGTTCCTTCACTTCAGGACCATTCCTGTAGTTTTATTTATACCAAAAATATCCACACAGGCATAATAGCTCTCACTGTAGAGATGCTTTAATTATTAGTTTTTACTAAATACAACAAAAGCTAACAACACTATCTTCTGTAAACAAACAGTTTCTAGATGTACATGATAGTATGGCAAGATTTAAAATTCACTATACAGAATCTATAGCACTGCTAGAGCATCAGCACATTTATTATTATTTACTCCTAGAGCACCAATATCATTTGAAAAGGAACAGACACCACTTTAGCTAGATTTAAAGATCTCCAGACCAATATAGACTATCATTACAGCAAGGGCCTCTATAGGTGAGGTACGAGGGAGAGGGTGAGGGCATATCACTGCCTCTGCCCCCCCACCCTCCTTTCCTACACACATACACACACACACACACACACATTGGGAGATTTTTAATCTACAATGTATTTAAATTTTAATGTTGAACACCCTTGCTATGGGAGGAGACTCAGGAGGGTCAGCCCCTCTTCCAAATCCTCCTCTCCTCCTCGGTCGCTTCTCTCCACCCCAAGTTCACCGTTCAATCTTGAGAACCTGGTGGCACCCCTTTTCATGTTAAGATGGCAAGATCTGCATTTTGTTTAAATTGGGGGTGACGGTGACAAAGATTCTGAAGTTTACGAATCAACATGAAGATTGAAATTTCTTGAATAAATATTGTGTTGTAAAACTATATTCGATCAAACTTAAACAGAGATTTTGGCAAGTATAGTGCAGAAATAAATCAGTACTACAGGTTTAGTACATTGCATGATTGCACCCGCCATTTCTTCTTTCTTGTGATACAACAATTAAAAATTTGAATCCATTTCTACTTAAATTCATGCTATGGAAATATTGGTTTTCTTAATTCAATTTGGCTTTTCATAAATTAATATCAGTTTGTCTATTTGCAAAGATAGTTCCAACTCAATCAATTTGTAATTGCTCTTATGATGCCATGATTCAATATTGTATGATAAGTACATTTACATAATCAATGATTTAGTTTTCAATAAGAACTTCAGAAAATTCCATACAAGTCTTGCAATGTATTTGACATCATATAACGTATCGGTATACATTTCATGATAATGCCTATCTTGAGTTTTCCAATGTGATATCTTTCTATTGCACATTTCTTTTCTGATGAGCAGATTTAAATAGGAAAATTACTTTTCTTTAAAATCTGGTCTTTTTAAAGCTTGGTAATAACCTTAATCAAAATCATCGCATAAGACTCATTAACCTTATCACCATAATAAATGTACTTGACATTTAATTATATTTTTGATGGAGAGAACACAAAGTCAAGTCGTAGCTGACTCATTTATTAATGCTAAAGTGTAGTTGGTTGTTTTGGTTACTGGAAAGTGATCACCCAAAGCTCAGTACTCATCCAATGAACTGGTTGCCTTATCAGGAAACCAAATATGGTTGTCTATAGTCTAATTTATCTCTCCATGTAAGGTATGTTAAAATTACGATAAATAAGGTACTTGAGGAAGCTGAAGTTTTTACCTACATGTATAAAGTGTTTACAGCGCAAAGCTAGTTGGGGCTTTGCCTCCAAGAACCCAGCCAGGGCTTGTAAAACGAGCCCTTGCTCCCTAAGAAAAGTACTCTTGTTACACGCTCATAACACTAGCCCATCCCCCCTCACAATACCTTCCATTTTGTTGTTGCCAAATTTGACATCCCCAATATTTTTACGATCCCGATGGCGACACTTCTTCCACATGGGTTCTTTTATGCCTTTCAAAATTGCCCCTAGTTGAAAATATTTTGTCACAACAAGAACAAGGGAAATGCTTTTCTCTTGTGTGGGTTTTCATATGTCTTGTCAGATTGCTATGCTGTGAGAATTTTTTGTCACATACACAACACTCAAAAGGCTTTTTTCCAGAGTGGGCTCTGTACATGTGCCTCGAAAGCCAACTCTGATGTAGAAATCTTTTCTCACAAATGGCACAAGGGAAGGGTTTCTCCCCAGTGTGATTTTTCATATGCTGCACAAGATTACCCTTGATGGCAAATAATTTGTCACAAAGCGAACATTTGAAAGGCTTCTCTCCTGTATGAGTTCTGATATGTCGGGTAAGACCACAGCTGTCTGTAAATCCTTTGTTGCAATAAGGACACTCAAAAGATCTACCTGCCGTGTGGACACGTTCATGTGCTAAGCGTCTCCCCTCAGATGAAAATTCTTTACCACATAATGAACACTTGTGGGGTTTCACAGGTATATGGGCTTCCTTATGTCGCATAAGACTTCTCTTTTCAGTGAACCTTTTATGACATTCTGGACACTCAAACCGCTTTTCTCGTGCAAAGTTCATGGGACTGCTTTCATCTGGGAATCCTGTGTCACACATTGAATACTCTTGGATCTCTTCACCACAATCAATTGCTCCTGCAGAATTCAACTGTCCATGCTCATGATGTAAATCTTGGTCTATGGTATCGACCTCTGCAACACACAGTACTTGGAGGTGGTCATCCTGATTTTGTCTGTGAGTAGAGCTTACTGAACCTTTACTTAGAGACATATCAGATCTTGAAGAGACAATTGCTTCTGACACTGTCAAGGTTGTTTCTGACTCATTACATGGTGAACCATCCTTCCGTTTTCTTGTGATCTGCGGGGTCGATCTTGGAATTTCATTGCAGTCCTCCTTGCTTGAGCTTCCATCTAAGGAGAAAAGGAGGATTTGAAGAAATATAATTTTGATAAAAACAGAGAAATTACATTATGCTTTAATGAAAAAAAAAATTGTAACACATTCACACAAGCTGCTAAGAGCTGGATGCTTCAATTTGTTGTCTCTTTTTAAACTTCAAAAGATTAGTAAATAAAATACAATCCTAACACTGAAAAAATGCCACAAAAATGATAGTATATCATATTGTATGATTATGATATTGGCCTCAAACAAAACCATCTGCAAAATTAGAGAGTGCATGTGTCATATGAGTTGGCCTTATTCTAAGCGAGTCACCCTTTGGGAGTTGAAAGAAATTATTGGGGGGGGGGGGTCTCACATCTCTAAATTGTTTGCTGAGGTTTTCCTGTTTTAATTTAAACATTTTAAACAAATATATTCTTAGATTCAACACTTCACACTGTCTCGTAAGCTATGGATGTCATAATCCTTTTCCTGATGATCCATGCAAACTATTTCACTACCTTGTTCGGATGAAGAGTGTGCCGTAATCTGCACGTTCCTTGTTTCATCACCTTCTCCATCTCCTTGATAATCGTTTTCAAGATAGTCATCGTCCGACACCTCTTCTTTTATGAGCACATGGTAAGGTAGCCCTTCTTCATCTGCCAGTTGATGTCCTTCAGATTTATCATCTTCTATCCATTCATCTTCAAGACCATTTTCTTTTGCATTAGAGGCGTCATCTTCTACATCCCCTGCTGGTAGAAGATCTGCCAGTTTCTCTTTGGGTTTATCCCCTTCCCCATAGTAACCATCTAAATCCTCTTCTTTGATAAAGAAGATCTCGTAATCATGTTTTTCTCTAGTCTGCTGCTCTCCAGCTATCTCTTCAGCTTCACTGTCTTCTCTGTAATCATCTTGCATGTTTTCTCCACTTCCAGATGTGCAGTCAGTCTGGCAGCATACTCTTTCTGCCGGCTGTAGCTCTTCATATATCCCCTTCTTGGATTTCCCCATGGTGTTCAGATTGTTTACACTCTCTCCTAAAAAATAAAAAAGGACACGGTAGAGTCTACATGGAAAAACTGCAAAGTTTACACAAAAAAGCCTGTATATGATTATATACTGCACTGAGTTCAATGGTTGCAGAACACTAGATAATACGTTTTTGCACATTTGATATGCACACATTGCCCCCTACCTCACTACAATCCTACCTCTACTACTCTCCTACTACTACCACCCTACCTCTGCTGCCATCCTTGATCCTACCTCATTACCCTACCTCTACTTTGTCTAATACCATGTACCCTAAATCTATACTATCATCCTACTTTATGACCCTATTTATAGAATCACCCTACCTCTATTACTTCCCTATATCTACTCTATTATTGTCGTTTTGGAGCCACATGGGTGTTAAATAATACAGAGCTACGGTACATGTAAGTTAATCCTGTTAATTTGTAGCGAAATTCCAACTCTATTAATATGCTCAAGTTAAGTGGGCACAATTCATATATATGTTTATATATATTGTTTTCTAAAGAACATACCAGAGCATGTGGTTGGGCTGCTAGGAAGACAAGGAGTGTTGGGCTTCGTGTCCTGAAATGAAGATGTACTTGGGCTCTTTGAAGACTCTTGTGGCTTGCTTGATGTGGGGGTTGGTGTGCTTTGGAGATGACTGTAACAAAAATTATTATTTTGTACAACATTTAATATGTCCTCTTATTATCATTGTATCTTTCTATTCAATCCCTGTAATCTGTATGGAAATGTTTAAATTTCATCATCAATAATAAGAAAATTAAAATTTATGAAATTTTATGTACAGAGCAAATAGAGAGGAAGTCACAAGGCATGTCAGTGTTACACTTAAAATTTGTGTTCAATTGATCACAACTTTCAAAAATTCACAACTTTCTTGTTTTAATCAGAATTTGGCATTTGTTCAAATTTTCACTGACATAGACCCTACATGTATTCTGTGCATTTTCTGGTTCTATTAAAACCAACTTAATACCAGGGTGGACTTCTTGTTCAACCTGTTTCAGATTGAGCAAAGCTAGATTTTTATGCAATCAAAACTGAGCTGACCAGATTTAAACGTATTGTTTAAAAAGGCAGGAATATTAACATGATGAAGTTGTAAACCATCTAGAGACTCCAAATAAATTGTGATTCTTTACCGATAACTGATTTTCTTATGATTATATTTTATAACTGAAGTTAATTTATGGCATTTTTATATATCTATAGTCTACAAGCGCGTAGCCAGGATTTTATTTTAGGGGGTGGAAGTGAGCACGCAAAGCGTGCGAATCACTTACAGAGCGCGCACTCCCTGGGGGGGGGGGGGGGGGGGGAGAGGGGGGAAGTTGCGGAAGCTTTGACGTTTCATTAAATTATTAGAGAAAAAAGACGATTCGTTGTACCGTTCTCGACTCTTAATCCTTGTCTGAATTCAGTTCCCCCCTCCCACGCTTTGCGCGGAATCTTTGACGTTTCATTAAATTATTAGAGAAAGAAGACGATTCGTTGTACCATTCTCCACTCTTAATCCTTGTCTGAATTCAGTTCCCCCCCCCCCCCCCCCCCCCCCCCCCGCGCGGAATCTTTGATGTTTCATTAAATTATTAGAGAAAGAAGACGATTTGTTGTACCGTTTTCGACTCTTAATCCTTTTTCTTCCTACGTCCTCTTCCTTTCTTCCTTCTCTTTTTTTTTTTTGGGGGGGGGGGGGCAATTTCCCCCACCACCCCCCCTGGCTACTCGCCTGAGAGTCTAGATGTAGTAGTAGACTCTAGTACTGAATGAAGCTAGTGTCAGTGAACGCCATAAAACTACCAACATTGCAACAACAACACCCATTCTTTCAAGAGGAGTCGGGCCAACTCGGAACTCGGCCTCGCTGTAAAAACTGTCAGTTTTTGCAATTAAGTTTAGTGTTAGGATTAGGTTTAGGCAATTAAGGTTAGGGTTAGGCCTAGCCCTAGGGTGAGGGTAAAATGACCCAAAAGGAAAGTTTTTACAGCGACGGGGGCCGAGGCCGGGTTAGCCCGGATTCTTTCAACACCCTCTGGACACCCCCACCCCCCCCCCTCCCTCCATCATCATTACCTTCGCTTAATAATTGGCGCCAAAGGAGGCATGGGCCGCATGGCCATGGCAGGTGGCCTTGGTGGATTGAGAGGAGGAACTGCAACTGGAGACTTGATGGGTGGTGGCAGGCCGTAATTACCAGGGATCACCTCAGCTGCGCACCAGGGGCTGGCGACGGTAGCGCATGGTGGAACATTGCACAGTTTGCAACTGGAGTGAATCTCAAGCAGATGCATCGCGAACTTTTCATTCAAACTTTCCCTGGATGGGACTACCATTCCACGTCCAAATATATTCTTGTGTTCCACCCATATATCGTACGCGCTGTGGATACGTATTCTCGTCTGATTGTATCCCCTCGAGCTCGACCTCCCGTCTGCCATTTCAATCGAAAAGCACATCGGCAGGCTAGGCGCAGCTCAGGCAAGCTGGCTAGGCCATGCCAGGCGCTAGCGCGCTAGCGTATAGCCTGGCGCATGTAGATATACGTACGTGATCCTAGCCAGCCGCCCCACCTGACAGCCCGACCCTGGACAAGCCGACCCAATACCCTGGACAACTCGACCAGGTCCAGGGTGGGGGTGCTTCGGTGGACAGCTCAACCCACTCCCCCCCTCAAAAAAATCTATATACATGCAGTGGCGGATCCAGGGGGGGGGGGGGGGGCGACCGAAACCCCCCCTTATTGGCGGGGGTGTGTGTGTATGTGTTTGAAAGAAATTTACAAAGAGAGGAACTGCACAAAGGAAAATAAGAGGGAGAGGGATCGAGGGAGAGAGAGAGAGTGCAGTGTGTGTGTGGAAGAGAGCTATAACTGCAAAGGAAAATGAAAGGGAGAGGGGGAGAGAGAGAGAGATATTTGGAAAGAAATATACAGAGAGAAAAACTGCAAAGGAAAATATAAAGAGGAATTGAGAAAAAAGATACAATGTTCTGTAATTAAATTTAAAAAATACTAGCTTAATGGCGAACTAGCAGTGCATGCTCAACAGTTTTTTTTATGTGTGTATTTTGGAGCAAAATCCCCCCCCCCCTTTGTGATTTTTTGTTTCTTCTTTTTTTTGTAATTAAAAAAAAAAAAGTTATGCCAATGGCTGACCTTAAAAAGGTGACCTTACCCCCCCCCCCTAACGGAACAAAATGTCGGATTTTCAAATTTCGAGACCCCCCCCCCCAAAAAAAAAGTGTCCCCCCCCCCCCCACGCCCCGCTTTTTCAGCGGCTAGCTGAGTCGTTGCGAAATTTTCGGCCCAATTTAAAAATGTTAAACCCCCCCTTGAAAAAATCCTGCGTACGCGCGTTACTGCCGACATGTGGAGTGGAACCTAAGCTGCAGCTGCAGCTGCGCTGTATCGGTCTGGTAAGATATTGCTATTATTTAGTTATTTTAACTCCGAATTAGCATTGTCGACGACAATTAGGAGAAGAAGTGGCATAAAATTCATTAAGGCCACTGTCCAATATTCGTCGGATGTGGGAAGGTGTGATTTTGGACACATTTTAGGGTTTGTTTACATGGCTCTCTCTCCGGATGGCTCTCAGCTCCGCACGGGTTCGTTGGTGTCTGGTCAGGTCGCCCCCCAGCCGGTCGCGACATTTTTAAACCTAACCTAGCCATCCTGCGCTGCATATTAATATTTGAATATATGAATATTTGCGTTGGTATAAATCTACGGTGTGGTGAACATCAAAATTAAATCGGCCAGATTGTGTACTTTAATAACCAGTATGTCGCAATGATTATGGACAATGTATGACCTGGGGAGTCATAATGCAGCAATAGGATGGCTAGGTTAGGTTAAAAAAAGACGTCAGCCGGTCGCCACATATACACAGTCGCCTCCTTTGGCGTAGTCGATCCCCGGCCCCCCCACTCAGAGGTCGGAATGACCGCATGCGTGTTGCCAAAATGTCCGGTAAAGGGGTACTTTTCGTGCGACAAAGTCCGGCCCGAGAATTGTAAAAAAAGGGGTGTATTTGACTTTTCACCCGGAGATTTCTTTAAAAAGGGGGTGTTTTTCTTTTTTTCTCTCATCTCTTTGCCTTTGGACTCCTGAGAAATTATTCCGAATTAAGGGGGGTAAATTTAGCATTTTTCCTGATTTAGGGGGGTCTCCAGGGCAGGAAAAGCCCGCGAAAAGCCCGCGAAAGGGGGGTTCGGAAATGTTGGCAGTCCTCAGATAGGGGGTGCTTTCAAAAAGAGGGTACGAGCATATGCGTACCCTAAATAACACTGAGTGGGGGGCCGGGAGTCGATCGCCCCCAAATTGTGTGGTCGGATCGCCTACTATACACAGTCGCCCCTCTCTGTAAATATAATGCATTTAATCGGAATTTTTTTCTCCATCTGGACCAATAAATTTAAATTGAAATGACTTATGATTGGGGATTGGTTGGATGTTGGGCAAACCCGGACTTTAGTGCCCAGCTGAAAATCTCAGTTTATTATGGATTTAATATCAATAATATTAATTATGCTAATATATGCAAATATAAACATACCAAAACTTGATGATTTTTAATCATTTGACGTCATAAAAAGCAATTTTAAGCCAAAAATAGCAGCGAAGTAGGGGATCTCCTCTTTGCTTGATGCGAGATACTAGCGAACTGAAATAACCGAATAAAAACTATGGTGAACTAAAAAAAGAAAAGAAAAAATCAAACCACCTCTGAAATTACCTTTGAAATGTTTATTAATTTTTTCTTCCGATATGCGCACATGATAGGGGCAGGTTGGGATGGGATGGGGGGGGGGGGGGGGTGCTCAATAGTCGCCAAATTTGGGGTAAAAGGGCAACTGGCCTTGGGGGGGGGGGGCTAAATTTATTATTTACTTATTTTTCTTTGTAATCATTTTTCTAATTTTTTTCCGGGGTGGCTCTTTTCTTTATTCTGCTTCTTCTTTCTTTCTCACCAGATATGCACGAAACATTGGGGGTTTGAAGAGATGACACCCCCCCCCCCTTCCTGATGGGGGCGCCAAATTTAAGGGTTATTTTAATCTTTCTTTCTTTTTCTCTGCCCCCCCCCCGTCCCTTTCTCCCTTTCTCTTTAATAGGCATGCACGCATCGAGGGGGCGAGTGGGATGGGATGGGGGTGCTGAAAACTCGCCAAATTTGGGGTAAAAGGGCAACTGGCCTCGATGCGTGCATGCCTATTAAAGAGAAAGGGAGAAAGGGACGGGGGGGGGGGGGGGGGGGGGCAGAGAAAAAGAAAGAAAGATTAAAATAACCCTTAAATTTGGCGCCCCCATCAGGAAGGGGGGGGGGGTGTCATCTCTTCAAACCCCCAATGTTTCGTGCATATCTGGTGAGAAAGAAAGAAGAAGCAGAATAAAGAAAAGAGCCACCCCGGAAAAAAATTAGAAAAATGATTACAAAGAAAAATAAGTAAATAATAAATTTAGCCCCCCCCCCCAAGGCCAGTTGCCCTTTTACCCCAAATTTGGCGACTATTGAGCACCCCCCCATCCCATCCCAACCTGCCCCTATCATGTGCGCATATCGGAAGAAAAAATTAATAAACATTTCAAAGGTAATTTCAGAGGTGGTTTGATTTTTTCTTTTCTTTTTTTAGTTCACCATAGTTTTTATTCGGTTTCAAGTTTCAAGTTTCAAGTTTCAAGTTTATTTGTCTTCCAGAAAACACATGTGACAAAATATAATAGAGTATAATCATAACAGTACAATGTAGAACAAAGGAAGACGAGGAGACCTTGGTTGAAGCACAGCTTGTTAAGTTAAGGCCCCTCATATGATGTGACAAAGATAACTTATTTATGAATACAACAACAAATATGGAATATATAAAACTATTTACAAAATACTCTCAGAGAACAACTACCCAACGTTGCATCTAATATGATCTAATATGGACAAACCCAAGCCGACACCAAGTCGAGACATCAATGAGTTATTGCTCTCTGAGTGCAGAGGTCAAGTAGGAATATATGGTATATGTAGTATGTACAGATGAGAAAGAAGAAGAAAAAAGAAAAGGGATAAAGGGGGTTATATGTCAAAGTCAAGAATTAACGAAAAAAAATCAAGAGTAGAGTTAAATATGCTACAGTACACTAACAATAAAGCTTGATAACACATTCATGTGTCATCGACATACTTGTCAAGAAAATATGACTTAAGTCTACGTTTAAAAACTGAGATACTTGAAGCATTTGTTATGGTAGTATCAAGTGAATTCCAGAACCTGGGGCCAGTGGACATTAGTGTATTCAAAGTGAAGGTTGTCCTTGCATATGGTAAATGGAGAGCAGAAGCCTGTCTAGTATTATAGCTGTGAATTTGGTTATTCTTCTAAAGATTTGAGCAAGGGCAGGAGGGAGGTCTCCAGAGTGAATGCTAAACATGAGCATTCCAAGTTGCATTGAATATAGATCTTCTAGTTTTAGAATACTGTTTTCATAATAAAGTAGATTTGTATGTGCACGATAATTTGCTTTACAAATTATTCTAATAACCCGCTTCTGCACAACAAAAAGCCTGTGGATTTGAGTTTTGGATGATTTGCCCCATGCCAACATACCATAATTGATATATGATAAAATAAGAGTAGAGTACAAAATGAACAATACCTCTCGAGGTAAACATGATCTCAACTTATAAATAACACCAGTATTTTTTGACACCACTTTACTTAATTTGTCCACATGAGTTTTCCAATTCAGTTTCTCGTCTATGTATATTCCAAGAAATTTCGTTGAAGTTACTCTCTCAATTGGGTTATTATTGAATGCCACTTCGCCTGGCAAAATATTAACTGAATTACTGAACAGTATATAATTAGTTTTCTGAAGATTCAAGGATAACTTATTAGCATTAATCCACTTCATTACTTTTCGAAACTCTTCATTAACAGTTTTCAACAATGTTTGTGGACATCTATGAGAAAAAAATACAATTGAGTCATCAGCAAAAAATATGAATGATAATACACTTGATGAGCGTTGAAAATCATTAATATACAAAATGAATAAAAGTGGTCCCAAAATGGATCCCTGGGGAACACCACATGTTACTTTTTGGGGACTAGAGTCAATTCCATTTAAGGACACATATTGCTTTCTTTCAGTTAGATAACTTCTAAACCAATCTAAGGCGACTCCCCTGACACCATAATGACATAATTTACTTAAGAGAATTTCATGGTCTACAGTATCAAAGGCCTTGGAAAAGTCTAAAAATGTACCAATGGTGTGTAAGCGACTATCTAAGGCAGAAGCAAGTTTATCTATAAGGTGTAAGATTGCATGTGTTGTTGTATGCTTCTCCCGAAAACCAAACTGATAATTACTGAAGACACATGTTTTGTTTAAAAATGTTATAGTTCTTACATAAATAATTTTTTCCAGAATTTTTGAAAAACAGGTTAACAAAGAAATCGGACGATAATTTGTCAGTAATTGAGAGTCACCTTTTTTAAAAATTGGTACAACTTTTGCGATCTTCATGTTTATCGGTACAACTCCGCTTGACATAGACAAATTAAAAATATGAACTAGTGGTTGAAGGATACCGACAATAACTTGCTTAATAAGTTCGTTCCCAATATGATCATACCCAGGACTTTTCTTGTTCTTGAGGGCTCTAACAATACCAAGCAATTCTTCTTCATTTGTGGGCACCAGAAATAAACTTTGCATGTTAGGTTCTACTAAGTAATCATGAAAATCAGTTTGACTGTTAGGAATATTTTTTTCAGATTCGGACCAATATTACAAAAATATTCATTAAACTTTTCCACTATAATATTTTTATCTTCAACCATTTGGTCATCTATATTCATTTGTATTATACTTGTTACTTTAGATGCTTTTTGAAATACATTTCTTATCACCTTCCACGTGCCCTTGATATTATTGTAAGTTGCTTTAAACTGTGCTAAATAGTATTGTTTTTTGGCTGCACGCAGCACAGAAGTCAGAGTATTTCTGTAAACGGAATATTTCCTTTTTAGAGCTACCGTCCCTGCTTTCTTATACTTATAAAACAGCTCATTTTTCTTATTTATTGATTTCAGCATAGCATTGGTGACCCACGGCATACGTGGAGTTCTTCTACGGTTGTTTTTACTCTTTACTACTGGAATATTAGCATCATACAACAATAAAAACCTATTCATGAAAATATCGAAGGCACTCTCATCACACTGATTCAAAAGAACATCACTCCAGTTTGTCGCCAATAACGCCTCTCTAAACTGATTAATATTTTCTGGGGTGTTTCTTCTAACATAAATGTTCTTATGGGTGACTACAAGTTTTTTTCCCAAAGGAATTACAGTATACACAGGAAAATGGTCAGACAAGTCCGACACAACAATAGTAGATAAGGGAAAAGGTTGTAAGTTACTAAAGATATTGTCAATTAGAGTAGCAGAGGATTCAGTTACTCTTGTTGGTTTTGTTATCAAGGGCAACAAAGAAAACGACAACATCAAATTCAGGAAATCATCAACATGAGCATCAACATTGTGCTGTAAAAGGTTTATATTATAATCTCCAACCAAAAATAAGGATTTACCGTTAAGTGACTGGCTTTCCAAAACTCTCTGCATTTCGTCCAAAAAAATGTTCAAAATACCATTGGGAGGTCTGTACACGACTCCAATTACGATATTATTTTTACCAGAAATAAAGACTTCAACAAATAAAGCTTCTAGATTTTCAGTCATAACATTAAGCTCGTGACATACTCGATAATCGAGCCCAGACGGAACATAAAGGGCAACACCACCACCACGTCTGTCTACTCTACTATTGCTTAACAAGTTATAACCTGGAATAACAAACAAATTTGCATCATTTTCATTGGTGAACCAAGTTATTTCAGTTCGCTAGTATCTCGCATCAAGCAAAGAGGAGATCCCCTACTTCGCTGCTATTTTTGGCTTAAAATTGCTTTTTATGACGTCAAATGATTAAAAATCATCAAGTTTTGGTATGTTTATATTTGCACATATTAGCATAATTAATATTATTGATATTAAATCCATAATAAACTGAGATTTTCAGCTGGGCACTAAAGTCCGGGTTTGCCGGATGTTGGGATATTTGACAAACGTAAACTTAAAGTTATTGGGTGGTATTCTGATCGTAATTAACAATGTTAGATCTGAGATGCATGGCCCTTCATGTTATCAGTGTCTGATAAGGTGTAATATTGAAGCCCTAAAAAAATTGCGCTTCAAAATGATCATGAGCGATGAAGTGCCTCAAAAAAGTAAAAATCTGTGAGTGACCGGTCACAAAGAACTTTGGGCATTGAGCGCTGTATCATGAGTTAACGCGCTCTCATTGGCCGATCCACTCGAGTGGCTTTGAATGTAAGTGAGAGAGGGCCACTTAAGTTCATTGGCAAAGTCAATACGTAATACCAGTATTACGTCACACCACAGAGATTTTGACACGTCCTGCTTTAAACAGGTGACGCACTTCACACATAACTGACGCACACACGGCATTGCAAACACATAAAATAGAAAAATCAACGAACATCTCAGACTAAATTTCCAGTTTGTATCTTAAATATGACGAAAATGAGAATTGTTCAAACTTAAAAAATAGTAAAACTTAAACTTAAAGGGACCGTTTAACAATGTTAAATCTGAGATACACGGCCCTACGTGTTATCAGTGTCTGTGATATGGTGTAATATTGAAGCCCTAAAAAAATTGCGCTTCAAAATGATCAAGAAGTGCCTCAAAAAAAGTAAAAATCTTTGAGTGACCGGTTTTACCATACTCGTTTTCCCCAATAGACTGTAGTGTTATGAAAACCGTCAGGCGAACGGTTTTCAAAATTTGTAATTTCAATCATAAATATCTTGATAATCAGACAGACGATCGGCTTGTAAAAGTCATGGGGTTCCTGACTGACCTAAAGGTTTATAATTATCATTGCATCATGAGCTAAATCCAGAATTTTGTTTCAGAATCTGAGACAAAGTTACCGGATCCCTTTAAAGCTAAAGACCAGTTATGGTCATGCGATTGCATTGTGAAAGAAACGTTGTGGAGTCGATTAGAAAAGGTTGATCATCTAGCATATAAGTATTGGTGTGTACTGCAACGTTCTGGAATCCCCAAAATGATAAGAAATTTGGCCCAGTCTTGGTAAAGTTACAAGCACTGTACACAGAAAGATGTATATGGAACTACGCGACACGTGTGCGATATCTATCCGGTCCGGATAGATATAATGATTCACCAAATATATCAATTAGTAGGCGGTTTCTCGGCAAAATGTGTATGATCACGTATTTGTCAAAACATATTCTTTCACATGATTTGTAATAAGAGCTTCCATTTCATTTTTTGAGAGGGGGGGGGGGGGGGGGAGGGCGTTTCCAAAACTGGTCTTTACCTTTAAAGGTAAAGACCAGTTTTGGAAACTTCTTTTGCTATAATCATGAAATTTAGTGAAAATTAATATTCTTGCCCCTTTTTCCTTTTTTCAGAGTACTTTGAAAGCAACAAGGGGAAAGAGAGCAAAGATTGACACCAGTCAAAGAAGTAGGTCTATGCCTGGCCTGCTACATGAAAGAAGAAAGCTCAATGGAATTCTACATAAAAGAGGAAGAACTTTTGTTTTATGAAGCTGAGACGGGTAAGAGTGATAGAGATCAAGAATCACTACAGGAAGATGTAAAACAGTCCTGCGTTGATGAGAAAGGTTGGATTGACATGTTTGCTGAACCTGAGATTGCCAGTTCAGCTCTTTCATCAGATCCACAGGCGAGTGAAACAGTGTTGATTGCTGTTGGTCAGGAGTCTGTATTGGAAGATGATGAGAGAATTGGAGACACCTCGCAAGAGAGTAGTGAAAGGGAGTCTGTGCCACCTACACAAGAGAGGAACTCTGTTAGTTTTCATGTTCTTATCAAAGAAGGTAAAGTTTGTTACTGTAAGATGGGAAAACTAATGACATGTGAGTGGTTCTGGGCCCTGTTTCGTAAAACTTGTTATCAATAAAAAATGCAAAATTTCTATGACATATTTGCCCTCAGCCAATCAAATGCCAGTAGCTTATATAACAGTTATTGTAACTTGTTAATGATAACAAGTTTTATGAGACAGGGCCTAGATTTGCGAAAGTGTTATGCTGTAAAATAATCAAAACTGATGCCATGTTGAATTTGGCAATTCTTGAATATTGTTTGCATAAATGCTTGTTCATGATGTTCAAAAGTTTCATGTGATAGTTACACTATAGCCTAATTATGGTTCTTTGGAACCATACTCTCTGCATTGCCTTTCTAGATACATGTATATTATTCTCTAATGATCACAGTGATAAAAAATGTACATGTGCTACTAAAACATCTTTACAGTAACGTGTATTAAAAGCTGCACAAAAAGTGTAAGTCAGACCAATCTTCAATTTCAACATAATTTCAATGTTCAATTTTTCAACCACCCGAAAAAAAAATCATATTAAATTTAAAAGGATTGTCATACAACGAGTTTAATGTGTGTTGTCTGACTTTGAAATATGTTGCGTTTGCCAAATCCATCTTACAGTCATACACAAGTTTCTGTTAGAAAATTTGAACAATAGTCATAACTTTGAAATATTTTGCAATTTCGATCATTTACAGAAATTGATTTTTGGCAGAATGAGGAAGACGGAAGATGCTTCGATGGAGAAACAAGAGAAAGTGGAGATGATGATCATGGTGGAAACAATAAATCTTGTGAATGTAAGGTGACAGAGCCTAGTACAGGGTCTGTATGTTCTTATTGTCAGAAGAAGCATGAGAGGACCGACTCTGGTGGAAAACCCTCTCTTCAATGTTTTTTCTGTGATTGCTCATTTTCTATAGAGTGTCACCTTACCAGACATCTCCAATTTCATGTTGGTATGAAGACCTATGACACTTTCCATTGTTCCCTTTGTAAGAAGTCATTTTTGTCCAAGTCTGACCTTGTAAAACACAAGACTAAATGCACAGGGGAGAAGCCTTATGAATGTATTCATTGTACAAGTACATTTGCTAAACAGACTGACCTTAAGGTACATATCAGAACACATAACCAAGTAAAGAACATTCTAACTGTACAAACACAAGATCAAACAGAACATTCTTATGGCCAAAGCCAATCTCAATGTCCATATTGTAAAAGAGCTTTCAAAACAAAGTCCACCCTTGACTCACACATAGGAACAATGACCTTTGAAAATTCTTATTCATGTTCTCATTGTAGCAGTACATTTCGATCCAAGTGTAGTCTAACTCTTCACAACAGGACACATAAATATCAATGTTTTCTATGTAACAAGAGGTTTGCATCATTGGATGGGAGAAATACACATGTGAAATGGCATACAGGAGTAAAGCCTCATCATGAATGTTCGTATTGTAGCAAGAAATTCTCTAAGAAATGTCATCTAGACGAGCATGTTAGGATACACACAGGGGAGAAACCTTATCGGTGCTCGTACTGTGAAAAGGGATTTCGTACTAAGGGTAATTTTACAAAACATTTGAAAATTCACAATGGAGGCAACAATGAGGAAGGTTAGTGCTTTCTCTCTTGCAAGAAAACCAAGAACGTTCTTTTGAAAAGGTTTCTTGGTGATCAGGTACATGTTCAAAAGAGAAAAACTGTAACCAGTGCTTTTTTATAAGTTAAGTTCTAACTTCTATAGGTTTCCTTTTTGGTGTTATCATGTCTGATATTTAAATTGTGCATGCCGAATATCATGCCACATTAATGTTTGTGTAATGTCAGTCATGTGATTTTAGTGTTGGAGGAGTGAAATTCAAAGTTTGAGTAGTCTTAAAGCCCCACTGTCCTACTTGTAGCTACTTGCTCCCTCTATATAGAAAACTTCCCCAATCGGTGCCTGTTGGTCCCCAATGATCCTCTTTTTCTTATGTTAGTTGAGAGCTGAGTTAATGAGATAGCCACCTGTCAGTGACCTCGCTGTGTGGTCTAATCCCTTCTGTCCCAGTAGTGTTGACGGTCTTTAACTGACGTTTGTTTTAAAGGGTTAAATTGAATCATATCTGTACGCAAAACTTATATTTTATACTCGGAGAGCTTTACTTTGTTTCCCATTATCAAAATGCTATGTCATAGGTAATAAATCAAGGTGAGCTTTTGTGAGATGTACGTTGGCTGAGAGGGAGAGGGAGTGAGAGAGAGAGAGAGAGGGAGCGAGAGAGCCTAGCACACTTATCCCTCCAAGGTCTTGGACATAATGACAGAGCTACCCATTTTGGAGGAATGATTCCAATTTTTAATCCCTTAAAGTCAAGTTAGAACCCCTAGATTTCTCCTTTTTCTGAAAACTTTTTCAGTATAAAATCATACAAAATATATTGGATTGTGTTTCTGTGGCCTTATCGAGATTTAAAATGTTTGCTTTGGAAGGTTGGCAGCTATCTAATTAGATCTGTAATAATACATTTTTCTATAATATGTTTATTATCCGTTATAACAGAATTCCATCTTTGTGTCAAGGCATCATGCAAAGTTCAACACAATGATCTATCAATTTGCTTTTCATTGTTGCTTCCTCAAACTGCACTATCATTTATCTGATACAAATAACTCTAATAGTTAAAGTGTATATAAGTAGAGTATACTTTTTGTGAAAGTAGGTCTTTTTTGTAAAATATGTAAGTTATGAAGTAACTTTGCATGAATTTATTTCAAATGGTGAGATTCAGCTCATGAGATTACTGTGTACTGTCTATTAGTGGTTTGAAGAATAATTTGACACTTTTTATTCATGTGTTTTTCTGAATCCATTTCTCAAGTACACAGGGTGGGGAAAGGGGAAGGTTGAATCAAAATTACCAGCAAAACAAATCTAATTGTTTAATTGTACCTCATCACTAGGTGTTTTTAGAAGGATAATATTACACAGACTCTTTGGTATCTTATAAGACAATGGTACGTGTACACTCTAAATTGATGTATTGCAGTCAAATTCATATGGGGGTTAACCATAGAGATATATACTACTAACACAAATTTCATGTTTTTCCTTATTTCTTGTGATTGAGAAAATCTACTCCCCTGAAAGCAAGATATAGAATGCAAAATGATATTCTACTTCACATGTTATGAAGTCGGATCAAGAACACAAATAAATACGAAGAAAACGAAAAAATCGTGAAATTTTATGTACAAAAGGCATGGAGAGTTGACCACAGATGATGTCATCAAATTGAATACCGCTCTCTAGTGACTAGTCATTTAAAAAAGCTCTAACTTCCTTATTCCTTGCCCGATTTTGTTCAAATTTTCACTGATTTTATTCAAATCTTTTAAACTTTACAATAAAAGTAACTTAGTATGAAGGTTTTGGTTCCCTTTCATGAATTTATTAAGATGACAGCAACTTCATCATTTTAATTATTTTAAGCATAATTTTCCATTAATGCATGACCCATATACAATGTACATGTACGTGTATCACATGAATCAGGCAACATGATATTTTTTATAATTGGTTTTCTATTATTTCAATCAGAAGAAGGATATGAAGTTATCAGTCATATTTTATAAAGATTTTTCAGTAATTCTTCTGCGTTTCCTACATGTTATTAAACTAGAAATATGTTGCAGCTTCACATTTCAGTTTATCAGCTTTATTTTTTAGCATGTGTCAAGTTTTACAGAATTTAAACATGACATAAAGTTGAATTGAGTAAAAACAAAAAGAGAGATGGCGGAGAAATAGGGGAGAGAAAGAGAGACGGTTAGAGAGAGAGAGAGAGGGGGGGGGGGGGGTAAGAGAAAGAGGGAGAGAGCAATATCCACTGCAAATCTGTCAAGACAGGGTCAAGACAGAAATCATGTATGATTTTTCGACAAGAATTATAATGTTATTTCATAAAGTTTTCTTGCTCCTTGCAAAAAGAATTGGCAGATTAATCATTTTGACTTCATAACAAATATTGAAATATTGAACAAAATTACTGAACTTCACAAATTATGAACACCTTGCAAATTTTCGAGAGAAAGACAAGCTTTCTATCATCAAAATAACAATATCATAAACCTAGGCAGACGAAACTGCCTATGACAGAGAAAGGGTTCAAGAAGATAATGGAAAATGATTGATACCCTAGTAACCCTGTGCATGTTTTTTTTTAACCCCCCCCCCCCCCCCCCTTTTGAGGTTTATTATTATTTTTTTATTATAAATTAATTAAATATTTAAAAAATCCAAATGGACGACCTAAAAAGAAGACCTTACCCCCCCCCCCCCCCCCCCCCCCACTAACGAAACGGAATGTCGATCGGTCAATTTTTCAGGGAGATTGGGGGTCATTCTAGAAGGCTTGGGAGACGTTATTGAATAGAGGGAGCCGGTCGCATAAAATCCCGAGCAGCGGATTCGAAATTAAACGTTGAAAATAGCCCCTGCGCTACAAAGGTCATCACTCTTGCGTGAGAAATTTGAAAAGGGCACGTCATTGTGGATGTCTTTAGAAGCTATATACTCAACAGTCAAATTTTAAATTAATGTTAAAGGGGCCGCTTCGGAACTCTAATTTTGCCTTTCTGCATCAGCTCGTGCCGACTCTCGCTTGTGCCATTTGAAAAAATCTTGGTAGTAGCCTAATCATGGACAGGGGCGGTGATCCATGGCCCGATTGGGGGACACGTCCCCCTGCAGCTCTCTTAAAAAAAAGAGTGAATTTTCAAAATCACGGACGTCACTCCTCTGGATAGTGAAAATAGAGTGAAAATAGAGTGAACATTCACTCTTTTTCTTTTAGAGAGCACTCTAAAATCAATCGATTTTCACTCCTAAACAAGTGATCACGGACGTCACTCCCAAGAAAGTGAAAATAGATTGAAAATTCACTCTTTTTTTTTTTAAGAGAGTCGGACATTTAGAAATATGGCTAGAAGAAATATAGCGGGAAGCTAGACGTAGACCTACATATTTGCTTTGGCGTTTTCTATATAGAATCCATAATTTCAGCATTCAAAATGGAAAAATCTCGCTTGGTCGCTACGCCCCCTCGCCTAATAACACAAAACTTTGATTACTCTTGCAACCCCTGTCCAGAATTGCCTAGTTTGTTTCAGTAAAAGCAAATACAAACGGTCGCTGAAAATGAATCGGTTTAAAATCTAATATACGTCTGCTACATGTCATCACGGATAGCTTTCAGCCGAGCAAAACTGCATTATTTACTATATACTCTATTATAAGATAACTGGAAGGTTATTGAAATAGATGTTTGTATTTATTTAAGATTCCTGCATATTATATTAACATGCAGATACTTCGAAGTGAAAATGTACTATGGGAATTAATCTTGTATTGTTCTCAACTTTTCATAATTGTGTGCTCTCACATAGTGATTGTTTTATATATACTATTATTCGAATCTTAAATAATAGTATAGGGCCTCAACCAGTACTTGCGCAGTAGCCTCTGATAATATCTGGGCTGTGTATCCTATGAAGCGTTTTTAACTAAGATAATTCATCCCCGACAATGAAAAAGAATCGACGGCTTTGCTTCTTATATTAGTGGTTTGTAAAAAATAGACTTATATTTGTAATGTATTCATAATGGAATACGGAGTGATATGAGCACGTTGGTATTTTTGTAAGCGAACGAGAGTGATAAAGTCATTCATAAATATAAATATGTAAAGATATAAAGAAAGTGTTTAATATACGACAGTCATGAAACACAAAATACCACAGGATGATGTTCTGGATTTTCCAAATAAATGGCATTGCTATAATGGTTGTAGCGAATAACTCGAGCACGTTGTTATTTTTTTAAGCGAACGAGAGTGATGATATAAATATGTAAAGATATAAAGAAAGTGTTAAATATTGACAGTCATGAAACAATACCACAAGAGTTTAATTGTTCTGGAATTCCAAATAAATGGACATTTTCATTGCAATCATGGTTGTAGCACAAACCTTTCTATATACTCCACAAGGATTCAAATTTCATTTCATAACATCTGCAGTTAATGCGGGTTGGGGTTGCAGCCTCTCTTTCCCCGAAAATTGAAAAATTACCAATAATCGGGCCCGGCCCCCCCCCCCCCCCCACTCAGTGTTATTTAGGGTACGCATATGCTCGTACCCTCTTTTTGAAAGCACCCCCTATCTGAGGACTGCCAACATTTCCGAACCCCCCTTTCGCGGGCTTTTCGCGGGCTTTTCCTGCCTTGGAGACCCCCCTAACTCAATGTACCCCCCTAAATTCGGAATAATTTCTCAGGAGTCAAAAGAGATGAGAGAAAAAAAGAAAAACAACCCCTTTTTAAAGAAATCTCCGGGTGAAAAGTCAAATACACCCCTTTTTTTACAATTCTCGGGCCGGACTTTGTCGCACGAAAAGTACCCCTTTACCGGACATTTTGGCAACACGCATGCGGTCATTCCGACCTCTGAGTGGGGGGGGGGGGGGGGGGGGGCTTTCATCGAAAGGGTGCGGTGCGGTGCGGCGCGGTGTGGTGTGCTCAACGCACCCATTCGATAAAAGAGGGGGGCCTTTTCTCGAAAGGGTGCGTTGAGAGCGGAGTACCGTTTTAACACACCCTTTCGATGAAAGCGGGGGGGGCTTTTCTCGAAAGGGTGCGTCGACTAGTCTTTCGCATCAGTCGTTTAAAATGAGGATCTCGGACAGAAGGTAATAGTTGCCAATTTAAGTATATCGAAAATGTATTAAATAAAATGGAATGGTCTTGATTACAGAGTGGTCTCTTTGATGGGGGAGACAGAGAAAAGGAAAAAAGGGAAAGGGAAAGGGAAGATAAAAGGAAGGAAAGAAGAATAAGAAGAGAAGAGGCAAACGGGGGGGGGGGGCAAAGGACTCTTGCCCCCCCCCCCGCCAAAAAATAAATCAGAGAGAGAGAGAAGGGAAAGGGAAAGAGAAGATAAAAGGAAAGAAAGAAGAGGAAGAAGAAGAAAAGAGGGAAACGGGGGCAAAGGGCTTTTGCCTCCTCCCCCCCCCCCGCCAACAAATAAATAGTAGAGAGAGAGAGAGAGAAATAGAGAGAGAAGGGAAAGGGAAAGGGAAAGAAAATATAAAAGGAAAGAAAGAAGAAGAAGAAGGAAAGAGGGAAACGGGGGAAGGGCGAAAGGGAGAGAGAGAGAGAGAGAAGGGAAAGGGAAAGAGAATATAAAAGGAAAGAAAGAAGAGGAAGAAGAATAAAAAGAAAAGAGGGAAACGGGGGCGAAGGGCTCTTGCCTCCTCCCCCCCCCCCGCCAACAAATAAATAGGAGAGAGAGAGAGAGAGAGAAGGGAAAGGGAAAGAAAATATAAAAGGAAAGAAAGAAGAAGAAGAAGGAAAGATGGATACGGAGGAAGGGCGAAAGGTTCTTACCTCTCCCCCACCCCCTCCCGCCAAAAAAATAAATAACAGAGAGTGAGAGAGAAGGGAGAGGGAAACAAAATCTAAAAGGAAAGAAAGAAGAGGAAAAAGAATAAGAAAAGAGGGAAAGGGGGCGAAGGGCTCTTGCCTCCCCCTGCCAACAAATAAATAAGAGAGAGAGAGAGAAGGGAAAGGGAAAGAAAATATAAAAGGAAAGAAAGAAGAAGAAGAAGGAAAGATGGATAGGGGGAAGGGTGAAAGATTCTTACCTCCCCACCCCCCCCCCCCCTCCCGCCAAAAAAATAAATAAGAGAGAGAGAGAGAGAGAGAGAGAGAAGGGAGAGGGAAAGAAAATCTAAAAGGAAAGAAAGAAGAGGAAAAAGAATAAGAAAACAGGGAAAGGGGGCGAAGGGTTCTTGCCAACAAAATAAATAAGAGAGAGAGAGAGAGAAGGGAAAGGGAAAGAAAAGATAAAAGGAAAGAAAGAAGAGGAAGAAGAAGAAGAAAAGAGGGAAACGGGGGCGAAAGGCTCTTGCCTCCCTCCCCCCGCCAAAAAATAAATAAGAGAGAAAGAGAGAAGGGAAAGGGAAAGGGAAAGAGAATAAAAAAGGAAAGGAAGAAGAATAAGAAGAAAAGAGGGGCTCTTGCCTCCTCCTCCTCCCCCCCCCCCCCGCCGCCGAAAGATAAGTAAGAGAGAGAAGGGAAAGGGAAAGGGAAAGAGAATAAAAAAGGAAAGGAAGAAGAATAAGAAGAAAAGAGGGGCTCTTGCCTCCTCCTCCTCCCCCCCCCCCGCCGAAAGATAAGTAAGAGAGAGAAGGGAAAGGAAAGGGAAAGAGAAGATAAAAGGAAAGAAAGAAGAGAAAAAAGAAGGAAACGGGGGCGAAGGGCTCTTGCCTCCTAGCCCTCCTTCCCCTCCCCCCCCGCCAAAAAATAAATAAGAGAGAGAGAGAAGGGAAAGGAAAGAGAAGATAAAAGGAAAGAAAGAAAAGAATAAGAAGAGAAGAGGGAAACGGGGGCGAAGGGCTGTTGCCTCCTCCCCCCCCGGCAAAAAATAAATAAGAGAGAGAGAGAGAATTTTCTTTCCCTTTCCCTTTCCCTTCTCTCTCTATTTCTCTCTCTCTCTCTCTACTATTTATTTGTTGGCGGGGGGGGGGGGGGGGGGAGGAGGCAAAAGCCCTTTGCCCCCGTTTCCCTCTTCTTCTTCCTCTTCTTTCTTTCCTTTTATCTTCTCTTTCCCTTTCCCTTCTCTCTCTCTCTCATTTATTTTTTGGCGGGGGGGGGGGGGGGGCAAGAGTCCTTTGCCCCCCCCCCGTTTGCCTCTTCTCTTCTTATTCTTCTTTCTTTCCTTTTATTTTCCCTTTCCCTTTCCCTTTTTTCCTTCTCTCTGTCTCCCCCATCAAAGAGACCACTCTGTAATCAAGACCATTCCATTTTATTTAATACATTTTCGATATACTTAAATTGGCAACTATTACCTTCTGTCCGAGATCCTCATTTTAAACGACTGATGCGAAAGACTAGTCGACGCACCCTTTCGAGAAAAGCCCCCCCGCTTTCATCGAAAGGGTGTGTTAAAACGGTACTCCGCTCTCAACGCACCCTTTAGAGAAAAGGCCCCCCTCTTTTATCGAATGGGTGCGTTGAGCACACCACACCGCGCCGCACCGCACCGCACCCTTTCGATGAAAGCCGGGGGGGGGGGGGGGCCGGGTAATCGGGCAGCGAGCTGCCCGAATAGTTTGTTTGAATAATTCTTATCACGTATATTTTGGTGATAATTTTCACAACATACATAAGTATGCTCAAATTTTCGCTCGCTCGCCAAATTGTAAAACCAGCAAATTGATATTTGGGCAAAAGACTTAGTTTTGTAATCTCATCTCGTATATTTTGGTGATAAATGAAACTTTTCACAACATACCAGACAAGAGACGTGATATGTGAGCCTGCACCCTTTCCAAAATTGTGTCTGCTTGTAGGTATACCTACTGGTATATACGGTGCTTCTGAGTCGACCTTGTCAGTATTATGTTGAGTTTAAATGTCTGCGTGATTTTCAAATTTCCGGCCCCCTATTGGAAAATCCTGGATCCGCGCCGACATATAATAATGATATATAAAACATTATAAAATAGGGTTAGAATTAGGCTTAGGGATAGGGTTAGGGTTAGAGATAGGGTTAGGGTTAGGTTTAGGTAGCTGTCGCAAAATGAAGTCTTTCCAAAAGTGGCCCGAGCTGTCCACCGAAGCACCCCACCCTGGACAACTCGAGTTGGTCGAGTTGTCCAGGGTATACGGTCGGTTTATCCAGGGTCGGGTGTCTGGTGGTCGGGCTGTCTAGGATTCTTATAGAAGAAGAACAACAATAACACTTTTGTGCGGTTTTCGAATGAAATGGCGGACGGGAGGGGATTCTACGATATACGTCTCTACAGTGCGTACAATATGTGGATGGAACACAAGAATATATTTGGACGTGGATTGACACTAGTTCCATCCAAGGAAAGTTTGAATGAAACGTTTGCGTTACATCTGCTTGAAATTCACTCCAGTTGCAAACTGTGCAATGTACCACCATGCGCTACCGTCACCAGCGCCCTGTGCGCAGCGGAGGCGATCCCTGGCAAAGGTCTGCCACCTAGGCCCATCGAGTCTCCAGTTACTCCGCTCAATCCACCAAGCATACCGGCCATAGCCATAGGCCTACCTCCGTTGGCTTTGGCTCCAATTATTAAACGAAGGTAATGATGATGGAGGGAGGGGGGGGGGGGGGGGGTTGTGTCAAGACGGCCTTGAAGCCCACGCCCACCTGCCGGCCGTGCCACGTTTGAATCCATAGGTCTACTAAGGGTGTCTGAACGATTTTTCAATTTTCAATTTGGGATCGTTTTTCACCATTGTTGTTGGATAGACCTATTTGAATAAAATATGTAATCAGAATAAAACATTTCAAATTTCAAGACTCACCGATTTTTCTATCAAAAGATACAGCCCCTCAAAAACTCTGCAATATTCATAACATTTTGGTCAGAATGGAAAAAAAAGTGGTTCGTGCCGAGTTATCATTTTTTGCTAAACAGCTGCGTTTTAATGGCATTAGAATGCAGCTGTTTAGCATTAGGCGATATGATGCAAAAAGTGGGGGAAGGGTATTTTCAAAGTTCAAACTTAAATCGTATGTGATCCCTTGGGGCTAGCGGGAAAAAAAGAACATCAACATATTCCTTGCGACTTGAACTAACTATCCCTCGGGGGGGTCGATTCTCAAAGGTGGGAAATCTGTGTCTGGACACGTAAAAATATCAAACATAAAGACTCGAGCTCAAAGCCTTATCTCATGGTGTTTTTGCATTTGGATATAATGAAAAATATATAGATCAAATAACACTAACCGCCATGAATATTTTTCCTTTATGATATTCACAAATTTATGAAATTAATTTGCATTCAGTTTTGAGGTTTTTTGTGTATTTAGATTAATGGAGCAAATAGAAATATGTTGATGTTAAATTATACAATTTTTTTTGTTTTGTTACAGTCATCTCCAAAGCACACCAGCCCCCTCATCAAGCAAGCCACAAGAGTCTTCCAAGAGCCCAAGTACATCTTCATTTCAGGACACGAAACCCAACACTCCTTGTCTTCCTAGCAGCCCAACCACATGCTCTGGTATGTTCTTTAGAAAACAATATGAATTGTGCCGAGGTAACTTGTGCATGATTGAATGTGAATGTTGCTACAAACAGACAGGATTAACTTAAAGCTCTGTATAATTTTAACACCAACTTGGCTCCAAGAGGACAACAAGTAGCGGTAGGGAAGTAATACTATAGGTAGAGTGATAATATAGTATTAATAGGGTCTTACTCGTAATGTGTGATGATAATATATAGAGGAAGGGTAGAAGTAGAGGTAGGGTGGGTCATAATCAATGTAGGACGGTAGTTAAGGTAGTATACAGAGGTAGGGTACGTGGTAGTAGACATAGTAGAGGTAGGGTGATGAGGTAGTATTTCCATGTAGACTCTACCATGTCCTTTTTCTTTTAGGAGAGAAAGTCAACAATCTGAACACCATGGGGAAATCCAAGAAGGGGATATATGAAGAGCCACAGCCGGCAGAAAGAGTAGGCTGCCAGACCGACTGCTCACCTGGAAGAGGAGAAAACATGCAAGGTGATTACAGAGAGGACAGCGAAGCTGAAGAGAAAGCTGGAGAGCAGCCAGCAGAAAGAGTAGGCTGCCCGACCGACTGTTCACCTGGAAGAGGAGAAAACATGCAAGGTGATTACAGAGAGGACAGCGAAGCTGAAGAGCAGCAGACAAGTGAAAAACATGATAACAAGACCATCTCCATCAAAGAAGAGGATTTAGATGATTACGAGACTCTCTTCTTCAAAGAAGAGGATTTAGATGGTTACTATGGGGAAGGGGATAAACCCAAAGAGAAACTTGCAGATCTTCTACCACCTGGGGATGTAGAATATGACACCACCTATGCAAAAGAAGATGGTCTTGAAGATGAATGGATAGAAGATGATAAATCTGAAGGACATCAACTGGCAGATGAAGACGGGCTACCTTACCATGTGCTCATAAAAGAAGAGTTGTCGGACGATGACTATCTTGAAAACGATTATCAAGGAGATGGAGAAGGAGATGAAACAAGGAATGTGGACATTACAGCACACTCTTCATCCAAACAAGGTAGTGAAATAGTTGGCATGGATCATAAGGGAAAGGATCCTGACATCCATAGTTTTTGTTTAAAATCAAAATAAGAAAACAATAGTAAACCATTTAGAAATATGAGAGCCCCCCGCCCCCAAATAATTTCTTGCAAATGTCCGCAGAGTGACATACTTCACTTACTTTTATGCCAACTCAAACAACACATGCACTCTCTATATTTTGCAAATGGATACAAGATAATTTCAGTATTTGTTCATAGTGTTGGTATTGTATGTTAGTTAGGTATTTAGTATTCTTCATGGTTGAAATGGAAAAAAAATAGAAAAATATGAAACTTACAGCTCTTTGAAGTTTGTGTGAATTGATAACTATGATGTACCTGTATGCCATGACTGATTTGTTTAAAGTGATGAAAAGTTTTCAATAAAGGTTATTTTCTCTGTTTTTATCAAAATTATATTTCTTCAAATCCTCCTTTTCTCCTTAGATGGAAGCTCAAGCAAGGAGGACTGCAATGAAATTCCAAGATTATCCCCGCAGATCACAAGAAAACGGAAGGATGGTTCACCATGTAATGAGTCAGAAACAACCTTGACAGTGTCAGAAGCAACTGTCTGTTCAAGATCTGATATGTCTCTTAGTAAAGGGTCAGTAAGCTCTACTAACAGACAAAATCAGGATGACCACCTCCAAGTACTGTGTGTTGCAGAGGTCGATACCATGGACCAAGATTTACATCATGAGCATGAACGGTTGAATTCTGCAGGAGCAATTGATTGTGGTGAAGAGATTCAAGAGTATTCAATGTGTAACACAGGATTGACAAATGAAAGCAGACCCCAGAAACATAAAGGTACCGATGCACAAGAAAAGCGGTTTGCATGTCCTGAGTGTCATAAAAGGTTTACCCGAAATGAGGGTCTCATGCGACATATGGAAGTCCATATACCTGTGAAACCCCACAAGTGTTCATTGTGTGGTAAGAAATTTTCATCTGAGGGTAGGCTCTCGACCCATGTCAGAGGCCACACGGCAGGTAGATTTGAGTGTTCTTATTGCAATAAAGGATTTAAAGACAGCGTTAGTCTTGCCCGACATATCAGAACTCATACAGGAGAGAAGCCTTTCAAATGTTCGGTTTGTGACAAATCATTTTCGGTGAAGGGCAATCTTGGGCAGCATTTGAAAAATCACAGAGGAGAGAAACCATTCACTTGTACCATTTGTGACAAAAGATTTTTACATCAGAGTGGGCTTTCAAGACATATGTACAGAACCCACTCAGGAACTCGTATAAAGCCTTTCCAGTGCTGTGTATGTGACAAAAGTTTTTCACAGAATAGTGATCTGACAAGACATATGCAGACCCACACAAGAAAAAAATTCCCATGTTCTTATTGTAACAAAATATTGTCAACGAGGAGCGATTTTGAAAGTCATGAAAGAACCCATGTGGAAGAAGTGTTACTGCCGAAGGAATTTTCATCTGAGGGTAGGCTCTCGACCCATGTCAGAGGCCACACAGCAGGTAGATCTTTTGAGTGTCCTTATTGCGATAAAGGATTTAAAGACAGTTGTAGTCTTACCCGACATATCAGAACTCATACAGGAGAGAAGCCTTTCAAATGTTCAGTTTGTGACAAATTATTTTCCGTGAAAGGCAATCTTGTGCAGCATTTGAAAACTCACGGAGGAGATAAACCATTCACTTGTGCCATTTGTGACAAAAGTTTTTCACAGAATAGTGATCTGACAAGACATATGCAGACCCACACAAAAGGAGAACAATTCCCATGTTTCTATTGTAACAAAATTTTGTCAACGAGGAGCAATTTTGAAAGTCATGAAAGAACCCATGTGGCAGAAGTGTCACCATCAGGATCGTAAAAATATAGGGGATGCAAGCTTAGCAAGGGGAAAATAATGGAAGGTATTTTTAGGGGAATAGGCTAGTTATATGAGCATGTAACAAGAGTACTTATCTTATGGATCAAGGGCTAGTTGTACAAGCCCTGGCTGGGTTCTTGGAGGTTTAGCCCCTACTAGCTATTAGCTATTAGCTTCCTCAAGTTCCTTTTTTATTGTAATATTAAGGGTAAAGACCGGTTCTGGTCATGCAATTGCATTGTGAAAGACACGTTGTGGAGTCGATTAGAAAAGGTTGATCATCTAGCATATAAGTATTGGTGTGTACTGCAAGGTTCTGGAATCCTCAAAATGATAAGAAATTTGGCCCAGTCTTGGTAAAGTTACAAGCACTGTACACAGAAAGATGTATATGGAACTATGCAACGAGTGCGCAATATCTATCCGGTCCGGATAGATATAATAATTTACCAAATATATCAATTAGTAGGCGGTTTCCCTGCAAAATTTGTATCATCACGTATTAGTCAAAACACATTCTTTCACATGATTGGTAATAAGAGCTTCCATTTCATTTTGTTGAGAGTTGAAAAAAGTGCAATAGAAAGATCTTAAATTGGAAAGCTCAAGACAGACAGTATCGGATAAATCTTGTATGGAATTTGTGAAGATATTGTTGAAAAACTAATCATTGTTTATGTATTAATTAAAACAAATGGCTTTAGTTAGAATTATATTTTTGATCAATGAAATCCTGTTCAGTGATTGGTCAACATAGCATCATGTGACCAAACTTTACATTGCTATGTTGTATCCGTGACGTCATCCATGGTATAGTCAACAAATATACCATGCACTGAGAGGCTCTAGTTGAAATTATGGATCGAGGTGGCAGGAATAGCACTATTTTTTGAGGGGCATAGCCCGAAAGAAAATAGTGCCATTTCTGTCGCCGAGGAATCCATAATTTTAAGTAGTGGCTTGAAATAGTGCATGATATATTTGTTTTATATTTTTCAAACTAACTTTCATAAAAATAATAATAATAATAATAATAATTAAATTAACTGTCACTGAAGAAGTGTAGAGTGCAGTGAGAGCAGCGCAGACGACAGTACGGCGACCGCGAACGATAGCACATTGATCTTGATCGATCGCGTATATATGACGTCATCCATGGTATAGTGCCATGGTATAGTTTCCACTATACCATGGGTGACGTCACGGTTACATCATATCAATGTTATGTTTGGTCACGTGATGCTATGTTGACCAATCACTGAACAGGATTTCATTGATCAAAAATATAATGCAAACTAGAGCCTCTCAGTGCATGGTATATTTGTTTACTATGTATGCAAGTGGATTGATATTAGTTTTTGGAAAACAAATAGATTTTTTCAAATTTTGAATATTTGCATAAAAAGTGATTCAAATTTGTGTACCACAAGAAAGAAGAAATGGCAGGTACAGTATACCTAACTTTTAGTTTGAGGCATCTTTGTTCTTTCCAAATCTTTTTTTAAAAATTTAATTTTAAACATTTTATTTCTGCACAATGCTTCTAGATAGGTCTTCAACACAATATTTAGTGAGCAAATATCAATCTAAATTTTGGTTCATAAACTTCAGAATTGTATATTGTCATTCCCAATTTTTAAAAAGCAGATCTTGCCTCTTAACATGAAAGGAGTGTCACCAGGCTCTCAAGATTAGAGGGTTTGGGTAGAGGGAAGTGACTAAGATTCAACTTCATTAAAATAAGCTTTAATATCCTACTATTCCTGTGTCTTTCTTTATTCCATTTGTATTTATTTATTTTTTGTATAGAGAGAGGATTTCTATGAGTGTTTAATATGAGAGGTGTGTATGTTGTGTAAGATAATACTAATAGAGAGAGAGAGAGAGAGAGAGGAAAGAGTGGCAGAGCAAGAGAGAGGAACAGAAATAATAAAGAAGAAGGAGAAGAAGATAGAGAGATTAACAGAGTGGGAGAGAAAGAGATGAACAGTGGTAGAGAGAGGGAGAAAGAGAGAGAGAAGAAACAAAAGAGGGGGAGGGTGAGAAAGAGAGAGAGAGTTGTCGAAATTCTATTGACCAATTTCACGAATTGGCAGCCTACACAGAATTTCAATCACTAAATAGTGAACGAGGAACGACATGCGCTTCCTCGCTGGCATGAGTAGAATGTCGTGAATTAAAAGATTCACGTATCTATCTTGTTTTATGAATTTAAAAAAATGAGTGAGTAGGGGAGAAACTGAGAAAGGACCCCATATATTGGGGGAGAAAACGAGTGCATCAGACTGTTAAAGGTGATTGTACTTTCAGTTGCCGTGGTTTTCTTCGAAATTTCTACTTCCCCGATGTTTTGATTTGTCACTTATCTAATCATTCTGATGATAGAACACTGTTTTCTTGATAAATTTGGGGCATCGTCTAAACATTTTCTTCCCGTCGAAGACTTCGGCTCCAAGTCGGCAGTAACTCTATAATTGCTTGTTTATTTTCTGATTATCAGTTGCATCTCGGCCAAAATTTTGTCAGACGTCCAGAAAAAACAGGAAGGAAGATACTCTTCCCCTCTTGAACTCTCCCTCCATCCCTCCCATCTCTCTCTGATTTCCTCGTCCTCTTCTGACTCCAGCGTTCCTGTTTGCGCCATATTGCGCGACCCCTTCACCCTCTTTCCCTCCCTCTCCCCCTCTCTCTGTGTCGCCACCTCTATCTCTCTCTTTCTGTTTTCCCTCTTGTTACTGTTTCTTGTTTTTCCTTCTCCTTCTCTCTACCAATGCCAGCTATTTTTTCTTGTCTTTTCTCTCAGTGATGAGGAAGTCCTGCTTCCAAGTTTCTTCAAAGTTTCTTAACTCAATATCGTAATTGGGTGATAAACTAAAAATGGTGATAAAGTTGTAAGAGTTGTTTTAGTGCGATTCTTTACAGGTGAGTTTTCCCGTCCGACCAGCAGAGGGATGATAAAGTTTCTTTCTGGGACACTATTTTTACCTTTTTCCAGTCCAGCTCAATCCCTAAGAAAGTTCTTTTGGGTAGAAATTGTCAAGTGCCCCCAATCGAATAGTATGCTGCATAATCACGAAAGGCGTTGTTAAAAACCGTCATGACGTAGTTCTTTAGTTCCGTGTTACGCACTTGGTCGTTGAACTTTTTTAGACCCCTCCCCAGGAAGTCGATCAATTACATGTATGTGCCCCCCCCCCCAAAAAAAAACAAACAAACAAAACAAAACAAAACAACATCAAACTCTGGCTACGGCCCTGACCATCTTCGAAGCGCCAGGAGAAAATATGCCAGGCATGTGCTTATATATAATAACTGGATCTTCCTTGGAGATACGTAGACAAAAGGCTCCTGCGTATAGCTGTAAACTAACGGGCCACTTTCAAAGGGAAATATATATGCTTTTGTAATGATAATTACTTTTCGCTACCACTCGTCTAATAATATGAGCAGTACACAGTGCTTACCTTTACAGGAAGCAGGAGGTATATATGTCCTAAAATCATGGGATATATACAAATTAAAAATCAACATTTTCTAAAGAGTGGGGGGGGGGGGACCCCTCCATTTCATTTTAAAAAGCAGAAACACGAAGTTGCAAACCATCCAGAGACTCTGAATAAATTGCATTACTTATTAATTAATTATTTCAGTACAAATCTTTATTCTCAGTTTTCTTATGAAGACTATAACTGATTTTCTTATAAAATTGAAGATATTTATGGCGTATATATTCAATACTGAATGAACGCCATCAAACATTTACCAACAACAACAACAACCTCCATTTCATTATCAATCGAGCTTGTTGTATAATACGTAGCGTCATGTCAATCGATTTTATTTCAAATGTGAGAACATCAGAAACATCTTCACATTTCAAATATCAAACTTCGTGCATTGATAAGAGTTTTCCCTGTATAGCATTTGAAAATAATGATAAGAGAGCACTTAATTTATTTGATTTAATGTTCTATTATAATCTTGAGTTATTTATTTTATTTATTGATTTGTTTGTTTATTCAGACCTTCTCAGGTCTAACAAGAAAACTGCCAGACAAATTGGAAAGGAGAATTCATAATGCAGCTGCGGATGAGCCTGCATGTCTGAATTGGAGGGGAGGGGGCAAAATTTACTTTAATTTCTCCAAACAAGAATTGAACAGAGTTGAGGTAAAGGTTGAAAAATGAGTTAGTGAGAGGTGGTAGAAAGGAGAATGGAAGTAAACGAGATGAAGGAAAGGAAAAAAGAAGTGGGATGCAGGCGCGGATCCAGGATTTTCCAATAGGGGGGGGGGCCGGAAATTTGAAAATTGCGCAGACCGTTTTTCAACTCAACATACCAAAACTGACAATGTCATATTAGAAGCACCATATGTAAATTTTTTTGACATTTTCATCGGGGGAGGGGGGGGGGGGGCTGAAGCCTCTCGCCCGAAAAGTAATTTTCTGGTTTTACAATTCGGCTAGTGAGCGAAGCGAGCGAGCAAAAATTTGAGGATAATATGTATTTTGTGAAAGTGTTATTTATTAGCAAAATATACGAGAAAAGATATAACAAATTCATATTCGGGCAGCTCGCTGTTCCCCTCCCCCCCCCCCCCCCCATTACGCGCGAAGCGCGAAAGTTTTGACCTTTCATTAATTGATATTAGAGAAAGAAGACGATTTGTTGTACCATTCTCGACTCTTATTCCTTGTCTGAATTCAGTTTTCCCCCTCCCGCGCGAAGCATTGACCTTTCATAGTTTAATGAAATTATTAGAGAACGAAGATAATTCGTAGTTCCATTCTCGACCCTCAATCCTTCTCTGAATTCAGATTCCCCCCTCCAGCGCAAAGCGCAGAAGCTTAACGTTTCATTAGATTATTAGAGAAAGAAGACGATTCGTTGTACCGTTCTCGATTCTTAATCATTGTCTGAATTCAGTTTCCATACCCCCTCCCGCGCGAAGCGCGGAAGCTTTGACGTTTCATTAAATCATTAGAGAAAAAGTACCGTTCTCGACTCTTGATCCTTGTCTGAATTGAGTTCCCCCCCCCCTCCCAGCGCGAAGCGCGGAAGCTTTGACGTTTCATTAAATTATTAGAGAAAGAAGAAGATTTGTTGTACCGTTCTCGATTCTTAATCATTGTCTGAATTCGGTTTCCATACCCCCTCCCGCGCGAAGCGCGGAAGCTTTGACGTTTCATTAAATCATTAGAGAAAGAGTACCGTTCTCGACTCTTAATCCTTGTCTGAATTGAGTTTCCCCCCCTCTCCCTCGCGAAGCGCGGAAGCTTTTACATTTCATTAAATTATTAGAGAAAGAAGACGATTCGTTGTACCGTTCTCGGTTGTTAATCATTTTCTGAATTCAGTTTCCCCCCCCCCCCTTCCGCGCGAAGCGCGGAAGCTGACGTTTCATTGAATTATTAGAGAAAGAAGATGATTCGTTGTTCCATTCTCGACTCTAAATCCTTGTCTGAATTCAGTTTTCCTCCTCCCGCGCGTAGCGTGTAAGCTTCTGACGCTTCATTAAATTATTAGAGAAAGAAGATGATTCGTTGTCCCATTCTCGATTCTTAATCCTTGTTCGAACTCATTTTCCCCCTCCGCGCGAGGAGCGGAAGCTTTGACCTTTCATATAGTTTAATGAAATTATTAGAGAAAGAAAATAATTCGTTGTTCCATTCCCGACTCTTAATCCTTCTCTGAATTCAGTTTCCCCCTCCAGCGCAAAGCGCAGAAGCTAAATGTTTCATTAAATTATTAGAGAAAGAAGATGATTTGTTGTACCGTTTTAGACTTGTCAAAAATGTTTCTTTGTCTGCCCCTTTTTTTCGTCCTATGTCCTCTTACTGCCCCTACCGCCCCTAGCTACGCATGCTTTAAAGGGAAAATGAAACAAACATGATTGTGATAGCATACAATTAGGTCAGTAGAAATGAAAGGGGAAAAAAAGATTTATTTATACACCAACCATGAAATAATCGCAACCGGGAGCGTCATATCTTAGTTTTGTGTTATCGGGCGAGGGCCGGAACGTAGGGAATAAGCAAGATTTTGCAATGTAGAATGCTGAAATTATGCATTCTAGAAAATCCTTTAGTCCAATATGTACGTTCTTTCCGCTACATGTATATTTCTTTCTAGCTAAATATCTAAATTTCCGGGGGGACGTGTCCCTCTATCGGGCCCAGGATCGCCGCCGCTGCATCCATTATCACTACCAACATAAGTTCAAATATAAGCATAAGCGAGTTGGTATGAGCTGAATCCAAATGAAGGGCAAAATAAGAGTTGTGAAGCGGCCCTACCGTTAATTTAAAATGTGACTGTTTAGTATATAGCTTCTATTTGAAAGACATCCAAAATATTGTGCCCTTTTCAAATTTTTTCAAAAAGCAGGGGCTGTTTGTAACGTTTAACTTTGAATCCGTGGCTCGAGATTTTATGCGGCGGCCGGCCCTCTCTATTCATTAACGTTTTCCAAGCCTTCTGGAATGACCCCAAATCTCCCGATTACAGTTTTTCCCTAATATTCGTCGTTACTGTCACTAAGCGCCATTTCCTTGTCTTTCCCCTTTCTCACCCGACTTTTTTCTTCCCCCCCATCCCACCCCCCCCCCCCCCCCCCCCCCCCCCCCCCCCCCCCCCCCCACTCAGTGTTATCTACGGTACGCGCATTTATGTTCCCTCTCTTAGTTTAAAAGCACCTTATCTTCGGTGTGTAAAGTCAGTGCGGGCCGGATTTGTGTGTATTACGGGCCGGACTTTGTTGCGTGAAAAGTAACCCTTTATCGGAACTTTTGGGAACACAAAATCAGTCCCTCCAACCCCGCAGTGGGAGTGAGGTGGGGGGGGGGGGGGGGGGTATCTTCTTCTTTTTTCTTTCTCTCTCTCTTCTTTCTTTTCTCTTCTCTTTTCTTTTCTCTTCTCCTTTCTTTTCTCTTCTCCTTTTTTTCTTCTCTTCTCCTTTCTTTTTTTTTTCTTTTTTTTGCGCCGCCAATAGGGGGGGCCGCGGCCGTTTCGGCCCCCCTGGATCCGCCACTGGGATGAGAGTGGCAATTAGATATACGTGATACGGTGATGTTCCTTACAATGGACTTATGCTATTTCACCAAGTTGAGTTTCAATGTACATATCCCACATTGAATAACATTTATTAGGTACGCATAACTCGAGTATGGCATAAGTGAATTATACAAATACACATGACCCTAACAAAACAGTACCAGACAGTACGAGATAGTACTAGTGTTAAGTTACCTAAGAAATATGAGTGGAAATTCCTAACCCTTAGGAAAAAAATCATACTCATTTCACTTGTTAAAATGAGAAGGATTGGTGACATGTAAGTGGGTGAACGGTTCGGTTAAGCGGAAGGATCGCAAATGCAAAGGGGAAACACAACACTTCCTGTTATGAATTTCAGTGAGAATTCCCAATCCCTAAACAAAATTATGCTCATACAACTGCATTGCTGAATGAAACATTATAATACGCCTCTTACTGAAAGCATAGGCGCCGTTAGAGCAACTTCGTAACGTAAGTTCTAAAGAAGAAGCGTAAAGCAATTTCATAATGTTGTACCGGGTAGGCCCTATTATTCATGAAATGTATTATGTTGCATATTTTTCAGTGCAATACTAGCCAACTCAGTATTTACAAAATGTTTCACACTTTTGAATTAATTCACCGATGTTTTTTTTCGCAGGTCATGTGCGATGGCTACTTCCTTGAAGCAGGCAGTCCATAAGAACCTAGAGTGTCCTGTCTGCCTGAGCTTCTTCAAGGATCCCAAGAACTTGACCTGCTCACATACCTTCTGCAAGGGTTGTCTTGAGACTCTCCTGGAATCTCATTGGAACAATGACGTCCTGTTGTGTCCTACGTGCAGGAGGGAGACTTCGGTTCCTGGTGGGAACTTGAGTGGACTGCAATCGAACATAACAGTCAGATCACTTGTTGAAGATGTGAAGACCCAGGGCAATTTCAACTGTAACAAAGAGGAAAAATCAGTGCAAGAAAAATGGGAAAAATGTAAAAAACATCCGAGTTACGATGAAGAATGCTTTTGTCTTAACTGTACCCAATATGTCTGCTGCAAGTGTGCCATATTAGAGCATGTAAAGAATGCTCACACTATCCTGGAAGCAGGCGTACATGAAACTGAGCAAAAGAATCACGTCAAGGAACTTGCACCTAAAGCGGATGCAAAGATAGGCGACGTTGACAAGCATATTACAGTCGTTGAAGACCAACGTGAAAGGGTGCAATACGTACAGGAACAACTCAAGGATGAAATGGATGAGAGTTTTGAGAAATCTGTTCAGAAGTTGAAGAAAAAAGAGACGGTGTTGGAAAATGAAGTTGGGCTCAAGCTAGGTGAACCTAAGACTTCATTAGGAGACATGGAGGAGTCGGGTCGTAATCAGATAGACAAGATTAAGGAGGTTCGGGACTTGGTTAAGAGTGGTCTTAAGTTTCCTCTCCAGACAGGAGCTCTGACCTCATATAGAGCAATGGGTCCACAGCTGGAAGAGCTTCTAATCCGGATTGGGCCAGATGAGGAGCTGCCCAGAAGAACTGCTGATGAAGGTGAAAGAATTGGCTTCAGGAGTACCGGGGATCGAATGGACTCCAGTTGGGCCACCTAAGACAAAGGAAGTCCAAATGGGTTCTGCGCAAGGAAGATCCGCTGCCTGATGAAAAAAGCATGAGCGGGATGGTAATATCATCAAACAATGAGATGGCTGTTGGTTGTTGGAACGGAGGAATAGCCATAAATACTTCTGAGGGCATCATACAATATACCGTTGGGAAATCTGTTGAAGTTCGTGCCTTACACTTCATGTCTGATGGTGGATACGTCATACGCGACACTAATAACATAATTTCCTTTTACACAGAGCTTTTTGAACAGCTTGATGTAACGTTTGAGACAGTGGGTGTTGTGAACGGTACAATTAGCGGTCTCACTGCAGACAAGGATACGATGTATGCTATAAAATACAGGTATTTAAGCCAGAAGGTGGGAGGACAAGTAGAGAGATAAAGTGTAGTGGATTTGAACTATGGCATTATGTTTGCGATGACATCCAGTCAAGCGATTGCCATTAAGAGTAGTTGCAATACGGTACAAATGATCAACGATGTGTCTGGTGCTATCATTCATAGCATCAACAAAGATGGTGAACGCGCTTTCCCTGCTGTGTATCAGGCTAACTCAGTAATCATTGCATGGGTTAAGCACTATCATGATCTGCTGAGCAACGTTCAGTACACAAACGAGCTGAAATACATCAAAAACATTCTCCCTGATTTCAAGATAATCAAACCATTTAGATTGGAGGGCAAAAGGGTGGATCCAAGGCTATTGCATCAGAAATCTTTATTACTATTTTACTATCTATACTCATCTTTTTCATTAATCTACCCTGTTTTTTAAATTCTGAAAATTATTTGCTTTGATAATTGAGAAAGTCGAATTTGATGTATAGTATTTTAAGAAAACAATACTTTCTCTGAATCTAGTAAGTTGTATCAAATTAGTCATTTTATGTAAGCCAGAAATTGATAATCTCTTCATCAAAGCAATATTATCCTGGCGTATATTAATTAATTCTCTTTTGAAGCCATGAGCGCCAAAGTGACACCGAATTTCCGTAGGAACCAATTAACCTCCGCCAATCCGGGTGATTGTGGTCATTGCATTTACTCTGCGAAGTCGTCAAATCTCCTTTACTTGGGACATTTAGATTTGCACGACGAGAACGTGGACTGCTAGGTGTGGCATCCTTTAAAGGCAATGTGACCTCCTTATAAGGCACTGCCGGGCACTGTTAGTGCCTTTAAAAGACGTCACATTGCCTTAAAAGGATGCCACACCTCGTCGTGCAAATCTAAAATTCCCTATTCTTTGATAAACAGACCGCCGTGATTTTTCTCATTATGATTTAAACAAGAGAACAGCCTACGTCACAATGTTGTCGCAATGAAAGGGGTTAATCACGTACTGTTACGTAACGTGTATTACGCAGATGATGCATTTTTAGACATGGTTACCTTCGGATTGCCATTTATTTTGGTTCTTTCTTGTTTTGCGTGAATAATGTTTATCTTCATTTTCATCATCATTTTCAGACGTCACACTTTACAATTTGTTCGTGTTTTTATGAAACCTATACTGACCTAGGAAAATTATCACTTGCATTTCAGACGTCACAGCTTATTTTACCCCCTCTTGATTTTATGAAAGCTACTGAGCCGGGAAAAATTATCACTCGTGTCTCAGTGATTGTTGAATAAATTAAATTTGTCTTTCCAAGAATTCTCACCACTTATGTTCAAACTTAACCTGGCCATTTGATCATCATTGATTGAATCTTTTTTTAAGTGAAAATGTTGATATTGTTGTTCAAAATGAATAAAAAGTAGACAGATACTGACAGGAGTAACCCTTATAAAGCGTTGTGTTCCTTTGCATTCTAATTTCCAAATCACCTGCCTATATAATACCATATCCCTTGTATATCTCTTTTTTCCCTTCCTCCATCTCCCCTTACATCTCTCTCTCTCTCTCTCTCCCCTCTCTAACTATATTGCTCTCTCTCTCTCTTTTTAGTCTGCATTTTCTCTCCTCGCTCTAGCTCTCTCTTTCTGTATCTCGATCACAACTGCATGCAAATTCCAACTTTACCAACACGTTAGTATACCATGGCAACATTTAGAAAAGTGAATATAATAAAGTTTCATTGAGAGCAGGAAATGGCAACATCTTCCACTCCACCTGGTAATTCCTGATAACAGTGGAAACTCGTTATAAAGAGCTATGATATAACGAGATATACCCATTGATATACATAACGGGTTAATCCGTTGGTCCCTCAGTCCTTGTTACAACTGGTGTCCAAAATGTAAAAACAAAACAAGATAGATTTTATTGTACGCATTGAGGGAGTGTACAAATGCATTCCATAACGTTTATTTTAATTCGCTCTAAAGGAATAAATGAAATCCTTATTAATATTACACTATTTCCCCTCCTAATAATAAAAGCCTAATAAAACTCTTTTGTTGTTGTTGCAATATTGACTTTATTGTATCCATTTGAGGGCGAGTACAGATTCCAAAAGGTTTATATTTAAATCGATTTATAGAATATACGTAATAGTAACATAATTATGTGACATGTAACCATAGAAATTAATTATTACAGTCCAGTAGGTTCGGATAATGTTAGACAATATAATGTATTTTACATGCAAAAATTATACATTGAGTGTGGGGATTTATAGAGGATATCTTTCATACCCATGTTGGATATCAAAGATATAACACAATGCAAATTTTGTCTGCAAGTGAAAGCGTTAACAATTATACACGGTGGTTTAATATCTCACTGAGACGATCATTTTACTCATTTTCTGTCAAATAAATCAAAAAACATTGCCGATAATGATTTTTAACACGAATTTCTTTCTCCAGCATGGTCAAAAAGGCTCGGGGGCCGGTGAGCAAACTAGATTTTGCCATCCGTGACGAGTTGCTTAATGCCGGCCACAGCGGACTGGAAGCCGGCGTTGTAGTCGCAGGCGACCTCGTTGGATATGTAGTCGCCACGATCGTCGTTATAGTTGTCGTACTCGTCGGGACCTCCGACCAGAGCTCCATAGAGGGTCTGGGGGTTCGCACTCGCAGAGTTGTACTCGTTCCAGCTACAGGATTGGGGCTGATCGGGGCAGGAGCTGCAATAGGTAGGATGGCGAAGAAAGATCGTAAAGAATTTCGAAAAATCAACCTCGTGCAGTTTCAGTGGCCTTCAATGGCCCTTTTGAACTATCACCCATTGAAATGAGAGATCATAAACAAATTACGTATTACGTAATCTGAACATTATTTTTATGGGATATTCACAGGGTTATTACATTGCTCATTCATTTAAAAAATAATAAGATATTTTTTCAAGGGCGTTCTCTTTTTGTGTACTCTAGGAATATACACTATTGCTCATAAAGTTGGAATATTTTTTATATTTACCCCAATTTTAGGAATTATTTTGACAATGATTTATTCCTGATAGATCTAGATAATAGTATACATTCTCATATTTTATTAAATAACAATTTGCCAGTGTTTGTTTTGCGTGGCTAAAACATGTATATGATACTATGCTTATCAACTAGGAGACCTACGCCCTTAAGCCATAACTGATAGTAAAGATGATTAATGCCTCACAAAAGGGAATTAATATAGCACATCGACACGGTTTTGATCCTGGGGCCTCACAGTTACGAGGCCATTGCTTTGCCACTGAACCATGACTGTACGCAGTGGGGGCTAGGTAGGGTAGGGGGCAGTTCTCAGAAATAAAATAAAAAAACCCAAAGAAAATGCAATAAATTATCAATAATTCATTGGATTTCCCCCGGTCCCCAACTAAAAAAACATCTTTTGTGTGCCCATGCCATGAGCCATAATGCATGGCCGTATAGAGGATTTAAAAAAAACTCATTTACACTTTTGAAAAACCGCGGCGTTTTTTTTTTTTTTTTGCGGCGGCGGCGTTTTACCGCATATACCTGCACGAACCTAAATACGTGTTGATCTGGCTACTAAAACTAGTACATAATTGTATGGGATTTAATAGAACTTTTTATTATAAAAAAAACAAACAAAAAAAAACAATCAAACAAACGAACAAACCTTGATCGATGATGAGGACGTTGAGGGGGGTTGTTACCGAATCCAACGACGAAGCTTCGGCCGGTGGAACCCAGCATGTAGTGTATCTGTTGCTCCACAAATGAACAGTATTTATTGCCGTTGATATTATCGCGGCAAGCCATTGCAGCGATGAAAGCAGTGTTGGCTGCAGTGGATAAATGATTAAAATTGAACCAATATTGAAATTTTGAAATTTGAAATTGAAAATTTGAAATGGAAATTTGGAAAATTGAAATTTTGAATAGGCCGGAATTCAAATTTGTTCCCTTCTTATTAAAAATATGATAAACAGTAAACATATAAAAAAGTTCTTTAAATAAATATTAAAAAAGTAGAAGGAGGCGAAAACCAGGAAAGCAAATGCTCGTGTCGGGAACGACTACACATTAGGACGTGACACACACATAAAATAAAAAAATATTATGATAATAAAAAGTGTGGCTTTATTTTTACCTAAATTAGCCTACATTAACAAAAGAAAATGAGTGGCATGACTAGAGATACTAATGAAGTAATTTGATTTGATAGACTGACCTGAGTAGCGGAGTGGTCCCCATTCGCTTCGCCATGCCAGACCATTGGGTGTGTAAGTAATACTACCAGGCTGCCAACTATCTAGGAATCCGATTACAGCATTCTTGTAATCATTTGATCCTGTAAGTTGGTACATTAACATCTGAAAAAGAGACAGTTATAGATACTCTAATGTAATATTATACATGATTATATTCAATGATCTGGGGTACAATACAACCAGGCGAGTACGCAGGGGGAGGGGGTTAACCCCCCTTCAGTTTTTTTAATGTGTATGTTTTTAGGAACCCCCCGCCCTTTTGAGGGTTTTTTAAAAAATTAATTAAAAAAAAATAATAATAATCCTAATGGATGACCTAAAAAAAGATGACCTTACCCCCCCCCCCCCCAAAAAAAAAAAAAAGGAAATAGTTGGTCGGAATTTTGATATACCGTAACAACTTTAAATGTTCAGAATAAATTTGTAATTTTATATATGACATTTCATTGTCACTATATTAAGGTGTAATAATTTTTGATCGCTTGCTTTCCTCTCTAGCAATATTTAAAAATTGGATAGTTAATAAAATCCCCCCAAGGCAAAACTGTACTCGATCGCACGCCACAGAGGTAACAACAGATTATCATTTGTACTTTAAGGACTTGGATTGAATGAATGCCCTTCAAATGTGGTTGAGTTTACTTCGATGTCATTATTATGTCATAATCATAAAAACAACAACAATAGTAATGATAATTATGATAATAATAATTTTGAAGAACAAACAATAATATTTCTAATAATGATATTACTAATGTTTGTTCTTTTAAGCGCTCATATCTGTCAAACTTGTCATTCCCTGGCGCTCCACAATTATTCTTACCCCAGCTTTAGTATTGCTGTAATTATGGCGCTCTAGCATTCAAATGAAAAAATAGAAAGCCATAACCTCACATGGGTCGAGTGAGGCAAATGTAGATTAATGAATTCCTAAAGGACGTTAGTGCTGTGACAGGGATTCGAACCCCGAACCCTTTTGATCACAGTCAAGCGACTTACCCACTAAACCACGACACCTCTACAAAAAAAAATCAAATTTGTTACCTGTACACCGGCGTTCTTGTCGTCCCAGGACAGGGCCCAGGGTGTGCCGGAACTGTAAAAGCTCGTGGCTTTGGTGAGGTAAGACTGTGTTCCCGTAGCCTTATAGAGCCAGGCAGCAGCCCATGCAAGCTCGTCATTGTAGCCATAGGATCTGCCGAGGGCGGTACAAATACAAATTACAACTTTGTTATTCTCTCCTTTGCTACTAACTTGACCCCCCATTGTTCAATTTATTTTGCCCTTACGGTAGGGACACTTTCATAGATTTGGGACAATGATAACAAAGTAAATTATTTTAATTATAATGTAAACTATGAGATGAAAACAAGAAAGTCCATCACTGGAGGTAGTCCAGATTCAGTCGGTTTTTACATATTTTTAAATTCTTCCATCATCTATGTCCTCCTCCCTATAACAAGCACCTCACACAGATTGCGCGTCCCCGAAAATACATCCGTCGAAAGCCGTTTGCGAGTGTTGAGGTGTGTTATATTCTCAGCTGATTGGGCGCGCGACACGGAAACGGTCTAGGTAGTGGACTATACATTGGTGGAAGTATAATCACCATTACTCTAGTAAAATTAAAATGGGGGGGGGGGGGGGGGTTAACCCTCTCTTCATGTTTTTTATGTATGTGTTTTGGAGGAACCCCCCCCCTTGTATTTTGTTTTTGTTATTTTAATTTAAAAAAGGCAACCTTCCCCCCCCCCCCCTACGGAAATAAAATATTGAACGGTCAAATTTTCAAATTTCGGGAGAAGTCATTTACATAATTCGTTTATTCATTTATCTATTCATGTACTAAATAAATATGTATATAATAAAAATTAAAAAATGGATAATTTTTTTTTTTTTATGGGGAACGGGGGGGGGGGGGGGGGGGGGGGGTAAATGCAAATAAAAGAAGTTCCGGCACTAACCTGTAGAAACTGCCAGGTTCGGAGAGGGAGTCGGTGTATTTTCCGCGGTACTGGTCGGCGAAGTCGAAGAGGGTCTTTGCGTGATCAAGAAGTTCGTTTGAGTAGCTTGAGTCTAGGAAGAAGATTTAAATATATTAAAACAATTGTAGAACAGGCGCCATGAACGGATATCGGCGCTATACAAGAAGCCATTATGTTCTTGAAAGTCCTCAAATAGGGGTCATTTTCGAACCCCAATAACGATTATGTGTTACCACTGGAATATGAATAACACCACCGGACATCATCATCGTCTTCATCATCATCCTCTTCATCATCATCATCATCGTCACCATCGTCATCATCTAAGTCATCATCTTCTTCATCATCATTACCATCCTCATCATCCTCGTCATCTTCATCATCATCGTCACCATCATCATCATCATCATCACCATCATCACCATCATCTTCGTCATCTTCATCATCATCATCACCATCTTCATAAGGCTTCATAAGGCCAAGTATAATTAAATCACAGGTTCTCCTCCGGACTTTTCCATAAGTAGTAGGAGGGAATTCCATGTTGTTTAATATATATATATGTTCTTTTTTTTCTTCCCTGTACATAAAAATGCTATTGTGTCAATATCAACAAAAATTTGTACATTTTGATTTCATTTATATTTCCATTTCCATTTATATTGCATTCATAGCGAATAAAGATGAAAGGCAACATATAGATAATTGATTATTTTTTTGTTACCTGTGTTATCTGTGTAGATCAGGTTTCCTCATATTCTCCCAAGTTAAAGAATACAAATATCAACTAAAAGAAGAGAAAACTGAGGCGGGCTGAAAAAGGGAAGGAGGATTGGACGTAGGATAACGTTTTATTTGGCTTAATAACTTCAAGTATCGAACATCTTACCATTATCCTTGAAGACAATAGAAGCAGCGGCCAAGGCAGCGGCTGTTTCTCCCACCACGTCGGAACCGGGCAATGAGGCAGTAACCTTCAGAGCCGGTCTGTCCATGGTCATTTCTTCGGGGCGACCCCAATATGCATGGTCAACATGGCCATCACCCACCTGGATGTACAGCTCATTGTTAGAGACGTGGCATTTGATGAAGTAGTCAGTGGCCCATCGGATCTGATCCAGAGCGTGATTGTACTCGCCACAAGCATTATATACTCCTTCGAACTCGATAATGCCCCAGGCAAGTAAAGTGGTCGAGGCTGCCATGGGCAAACCAAACTTAACATGGTCTCCAGCTAATATGCAAAAGAACAACAAATATTATTTGTATTCGACTTCTCAACATCCCTCATTCTAGTATTTCTTTCAGTGAAAAGGCCATGAACGAGACGAAATAGATAATTTAAGACACTCACTGAAAAGTTGTAAACCCAGCCACAACCGTCGATATTCAGCTCTCATAGCTCTCGATAAAAGACCCTGAAAACTCTTCGAATCCATAATAATGATAATGATAATTGGGTCTTTTTTACTCAAAAGGACCACATCAGTATCATTACTGCTCTAACTACGCGTCCTGCAATTATTAGTACCCCAGCAATTGTCAGATTCCAATTTAAACCTAGGTTGAGAGTGACAAATGTGGATTAATGTCATGCTAGAAGACTTAAGTGCCGGGCTGGCATTCGAACCCTCAACCATTGTATCGAGAGTGAAGGGAATGCACTCGTTCGTTCGTGTCTCCTTAGATCAAGATTACGGTAATCTTGATCTTCGGAGTAGTTGCTACAACCGGCCGTGTCAGACACGTTGCCCCGGGGTGCGAGATAGGACTCTTGTAGCGTGCCCCCATTTAAGGGAATGCACTACTATACCACGATACAACTATCCTGGACACAAATTTGCCAAAATCATGACAGTATACACCCCAAACACGAAAAACTGGCCAAAGTCTTCAGACACCACTACACCTACCCCCTGGACATCCACCCGCGGATAACCACCCCTAGGATAACCACCCTCTAGAACAACTACCCCCTACGACAACCACCCTCTAGGACAACTACCCCCGGACAACTATCCTAGGGGGTAGTTGTTCAGGGGTAGTTGTTCAGGGGTAGTTGTCCGGTGGGTAGTTGTTCTGGAGGGTAGTTGCCCTAGGGGGTAGTTGTCTGGGGGTAGTTTTCCGGGGGTAGTTGTCCCAGGGGTAGTCGTCCTATAGAGGGTGGTTGCCCTAGGCTCTAGGGAATAGTTGACCTAGAGGGTGGTTGCCCTAGGGGGTGGTTGTCCCGGGGGTAGTTGCATGGGGGTAGTTTTCCGGGGTAGTTGTCCCGGGGGTAGTCGTCCTATAGAGGGTGGTTGCCCTAGGCCCTAGGGGATAGTTGACCTAGATGGTGGTTATCCTAGGGATGGTTATCCAGGGGTGGTTGTCCAGGGGGTAGGTGTCCTGGAAACGTCAATTTTATATTATATATATTATTGTGAGGGAACGAAATAATATTGCGAGGAAACGAAACAATTATTGCGAGGGAACGAAATAATCATTGTCTGTCATTCATAAGAATGAATAGATATCAAATGCGCTGTGGAAACTTGGTTGAATACTTTTGTTTTTAGGTTTTCCACAAGACAATATTTTGACTATTTAAGGACGTTCTGCTCAATATTGAGAGATCTAGCAATTAATTCACTCTGTAGTTTACGCAAGAGAGATTCCGACGGATTCAATATTTCCTTGTAGACAGCATTTCCAAATTAAAAATGAAAAAAACAATGGAAAAAAAAAAAAAAAAAAAAAAAAAAAAAATCGAAAATGAAAGAAAAAAAAGTTTGCTTGGCTCGTGTGACATGCAGAGCGCGCCGATCATGCAATAGCAAACTTACCATCATACCAGCCACCAGTCAAGTCTTCATTATTGTTTCCCTTGTCCCCCATAGCGGAATCACCGCGGTAGTCGATGTTGTTGTCATTCGGTAGTTCACCCGACCGCTCGGCCTCGAAGAACAAGATTGACTTGTGAAGAACGTCACAGTAGTCGTAAGCTTGGCCTGATTGGACGAACAAAGAGTGAAAATGATAGTATATAATAAAATATTATAAGTTATAATACGATTTACAATACCGTAAATGTAAAAAAGTAACACTCATTCGTGAGGGCGTTGGTAAGAATTATCCACAGCCGCATTTTACAAAGCGTTAGTCGAAAGCTGTTTCGGACGTACCTCTGCTCAGTGTGTGAAAATTCCTAGATACGTCATTGAAGAAAAAAATATCACATTTTCTCCTCTAGATAATGAAATTATTAAAAAAAAACAGCAACCATCCAACGTTTCACCGTCGTCCCGGATCTTGTACTCACGGTCAAAAAAATGTCATGTTGTTGCGTGTAGTTTATATCTTACTTGGAAGCTTACCTTAATCATTTTTTTAACGTAACCTCTGACTTCCTTCAAAGGTATTGTTTTTCAATGCTTTTGATACCTTAAATTTCACTGTGATCATATTTTGTGAAATGTGAAAATATTTTGAAACTTATAGAGATGTCTCCATCCGAAAAGTTTTTATTCTACACCAAGTGATTTTAAGTATACATTTTCATGTACATATTGAATTTATGCAAAGACTTAAGAGAAATTAACTCAAGTTCAATTTCAATACCCAACAATCATGATTGTATGTCCCAAAGAAATCACGTTTGGAATACGTAATACGGCATCATAATATATCAGAAGGTAAAAGTGAAAATTACCTGTGGAAATCAGACAGATCGTTAACAAGATTAAAGGCAACATGGCTGATGGATTCACTATCTGCAAAGTTAGATAAATAAATATTTGTTAAACTTAAATATTACTTAACTGAATGGACGATCAAAATAATATAAACCCAAATAATTTATTGCTTATTTTTTTCATACAGCCCTTCCAATATGCAACACAACTGTAACTGTAACCCGAAGTATATTAAATAGAAAGGTTACAACTAGTGTATACAGGTGAATAAATTAATCAAAGTTATCATGAGAATACAAGAATATATGGCATTGAGTGAATAAAATAAAATAAAAATAAGCAAATAAATATATTCTTCATCGAATGTCATTATTGACATTTAATGAAGAACAACATTTGAATACAGTAACCACATAGTATCACACAGACCCTGCCCTGATATGAGTTTATTGTGAAAATTATTTTATAATTTCAATGTATCTCTCTACATTTTTATACATAGTTTAATCTAACATTTTGTTTGAAAACAAATGAATCAATGAAATAAATTAATTTCAATTATATATTTGTATAAGTAAGTTATAACTTTAACAAATAAATTCTATTAGAAAACACCTTGTACAATTTTCCTCACTAGTGTAATTTCGTTAGAACAAAAAGACTCACCTCTTTAGATCAGAAGCCAAGGAGAAAATGATTTGTCTCTTGCCAGCGTCGTGTATTTTATCAGGAATACTTAGGGGTAGGCATTCGTGAGAGTTGTAGCAGGTGTTTAAACATGAAAGAAACAAAAAAAAATAGCCCAACTATAGATAACATTGTCATTAATTTTTATCTAAAAAACGTTTTATTTTTGCTAATAAACATATGGTTTATAGATGGGATGGATAAGATGAAGTTATTGATTGATTTAATCGACTTTTGTACACATTTTTTGATGGAAGATATAGAACCTGACTGTCAAAGATGGAAAAGTACCAATGAAAGTAGTCTTTTCCTTTTAGTAAACGAAGCCTTTGAAAGTTAACAATCAATTTTTTAAAAAACTTATTCGACATTCGCGAATTTCAAATTTGTTGGGTATTTATTTATGTATTTTAGAATGTAAGGAAAACAGAAATTGAAGAAAATCTGATCAATAGTGAGCAGAGGGAATTTAGTTTTAAGAACACATTTAATAGGAGTTCCGTTTCAACCCTGGTACTGTTGACCCCCAAGTCTTAAATAGAAATAATATTTTGATCATTGATAGAATAATTTCCGAGGCATTCCAAATCATTCTCGATATCCATATAACTTTGCTTTCCTTTACTTTTTGAAGTGATTATTTAACACGCTCTTTTTCCTTTTCAAAGGATAACTTCTAAAAAACATTTCATTATGATTTTTAGGTTTAGTATATTTAAATGTTCCACCAACATATGGCAAGGCATCGATTGGTGGTCCTATGAATTTTATCTACTCCTTTTAACCGATTATTAAAATGTATTCTATGCATACAGTATATGGAATTAAACAAATAGCTACACCAATGAGTATATCTGTGATATGCATGAGACGTTAATAAAAATGGGGGAGGGGGGGGGGTAGGGCCTCATCTAAAATAATAGTTTCTGACATGAAAAAACAAGTAAAAAAAAAAACGACAAGGGACGACAATTTGAGAGGGTTTTTTTTTCTTCAAGCAGTGTTAACGTTTCAAAACATTTCTTTTAAAGGGGGTACATTGGTTTTTACAAGGGGGACAGGCCGAGTGTGCCCTTATCCGCAAGAGCCCAAGTGTACATCCGGCCTTCTCCAATCCATGGGGAAGCATTCCTTCTTTAATTTGAAGTGTTCCCTTTCGTGCTTGCAGAGCACATGGCAAAGGAAATAAGAATGTAAGTGCCACAGCTTGGATTCGAGTCACCGACCTTTTGGTCCACGAGTCCGGACCACTTGCATCAAACGTATCTGATCATTGACGTCTGGGGACCGACCATGAACATCACCACCAGGAAGACGTGACGTAGTTCGAACCGGGGTCCGTCAGAGTCAGTTTGGAAACGAAAGCAGAGAGCTGACTGTACTGCTAGGCCACTCCTCGACACCTGTAATCATGTATGAAATCATACTTTACAAATCAATCCCTTACGTAAGAAAATTCGACCTATGTACAGCTCTTACCAGTCACGTACGCATACACAGCTGCTTCCATAGTCTTTGTAGCTGGTTTTTTTTTTTTTTTATCAATTAATCAAATATAAGACTCACTGAAAAGTACACACAACTGTTGACATTTTAGATTTATCTTTTGAATTATTGGAGTATGATCAAATAGCGTTTATCTCGAGATGTCACGACTTTGAAATCATAATTTTGTATAGGCCTGTGTCATGCTCTGCGTTAGGTTTTTTCCAAAATTTCGCAACGACTCAGCCAGCCGCTGAATGAGCGGGGGGGGGGGGGGGGGGGGGGGCGGTGGGGGGGGGGGGGGGGGGGGGGTAAGAGGACACTTTTTTTTGTTGGTCTCAAAATTTGACAATTTTGACATTTTGTCCAGTTGGGGGGGGGGGGGGTAAGGTCACCTTTTTTAGGTCAGCCATTGGCAATTTTTTTTTTTGTTAATTTAAAAAATAATAATACAAAAAAAATCTCAAAAGGGGAGGGGTTTTCCAAAATAACATACATAAAACATACACATAAAAAAACTCGAGGGGAGGGGGGGGGGGGGGGGTTTAACCCCAAAACCACCCCACTGCGTACGCGCCTGGCTAGTACTACTTTGGTGGGCAAGCTCGAAACAAAAGAATGTACACCATATGTTGTGACGAACTGAACTTGGCCAAACATATTCTATGTAAAAAACGCCATTAGTTCGATTTATATTAAGTTCGTGTTTGAATATTTTGCGTAGTTTTGATTGACTGCTTTGATAACGTTTCTTCATTATGCTGACGAGTGCCTTTAAATGACATCAATAGTTGAAATATACTTGGTATACGTGCGACGATGCTATGTTGTGTAGAACTCTGGAAAACAATCGGGCCTTCAAATACATTGCGTATATATATATATTTTTTATAATTGCACATTTGCTGCTTCCCTAAACAATTTTTATCGGGGAAGGGCCGGGAGCGGGGGGAGGTGGGGCTGTGAATGTTTTACCATAATTTGTTAATCAATTTAAGGCTCGCTGAAAGGTACACACAACTGTTGACATTTCATATTTATCTTTTGAATAATCGGAGTATGATCAAATAGCGTTTATCTCGAGATGTCACGACTTTGAAATCATAATTTTGTATAGGCGTGTGTCATGCTCTGCGTTAGGTATTTTCTAGTCTGTTAACCCTATCACTCTACAACCATCTCTAAATTCATTGGTCCAATAAAAACATCATTATAACATTCAAAATACAATTATACAAAATGCAATATATATAAAATATAATAAGAACAAATAAAACAACAACAGTAACACTAAAAATTATTAATGGGTGGAGTAGGGATGTGAGGGACCAGAAAAGGCCATTGACCTATCAAGGCTGGTCCCCTTTTTCTACAACCCCAAAAGTAAAATCTTCAGTAATTAAAAGCAAAACATTGACAATATAGACATTACATTAACTAAGACATATAAACACACATACAAGGACAGGTAGAATTAATAAAAGCTAAAAAAAGTATATTGTAACTTGATATTTGTTTGTGTTTAAAATTAAGCTTAAAACTACATAATGTTGGGCATGCTTTGAGAGAATCTGGTAAGTTATTCCAAATAATGGATCCTTTATATTTTATTACTGTTCTTGACAAATTATATAGCGAAATGAAGGAACATAAAGTTTGTGTGAATTTCTAGTACTATATTGATTTATATCTCTATTAAAAATAAAATAATTATTAAAACAATCAGGTAAAGTAGTTTTTCTAGTCTGTTAACCCTATCACTCTACAGCAATCTCTAAAGCCATTGGTTGCTAATGACATGTCCCTACTCATGACCAGAGTCGACTATACACAACGTTTGGGGATGGTGGGTGAATGTTTTACCATAATGTGTACAGAGACAAAGGTTGCACAGTTGAAATTTGCGGACAACAATGTTTAATATATATTGAAGATTTACCCTCTTGCTCCCGTTCTAGTAAAAATGTTATCAAGAACAACTTACCCTCTAAATGTAAAAGAGTGAAATTGCACTCAAAAGAGAGTGAAATTCCACTCTCATAAGGAGTCAAATGAAGGACAATCTTTTTCGAATGAAAAAAGGGGTGGTCACTATTTCACTCAGGAAAGAGTGAAACACCAATCTTTTAAAAAGTGAAAATGTTATCACTCATGTGGACAGAGTGGAGACAATTCACCGCTTTGGGAGTGAAATCATCAACTCAGTATCAAGCAATGGCGGATCCAAGGGGTGTGGCCCCCCCCCCCGGGGAAAAAACGTGTAAAACACGTGAATTTACCTTTTTGGGGGATGGGCCCCCTGGCGCTCAAGGGGGAGGGGGGGGGGGGGTGCAAATTTAAAATTTTCGAGGACCAAAAAAAAAAAAGGTGTGCTCACTACCCCCCCCCCCCTCACTCAAACGGGAGTGCATTATCACTCTATTAGGAGTGCACGTTCATCCACTCTTAATGTAGAGTGAGAAATTCACTCCTTTACATTAAGAGAGTACAAAAAACTGGTATAATATACTGAAATAATTGCATTTCATTGGCTTAAGGGCAATCCAACCCTTCTCATAAGTTCATTTTGAATGAAAGCAGACAAATCAGAGAAACAGAATGGCGAAAATTTGAAATAAATCGGACCAATATTAAGAAATTTATGATTGTTTGAAATATGAGATCACTACACCAATCAGCAATTTTGTCAGTGGATTGTGACGTATGACGGATTACTCTCCCGTTTGTTGCCGAAATATCAGATATTTCTGTTTTTCTTCCAAGTGCCTTCACCCGCGGGGCACTACTCAACATATATTACGGACAGTACATTATGACAGGTCTTCTAAAAAGAACAGACCATCCCGAGTCATACATTTATGAAAATTTGAAATTATAGTCCTTTTGTGTATTGGAGCAAGTGGGAAAGTTGTACGTACGTCACTTGGACATTATCAATTCAGCCAATTTGAAGATCTAGAGCCCATACCTATAGTAATTGCAACTTTCAAAAGTTCGTAACTTTCTCATTTTTTGTCCTATGTCATCCAAACTTTCATCAGTAGGCTATGCTTCTCTGATTTTTCTGCTTTATTCTAGACAAGTTTGCTATCAAGGTAAGATTTCCCTTTAAGCAAATTTGCCCGCAAATTTGTGATTGAATTTAAAAACTTTGAATTTTGGTACTTAATAACTTAATAACTTTTGAACTTAATTAAGCCATATCAAACCGGGCTCTGCTTTGATGATAAGAGTCAGCGTTGAATGTGTCATTGTTGTTGTTTTAGGGTTTTAAGGCTGTCCAATCTGAAAAGATTATTTCCGCCTGGCAATACTGTTTTTCGAATTATTCATCAATGATGATTAGATGGCGCTGTTTCTTTTTTTCTAGCTCAAAATTATTGATTCAATGAGTTTCACAGCTTCCATTCAATCGATGGTGTGCATGGGCAATAATTATTTTAGGTGTCAACCATGAACAGGGTGCGAGTATTAATAATAAAGGTTAACTAGGCAGTGCTAAACTATAATTTTCCTTTCCTTCCTCTCCGAGAGAGAGAGAGAGCAGGTGAACATGAAATAATATAAGTACTAAATAAAACTTTGTCTTTTAGGCCTATATATAATTAACACATTAAAGGTACTATGTCCCATTTGCTAGCCAAAAAAATGAAAAGGTTAAATTCCAATAGTATTTGAAAGATAATACTAATTTAGAACTTCCCTAAAAAAAAAGGGGGGGGGAATAACGACTATTAGTTGTCGAACGAACTTAAGAGCTATAGAGCCAGTAAGTAATAGTCTGATTTTAAGACCATTGAACCAAATGGTCGTAAGTTTTATGCTGCGCAAAGATTCAATCAGATTAATTTTGGCCATCACAAGAAGTGGGTTATTGATGTAGACAAATGCTCATGTACCCTTTACAGCTCGTTTTATGTATGTTATTACCAAAAAAGAAAAAAGCCAGTCAGTCACTCAATAGTGTCTGCCAGTGAAGTCTAGCAAGTAAACGGGTTTCGTTGCATAATTTGAATATTAGGACACTGCTAACGTTTAAATTTCACAGATAGGACATACATGACATATTCATAATACCTTCAAAGTTCTACATAATTTGGTGTTGGCTGCAAAAGGGACATAGTATCTTTAAAAAAATAAACAATACAATTTGCTCTTTACATCACCTTGGCAAAGTTAGTTAAAACTCGCCAACTACAATGAGTGGTATCTATATGTGGCTTTATAAAAATCCATCAGAGCATGCAGATGATCTTCTATCCCCAATAAATTATGTAAACTCCTCTTTTTTTATTTTCAGCCTTGAAAACAGCTTTTCCTCTCTCATATATATTTCTTACAGACCGTTAAATAATGTTCAATTGTTTCAGTTTCATGACAAAAATTACAAAGGCCATTTTCATGTTTATTAATACTGAATTTGTAAAAGTTTAATTTGCATTTTCCCATCCTCATTTGATGTAATGTCCGTGAAATTCAATTCAAGTGAGTTGATTTTGCGATCGCTCACATGAAGTATTGCTACCACCCCCTCTCTCTCTCTCTCTCTCTCTCTCTCTCTCTCTCTCTCTCTCTCTCTCTCTCTTTCGTTTACACTCTCTCCTCTTCCATTTTCATCTAATCTCCTATTTGTATAAAATGTTTTATAGTTTGTTTATATTATGTTGTTTTTAATTATTGTATATTTTGTATATTTGTATGTGTATTGTAAGATATTTGAAATGTAATTTGTGTACAGCAGGGCTCCCTTGTAAAGCAGGCCTTGCGGCTTGAATGGGACTACCCTGCTTTTTATAAAGAAAACATGAATAAATAAATAAATCAATAAATAAATAATAATCTATCATCTTTTTTAAAACAAAATCCAGATAAGTTAAGTCTCGATGTACACTGTTGCTCATTTTTTTTTACCTCAATTTATGGAATTATTTTGACAATGATTTATTCCTAATAGATCTAGATAATAGTAAACATTCTCAGATTTTATTGAATAATAATTTGCCAGTGTGTTTGCGTGACTGCTAAAGCTGCCACTATGCTTATCAGCTAGGGGACCTACTCCCTTAAGTCGTAAATGACAGTGATGAGGATTAATGCTCAACAAAATGGCACTAATATAGCACATCGACACTGTTTTGATCCTGGGGCCTCACAGTTACGAGGCCATTGCTTTGCCACTGAACCATGACTGTACGCAGCGGGGGCTAGGGTAGGGGGCAGTTCCCACAAATAAAAAAAAACACCAAAGAAAATGCAATAAATTATCAATAATTCATTAAATTTCCCCCGGTCCCCAACAGAAAAAAAAAATCCTGTGTGCCCATGCCTTGAGCCATAATGCATGGCCGTACAGAGGATTTTGTTATGGAAAAAATTCCATAACCACATGTAAAATCACATTTTAGTTAGTGAGTGTGTTGCGGCTCATACGTACTGGAAGAGAAATCGTTAAACAGAATTTCAAAAGATAACGATTGCCAGTCTTTCGATTGCATCAGTTGGTTGGGCAGAGGGACCTTTACGGTTACAGTGATTAAGTTTGCTCTCCTTTTCCTCGGCCGCCGTCTGTTGCACTCAGAATATTGCTACTAAAATTTGTATTTTTATTATTGTTGTCATTCTAATTTTGTAATCACCTTGTTTATATTGTGTCATTGTTATATTTCTTGAAAGTGCTGAATAAAATAAATAAATAAATAAAATTGCCATGTTTGCAATGACATGAATTAATCTTGACTGGAAAGCCCGTAAGAGCTGTGTACAGGAAGAATTATTAAGTATCAAGATCAAAAAGAATATGCGATGCTCTACCCCTAAGACTTCACATGGATATCGCTATCCCTCTAATCCATGTTCCTTTGCATTTGAACTTCTATATCTCCTCCCTCATGCCATATCTCTTATATATCTCTGTTCTACCATTCCTCTATCTCTCTTTACATTTTTCTCTCTCTCTCTCTCTCTCTCTCTCTCTCTAAATATCGTGCTCTCTCCCCCTCTTTTCTGCGTCTTCTCTTCTCGCACTCGATCTTTCTGTATCTCGATCCCACCCTCTTCCTGGACATTCTCACAACTGCACGCACATTCCAGCTTCACCAACACGTGTGTATACCCTGGCAAAGTTTAGAGAAGTGAATATAATAAAAAGTTTAGAGAAGTGAATATAATAAAGTTTAGAGAAGTGCATATAATAAAGTTTAGAGAAGTGAATATAATTAAGTTTAGAGAAGTGAGTATAAAAAAGTTTAGAGAAGTGAATATAATAAAGTTTAGAGAAGTGAGTATAAAAAAGTTTAGAGAAGTGAATATAATAAAGTTTAGAGAAGTGAGTATAAAAAAGTTTCATTGAGAGCAGGAAATGACAACATCTTCCATTCCACCTGGCAGTTCCTGATATACAGTGGAAACTCGTTATAAAGAGCTTTGATATAATTATACCAAGTGATATAAAACAGGTTAACCTGATGGTCACTAAGTCCTTGTTACAACGAGTTTCAAAAATGTGAAAACAAAACAAGATTCTATTGTATGCATTTGAGAGGGTGTACAAATTCCATAACGTTTATTTTAAATTGTTTATTTTTAAAGGAATGAATGTAATCCTTATGACTATTACACTATCCCCCCCTCCTCTCAATAAAATCCTGATACAACTATTCTTTTTTTTTTGCAATATTTACTTTATTGTATCCATTTGAGGGCGAGTACAGATTCCACAAAGTTAATATTTAAATCGATTTATAGAATATACGTATTAGTCGCTTAATTATGTAACATGTAACCATAGAAATTAAGTATTTCAATCCAGGAAGTTCGGATAATGTTAGACAAAATAATGTAGTGTACATGCAGGAATTATACATCGAGTGTGGGGATCTATAGAGGATATATTTCATACCCATGTAAATGAATATAAAAGATATAACACAATACAAATACACGATGGTTTAATTTCTCACTGAGACGATAATTTTTACACGTTTTCTGTCAGATAAATCAAAAAATATTGCCAACGATTAATTTTAACACGAATTTCTTTCTCCAGCATGGTCGAAAGGGCTTGGAGGTGAGCAACTAGATTTTGCCATCCATGACGAGCTGCTTGAGACCGGCAACAGCGGACTGGAAGCCGGCGTTGTAGTCGCAGGCGACCTCGTTGGATATGTAGTCGTCACGTTTGTCGTTATAGTTGTCGTACTGGTCAGGACCTCCGACCAGGGCTCCTTGGAGAGTCTGGGGGTTCGCACTCGCAGAGTTGTACTCGTTCCAGCTACAGGATTGGGGCTGATCGGGGCAGGAGCTGCAGTCATAATAGGTAGGATGACGAAGAAAGATCGTAAAGAATTTCGAAAAATCAACCTCATGCAATTTCAGTGGCCTTCAATGGCCTTAACCATCACCAATTGTATTGCTCATTCATTAAAAAAAAATGATAAGACATTTTTTCAAGGGCATTCCTTTTTTGTGTACTCTAGGAATATCTACAGGTAAATGGCATTCGTTGCTCATAAAGTTTGAAAATAAACAAGATCAAGAACCTTTAATTACTGATCATGAACCCTTTGTATGCTGTAAAGATTGCAGCCTACGCAAATATCTACTCCAGCCTCCAGGTACATCAAGGACAGATAGGCAGGCTATTACTTCTAAGCGACTGATACAAGAACAGAACAGACAGAAGCATTGATCAGATATGCAAAGGTAAAGCGCGGCGGTTTCTTTTAATGAAGACGTCAAATACGTTTCACATTTTCTAACCAATCATATAGAGCTTAGTGAATACGCATTGGAACTTTATTGCGTGTAGTTGCCACTCATTTACACTTTTGAAAAACCGCGGCGTTTTTTTTTTTTTTTTTGCGGCGGCGGCGGCGTTTTACCGCATATATCTGCACGAACCTAAATACGTGTTGATCTGGCTACTAGAACTAGTACATAACTGTATGGGATTAAATAGAAATTTTTATGATAAAAAAACAAACAAAAAAACAATCAAACAAACAAACAAACCTTGATCGATGATGAGGACGTTGAGGGGGGTTGTTACCGAATCCAACGACGAAGCTTCGGCCGGTGGAACCGAGCATGTAGTGTATCTGTTGCTCCACAAATGAACAGTATTTATTGCCGTTGATATTATCGCGGCAAGCTATTGCAGCGATGAAAGCAGTGTTGGCTGCAGTGGATAAATGATTAAAATTGAACCAATATTGAAATGTTGACATTTGAAATTGAAAATTTGAAATGGATATTTGGAAAATTGAAAATTTGAAATGGATATTTGGAAAATTGAAAATTCGAAATGGATATTTGGAAAATCGAAATTTTGAATAGGCCGGAATTCAAATTTCTTCCCTTCTTATAAAAAAATATGATTAGCAGTAAACATATAAACAGTTCTGTAAATAAATATTAAAAAAGTAGAAGGAGGGGAAAACCCGGAAAGCAAATGCTCGTGTGGGGAACGCCCATTACACATAAGGACGTGACACACACATAAAAACAATAAATATAATGATAATACAAATTGTGGTTTTATTTTTACCTAAATTAGCCCATATTAACAAACGAAAATGAGTGACAAGACTAGAGATATTAATGAAGTAATTTGGTTGGATAGACTGACCTGCGTAGCGGAGTGGTCCCCATTCGCTTCGCCATGCCAGACCCTTTGGTGTGTAAGTCATTCTACCAGGCTGCCAACTATCTAGGAATCCGATTACAGCATTCTTGTAGTCATTCGATCCTGTAAGTTGGTACATTAACATCTGAAAAAGAGACATTTATAGATACTGATATACTATTATGTAATATTATACTTATATCCAAGCACTGGCGTACCTATGGGGGGGCAGGGGGGCAGAGTGCCCCCCCCCCCTGACGGGCTCCAGGGGGAAAAAAGAAAAAGCGGAAAGAAAAGAAAAGAAAGGAAAGGAAAGAAAAAAAAAAGGAAAAGGGAAGAAAAAAGGAAAGAAAGAGAAAAAAGGAAAAAAAAGGAAAGAAAAAAGGAAGAAGAAGAGAAAAGGAAGAAAAAGGGAAAAGAAAAGGAAAGGAATAAAAATGGGGAAATTTAAAAAAAAAAAAAAGACCATGGCCGTACGCACCAAGGGGGGGGGGGGCAGTATTCCGCATACGGCCCTGAAAATTAAAACAAATGAAAATAGGAAAATATAAGTGATAGAACTGCTTGCTAGCCTATTTTGTATTAAATGTTTTCACTTGCTCGTCCCCCTGAAAAAAGAAAAGGATTAGTATTGCCTAGAATACAATTGTGCTTGCCCCGACGGGCCCCAACCTGCAACCATGGCAACAATAACACACAATATATGTACCAAATGTTACTAAAAGAGACTAATTCATTTTTCTCGCTCGCTACACTCGCTCGCGAATAAAATGAATAGACATTGCTTTGGAAACAATTGTGCCCACCCTTGACCTGCAACAATATCATTAAAAATGGGAGAGTTTTTTCGCCCTCTCGCCAAAAAGGAATTGAATCGCGTTAAACGCGATTGCGTCCATCCTGACCTGCACCAATAAAAACAAGTTTATTTATTAATTTTTATTAAAAGAGAATTTATTTTTTTTGCTTGCTCGCTATGCTCGCTCGCCAAAATGGAATTGACACCGCTAACGTTCCTGCCCCAACCTGCAACAACCACTTAATAATTATGTACCAAACGTTATTCAAAGAAGTTTTGGTGTGCTCGTGCTCGCCAAAACGGAATTAACATCACCTTAGACATGATTGTGTAAGCCCTGCCCTGCAACAAAAAAATCTGAAATTTATGAACCAATTATCATCACAAAATTTTGCTCGCTCGCTACGCTCGCTCGCCAAAATAGAAATAACACCGCTTTTAATAATCACGTCCCTGACATGGAACAATGAATCCAAGTTTATATACCATATTTTCCCTATAAAAGAGAAGTGATTTTTTTGCTCGCTCGCTACGCTCGCTCGCCAAAATAGAAATAACACCGCTTTTAATAATCACGTCCCTGACATGGAACAATGAACCCAAGTTTTATGTACCATATTTTCCCTATAAAAGAGAAGTGATTTTTTTTTTTCGCTCGCTACGCTCGCTAGCTCGTGGAATTATGTGCCCACCACTAACCTGCCACAATATCATTAAAAAGAGAAATGTAGGGGGTTGCCTGCCCGCCAAAATGGGATTGACATTGCCTTAAACACGATTGTGCCCGCCCACTACCTGCAACAATGAAACAAATTTTATATAGCAATTCATTGAGAGAAAGATGTATTTTCACTCGCTAGCTAAAATGGGTATAAAATCACCCTAAACACAATATTGTTCCCGCGCCCTGCATGGGACAATAATTTGAACCAAGTTTAAGTGGCAATTCTTAAAAAAAAGATTTTTTTCTTGCTCGCTACACTCGTTTGCAAAAAAATTAAATTAACGTCGCTAACAAGTGAATGTTCCCACCCCCAACTTGCAACAATACCAGTTTATATACCAAACGTTACTTAAAGATTTTGTTTTGCTCGCTCGCTCGCCAGAAGTGAAAATTAGCATCGCCTTTTTGTTTGTTTCGGTCGCTTGCCCCCCCTGACGGAGTATCCCAGGTACGCCACTGTATCCAAGGGTCTGGAGTTCAATACAACCATACAGGTGAGCCGATAAATTTACATTTTCCCGATTGATTTCACCATTGATTTCACCATTGATTTCACCAAGGCTGCAGGATGAAGAAATCAATGTTGGACGACAATATGCATTCAATATTTGAAAGCTAAAGGACGGGTATTTGCGATCTAATGCCTTATTTCCATTCTTCCTTGTGTTGACATATTATGTCTCGATGAGTTTCATGGAGCCTTAAAGGGCAAGTCTACTCCAAAAATAACTTACTTACCATAAAAGCAGAAAAATCAGACAACTTGACCAATCAAAAAAAGTTTGAGCAAAATCGGATAATTAATAAGAAAGTTATGAATTTTTGAAAAAGTATGTAAAACTATGGAACAATGAGAATCACAACACAATTTGCCAAGATGGTTATCAGTTTGTGACGTCATGTCCTCACAACTTATCAATTGCTTTATATACTTTAATCCCATTAATTTCCCTTTTTATCCCCCAAAACTTGATTTCCCCATGCCTTTGCCCAGGTTATATGATTTGTATCATATTGCGTGCATGACACTTCCCAAAAACTTTTAAGAATTTTGAAGAATTGATACTATTTTCTTAATATTGTATTTCATAATTATTGATTTTTATATAAATAGTTTATCAAAATTCAATTTTTATGATCTGGACATAAATTACTCTTTATTTGTGCATCCACACATACAAATATTACTAACAATCTAACTTGGATGCTGGTGTGAAGAAATAAGATTCTTAGGGTGAAAATAGGAAATTTATATTATCAATATAAAGAAAATAATTAGTGGATAGTGAGGACCCTACGTCACAGACTCATGAGTGAGTTGCCAATTTGTGTAGTGATTTTTAAAGTTTTCCATGTCATTAAAAATTCATAACTTTCTTATAAGTTATCCGTTTTTGCTCAAACTTTTTTTGATTGGTTTGTCTGATTTTTCTGGTTCTATTGGAAGTAAGTTATTTTTGGAGTGGACTTGGGCTTTACGTTACGCGTCCTATGAAATAATTTGGACCCCGCCCCTTCTTTCACTCCACAGTTAAGCGCTTTTGTTCAGCTTTTCCTTGCACACTCTTAATCCAAAGAAATGAAGGCTCATGATTTTTTTCCAGTAAAATAAATATCACAGTGTTACGGGCTAAACTTATTCATTTCCCTCATTCATAATTTAATGACAAAGAAGATGGACTTCTTGAAATATTTACCAAGGAAAGCCGGGTAACTGATAAAGCCGGGGGTTCTTGCATTCATTTTAAACATTTTCTTCTGCTGAATTTATTTGTATTCAAGATTTTTTTATTTTGTTTAGGGGGGGGGCAGTGGCGGATCCAGGGGGGGGGGGGGCCCGGGGGGCCCGGGCCCCCCCCCTTGAGAAAAAATTCATGTAAAATCACGTGATTTTTACCTTTTTGGGGGGTTGGGCCCCCCCCCCCTGGCGCTCAAGGGGGGGGGGGGGGGGGTGCAAATTGAAATTTTTTTGAGGATCAAAAAAAAAAAAAAATGTGCTCAATACCCCCCCCCCCCCCCCCCCCCCCCCCCCCCCCCCCCCCCCCCCCCCCCCCCCCCCCCCCCCCCCCCCACTGAGCGAATTTTTGGGCGGCGCGTTTTTACAATTTTCGGGAGCAAAAAAAAAAAAAAAAAAAAAAAAAAAAAAAAATGTGCTCTGTATGACAACAACCCACCCCCCCCCCCCCACTGAGCGACTTTTCGGCCGGCGCGATTTTCAAATTTTCGGCAGCAAAAAAAAAAAAAAAGTTGGGCCCCCTCCCCTAAGAAATCCTGGATCCGCGCCTGGGGGGGGGGGGGGTTGGGGTCACGGTTAAAAAAATTATCTCATACAAATTAGAATTATATGTTTTGGGTAATGGCTGGCCGGAATTTTGATACACCGTAACTACTTGAAATCTTCAGAATAAAATTGTCTTTTTTCAATGAAATCTCATTGTCACTATATCAAAGTGTAAGAATTTTGCTTGCTTGCTTTCCTCCCTAGCAATATTTGAAAATTGGATAGCTTACAATATTCCCCCATGGCAAAACTGAACTCTTACGCCACAGAGATTACAACAGATTTTCATTTGGACACGAAGGACTTGGACTGAATGATTGCCCTTCAAAAGTGGTTGAGTTTACTTTCATGTCATTATTATGTCATGAAAATAATAACAACCAGGATCATAATGATAATTATAACAATAATAATTAAAACAAAAATAATTATAATAATAATAAAGTGGGTTCTTTTAAGCCCTCATGTCTGTCAAACTTGTCACATTTTGCGCTCCACATTAATCTTTACCCCTGTTTCAGTATTGCTGTCATTATGGCTCTCTGGCATTTAAAGGAATCAATTCCTGCCCATTTACCTCACCTGGGTCGAGTGAGGCAAATGTAGATTAATGTATTCCCAAAAGGACGTTAATGCTGTGACAGGGATCCGAACCCCGAACCCTGTTGTTCACAGTCCCGCGTCTTACCCACTTAACCACAACACCTCTAGAATGAAGAAACGTTACCTGTACACCGGCGTTCTTGTCGTCCCAGGACAGGGCCCAGGGTGTGCCAGAACTATACAAGCTCTTGGCTTTGGTGAGGTAAGACTGTGTTCCCGTAGCTCGATAGAGCCAGATAGCAGCCCATGCAAGCTCGTCATTGTAGCCAGAGGATCTGTCGAGGGCGGTACACACAACAATTACAACGTTGCTACTCTCCTTTGCTCTTTTAACCCCCATTGGTGTTTTTTTGCCATTACAGTAGGGGAACTTTCATTGATTCGGGACCATGATTACAAAAAAGTTGATGATTTTAATCTGAATTTAAACATGAAAGTTGATGGTCTGGGACTATAAGTCCTAGTCTTCGGATCATCGCTGGTGGTAGTCCAGGTTCTGTCCGTTTTTACATTTTTCTAAATTCTTCCATCATCTATGTCCTCCCAATAAAAAGCATCCCACACAGATCGCGCGTCCCCGAAAATGCACCCGTCGAAAGTCGTAAATGCGAGCGTTGAGGTGTGTAAATTCTGTGCCGTGATTGGGCGCGCGACACGGAAACGGTCAAGGCAGTGGACCTATGCACTGGTGGAAGCAAAACCACCTTTACTCTAGTAAGTCAGAAAAGGAGTACGGATAAGTTATTTGCATAATTTGTTTATTTATCTATTCATTTATCCATCTTCCATTATATAATAACAACAATTTATCATTTTTATTTAAATTTATTTATTTATTATCACTATCATTTTTTGTATTGGGGGAAGGGGAGGGGGGGGGGGGGGGGGTAAATACGAATAAAAGAAGACCCGGCACTAACCTGTAGAAACTGCCAGGTCCGGAGAGGGAGTCGGTGTATTTTCCGCGGTTCTGGTCGGCGAAGTCGAAGAGGGTCTTTGCGTGATCAAGAAGTTCGTTCGAGTAGCTTCGGTCTAGAAAGAGAATAAATATATTTAAAGTATTGTAGAGCAGACGCCATGAACGGCGCTGTACCAGAAGCCATGCAAAATGTTATTTTTTTAAAAATCTTTTACAATTCGCCAAAGGGGATGTAAATTCCTTAAATAATACAAATATCAACAAAAAGAAGAAAAAACAACTGATGCAGGGCTACAAAAGGAAGGAGGATTGGACGTAGTATAAACTTTTAATTGGCGTAATAATCAAGTGCCGTACATCTTACCACTATTCTTGAAGACAATGGAAGCAGCGGCCAAGGCAGCGGCTGTTTCTCCTGCAACATCGGAGCCGGGATTTGTTTTAGTGACCCTCAGAGCTGGTCTGCTCATGGTCATGTCTTCGGGACGACCCCAGTATGCATGGTCAGCATTACCATCACCAACCTGGACGTAGAGCTGATTGGGGGAGACGTGGCATTTGAGGAAGTAGTCAGTGGCCCATCGGATCTCGTCAAGAGCGTTATTGTACTGGCCCGCAGCACTGTAAGCTCCTCCGAACTCGATGATACCCCAGGCAAGTAGAGTGGCAGAGGAAGCCATGGGCAAGCCAAACTTAACATGGTCTCCAGCTATAATATATAGAAGAAGAAAATAAAACATTGTTTTGTATCTATTTCTCAATTTCCCTAATTCTAGTATTCCTTTCAGTGAAATTAGGGCCGTGAACGAGACGAAAAGAAGAAGAGGTCCCGGAAAAGGTTTTAAAACAAAAAAGGAAGTTAATTGCCATGTTGATACAGCTCAAGTACAGGATGAGCAATGGACCTACCCTGCAGTAGTCAGTCTTTATATAGAGTCCGTAATATTTGACCACTTTCTGCTAATTAGACAATTCAAGTCACTCACTGAAAAGTTGTCAACCCAGCCACAATCTCTTGATAAAAAACCCTGAAAACTCTTCGAGTCCTTAGTAATGATAATGATAATGGGATCTTATTTAGGACCACACCGGTATTATAACTGCTCCAACTGTGGGCCCTGCAATTATTATTACCCCAGCAATTGTCAGATTCCAATTTAAACCTGGGTTGAGAGTGGCAAATGTGGATTAATGTCATGCTAGAAGACTTAAGTGCCGGGCTTACATTCGAACCCTCAACCATTGTATTGAGAGTGAAGGGAATGAACTACTACTTTACCACGATAGCTCTACCATTGACACAAACTTGCCAGTACACTCCAAACAAGAAAAACTGACAAAAATTTACTTCGGGAAAGGTTGTCAGACACCGCTAAAAAAAAGGAAAACAAGACTGGAATATTCTTTCCCTTTAAATACTCATATAAATCTATGGATAAACTATGTCAGATGATAAAGTTTAGCTGTACATCAAACAAATTATAAAAGAAGACAAGGTTCTATGGGGAAAAGGGTGTATACAATCTGAATTAAAAGCACCCTCAAAGTATTCTAAGACCGAACTCTGCTCCTAAATGCTTCGGGTGTAAGGAAAGTGCCATCCATATCGAGAATTTGATTTTCCTAACAAAGAAAAGAAAAACTATGATCACTTGGTGAAATTAACCTCAATCAGAATGTAATTTCTTCTCACAAACTCTCCAGTAGGTAGCAATATAATTAAAAGCCCAACATATCCCCTCCCAACCCACACCCCTCAACTTCACATTCCCCCCGCCCCATAGACATCAGCAACAGACAACATAGAGCAGAGCAAGAGAGAGAGAGAGAGAGAGAGAGAGAGAGAGAGAGAGAGAGAGATAGCAGGGTTTTGATGGAGAGAGTGGGAGACAGAGGGGAAGGAAGAGGAAATAGTAAGAGTGTGAGATAGTAAGAGATAGAGAGAGGGAGAGAACGAGAGAACGAGAAAGAGAGAGAGAGAGAGAGAGAGAGAGAGGAGAGAGAGAGAGAGACAGAGTGAGAAATGGGGGGGGGGGAGGAGGGAGTGAGGATTAATAAATTAATACCCATCCAATTTTTTTTTTTGTAACTGTTATATACTAAAGACTAAGGCTCCCATTTTTATCTTTCTCAGTTTTGGAATAAATAAATAATGGAAATCCAGAAGAATTGTCTGTTATTCATAAGAATCATATCAAGCTTTTCACAAGACAATATTATCAATTATGTCAACTTACCATCGTACCATCCACCAGTCAAGTCTTCATTGTTGAATCCCTTGTCCCCCATAGCAGAATCACCGCGGTAGTCGATGCGGTTGTCATTCGGCAGATCACCCGATCGCTCGGCCTCGAAGAACAAGATTGACTTTTTGATAACGTCATTGTAGTCGTAGGCTTGGCCTGGTTGGACGAACAAAGAACGGAAATGATAATATTCAATGAATATTAAAAATAAAAATGCGATTAACAATACCGTAAATGTTAAAGGTAATACTCATCCGTGAGTGCGTTAGTAAAAATGTTTCAAAGTCGCATTTCACAAAGCGTTAGCCGAAAGTGTTTTGGATGTTTCGGAGGTACTAATTTGACTCTTTAGGAAAATTCCAAGATATGTAATTGACAAAATCACATTTCCCTCCTCGTAATAATGTAATCATTAAACAAATCTGCAATCATCCAACGTTTCACCGTCATCCCGGATCTTGAACTCAGGTTCAAAATCAATTTATCGGCACAAGTGTCATATTGTTGCATGTAGCTTATATCTTACTTATATCTTACCTGTGGAAATCAGACAGATCGCTAACAAGATTAAAGGCAACATGGCTGATGGATTCACAATCTGCAAAGTTAAATACATTCAGTTTTTAAAACATAAATATTACATAAATGGACGATCAAATAATTTATTGTTTATTTTTTGTATAGCCCTTACGATAAGTAACCCAACTGTAACTGTAACACAAAGTGTATTATATATTTAAAAAAAAAAATTGTTGGTGTATTAGAATTCGCATAACCTGCCATGAGTCCGGAATGGTATGGTCAATCATTTGAAATAAAGACATGATGAAACAACATTGACATGATCGCAAAGACTTTGAAGAATCAACTTTAAGACTACCCTATGTCAAGATTGTATTCCCTCGGATTACGTAATTTGTCAGCTTTTTTAAATACGTGTCACATAAGGTTATGAAAATTGCCTTGATTTGGGTTTCCGAAAGTCATTGCGATCGTGTTTACTAACGGTTCTGGAGGAGATTACGAATTCGAGTTATCTAACTTTACCAAAGTAAAAGAATATATATATATATATATGTAAAGATGGAATGTAAAACAACTAAATCAAAAGACCAGCTCTTTTAGTGCTTCTAGTTAATATCTATAATATATGTTGCTAATTAGTCATATGGTTACAAAAGACTGCGTACCAAAGTACGAAATGAAAATTATATCATGACAAATAAGAAATTCTCAGCAACAGCATGAAGAGTTTCATTGATATCTAAGAAAACAAAACTAGTGTCTACAGGTGAATGAATTAATCAAAGTCATCACGAGAACACAAGAATATAAGACATTCAGTGGAGAAAATAAAGCAAATAAATATAAGCTTCATATAGAAAGTCATTATTAACATTTGATAAAGAATATGATTTGAATGCTGTAACCGCATATCACACAGGCTCTGCCCCGATATGAGTTCATTGTGTAAATCATTTCATAATTGTTATGTATCTCTCTAAAATTTGTATCTATATTCTAATCTTACATTTTGGTCGAAAATAAATAAACAAATACGACAATGAAATAAATTACTTTTATATATTATCGTATTAATTTCGACTGTATATTTGTATGAATAAGTTATAACTTTAAGAATTAAATTCTATTAGAAAACACCTTGTCTTTTTACTAATTACAATTTTCCTACCTAGTGAATTTCGTTAGAACAAAAAGACTCACCTCTTTAGGTCAGAAGCCAAGGAGAAGATGATTTGTCTCTTGCCAGCGTGTTGTATTTTATTAGGAAAACTTAGGGCATTCGTGAGAGTTGTAGCAGGTGATTAAACATGGTAGAAAACAGATATAGCCCAATCATAGATAGATAACATTGTCATAAATGATCATCTAAAAGGGTTTTGTTTTTTGCTAATTGAACTTGTCAAGTTCTAGCAAACAGACCTAACATATGGTTTTTAGATTGGGATGAAGTTATTGATTGATTTTATTGACTTTTGAATACATTTATAGATGGAATATTTTAAACATGACTGGCAAAGATGATACAAAAAGCAATTAAAGTAGTCTCTTCCTTTCATTGAACGAAGCCTTTGAAAATTGAAAATCAATATGCTTTTATTAAACTAATTCGACATTCGCTAACTTCAAATGTGTTGAGTTCTCATTTACGGAATTTAGAATGTAAGACAAAAAAAGAAGAAATCTGAAGAAATCTGATCAATATTTAGCAGAGGAAAATTAGTTTTAAAACCACATGTAATAGGAGTTTCCTTCTAACCCCGGTACAAAATGAATGACCCAAAATCTTAAATAGAAATAAGATTCCGATCATTGATAGAATTACTTGTAAGGCATTCCAAATTATTCTCGTTATCCATATGATTTTGCTTCCATCTACCTATTGAAATGATTATTTAACAGATTCTGTTTTTCTTTTCAAAGGATAACAGATAACTTCTCAGAAACATTTCATTATGATTTTTAGGCTTGATATCATTGAGTGTTTCACCAACATATTGAAAAGCATCGATTGATGGTCCTCTAATTGATATCTACTCCTCTAAACCGATTATGAAATGTGATCTATGCATACAGTATATAGAATTAAAGAAATAGCTACCCTAATGATTATTTGTACGATATGCATTAGACTTGAAGGGAAATGGGGGGGGGGGGGGGAGGGGGGGAGGGGGGAGGGGGGGAGGGGGAGGGGGGAGGGGGGGGGGAGGGGGGAGGGGGAGGGGTTACCATCAAAAATAATAATTTCTTACAAGCAACAACAAGTAAAAAAAAACCAAAACATATGGGACGACCATTTGAGAGGGGGGACATTTTTTCCGTCTTTGTTTCTTAAGCAGTGTTTAGTGTGAGTGTGTGTGTATTGGATATGATTATTTACGTCTGGGGATCGACCTTTAAACGTCACCATCTGAAAACGTGATTCAGTTTCGAACCTGCGTCATCGGCTAAATCAGTTTGTAACTTCCATTGTTAGCTGGATTACAGGCGTACGCCACAACGCCTAGTTTTAAAGCATTGCTTTTAAATGGGGCACTTTGGTTTTTTCAGGGGGCACAGGCTGGGGGTGCCCCCATCCGCCAGAGCCCAACTGTGCACCTTTTTTCCAATCCATGGGGGAGAATGCCTTCTATAATTTGCAGTGTTCCCATTCGTGCATGCAGAGCATATGGCACAGGAAATAAGAATGTAAGTGCAACGGCTAGGATTCGATCCACCGTCCTTGTAATCCACAGTCCGTTGATTTCCTATACAGACCACTCGCAATCACTATTTTATAGATGTGCATCATTGACGTCGATCTGGGGACCAGCCATTAACGTCACCGCCCGAAAAAACCGGGGTCCGTCAAAGTTAGTTTGGAAGCGAAAGCAGAGAGCTGACCGCACCGCAAGACCACCCCTCGACGCCTGTAATCATTTATTAAATTATACTTCAAAAATCAATCCCTTACGTCAACAAAAAACTGGTTTGACCCAGAAAACACTTTTTTCCTTCTTGACCTATGATACTATATTGATTAAAAAATTGCATGCAAAGCATTTTCCCTTTAACTAGGCACGTAGGCATACATGCACATCATCTATCATTGTCTTTATACCAGGGTTTTATCAATTAGTTAAATATAAGACTCGCTGAAAAGTACACGCAGCTGTTGACATTTCATATTTACCTTTTGAATAATTGGAGTATGATCAGATAGCGTTTATCCCACGATGTCACGACTTTGAAATCATCATGTATAGGCCTGACGTGTCATTCTTTGATTAGGTAATTTCTAGTCTGTTAACCCTCTCACTCTACAGCAACCTCTAATGACCCCTGGGAAACTACCGGGCCCTCGAATTCATTGCGTATATTGTTGTAATAATTGCACATTTGCTGCTTCCCCTAACAATTTGAATCGGGCAGGGGAGGGGGGGGGGGGGCGGAGCCGTGAATGTTTTACCATAATTGAAAAGAGACAAAGGTTGCACAGTTGAAATTTGCGGATAACAATGTTATTGAAGAATTAGCCTCTTGCTCTGATGGTATCCCCATTAGGTCCCGTTTTAGTTAAATTGCTATCAAGAACAACTTACAAAAACTGTTATAATATACTGAAATAACTGCATCTCATTGACTTCAAGCAAATTTGTGATTGAATGTTGGCACTTCGTATTAAAAACTATGAATTTTGGTACTAAATAACTTAATAATTTTTGGACTTAATTAAGTCATGTGAAACAGGGCTCTGCTTTGTCGACTAGAGTCATCGTTGGATGTGTCATTGTTGCAACTCAAGAATTACGCCATCTACGACGAGACGATGACAGAGAACCTTTGCTCTAGATCTTCGTTAATGTTCCCGATGCAGGGAACAATTTTGCCATATAATATTTTTTTTAATTTTTTTTTTATATCGCACTGATGTAGTTTAGTCTTGGTCATCGGTTAACATCCGAAATAAATGGAATCAACCTTCTAGGTAACATCTGAATATGATTAACTAAAAAATTTGAGATAAAGTTTTCCCTGTAAAGTTATATTTTAGTTTAAAGAGAAAATTACAATTAGTGAGTGTGTTGTGGGTCATACGTATTCATGAAAAGGCTGAAAATCATGTTCCTGGAAGAGAAATCGTTAACAAAATTAAAAAGATAACGATTGCCATGATAATATTGACATGAATGAATCTTATGCAGAAAGCCCACAATCTTGAACTGTGTACATCAGGGAATACAAATTCGTATCAAGATAAAAAGAAACATGCGATATCGTAATCAATCATATTCCATGTGTTAAAAATATTTACAGAGCTTTCAAGGTACAGGTGGCTAACAGAACATTCAATGGTGAGTCGCAGGGTGTCTTTAAAAAAGGCCTACAACGTAAAACGTACCTTGAAATGTGATTTAGTTTTTGTTCACATTACATTGTTCATATTTTTTTTACATGACACTTGTTTTTTCCTTCCTTTTTGTGGTTAGAAGAGCGCAGATCCGGACCACAGATAGGGACGTCAAACGCGCTGGGGGATACGCTCGAATGCACACATATTACATATAGTTATGAGAGGCATCGCTGTTTCTATAGGCTCACTGGGACGTTACAACCTGATATGACCCCGAGGCGCAAAATGATCAAATAGATATGAAAATATTAAAATCACAATAGCCGTATAACATGTCACAGAAAAATTGCAGGAATCACGTGGTTTGAAAATGCAAGGATAACAATACATTTGTTACTTCAAAACCGATTAAATTCACCCCACTGAGATAAAAGAAAAACTGGAGAGAGGAAAAAATGGCAGAGACAGAGAAGGATAGAGAGAGAGAGAGGGGGGTGGAAAGAAAAAATACATATAATTAGGTAGAGGGAGAGAGAGAGAAGACAACGGAAAAAGAAGAGGCAAGGGGGAACTAAAGCGGGAAAATAAGAATTTAAGGAAAGGGGGAGTAGAGAGAGTAATAGAAGAGATCAGTGGCGTACACAGGATTTTTTCAAGAGGGGGGGGGGGTTAACATTTTGAAATCGGGCCAAAAATTTCGCAACGACTCAACCAGCCGCTGAATAAGCGGGGGGGGGGGGGGTGTGAGGACATTTATTTTATGGGGGGTCCCTACAATTTGGCAGAATCTAAACAGCTTAGGATTAAAAAATAAGAAGCGAAAAGAACAAGAATCTGTCATTAAAATTGATGGGGAATTATGTCATGATAAGATGGCCATCGCTGATGAATTCAATTCTCATTTCACAAATGTGGCTGCCAAATTAGTAGACAAACTCCCCCCTTCCAAAGACTTTTTCAGCGCAGACAATGATTGTATTCGTGATTATTACGAAAGAAAAGGTGTACGTGAAAACAGCTTCGAGTTATTACCAATCAGTGAACAATTTGTTTTCAAAGAGTTACGTAAGTTGAATGTATCAAAAAGTACTGGGTTAGACATGATTCCAGCTAAATTCCTAAAAGATGGTGCGAAGGTTTTATTTAAGCCTCTAAGTTACTTGATGAACCTATCTATCTTGACGAGTACTTTTCCAGAGGATATGAAAATAGCAAAAGTGACTCCACTTTATAAAAAGAAAGATAAAACTGATGTTAGCAACTATAGACCTATTAGTGTTTTAAGCGTAGCATCAAAGATTCTAGAAAATCGCTCTGTGTTCAAATTGAAAGATACTTCAAAGAAAATGATATAATTTATGAATTTCAATCTGGTTTTCGACATGATTATTCGACTGAAACATGTCTAATTCATTTGACTGATTATTTGAGGACAGAAACTTCCCAAGGGCGCTTTGTTGGTATGATGCTCCTTGATCTGCAAAAAGCTTTTGATACAGTTAATCATTGCGTCTTATTGAAGAAGTTACAACTAATGGGTTTTAATAAGGCAAGTTTAGATTGGTTCAGATCCTACTTATCTAATCGACACCAAGTAGTGGCCATTCATGATATTCGTTCCAAACTAATGCCTATAACATGCGGTGTTCCTCAGGGAAGCATTTTAGGCCCAAATCTATTTTCAAGTTATATAAATGATATGTGTATTTGTATAAAAGACTTTAGACTATTATTGTACGCAGATGACAGCGTACTACTCTATTCAAATCCTGATCCTAAATATATTGAGGAAAAGCTCAGTGAACAGCTGTCTACGTGTGTCGATTGGATGACTGATAATAAGCTTTCTTTACACTTGGGAAAACAGAAAGCATTTTGTTTTGTTCTAAAAGTAGTTCTAAAAAGTCATTTGAATACAAAGTGACACACAATAATCAAGTAATCAAGAGAAAAGATTCTGTGAAGTATTTAGGCATTGAGTTGGCTAGCGCAATTTCATTTTCATCTTTAGTAGAATCAGTTGTAAAAAAAGCAAATTCTCGTCTGAAATTTGTGTACAGGTATCAAAGTTGTATGGATTTAAAAGCAAGACGTACACTCTGTTTTGCTCTTATTCAATGTTTATTTGACTATGCTAACCCTGCATGGTATAGTAACATAAACAAGTCAGATCAAAAGAAGTTGAAGATTATACAGAACAAAATGGTGAGATTTATCAACTTTTCTGGTCCAAGAACTCATGTTGGCTATAGCGAACTTTCTAAAGCTGGTTTTCTTGAAGTCGACCAAAGATCAAAACAACTCGTATTGCATCACGTGCATAAAATATATCATACTAGGTCGAATCATTATATTCGATCCAACTTCGATCTTGTTACTGACTTACATGATTATAATACAAGAAATAGCCGATTCAACTTTAACTTACCAGAAAGAGTAGGTAGTATTGGAAATTCGTTTTATTACAATGCCATAAAACATTGGAATTCCCTTCCCAATGGTGTAAAGGAAATAGAAAACTATGCTCATTTTAAGAGGAAATTAAAGGAATACCTAATACTTGACAGTCAGATAAGAGAAGTAAATGACATGTTATATGATTGAAATTTGTATTCTTCTGCCGGTTCATACTTTCTCATTTTGTATATACTTATGTTTTCGTACGTTTTAGAAATTCTACAAATTCATCATTATTTTCCTCTTCTTCCTCCGCCTCTTTTTCTTCTTCTCCTTCTTCCTTTTCTTATTGTACTTATTATCATTTCTATCGTCAGTTTAATGTTTTTATTATTATTATCTTTAATAAGTAATTCTTTTATTTTTCTTATCTGTCTGTAAATAATTATTACTATTTTAAGTTATTAATTTTATACATGTCTATAAGGGACCCCACTGGAAATAAGCTCTCGAGCTTTCGTGGGTTATCCTGTTCAAGCTGACTTATTTTTGATCTGTTATTATTGTATATTGTTGTATGTTGGAAGCTTGTCGAATAAAAATCAATCAATCAATCAATCCGAAGTTGGGGGGGGGGGGGGGGGGGGTAAGGTCATCTTTTTTAGGCCGTCCATTAGGATTTCAAAAAAAAAAAAATTCTAAATTCATAGGGGGGGGGGGGGTTCTCAAAAAAGATACACATACAAAAAAAATGAAGGGGGGGGGTTTAACCCCAACCCCCCCCCCCCCCCCTGCGTACGCGCCTGGGAGAGATACTTGGACATTGACATGTTGTAAGGTGTGTGCCATGCATGACTAAATAATAGCATGATGCCTTACAATTGAAAAAGGTCATTTTAATAGCATCATGCCTTAGAATTGAAAAAAGGTCATTTTTTTATTTAGGGACAAAAATACTGCGGTTGCAATACGGGTTATGCATACAACCCTTCAAGACCGAAACAAGTGATGTAGGCTTGTTATCATTGTTTGTCGTAGTGTAGGCTACGGTGATATTGAGAGAGTAATAGGAGAGATACTAGGAAATTGACATGTTGTAAGAGGAGAGAAAGAGTGAAAAAAATATTTGTTTAATTTCATTTAATGTTTTTAGAAACTTTCTGAGTCACATTACGCACTCCAGCAGTATTGTCTTATCATTTACATGCTCAACCCCCACCCTCCCACTTTCAAACTTCATATGGCCTCTCCATCGGTTCCATTCTAATGTACAAGGAACATTGACACGATTTCCTTCCTGAATGCGTCCTTCTTCTTCTTCTTCGCTATAAGTACAGGCCACCATCGGGTGTATTCTCGTACTGATGGAAACTTTAAACTTTAAAGCACAAGCCCCTTCCACACAAACATACGCACACATGTAAGCATGTCACAAAACGCTAGCACATGTCTACTCAATCACCTTCATGTATTTACATAATACAACAACAGCAACAAAAAACAAACAAACAAACAAACAATAAGGGGGAAAAAGTATACAAAGAAGAGAGAAGTAGGGAAATTACACGTAATACAGACTGTTCCATGTAGGCATGTAATCCTGAAATAAAATTTGATAGACTCGATATTATTGTTAAGTTCCATGTTTATTGTTTCCCAAAACAATTCAAGTTCGCAATATAAATAAACGACTACAATGTAAAGCTGGTTCAGCATATATTTTCTCTCCAGTTCTGTGATCCCGACACGGGACTCCAAAACAACTCAACCGTAACATCGTCGTGGCTCCTTAGAATGGACCAGAAACCGCCTCTATATCGCTGTATGTAAACAGTAACTCTGATCCCATAAGAGCTGAGCAGTAAAGTGTGTTACGGTTATTAATAACTTCCGTCACAAGAGTTTGCAAAGTCTTCAGATTGTCCACTGATACATATATGGAGAACAAAACTGTAAAGTTTATGTTGATATTAGACTGAATGCAAGCTATATTGCATTCAATTAAAACTATTGTATCGAAACACTCACTTGCGGTTCACGCGAGTTTGCATCTCACGGCGTTGTGATCACAGTGCGAGCAGACCTTTTGAAGGATGGGTAGCTTTTTGGGGCATGCTGCTAATGGTGTTTTTTTCATCGGGTACGCGATAATATGGATGATACACCATGCATATCTTCAGGCTTCGGCTAGTTTGCGTCATGGTAAAACTTCTCAGTGTAAACACGCACGGCGTCTACCAATCCTTGGAATGGCGTTCATGCTTGCTTGTTGCATCGGACTCATCGTCGGCGAAAATGTTCACCCTGTTCTGAAATGGCGAATCGTCGACGAATCCGGAAATTGGGAGCCGTACGGTAACGTTTGGCTGCACTGCTCGATGGCCATGTTCTTTGGTTTATATTCTGTTGTTAACCTCTTAAAACACACGTGCCTACCCTCCGCCGCCAAGTTTGAAATGCTAATCGCATCCCTGGCATTTGGTGTCGAAGGATTCATATTTGTTTGCCATATTGTCTTACCAGATAATAAGGCCAAGAAGGGAATGGTTCCTCACGTTCTTCTTCTTATCCCCATATTCGTGTGCTTCTTTGCGACATTGTGTGAAGTGTTTACAAAGAATCATCTACTCGAACTCTCCTACATCCGGACAGTTGCGATCCTCCAGCAAGGAACCTGGTTCATGCAGATGGCCTGTATCCTTTTCAAGAACCCTTGGGGTGATGAAGCAATAGATCACGAATATGCTGCGGTGTTCTTCTCATGGCACCTCTTCGTAAACATCCTCCTTCTCATCGTAGTATACAATGTGACTGCGTTGATTGTTCGTCAGGGTCGGTCGTTGACGTCGGGAAATGGCGCCTCATATTCGTTATTGGATAAAGAAAGAGACGATGATATTGGAATGGACGACCTAGAGGAAAAATCATCATGTCTTCAAGCCTGACTTGACTCTGATTCCATGGACTTTATTTAATATCACTAATATGAATACCTGGAAATCATTAAGCTCTATGAAATGTGCCATAAAGATTCGCACTATACCTGAATAAAGAAAAGTTAAGTTATTAGAAAAGTTTAAGTTATTATGCTAAAAAACTATGGAATGAATTGCCGGTAGAAACTAACTGTAAACCAACTTACTTTGCTTTAAAAAGAAGTTTATGATATTTGTGATATCATGTTTGACTTTAGGTAACAAAATAACTGATTTATTTTTCTTCTCTTTTTTATTGTTCTCTTTTTTCTGTTCCTTTTCTTTGTTTTTCTTAATTAGGGCCTGTTTGGAATATTTCTCGCCTTCTGACCATAATATGTATATATGAATGTGTATGTTTTATTTACCTTTGTACAATACTGTATGTAAACCATATTAATCTAATGTATGTTTCTATGTAAAGTAAAATTGTGATTGCTTTTATATATTCACGGCCATTCTGAAGAACAGCCACATGGCTGAAGTATGCCACCGTGCTAAAATAAAATAAACGAAACGAAACGAACTTTCTATGGTTTCCCAAAAGAGTCCCATTATAGGAAACAATCGGAAAATATAGTAATAAGCACTAGATTCTTTCATCTTCCTTTCTTTCGTCTTGTCCTCCTTGCTTTAAATTACGCTTTCGTTTGACCATATTATATTATTTTCGTACATAGATAATTTTCGTATTTTAGACTTATGGATTGTTACATCATAGGCCTAATGTTCTTCTACATTTTATAAGTTTTGTGCATTATTATACTTTATCAATATCTTTATTTAAAGTTCGTAGAATTTGTATCTTTTAGTGATTGTGTAAATGAAGTAGAACGTACTTTTTTGCTGGCCATATTTTTGTCAATTGTAATTTTGACATTTTGCACTCAACTTAAAAATTATGATTTTTGTTAACCTTAGTAAAAAAGAAAATTGAGAACAATCCTACATGTTTGGATTCTAATTAATGAATTTGAATTAGTGAAAAGCAATTTGTTGGAATTCGATTCCCATCCTGACGGTGAAATTGAGCATGAATCCAAATTTATCTGTTTACAAAAAAAAACGGATTTATTTATATTTCTTTCTTTCAAGTATTACATTAGTTCCAGTCCGTTTTCTCACAAACAGTCTTCATTTCAGGAGCAATTCTTTTTAAAAATAAAATTAAAATCAATAAAATCATTTACGCCATGACCTGTATTGTAAATGTCCGTATAGGAAAGAGAGTGTGAAAGAGATATAGAGGAAGACGGTCAAAGGAACGGGAAAAGAAAGAAATAGTGAGACAGACAGAGAGAGAGAGAGAGAGAGAGGCAGAGAGACAGAGAGAGAGGGAGGGAGAGGGAGAGGGAGAATAAATTGCGGTAGAGAAAAGCCAAGGGGCATAGATATAGGGGTAAACAAATGTGATATCGAGAAAGAGATATAATTATAGAGAGAGGGGTAACAAGAGGGAAGGGGAATAGAGAGAAACTTTGCGTGTGTGTCAGTGTGTGTGTGCGTGTGTGTGTGTGTGTGTGTGCGTATGTGAGCGTGTGTCAGAGAGAGCGAGAGAGGAGAGAAAAGGGGAAGATGGAGACATAGTAGCAATGGAGTGTATGGCATGCATAAACAACAGAATGGCAAGATATAGGTGACAGGTATAATGTGGAGATATTTGATTGCATTTTAATAGGATAATAAATGATACACACAGTCGTCACCCTAGTCCAGAATCTGCACGGTCCTTTATAATTTCCCTACACTTGATTCAAGCCGTCGAAGATGGCTTTATCAACAAACTCATAATTATGCTCACCAGCCCAGCCAGCCGGCGCCTTAATTTAATGATCACGCCATCATCGGCTGGTAGCAAATAAGTAGGGAGAGGTTAGCGTTGGTGTGGTGGAGATCAAAATTAAATAGGCCAGATTCTGGACTATCGTCACCCCTGAGATCAGAAACTGTTTCGTAATGTCGTTGAATTGACCTAAAAAGTTCGAGGAGTATAAGCGAGTTCGTAATTAGGATTTGCTCATGTGCAGATAAAGGTCAACCATTGAGACGAATACTCGTATCGTGCTCATGAAAGTTTTGTAATTAGTATTCATTTATGTACCGACAGTACATTTTTCTGATACACAGGTGGAAGTATTCTTCCCAAGAGGGCAAACAAATGGTATTCATGAAGCACCTCCATCACTTCGACAGTGATTATTCTAAAATGCGCAAGCTAGTGGGACGTATCGGTTGTGTAAAAGATCCGAATTTGGGGGTCATGATCGAGTTCCGAAGCTATTAACATGCAAACTGGCTTATTACAGTCACACCGACGAAATAAAACTAGACCGACAAGACCAAACGAAACATTTGAATTATAATGGAAGTCATTAGCATTGCCATTGTTTCACGAAACCGTCAAATTGCAAGTTCACCGACATCCCATTGAAACGCGTGTTAGGTTTTCAGTGCGTTTCAATGGGTTGTCGGCGAATTTGTACTTGACGGATTCGTAAAACCCTGCTCAGGAGTCGGTGGGTGTGAAATCGGAGACAGCGGTGTACCTGACGATTATGAGCGTAGGCGATATTCTATTGTGTCGTAAACGATGAGACATAATGACTCTACTTTAGTTCAATAGCACTAAAATTTACAATCACAAAGGTCGTGAGAATCTAATTTAGGACAAGGTTGATACGTCGATTTAATAAAAAAAAGGACATGAAAAGCTTTTCAAATGATACCACTCATGCGGAAAGGAGTTCTTGCTGTGAAAGATACGGAGGTGATTATTCAGATGCCACTGAGGGAATGGGCCTCAGTACCCCCACGCTCCTATAGCATATTTTCGTATGCGTATCCGGACACCTACCCCTGGACATCCACCCCGGATAACCACCCAGTCAACTACCCCCTTGGACAACTACCCCCTAGGGCAACCACCTTCTAGGACAACTACCCCAGACAACTACCCCCTAGGAGAACTACCCCGGACAACTACCTCCTAGGACAACTACCCCCGAAAAACTACCCCCTGGGATAGTTGTCCCGGGGTAGCTGTCCTAGAGGATGGTTGTCGTAGGGAGTAGTCGTCTGGGGGTAGTTGTCCGGGGGTAGTTGTCCGGGGGTAGTTGTCCGAGGGTAGTTGTCCCGGGGGTAGTCGTCCTAGAGGGTGGTTGCCCTAGGAGTTGACTGGGGTGGTTATCCGGGATGGATGTCCAGGGGGTAGGTGTCCTAGAACCATTCGTATGATCATAATATCTTCAGAATTATTATAATAATTACATGACTAATAATAATAATGAGAATAATAATAATAATAATGATTTTGTTTACCCATGTAAGCTTCATCAGCATCAGCTGTTTTCATGACATTTGATTTCATTGACCAACCAGATCCAGATGAAACAGATTTGATTTGTAGATCAATATGAAATACTTTACATGATATTTAATTAATTACTATGTTTTATTTCATCAAGATAATCATGTTTTTGTGAAGATGACATTTATAAATGATTGAAATTCCAAGGCTTTTTTTTTGCGTGAACACTGAGAATCAATGGTTTATGAATAAATAGTCAGAATTACGGTTACCAACGTCTCTTTGACCTCATTTATTGTCTCGTCATACTACAGCAATAATAATAATAATAATGATAACAATAATAATAATAATAATAATAATAATAATAGCAATAATAATAATAATAATATTAATAATAATAATATATAAGTCAACTCGCTGCGTGTATATTAGGTAGCAATTGCCCGAAAATTGGTAATCGTAATGGCCACCGCCCCCTCCCCATACTCACTATGCATATGCCCTTAAGGCAATGTTCCGTTACAATAGTGAGGTGTGTGCCATGCATGACTAAATACTTGCATCGTGCCTTAGAATTGAAAAAAGGTCTTTTTGTTGTATTTGGTCACAACAATACTGCGGTTGCAATACGGGTTATATGCATACAACCATTCAAGACCGAAACAAGTGGTGTAGGCTTGTTATCATTGTTTGTCGTAGTGAAGGCTACGTTGACGTTTAGTAAAAATGAAATTATTTTGAGGATTCGTGAATAAGCGTTCCAACGATTCAATTTGAATTCATCATCAAATTAGTGCGTCACACTGAATCAAACATAATACGGAAAGTATATCATCAAACAGACGTTACTTTTCCTGAGATTCACTCACAACACTCTGCATGTGTTCTTGTTTACCGTCGTCTCATGAGAGTACCCTAATTGATGATTCTGAAGAACTGAACTTTCTCTAGTAATAGTCATGGCAATGGAAATGGACGCCATGAATTCAGAGGCCAGACCAAAGCCATTGACCAAGGAATCCTCTAGGACCTGGTTCTGTTATAATCCTGCAATCATGTAAGTCTGTTTGAATATGCCGTCGAACTTATTCTGTCATGGCGCAAATTATTTCATAAGCCTATGGCCGATTGCTACTTTATTGGGTGAGTGGGCTTGAAATGCATTGGCCTAAATAATGCAAACTGTACAAATTCGCCGACAACCCATTGAAACGCACTGAAAACCTAACACGCGTTTCAATGGGTTGTCGGCGAATTTGTACTTGACGGATTCGTAAAACCCTGCTCAGGAGTCGGTGGGTGTGAAATCGGAGACAGCGGTGTACCTGACGATTATGCGTAGGCGATATTCTATTGTGTCGTAAACGATGAGACATAATGACTCTACTTTAGTTCAATAGCACTAAAATTTACAATCACAAAGGTCGTAAGAATCTAATTTAGGACAAGGTTGATACGTCGATTTAATACAAAAAAGTACATGAAAAGCTTTTCAAATGATACCACTCATGTTTATTTCATCAAGATAATCATGTTTTTGTGAAGATGACATTTATAAATGATTGAAATTCCAGGGCTTTCATTTCTGCGTGAATACTGAGAATCAATGGTTTATGAATAAATAGTCAGAATTACGGTAACCAACGTCTCTTTGGCCTCATTTATTGTATCGCCATACTACAGCAATAATAATAATAATAATAACAATGATAACAATAATAATAATAATAATAATAATAATAATAATAATAATAATAATAATAGTAATAATAATAATAATAATAATAATAATAATAATAATAATAATAATAATAATAATAATAATAATAACAATAATAATATATAAGTCAACTCGCTGCCTGTATATTAGGTAGCAATTGCCCGAAAATTGGTAATCGTGATGGCCACCGCCCCTCCCCATACTCAGTATGCATATGCCCTTAAGGCAATTTTCCGTTACAATAGTGAGGTGTGTGCCATGCATGACTAAATACTTGCATCGTGCCTTAGAATTGAAAAAAGGTCATTTTGTTGTATTTGGTCACAACGATACTGCGGTTGCAATACGGGTCATGCATACAGCCATTCAAGACCGAAACAAGTGGTGTAGGCTTGTTATCATTGTTTGTCGTAGTGAAGGCTACGGTGACGTTTAGTAAAAATGAAATTATTTTGAGGATTCGTGAATAAGCGTTCCAACGATTCAATTTGAATTCAACATCAAATTAGGGCGTCACACTGAATCAAACATAATACGGAAAGTATATCATATCATATTCTAATTGATGATTCTGAAGAACTGAACTTTCTCTAGTAGTAGTCATGGCAATGGAAATGGACGCCATGAATTTAGAGGCCAGACCAAAGCCATTGACCAAGGAATCCTCAAGGACCTGGTTCTGTTATAATCCTGCAATCATGTAAGTCTGTTTGAATATGCCGTCGAACTTATTCTGTCATGGCGCAAATTATGTCATAAGCCTATGGCCGATTGCTACTTTATTGGGTGAGTGGGCTTGAAATGCATTGGCCTAAATAATGCAAACTGTGTGTATGTGGGTATGTGTTCGTGCGTGTCTATGTCTATGTCTATGCTGGTACTCGTCAAAAGCCTTTTCAGCAACTAAACGAGGATGTGTGTGTGTATGTGTATTTGGGTTTTTACAGACGTGTATCAATCAGATATGATTATTTACGTCTGGGGACCGACTTTTAACGTCACCATCCGAAAGACGTGACTCAGTTTCGAACCTGCGTTCTCGGCTGAATCAGTTTGTAACTTCCACTGTTAGCTGGATTACAGGCGCACGCCACAACGCCTAGGATATTCTTAAACTCACTTCAAGTGATCTATGTGATGAAGTTAATGCAATTGAGAATAGAATATACTTTTTTTGGTGGACAGTTGCTAAAATCGATTTTGATTTATCATTATTGATTTACCAATATTGTGATGTGGTGTCTCTCATAGTGGTCATGATTGATTAGTGCATAGTGCGTATATACAAGTTGTGCGAGTAAAAACAGTTCCTCCTATGATTTAGGCACTGATGGCTCCCTTGAACTTCTCCACAGAGGGCAGTTCAATGAAGTTGGTAGGGAGCTCATCCCAGTCCCGGAGTGTTCTTGGGAAGAAGTTGGTGTTCGTCAATATGTCCCATAATGGAATGTGTGTATGTGTGCGCGCGTCTGTGTGTGTGGGTGTGTGTGTGTGCGTGTGTGTACAGATGTGTATCAATCAGATATGATTATTTACGCCTGGGGACCGACCTTTAACGTCACCATCCAAAAACCGTATTTCATGTGAAATAGTTTCGATAGAAATTAGTAGATCATGTGTGTATATACAAAGTGGACATTCACAACCTCCAGAAATAAGTATATGCAGAAAGAAAAGAAAAAAACGATAACAAGAAGTTTAGCAGGAACCTGGTGCCATAATTATGAAAAACATGCGACATAATCATCATCATTATCAATAAATACATAGACCTAAAACATGAATAATTCATCACTAAGAGTTCTGGAAAAAAATATTTTTGCATCATATACATTGATTAATTGATTGATTCGAATTTATTCCATTTCATATCAATTGTTTGCACAATAAAGAATAAGTTGACAAAGTAAGTTCGAAATTATGAAATGAAACAGGAACCTATTGGAAAGCATAGCTTGTTTTTGTAGCTTCCAGAGAATAAATATGATATGAACATTGTTTTCATCAATCATTTTAAAGTGTCTTAATAATCACAGTAAAATAGATATAATATAATTACATATTTTCATAAACCATTTTAAAGTGTCTTATTATTAAATGAAAGAATGACAAGAAGTGACAAAAAGAACAGTAAACTGACATCATATGATAAAACATGACAAAACAATTCATATCAGGACAAGATAAAACATAAGATGTCATTATGAAATGTTTATCAATTCGTTCGTTCTTATTCTTACTACAGACATGCTCGTCTCTTCACGAGGTTTCCGTTTATCATGATTCTCCTCCAAGTCATAATGATCGTTCTTCTAACCTTCCTAACTGTTTACATCCATGGACCACCAACATTTGAAGATGCTTCCAGTGTGAGTATAATACATATTATACCCCCATTTTGATACAGATTGCACAAACAAAATGTCAATGCTCCTCGTAAGAGATTTCCCTCATTACAGCTACATGCATTTTAACATTATTCAAAGTTTAATCATAATGTGTTTATAGGGAAAACGCTTTACGTGTTTTATGTGCTGAATAATGTTTTTTTTTTGTTGGGTCCTGCCATACTTTTGAATACACAATATTACGTATTTCCTTTGTTTACTGAATAAAGCCATAATACTTGTGATTTGATAGGGGATCGAAGCTCGTGGAACACCCATCCATGATCGCATCATTCCACTTGAAAGCTTTCAACGTGGGGACGTCGTTTTCTCTCCAACTCCGAACCTGTCGTTGAATCTAGTATTGAATCTCAGTGACACCGCTTCGACCACGGACTCAACAACGGTTTATACCGCAGGGACGCCCTCAATACCTATATGTGGCAATCCAAGTGAGTACATTCGTAGGGTTTGATAGATAGATGCAGTTTCAGTTAAAGTGTGACTACAAATTTACTCCGATCACTTTCTTAAAATGTAAATTCAAAACAGTGAAACGATGCAAAAGTATCTAGAAGTAGTAATATTATTATTAGTAGCAGCAGCAGCAGCAGTAGTCGTAGTAGTAGAGTATTAGTAGTAGTAGTAGTAGTAGTGGTAGTAGTAGTATAGTAGTACAGGAATTGCCACTCTGTCCATCTGGAAAAATGCTATTCATGGGAACCATTTACTGTAGTTGTAAATTGCGTCACAGATTATACATCTTTATGTAAATACGCTCTATAAAGTACATATCAAAACAGTGTACCCAAATTTCGTAGCTCCTAATTAGAAAGTAATAACCAATATGGCTTTGAAATTGAGTTCATAAGGAAGATTAAACTATTTGCTGTCCAATAATACCCTATTTATAATATTTTCAAAGCCACCGGAGCCTTTTAAACATTATATTGTGCCTCTAGCTTTAGTGCTACATTGTTTAAAATGATGCAATGTCTCTAGATAACCTTACTTATTTTAAACAGCCTCCTTACTTCTTGTCTCATGATATCTCAGTTATCTCTGTTCACTTTTCCACCGCGCCATTTCACATACGTAAGGAGCCCAAGGTGTTTAAGTCGAATGGCGTGTGAATACTGAAAAGTTACTAAGCCCAAATGCAAGAATAAACACATATGACTATAAACATGAAATAAATTAACAGCAGACTTTCATTTAAAAAAAAGATAACATCCCAGATATACTTTATCCATGTTGTATCACTCAATAAGAAGGGTTAACTTAGACAAGGGATGCGAATGAAGTCAAGATTTTACTCATCATAACGAAGAGAAAATCATACATTTTGCTTGATATAAGAACCTTTTTTTCTTCAACTGCCGAACAGTCAATAATTTTAATAATTGAGCAGTTTTTTTTTGGCTTTTTACCTTCAATCATTGCTTCATCCTAAACTTCATACAAGAGGTTTTTGAGAGTTTTCTTTTTAGAAAAGCCTGCTATTTAGTCATCCTTATAATTATGTTATCACGTATAATTAGAAACTCACACATTTGGGTACACTTTTTATACGAACTGTACATTACAGTATTTTCAAGAGGGATATGTCTGACATCGATGTTCGTAAAATTTATCACAGTGACTGCAGGTGCAAGTAGCTTCAGAGCTGTATACGCGCCATCCTCTTCCGCAGTGGAACTCTTAACGCTCGACTCCCTTCTGTCAATGTGCCAGCAGGATGATACATTTGTACGTAACAGTTCAACATTCAAGACAGTATGCACAAAGCAATCTGATTCCTCATCCCAATGCTGCCCTTCTTGGTCCATCCCAAACTACATCAGCGCCCTCAACGGGAGGTCTTCCTGTTACGACCTGACGGCTGAGGACATTGCCTTCGCGAGGTTGCTTCTGTTGGAGTGTGCCCCATATTACACTTCTGGTGCGTTATCCGCCGAGTGTGGATCAGGTACTAACTGCACAGGGGTGCCTTCAAACTGCACGACTTACAACGCCATCTACTTCATGTTCTTTGCGAACTCACCGAGTGACTTTTCAATCCAGGTTGCAGAGACCGGTGACCTTACCTTGACTACATCCTTACAGATCGTATCGTTGAACCCCTTAGTAGCTGCTGGAGATCGCACGCTCTACAATGACGCGGTAAATAGACGCAACGTGGACAATGGTATCACTAAGATTGAAGCAATTGGTACGAACAGACTCGCTAAATACTTCCTCATATCAGAACCACTTATGCAGGATCTAATTTACGCTGGAGTAGGAGGTGCGATTATGATCCTGCTAATATGGGTGTATTTGAGTTCACTTTTCATTGCAATCATGGTGATCTTTGAGATCATATTTTCTGTGGCGTTGGCCTACTTCTTCTATTATGTTGTGTTCCGGCTCACCTTTTTTGCATTTGGAAACATGCTTGCTATCGTGCTGATATTGGGGGTGGGAGCGGATGATGCTTTTATCTTCTATGACATATTTGAAAATACGCGGAGAAAGCATCCAGATGCCAAACAAGAGTTCATCTTGGTGGAAACAATGAAGCATGCCTTTCCTACCATGTTTGTCACAAGTCTCACCACAGCCTCTGCTTTGTTTGTCAATGTTGCCAGCTCCGTAACAAATATTCGCCTCTACGGCATTTATTCTGGGACAGTGGTGTTGTGTAATTTCCTATTTACAATGACCTGGTCTCCAGCAACTGCCATCATCTATGATAGGCATCTAAGGCTTCTATTCCAGGCATCATCTGCTAGCAAGGAAAGACGTTTTCATAAAATGAGGAATCACTGGCACACGTTGCGGAATTTCCTTCGGCGTATCTTTGAAGTGTACCTTCCGATGCTTGCATTCAAACTTCGTTGTCTTTGGATTCTTCTTTTTACTGGTTTATCCATTGGCGCTCTCATGGTGGTATTCTGGAAACCTCAACTAAGGGCATCCACTGCAAACACAGAGTTCCAAATCTTTACATTGAAACATCCTCTTGAGAGGTATGACCAGGTGTTTAGATCAACATTCGATATAGAGAGAGCAAAGTTGACACCTTTACCGTTCATTGTTGTCTGGGGTACTGTTCCTGTTGATAATGGAGACCCCTTCGATCCAGGTAGTCGGGGACACGTTCAGTTGGATGATTCCTTTAATCTTGACGACCCTGAATCTCAGGTCTGGTTACTCGATTTCTGTTCGGAAGTACGGCAGCAAGGGTTTTATAACTCACCATCGGTTGTTTATGAAGACTGCTTTATTGAAAAGATGAAGATTTTCATGGAAACTCCATGTATTCCTTCCAGCATTGGAACTGATCTCTCGCCCTGTTGCGGTCAGACATCTTTTCCATATTCAGCGGACTTATTGAAATTGTGCGCGCCAAAGTACGCGGCGTACACCTGTGAATTCATCAGTGGTGGCTGTCCTACAGCTATTCCAGGTTTCCGATTCGACTCAGAAAACAACATCAATGCCTTCCTTATACAGTTCCAGAGCACAGCAATTTCACAGTTGGAGTTCGCTCCTGCCAAGGAATACTACGACACAGCTCTTGCTTGGGTCGAGGAAAAGGTAAAAACGGCACCCGTTGGCTTACAAGGCGGCTGGTTTGGAACATTAAGTTTGGCTCAACCATTTTACGTGGATCTTATCATCCAGCTCAAGCGAGACACGCCTCTTGCACTTGGTTTATCCCTGATCATCGCTATGATAGTTTTGCTCATCACTAACAGGAACGTTCTAATTGCCTTCTACGCTGCATTGTCTATCGGTGGTTCTGTAGTCACGTCGGTGGCCATCTTTGTTTTGATTGGATGGGAGCTCAAAGTCTTCGAGTCTGTTTTGATCATCCTCACAGTCGGTCTAGCCACTGATTTTACCATTCATTACGGGGTCGCCTACCGACTAGCACCGCATGACGACCGGCGGAATCGGGCTCAATACTCTTTATCAACCCTAGCTTCTGCAAACACCATGGCTGCCTTGTCCAGTTTTATGATAGGAGCCATGATGCTACCAGCTAATGTCTTGATATTCTATCAACTCGGGATCGCACTAGAAGTTGTCATCGCCGTAAGTTGGTCATTTGGAACCTTCTTCTTTTTGCCACTTTGCTACGTATCCGGGCCACAGGGAACATGTTGCCTTATTTACTGTTGCTGTCGAAAATCAAAAGTTGACGTTGACAGTGGTAGAAGCAACGAGAACAGCGGAAATTCCTTGCATGACATGAAAGATATCTAAAAGATATCGTGTAAATTATTCTTCTATCATGATGGCTACTTCAATAGTATCAGATTTTAAAAAGAATCTTTCAATTCAAATTCAGGAATAATAGAGTAAATTAATGGGGAAGGAAAGCGGGTCATCAAGTAGGAAGTGTAGAGTAAGTTGAAAGTGTAACGTTTTCAATTCTTTCCTTTTAAATGATAGAACAGTTGGTAAATTTGCAATGAAACCTACGTCATTTGTTGTAGTTTGTCTGTATGTTTGTTGTAAATGATTGTTTCTCTAAAAGAGCCATTATTATTCAATATCATCCTCTGAGGCTTATTTCACAAAATGTATATCATTTCATTGCATAGCGATATTTGTGTTCGTCTATGACTGTAATCGACTGTACAGCTGAAACAGAATGTTATATGTTTACACTATTTTAAGATGGTGCTGAAGTAGAATATTATTTCTAATTGTCCTTTCGTTCCATTTTTCAATTTGGTTTGCATTTTGTAAAGTATAGTTATTCATATATATGTCACAATATTTAGCATTACTGCAATGGTCAATTCAATTAGTTGTACCATAGATCATGTACAATATTAGAGTGTGCAAGGGAAAAATTGAGAGTTGTGTATACCATCTTTATTTAATTGTGTGAATAGTAAACACGGACTGATGAGTTTTTATTGAAGTGGCTCTATTAAATGGCACGAATGTTAATGAATATTTTATTCTATTTAAATTACAAAACAAAAACATTGTAAAAATATATAATCACAATAACAAGGATGATAATGATAATTACAATATAATGACGATAACATGTCTACTTCACAGGGTAGCCTCATCAGTACTGTTCTTTCTGAGGGCCCTGCAATAAAAACTTTTACCTTCCTTTTCGAAAAACTTCTACTTTAGAAGATACTGTATTTTTCGACGATTCATTGAATCTACCTGCTGTTATGATCAAACAGTTTAAGCCTTTGCAGCATTTCAAACGTTAATGGTCTTTCCAATGACATAAAACATGTAATGATGCTAACCGTTAAAGGTAAAGACCAGTATTGGAAACGCTCCAATTTAAAAAAATGAAATGGAAGCTCTCATTACCAATCATGTGAAAGAATACGTTTTGACTGAAACATGATGATAAAAAATTTGCCGGGAAACCGCCTACTAATTCATATATTTGGTAAATTTGTTTCTCTCATGGTCTGTGAGAGATATAGGGTAGTCCCATATACCTCTTTATGTGTATAGTGCTTTTAACTTTACGAAGAATGGGCCAAATTTCTTATCATTTTGATGATTCCAGAACCTTGCAGATGCTAGATGCTAGATGATCAACCTTTTCTTATCGATTCCACAACGTTTCTTTCACAATGCAATCGCATGACCATAACTGGTCTTTACCTTTAAATCTTATTTTGTCCTTTCTTTAGTCTTTAAGTGTTTATTCCTCTGTTTATCTTTCGACTTTCATTTGATGTTTATATTCAGAAAATCATGCCGACAATCTCTTGACTGTACATTTCCCCCATTTCTGTCTATATATGGCCTTATTATTTTGTGATCTCTTTTATTGTATAAATGTTGATATTTTAATGAGAAGGTACATAAATAAATGAATGAAATAGAATAAAGTTTTGTTTCTGAGATCTATTTCCTCTCACCTCTCATTTTTAAGGAAAAATGCAATGTAATGGAAAGCGAACTGTCGATATTCTTAATGCCTGTGGGGTTAGTTATACACTACCCGAACTTGAATCTAGTATAATGTGTATCTATCGTAAGAAACCCTTTTTATGTACAGGAAAGCCGAAATTCCTAAATGAACAATTGAAAAACGTTGTTTTAGAACAACGAATCTCCTACTAGTAGATCATTGTCATTCGAATTTCAAAAAGAGAGAAATTAAGATAGGTCGATGCAAATAACATAATAAAAGGAGTCGATTATAGGACACAGAGAGGTAGAAGCGAAAGAGAGAGAGAGAGAGAGAGAGAGAGAGAGAATGTGTGTGTGTGTGTGAGAGAGGGGAGGGAGAAAGAGAGAGAGAGATAGAGAGATTATATGTGTGTGTGAGAGAGGGGAGGGAGAAAGAGAAAGAGAGAGATAGAGAGATTATATGTGTGTGTGAGAGAGGGGAGGGAGAAAGAGAGAGAGAGATAGAGAGATTATATGTGTGTGTGAGAGAGGGGTGGGAGAAAGAGAAAGAGAGAGATAGAGAGATTATATGTGTGTGTGAGAGAGGGGAGGGAGAAAGAGAGAAAGAGAGAGAAAGAGAAAGAGAGAGAGAGAGAGAGAGATTATATGTGTGTGTGAGAGAAGGGAGGGAGAAAGAGAGAAAGAGAGAGATAGAGAGATTATATGTGTGTGTGAGAGAGGGGAGGGAGAAAGAGAAAGAGAGAGATAGAGAGATTATATGTGTGTGTGTGAGAAGGGAGGGAGAAAGAGAGAAAGAGAGAGAGAGAGAGAGAGAGATTATATGTGTGTGTGAGAGAAGGGAGGGAGAAAGAGAGAAAGAGAGATAGAGAGATTATATGTGTGTGTGAGAGAAGGGAGGGAGAAAGAGAGAAAGAGAGAGAGAGAGAGAGATTATATGTGTGTGAGAGAAGGGAGGGAGAAAGAGAGAAAGAGAGAGAGAGAGAGAGATTATATGTGTGTGTGAGAGAAGGGAGGGAGAAAGAGAGAAAGAGAGAGAGAGAGAGATTATATGTGTGTATGAGAGAAGGGAGGGAGAAAGAGAGAAAGAGGAAAAGAGAGAGAGAGAGATTATATGTGTGTGTGAGAGAAGGGAGGGAGAAAGAGAGAAAGAGAAAGAGAGAGAGAGAGAGAGATTATATGTGTGTGTGAGAGAAGGGAGGGAGAAAGAGAGAAAGAGAGAGAGAGAGAGAGAGATTATATGTGTGTGTGAGAGAAGGGAGGGAGAAAGAGAGAAAGAGAGAGAGAGAGAGATTATATGTGTGTGTGTGAGAGAAGGGAGAGAGAAAGAGAGAAAGAGAGAGAGATAGAGAGATTATATGTGTGTGTGAGAGAAGGGAGGGAGAAAGAGAGAGAGAGAGATTATATGTGTGTGTGAGAGAAGGGAGGGAGAAAGAGAGAAAGAGAGAGAGAGAGAGAGAGATTATATATGTGTGTGTGTGTGTGTGTGTGAGAGAGTGCTGAGGGAGAGGGAGATCAAGAAGGATAGAGAGAGAAGACAGTGAGGAGAAATACCTTCTAACTTTAATAAAATATCATAGATATCACATTGATTTCATCGAGAAAACATACAAATCGAATTTGTGCCAAATCGTTGCTGGCAATAAGTTTTGCCATAAATATTACTTTGTTTACATTAAGATCGGCTTACATAGAAGGGGTATGGGATCCAATAAAATCAGTTTCTTATGGCTCATTTGCATACATTGGTGAGCCCTATACCTCAATCTTAGGTGATAGTATTAACTGAATAATCTAGGAATGTATCCCATACGCACACAAACACGCACCCACGCACACACAACCTTTTTCTATATTCCCCCTCTCTCTTTGTATTTATCTCTATATATATATATAATATATATCTCCCTCTTTTTCTCGCATGCCCTCTCCATCACTATCTCTCTACCAATCTCTCCCTCAAAATCATTCACGTTAGGTCTCTAATCATTATTCTTATAATTGTACAGATGATGAAAAAAACTTATCCTTGTTCCGGAATTCATAGCGTTCAAAATTCAAGAATTTTCTATTTGATTTGTTATTACTTTGCCAAATTCTGTGATATAAACAAGTATGGCAACAAACATAATGACATGTTCACGAATAAAAAACGAAAGACCCACTTCACCATAACTCCAGATGAGATTTGCAAGTTTAACTAGTGCCTTAGTCTCTGACCTCCCCCAAACAAGAACAAAAAACCCCAAACGAACGATTAAACGAGAAAATGAATAAATAAAGACTGTGCACACTAAGAAATAAAGATACAGCTATTCTACTACATCAGCACCCTCTGCCTGATACGCGTATAGGTGGACGCACATCTGCACCCCTATTGCATCCTTATTTCTTAGTGTTTGGTATGCTTTTACTTTTAAAGGAACACCCATATTTGCTTACTCCGATTCCAATGAATTAAAAAAGAGCAAATACTAAAAGACTAATACACTGCTAACGCCGAATAGATATTGTTTCCCATAACCTTCATATTGCCTTGCATTCTCAAATATTCTTGAATCAACAAATCTGTTATTGTCATCGCACTGGTATTTCGGACAATGGTCAGTCATTCCTTTTCTGGGGCACAGGTCATTAATCTTGGCAATCTTTTGAGCAGAATTTATTACATCCGCTTGTATAAAGATTTGGGTATTTCAGTGCTAGGATATTGTTGACAGAAACTGGTTATATTCAGAATAAATAGCTAATAGTGAAAACAACAACCATAGCAACATAAGTTGTGGCTTTAGGTCTAAAGTATTATTCTCAGATTGAGTATGAAACTAGTAGGTGTGTTTCTTTTTTTCCAAATTCATTTTTACAATATGGAAAAAAGATGCCTGAAAAGAATCCACATGAACTAGAAATCTTCATCGTTATTTCGAGTCATCACAGTACTGTAACAAAAGAAAGAGCCACGTCGTGCGTCATGCAGCAGGTAAACAGGAAAGTATCTGAGCATTTACGCGATTATGACATAAATTATGACATAAATCACCTTAGGGATAACGTTAAACAATACCCATTGTTTGATTCTTTATCAGAGAGAGAGAAAATACATAAAAACAATCTTCATTGAACAAAGTAGAATGCTACCCTAATGACATAATTGTTGTGGATTGTTACTTGGCCACTGCAATGCTGGAGTGTTTCGTATTGCCAGTGGTTGCGTGTGCTGTTTAATTGCCATACATGACCATAACTTTAGTGGTTCTTATTTTTTTAAATCAACTTAACAATTTTCTATCTGTGCTATTATTCACCTGTGCCGACTAACACTCTTTATTGCATGGTTTTTCGGTACGGCAGTATCCTTGATATAGTTCGTTGCTATTGAGCTATTCATCAAAGTCTATGGACTCCCGGCCAGCTTGATGACTCATGGGTTTTTCAAATGACACAGGTCATTCGTGTTGCATTGTTCAAAAGGTGACGGAATTGTCAACCCCATCGCCCTTCGAGAGTTCGTTATCTTGAGCCTTTAACAAGCCGAGAAAACTTGGGCGGCGTTGTACTTTCTTATTCCCAGACGGCGAGGCTGTACTAGAAGGCGACGACGCCCCGCCGACATTCGAATTCGTGTCCCCTACCTGGTTACCCTCGCTTACACTCGATGAGGGCGTCCTAACCCTGGGCCATTTGGTTCGCTGACTGCCTGTCCCATAGAATCGGTATATCCGGGACCCGAAGGGCCGCCTCGTTCTCCGAAACTGAGACTGGGTGTTTTGGTAGTAAATTGAGGCGAAGTAAATGATTGCAAGGATGAGGCCGTGGCAAGGAGCAGTCACAGCCTTTGAAATGAAAACAACAAAGAAAGAAAGAGAGAGAGAATTCGCAACAAATTCAGTCAAACCATATAGATTAGAACTAATATCTGGATCTTTTGTAGTCGCAATCATGAAGAGAGGGAAGAAATTTAAATAGGCGGCCGATAAATCTATTGGCGATTGGGACAAATTTTACATCTATTTTAGTTTGGTTTCAATTGTGGAATTTAACAAACAGAAGACAAACTTAGTCTAATATAGTCTATATTCTATCTATCAACAAGCCACTTCCGGCATCCATCTACAGCGGCAGAAAGTAAAAACTATATTTGAATACGACTATGCCTAGATAGTTAAAAACGAGATCAGAAAAATAACTTCTCGTTATTTGACAAGAAACGGCATCCTTCTCCATTTAGTTCGTGATTATTTCTAATGTTCGACAATTGTTCAGATTATGTAAAGGTATGACCACGGCTCGCTGGTGGCTTTTAATGCTTACCCATACATAAAATAGTGGAGCACAGTTCGATATTTCCAGGTTTACAAGATCAACCGCCAGAACAAGTATCGCAAGAATAAAAGCTGAAACACAAATATTAAAACAGTGAAGATTTTTTAAATATTTTTTTTAATTCATTAATATTTTTTAAAATTTAAATCTACGTTATTTAAGTGTTTGAATTGAGCCTTTTAACTGTATTTGATGTGGTCTATACATTCTTGAGCTTACACAAGTAAAAAAAAAACACTAGCTTTAGAAATGTATACCTATATAGATTAAGCGAAAGAGAGGTGTTGAATGCAAAACTAAGGGAAAATTGTAAGGAATAAATATTATCATTCAAGGACACAGCTCATTGGAATGGGGAGGTATCGGACAAAATTTGCCGACAAATTTTCCGACCAGAAAAAAAAGGCCATTTATGTTTCTGGCTTTCCCAAACATATTTTTAAAATACAAAATTTGCGGGAAATTCCGCTTTGTTTGGAAAGGGTCACACCAAAAGCTACCCCTATTTCGGATGTATACGAAGGGAAAGATGAGGAGGAAGTAGAGGAAGAAGAGGAGGAAGAGGCTGGGGGAGGGAGATGAGGAGGAGGTAGAGGAGGAGGAGAAAGAGGAGGAGGAGAAAAATAAAGAGGAGAAAAATAAAAAGGCGAAGAAGAAGACGAAGAAGAAGACGAAGACGAAGACGAAGACGAAGACGAAGAAGAAGACGAAGAAGACGAAGAAGAAGAAGACGACGAAGTGGAAGAAGAAGAAGAAGAAGAAGACGAAGATGAAGATGAAGATGAAGACGAAGAATAAGACGAAGAAGAAGACGGAGAAGAAGATGAAGAAGAAGAAGAAGAAGAAGAAGAAGATGAAGAATGAACTTTTCCTTACTTGGTGTCCAGCAGTAGAAGAAACCAAATACATTCAATGACATCCTCCTGCGAATCCATCTGATTGTGGTTTGCTCATATACGTCAATAGCTGTGTCTTATCATAAACGTACAAACAGAATAACGTATAAAGGTTGCACTGTATTTTTATATTGGGAATCGTAATTTATATAAACTTGGAATCGATCTCGAAAAAAAACACTTTACGTTATACACGATTTAGGCTACATTTAGAAGACATTCAATTCTTTTGTTTGTTGGGGGAGGGGAGGGGGGGGGGGTAAATGGGTCTATTCCCTTCACAAAATAATAACCAAATTATCAAATGAGTACCCATACAAATATGCAACAATTTATCGAACAGGTTAAACGTAATAATCTGTAGTTTTATATCATATGGACTTCCGGGTACATTTTGTACCGGAATGTCCATGATTAAAGCATAGGCATTGAAGCATTCTCATGGCGCGTTTATGATAATCACCCAATGAAACTGTCTTACAGAAAGATAAAATGGAAATCAAATCAAATCAAATCAACTTACTCTGTCGCTTTGATAACTTGGAACATATTCCCCATGATAACGAGAAAAAAATCTGACAAACAAAGTGCATATAAATTACAAGTTAGGACAGGATTTCAGAGTTTCGGTTGAACCAAATCTATATAGGCCAATACACACATTTCATAGTGGGACAATGTTGTCAGCCTAGCAGGCGAAGTTATTCAACTGATATTTTGCAGATGAAAAAAAAAACATCAAATAAGAAGTGCTGCATTTTAGTGTTTGATGATGAAGATTGTAAGCATGAAATTCTTCTTTTAAACTTGTTTTCTAGTAACAACATCATAAAGTATAATCGAATCATTGTCATTCATTGCATGAATTAATTTTCTTTTTAAAAATTCAATGGCTTTCAACATGAGCTGCAGTTTACTGTGCCTCTCAACCTGTTATGCAATATCATCGTTATTGTCATTCATTCGGAAGAGTACAGTTATGTTTCTATAATAAATGTGATATTTATAATATATTGAAAGTAATCATCATATCTCATTTGAACAAACAACTAATTAATAGAAAACTCACCGACATAACTATTGCTACGACTACAAACGCCGCAATGACTAAGATGATGCCGTAATTCTTTAGAAAGCCGTTTTCAAATATTGTGTCCTGTTGACAGGGTGAGAATAATAAAGAAAATAGTGGTTATGAGGAGTAAAGAAACATCAAGTTGGTAACAAATCGCTCCTTTCTCTACTTCGGCTCTGACCTCGTAATTTAAATATCTTTTAACATTTAAACAATATATAACAATTGTATAAACAATTCTCAGATTAATGTGATAAAAGAGAAATAATCTAGGGAGGGGAGAAGGGGGTTAAGTGCAGTAACAGAAAGAATTGCCTCGGGTATTAAATATTAATTAAAATGCAATGTCAGTCTATTTAGATCAATTTGTCGGCACATCTGGTTGTCCCCCTCCCCTCTGTCCCCCCATGAAAAAGCTTATTGGGTTGTTTTACCTGACTGCTATGAAAGCGAGGAGGGTTTTAAGTACACCACAAGGGGAACTTATGACTTTAAATCTTTTGAAAATTGACAATTGTAGTCTTAATAAAGGACAATAGCGTATCGACATGGTTTCGAAAGAGGAACCTTCGGGTTACGAAACCACTACTCTACCAATGAGCCATCATGCGGTCTATTAGACCATTTCGTAGATACAACATGCGCATGAGCCGATAAAGGTAATTTGTGATAAAATTGTAAAACCAACCGAGATGGATACGTGCTCATGTTATGTAATCATTATTCATAATCATATGTGCACCTAATATACATTCTATGATACAAGAGGGCGAACAAAAGCTATTCATGAAGGCATGAAGCACATACATGACTTTGGCATTGATTATTCTAAAATACACAAAGTGGGACTTCTCTATGAGTAAAAGATCTGTGGATATTTGGGGTCATTTGACCCATGTGCTAACTACGAAATGGTCTATTCTTACTTATGTAACATACCTCACTAATTGGATAGTATATGACAGATGGACATCTGTAAGGAAAACATACATCCATCAATTAATACTATTATTTATGAGTAATCCGATTAAAGCAGCCTAAAGGTCGAGGCCGGAAGGGTATTTGTCACCAAATATATAGAGTTTTTCCGGCATGTCTATAAACATTCATAGTACAGGAGGCATCATCTACTACAAATCATTTTACTAATACGTCGACATTCATGTTTAAAAGAGTACAGGGTTTCACCTTTCAATGAAATAGTATTATTTTAAAATGGCCGGACATTGAAACCATGTTGGATTAATATTCATTACGATGGTAAGAAAATAGGCGCATATCTTTTTTTTCCCCTTAGTACCATGAAAATCTGCTGAGACTTGCACAGTCGTATTTCATTTTTCATATACGAGTCATTCAATCAAAAATAATAATAGGAAACCCCACTAAATGTTTGCGAATTGATAATACCAGCTGTGAATATGATTATAATCATCTAAAGGAAATTAATTTTTGTCCTTACTATTTAATAATTATTTCAAATATCTTTCATGAGTCCAGAACTAAAGGCAACGTTAAATGCACACTGGTGAATGGTCGTCATACATTTCCGTGAATCAATTTAAACTTTGCTAATAATACGATTAAATGAATTTCGATTATGAAAATATAATCCAATTCCAGCTTGAATTGAAAATGTCTAACACAATTACCCTCTCAAAGGTCGAGCAAATATTATTTAGGTATTTTGAGACTGGGGTCAATATTTGAATAAGATCTGAATATACGTACAATAAACAGAGTTGTATTTTCACAGGCTCCGCTAGCACAGCAACTGTGACTGGTATCAACAGTAGAGGGGGTAAAACCCTGTTTGACAAAATGGGTTGCAAAACAAATATTATCTCATCAATTCAATATGTATATCCGCACTATGCCCCATTTGCAGGCCCCCAAAAATGAAAAGGTTAAATTCCACCAGCATTAACTAAATAATACTAATTTAGAACTTCCCTTCAAACGAAAAGGCTTGGAAATGTTTTTTGTGGGTAAAATTGACTTTAGTGCTTGCAATACATTTAGTAAATAGTCTGATGTTCAGACCCTTGAACCAAATGGTCGTACGTTTTGTGCTGCGCAAAGATTCAATCAGTTTAATTATGGCCATTATTACAAGAAGTGGGTTATTGATGTAGTCAAATGCTCATGTACCCTTTACAGCTCATTGTATGTATGCTATTATCAAGAAAAAAGAATTAAATCAGTCACTTAATAGTGTCTGACAGTAAAGTCTAGAAAGTAAACGGTTCCTTGCGTAGTTTGAATACCAGGACACTGCTAACGTTTACATATGAAATATATGGTATACGTGACATATTCACAATTCCTGCAAAGTTCTACAGAATTTGATGTTGACTGCAAATGAGACATAGTACCTCTAACATGGAAAATAAATAAATAAGCCTGCACTTTCATATTTCCACTCATGCACAAAGTGGTAAAAATGAGAGACACGTGACAGAGAACGTTCTCAGCAAGGTACGAAACGGTCTATAAAGTCTGAACATTATTTCATTGGGCAGGTCAGGTCATGGGAGCGCATTATGTTTACTGGAATATCACTACACAAATTTTACTTCATTTTAGTCATGAAGTGGAGATATGTGGTTGACAGGGAGACGAAAAATATGTCGTAGTAGTGTTTGCCATTCCATATCAATATTGATTTTGCTCTTGGATGTTATGATCTAGAAATTCCCCAAACAGAAGGCAAATCTGCAAACAATGTCTCATCGTGATTCTGAATAAAATGTGTATGGGCAGTATTAGGCGTAGGAGTGATTTGCTGCATTTATTTGAATATTGACAAAAACAGATTTAAAAGTGCGCTAGACAAGGGGATTTATGTACACCTCTCGATAAATTTAATTTATAAATAAAATAAAATACAATAGTCTGATCATCGTTTATAATTGTGATTGATAATTATACGTATAAACCATGCATTTTTCAATGATAATGACTGATAACTCTTATTTCTCATCGCTATTATGACCAAGTAATGATACAAATAACAGAGGTCTAAATTAATCCCCCAAAATATGATCAATAGGCACCTAAAATATTAATTTTATAACGGAATCTGTGAAAACATGTGCAAGGAATGATAGTTATGGGCAGTGGTATGAACATTTCTGGGCTATTAGCTTATCCATGATAAACAAGCATGCATTTGTTTCATCCGTCAAATCGGGAGAGACTTTTTTCTAAATAATAATAATAATAATAATAGTGAACATTTATAATGCGCCATGTGAGCAAAACTTACCACGACAGCACGTAAGTAAGTCTTAACGTTCTCTTCATTGTAGAATGGGTCTGCAAAAAAATACAAAAATACAAAAATAGGTCGGATATATCATACTAGGCGTACGCGTGAAAGTGGAAGTGACGTCCTAGTTGACCGAAGAGTTTACACGGCGGAGGGTTCATAAGACCAAAGGTTCGGGAGACATGTGAGACATCATGAAAATTCTGATATCCAATGTGAAGGCTTAAAATCAATGATGTTTGTCTTGGACTCTTGGACAACTGGTCGGAATATCGAAGAGACTGTAGATAAACGAAACCGAAGATAGACATGATCGAAATTTTCTTTATTGTAAGTTAGACACCGTACATTCAAATAGGGGACGGAGCATGTGTTCAGGGCGCCACAAGAAAGGACTTAATAAAGTGTACAGAAAAGTAGGAATAGAGAATACTTTCTCGCTAATATTTCCGCAGGATCCCATTTCTTTCGTACCCAGATGTATGGAGGGTAAAATGTCTTAGAAATTGTGTTTTATGGGGTTAACATAGCGTACTAATATAACGTTCAGTCCCTAAAATTGCTTGTTTACGTAAGAATATTTTCTGAATTTGCGTCCTAAATCCTGGGCGTCAAAAAATATTTCAATAAAGTGATATAATACAATATCTTATAAAACTAGGTTTGAAAAACTAATTTGACTTGCATTTTTGCGAACGGATAGAGTGTTTTTGTAAAGAGATACTTTTTCAGTTTTACAAGTTGGGTGTGGTCCCACAAATAGCCTAGCTCTGTTGGACTTTTGATCTTAAGAACTTTAAGTAAATAGGACTGTGGCCAAAAATTTGAAATGCCTGCATGCATGCATTAAAATCTCTGCTCGTATAATCTGTGTTGATAACCTATGGCTTACCCGATTAGATATGTAATACACGTCTATTAGCTAAACAATCAGTTTAGATTATAATAATAAAGAGTTTACAAAGTTATTCTTGCGATGATAATAAATCATTTTAGTAGGCATTCAAACACTATTGACTCATGACTCTGCACGTAGGTTCTTTGTCTTGGAAAGATGGTCCACCCAGTGAAACGTTAAAAACCGTTATCAGTCAGATTACGAGATAAAAGTTGTATAATAAGCATATATATTCAAAACTTTTATTGCGATGATTAGCCATAAAATCAATGGCCATGTAGCAGTAGTGTCACCCCAGCGGTACAAGCGGAAGAAACTCCTTCCTTTATAAGTAAGGGATCAGTTATTGTTCATTCCCTGCAAAGGCATGCAGCGTATATGCGTTTTGATTAATACCTTGTCACTCATATCCTGAGAACGAACTGACGCTCTCAGCCTAACATACCATGGCATGTACACGAATAGTGTCATGTTGATAAAACAGAGGACTTTGATCATATTGTCGCTATACTTTTATCAACTACCATGTAGATGATCTGTTAGGCTACAAACAAACCTCTTCATTAATAAAAACAAACACTCATCACATCTAATGTCAACTTTATGCTTATTCACTTTTGGCAATCTGGGTAAAGACATTGCATCACTACACTCATTGATAATAATAGCAATAATAATAATAACAATTATAATAGTATTTTGGGTGAACATAGCGCTTGATCCATAGACGATGTGTCTCTAAGCGCCTTACAGATAAATTATTACCGCGGTCAGCGGATTGATATCTTTTCACAGAAACGTTAGTGCCAGGCTGAGATTCGAACCCTAAACCCTTGGGTTGAGAGTCAAGTGAATGAACCCCTCGACCACTGTTACTCACCTCTAATTGGAGTTCCTCAGACATGCGCAGTTTATTCCTCAGTCGGACGTAGTCTACTATTGTATAATTTGCAGTCAGATTGAACGAGATGAGGTAAAAGAACTATGGAAAATATAAATGAAAAAATAATGAAACAATAATGAAATATAACTATAAAATTAAGGTAATAATGAAATAAATCATTGAAAATAGGGTGTGAAACCTTGAGCGTATCAGATTTAATAGTTTTACTTCATTATCATTCTTAACTCAGGCCAAGTAAGATTGATACCTAGTTTCTAATACTGATTTTCTAAAATGGGAAAGGGGTTCCACGATATTTTATATTTTATATTTTGTCTGCACATATAAATGCTATTGGATCAATTTCAACACAAATTATGTAAATCCAAATTTCATGAGTACATACATTACAGAGACTAAATGCAAGGCGAAATTATTGTAATATTGATGAATTTTGTCGACTTCAGTAACTTGATGTCCTCAGATTGACATTTATTTGATTTCAGAACCATAATAAAAATCAAATAACAAACAAATTGAGGCAAGCCGATACACATGAAGGAGGAGGGGACTATAAACTACATGTAGAAATTGCTTTTTTTTTAAATTTTGGCCTTACCTCTTCAAGCGTAATCAGATAAAAAGTCGTTCGCTCGATGTTATTTTTCGATGAAAACATATAGAAACACGTGAGTAGTATAAGACATATGCAGAACCCTGTGTTAGCGATGGATAGATGCATCAAAGGTCGAACCTGTAATAAGACCCCAAAAAAAGATGATGATAAATATATCGTGAGTTGAGAACGTCAGAGAGATTATGAGAGGGGAGGAAGAGAGAGAGAGAGAGAAAGGAGGAGGAAGAAGGAGAGAGAGAGAGAGAGAGAGAGAAAGCCAAATCAAAAGAAAGATAGAAAGAAAGAGAACAAGAAAGAGAGATGATCTTCAAGATAATCATTTCGCACATGAAATGGAACAATAGAACTATTTATTCAACAAATTTAATTCCAATTTTTATTTCGGAACGAAAATAAAAGAACGTTTTAAATCCTACCTCTGAAGTAAAGAAGAGTCTCTTTACCACGGCATGTCCAATGATAGCAAGAACAGCGATCAAACTTACGATTCCAAAACCAAACCAGATCCGGAATATCTGTTGTCATGAAGAAGAAGAAAAACAAAAATCATCAATTGAAATTATCCTTTATAATTGTTCCACAAAACAATTTTCATATTTATAGAAATGACTTCCCATTGTGGTTTCATGAAACGGTTTAATCAAGGTACACAATGAAGTAAAATGGAATTTAGTGTAAATAGTGTAGATCATACGTTTCTTTATCATCTTCTTTTAGCTTACCGCCTTTATTACCTGCTCTGGTGCCACTAAATGTTTTAAAACACTTCCGAAAAGGGCAAGGAGGTTGAACCGTTCATACAATGGTCTTGAAATATTGGAATCGTTCTCGCGCAAACGTCTGCTCCCTTACAATCGACATTCCAATTGCATAAAGGAAACTTGACAGCGAGTTATCGTAACAATCTAATTTTGTCATAATAAATACAAAAAGAATTAGACAAAATATTAACAGACCACCTCATTTTCCAAATACGAGATGGCATATGTTCAAAATATGAAGTGGCGGTCTCCCCAATAATTGTTAATGTTAATTTCAAAATTCTCGGTCCAAGCCTCAAATGTCTATGTGATGCTTTTTAGACAATTATAGAGGGTTAAGCAGCAATCTTCTGTAACACGCTTTTCGGAATATTTAAAATCGCCATAATTTCAAAATTGTCTTCCCCCTAAGCAAATTATTAGTCAGTTTTTCCAGATGCGCAACGTGAGGAAACTGTTGATGTCCGACCAACATTAGGCAAACCGTATGCCCAACTGGAGTATTATTTTTTTCTCTCCAAATCTCGATCACCTTTTACTAAAAATTGAGCAAAACTCACCTGACTGATTTGGGCATAATTGTAATCACCCAAACATTCGTCGGACACAGAAATATATTCAAAATTTATCCCACTTTTATTTTAGAGTGTGCAGCAGTTACTTGCCTTCTCCCTGTCGCTCTCTGTGATGTTGCAAGGCCGATAGCACAGATCACTATCAGTCCAGGCGATGCCAACCTCCATCATCTATTCTTCCAATCTCACTGGTTACCATAGAAACGTAATTCACTCGGGATAAGTACGATGTTCACCATGTCTATATAGTAACCTGAACCTTGAAAATGAAAAAAGACAATATTTGTTTGTTCATTTCACAAGGAAGTTATGATTTTGAAAACAATTAATTGCATTCTGTGTTTTCCTCACCTTTGATTAGCTTTTAGAAGTAGTAGTAGCTGTAGTAGTAGTAGTAGTAGTAGTAGCAGCAGCAGCAGCAGCAGTAGTAGTAGTAGTAGTAGTAGTTATAGTAGTAGTAGTAGTAGTAGTAGTAGTAGTAGTAGTAGTAGTAGCAGCAGCAGTAGTAGTAGTAGTAGTAGTAGTAGTTATAGTAGTAGTAGTAGTAGTAGTAGTAGTAGTAGTAGTAGAAGTAGTAGTAGTAGTAGTAGTAGTAGTAGTAGTTGTTGTAGGTAGTTATACTCCAATCTCTAACAGTCCTTTAAGCTTTAAAAAAAAGCTTGTCGTAGTAATATAATTTGAGAATACCATTGTAGTGTTTGATATCACTCGAGCTGGTTCGACTGTAAGGTATAAATGCCAATATAAACATGCTATTGCCATTAGAGACTGGAAATACATCCATCAATACACACATACCTACCTACACACATACACACACGTGTCAGTCAACATTTAATGTATATATATATATATATATATATATATATATATGTAGGTATGTATGTATGTATGTAAGTAAGTAATTTTACTATTCGGGAAATAATTTTCAACTCGAAGTGAATGAAGAGGAAGCAATAGAAGTACATATTGTAGGCAATTGATAGGAATTACAATTGCAATAAACTCACTTCCAATACGAACCTGTGACTATTTTGTGTATTATGGTATGGCAGTCTATGTAAATAATTAGCACGTGTGAGCTAAATAAGCCTATTCTTATCTCCTACACAGGGAGCTTTGTTTAGCTTATAGTTAACTATTAACTACATTCTGCTACCAATGCTACTAAATTATGATTTAGTTACGGGACTAAGATAAATCAAACAAAGGATTCCACAGTTAGCTAATTATAAACAACTGCCGCGTCATTCTAGCTAGTTTCAATCGAGGGTAATAGATAAAAACGCAGTATGATAGAGTTAACAGTTTGCCATCTTACACCGTTTTACAATCTGCTTACGATAACTTTAAGTTGAGGTTAAAATGTAGGTCATCAAGCCTCTGTTTTTTAAATATTATTTTAATTAGTCACTTCCCTTTGCTATCTAATTCAACACGGCATACTTATAAGTGATGAAAACGGATTCGAATATAGAATACGGCAAAAATACATAGACTTGGACATTTTTATAATTTCAAAACATGACCAAAACATGATTACGGGAACAAAACATGCAGGAAGCGGGTTGTATGCGTGCGTGTGTGCGTGGGGGTGAGAGAGTGTGGGAGGGGCTTATAGCCTACAATGTTAGAAATCGAAAGTGCAATAGGAAAAATAAACAATGCCATTTTTACTGGACACATATATATGTACATTTGCATCATGCTAGAAATGTTGGGGATCCCCATCTTTCGATTGGCTACACTGTGATTTAACAACTAGCAGTCAATGACGTTTTTTTCTTCCCTCTCTCCAAAGAGTATTGGTGCCCGTATCATGTCAATGATACATTTTGATATAAGATCAAACAACCATTATTGTAGTAATCTCTGTCTGCCCACAAACCATTAAAGGGATTAATGATAATAGTAATAAACAAATATTTCTAAAGCGCTTGATAAAAAATCCCCCAAAAATCCCCTAAGTACTTTACAATCTTAACGAAAAGTTTACATACTACAAATGCATAAATCAAACTACAATGGACGAGTACAAACATTTTTCAATAAATAAATACATACTCAATTAACTATTCATTTAATTCTACTCCTACTTTTTCTCATGTAAAACATGTATTAGATTACAGTTAGAAAGGGAAAAGGACATTATCTTGATTATAACGTAAACAAATATGTCTTTAGGGAAACGGAAAATATCTTGATTATAACGTACGTAAACAACGTGTGTAGAGTTGGTGCTGTACTGTGCGGATGTGTGGAGGGAGCAATTGGAAAGCAAATAAAGGTTGTCATTTATACCAAGAGGAGTTTCACTTTACGAAGCAGTTTCGTATCGAATCAACTTATATTTTGCTTTTGCCATCAGGTCGAAGGTACATGTAACATGCAATTATCCTCGGACATCTACCGGCGATAGGTAACTACCGTCAGGGACCATTATCCAGGACGACTTCCAACTGAAAAATACACTAACTATTAACGAGGAGTTTTACGAAGAAGTTACTTAGTTGATATAAAATGTGGTGTAGATGTCCAGGGCAATATTTACTAAGGGGATAGTTGTATAATTATGCTGATAGTTCGGGGATAGTTGCCCGTAAACGCCTGATGGCATCTAAAAAATGATATACATGTACAGACATAAAAGGACCCTTAGCTATGAATCTGACTGTACAATGAAAGTCCTTACTCCATCCATAATCGATATCAAAACGTTCATCTTGTGAACTATGAAAAGGAAAAATTACAACCTGTATAAGATAGACAAGAAAGGGTTATAACGAGGTCGTTGAATTGACCTCAACTCGACATTTCATTACCCATGTATCATTCATCGTAACGTTCTCATATTGGAAGAAGTTTATCGTTTATAGCGTTTGGAAGTGTTTTTTGGCATGGGCCTATCTATTAAGAAGTTAAATTTATATAATAAAATATACATGTTTATGAAAATAACACTATCTTGTCGGAATCAACGTATAATTCCCACACAACGCAGTATACTACATAACGCTAAACCATTATTTTGAGAAGCAATCCCCAATATAGTATTAAATATTGCTTGCACGGTTAACATGGTTAAGGAGCCGTCCGAATGTAGGTATTTTAAAACCACAATGAAGCATAGAGTATCTCTTTATTTGACTCACCTGATCTGTTTAAAGTTGGTATAGTATCGCATTGGTGGTTTCCCCCATTCATTCATTCACGCATTGCTAATCATGGCCTCGACAAAGAAACTGTTGTATCTATCATTAGTGTTATGCGGAGAGAGATTTCAGTAGAAATGAGAGGAAGAATTAGGAATGTCAAAATAAGCATGATCTCGTGATCACTACATACAATCAGTGTTGGCCGGGTTTCTTTTATTTACAAAGTTCGAAGTCCGTAAAAAGCATGTACCGGTAGGTATTCTCGATTGATTGTAAGGTGCCAATTAATTCTGACACGTCTGTACCTGCACTGTGTGCAGTTCAATCAAAATAATACAGTAAAGTCAAATAGTCGATTACTGTAATAAGCTAATGAAGATAATTATCAGTCTTTTGGTCGACATTGTGTTATCATTTTAGTCTTATCTTAAAATGACGCCAAAGAAATTATTGGAGGTCTGTACCTTTGACTATCACAATCAATCATAATTTTGTAGTTAGCTAGTTATTGATTATTGAAGCTACTTGAATTTGAATAATGAATGTGATCCAATCTAGTTTTGTGTAATAGTGAATGACGTCATCTTTTATCAAAACATCGAAACAACATTGCCACGATTGCTGCGCATCAAACTAAACCGTGTAAATATCTCATATCTCAAACTTTCCTTTCCATACCACTTACCGCCTAAAGTAAAAGTAATATATTTTCCCTCCTATTTCCACTTTTATTATGTTTATGAGTGGCTTTGACAATTTAATCTGAAGTTTCATATATGAATGAATATACCCATGATAAAAAACAACAACTATATTACTATAATATATTCGTAATAAATGAAAAGGGGTGGGGTAGGGGGTGAATGCAGTATCCTTGTGAGATGTATCATATTCAACCGAAAACCCTTCTAATGTGAGATATAGTTGAATATTGTAGAGAAAGGCAGGCATTATATGAGTGGAGCTGTGCATAGTGGGAATCTATGCTATAGACCAATTCAGCCGCAAAACCCTCTACCACACCCAACATGACTTTCATGACTATCGTTCCGATTATCAGGCAACCCACTTGGTCACTATTATCTTGCTTTCCATCATTCCATATGGTGTTTTGCTAATGTATATTGAAACAAATCATTAATTTTACATTCTAAGTACCTAGCGTACTCCATTAATAATGATCATCAGTCTACTACGCGTGCATGTATGATTTAGAAGAGTCACAATTGTCTAAATGATGTCGAATGATAAAGAGAAAGTTCATGTCAATGCTTACCACACTGGTGAAGGTCAGCGATGAAATGTCCCTATAAATGCAGTCATTTGAAACAAACACAGAAACTGCATTACCTTAATCGTGTCAGGATTAATTGTGGCAGTATCCAAACGCATTCGTTTGAATTATAGGTTCGATATATTAGCGTAGTGCATTATTGACTGGTTGCGTAATACTTCTCAAAAGTGTGTTTGCATGTTCTACATCGTAGCCCATACAAGAGAGAAGTGGGGCTGGAAGGTCGAAGTAAATGTTTACAAAAGAAGAATTATCATTGTTTGAATGGAAATCACGTGTGTGCAATACCACGTGATCTCATTCTTCATTCCTTTGAGATGTATCGTAAAGCATAATAGGGACTTTTAGATTCGCACGAAGACAATGGGAATTGCTACGATCGACGTCCTTTTAATGCACTGCCTTGAATGGACGTCACACATATCAGTCCACGCAAATCTAAAAGTCCCTAATACCCCAGTCACACGTACCACTGCTACCGAGTTCAGATCTACAGGGGACCAAACAGAATAGGCCATTTTCGTAATGTAACCAAATATAATACACAAGTCTTTGTGAAGTGCCTCAATACAATTTACTTCATTCAGCTGATAAGAATAATTGTATTTCAATAGTCATAATGCAAACTGCATATGTGTTGCGAGGTAGGACAAGTCATCATTTTTGTCCTACCTGGCAACAACAAATGTATGCAGTTCGGTTTTCGTCTAATAAAATACTATTATTCTTATCAGGTGAATTAAATAGTTTGTATCGAGGCACTTCACAAACACGTATGCATTACATTTGGTTACATTACAAAAATGGCCTATTATGATATTACGCCCAATTGCCAGGAATGAGTCGGATTGGCGGTGTGACCGATACGTTGTCTAGACATTTCGTTTTGCGTCCTCGAATACGACCAAGTGACATTCTTTCACATTCTTTAACATTGGCGAATGTACATTTATATTCAGCATACGATGGCGCCCCCATTCATCACTCCTCCCCATTCAACGACTTATAAAAATCAATGATAAATAATCAATACAGGGTCGAAATTAAAGCGTTTATAAAAGGAGAATCATCACTGCCTGAATTCTTCATAACATGGGCATGTATCATGAAATGAATGGTTTCGACTGGTCATCGTGACATGACAATAACATGTTTCTTTGTTCTCGCTTCAGTACACAGTTCATTCTACAAGTGTTGTGATGCCTGATCGTCGGTGCGATAAGTCCCCCCCCCCCCCCCCCGTTTGAAGGAAAATTATTTGTCAATACAACAATCACTCCCACGAGTGATTTTGTCCACGGATTGATTGAGTTTTTTGTCAAACCAGGAAGTAGGAGGTAGTAGCGAAAAGATGGTAGTAGAGGTCGTTTGGTAGTATACGTGGAGGCAGGTTGGTAGTGGCGAGGTATAGGTTGGTAGTAGACGTAGACGTAAAGGGTCGGCAGAGGAAGGGTTGTGGTAGAGGTAGGGTAGCAGTAGATGTAGGGTAGAAGAATGGGTAGGAAGGTAGTAGAGGTAGGGAGATTGGCGGTTGGGGTAGGATGGTACCATGGGTGTCGATACTTACGTAATACCTATTCATCAGGGGGGGGGGGATGAATGAATAGATCATCCCCCCCTGATGAATAGGTATCAGTTACGGATCGACACCCATGGATGGTACGTGGTAGAGGTAGGAAGGTGCGTGGTGGAGGTAGTGGTAGAGGTATGGTGGCGGTAGAAGTAGTGGTAGAGGTAGGGTAGCAGAAGATGTAGGATAGAAGAAAGGGTTGGAAGGTAGTACTAGTAGGGAGATTGGCGGTTGGGGTAGGATGGTACGTGGCAGAGGTAGGTAGAGGTACATAATGTATATATAAGCTGCATCGCTCACTTTATTCATGCAGAGGTTGTATTTGAATAATCATATAGTTCACGATTTACTGACACCCCCTAAAAACACTAAATGAGTAAAAGATTAACAGAAGCCAAATGGTTTCATACATTTCATTGGCCGAAACTCATGTATACACTATGGGATACTAAAAGCTAAACCTTTCCCTTTTCTCTATTTCCGTCTCTCCCTCTTCCCTCTTCATTATGTTTCAAAGCATGATTATCATTTTGATGAGACTTAATTTACTCTCGTTAGGTCTTAAAAATGATCTTTTTATACAGGTAATGTACATGTATGTATATTTTCATGCTCTCTCTCTCTCTCCCTCTGTCTCTCTCTCTCTCTCTTCCTCATCTTTCTATCCCCCTTTTCTTTGATTCTCTCTCTCTCTCTCTCTGTCCCTCTTTCTCAATGTCATGCTTCCTACCCGCCCATTTCAGGTGCCACTTTTGGAGCCATGCCAGAGAGTAATCTAAAGTCATTTGCCATACTCCCAACTTGAAAAAACGTTGGGGTATATGTAGATCGAAATAAATTTGTGTTAAACAATAGATTAGTTTACATATCAAACTGGGGCGTAATTCTTTTGTGTATGTTAAATTTGATATACATGTAAATAATTCTTTAATTTGGAAAAGATAATTCTCAAAATCATTTCCTGGTTTGACAAAATTAATCTCAACAGTGATTCCATGGACAGTTGATTCCGTGGAGAAAATCACTTTGTTGCGATTTATTTCGTGCCAAAATTACTCTGTGAGATTGATTTTGTGACAGAATAAATTACTTGAAACAGATAAGTGAAAATATGAGGAAAATCAGATATAAAAATCAGATAGAGGATTTTTTTAAGTTGTGATTTTTTTTTACCTGATACAATTTAGAATAAAACTGTTCATAGAAAATCTCAATTCCCATGGATAGCAGTGAGTAATGAGGGCTACTACTTTAATAGTTCTGAGGTAACCTTGCACTTTTCATCTTAATCTGCATCAGTTAAGTTCTCTCTCTCTCCCTTTTTTCTCTCGCTTTCTTTTTTGTAACTTTTTTTTATACCAACTATCTTTCCTTTCGTTTCTCTCTCTCTATTTTTCTATCCTCTTCCTTATGTCTCTCAATTTCTAATGTGTACATTTTCTTAACGCGTAACCCTTTCCATCGGTTTTTTGCAATGGAACTGCATATGAATTAAATTACACCAATTGGATGCAACTATTACAAAACAGAATGATGATTAAATGACACATAAACTCCAATGATATACATACAGATGCATTTATTTCTATGTTTATGTTATCATAAACATAACAAATTTCACAAACAATTTAAAAAGTAAAAGAATTATTTTGATCAGATTCTGGATGAGTTACAAATATAGATAAGGAGATAAATTATAAATGTTTGAGTACAAAGCAGGAGAAATTACATTAACAATATATCTATCTACAATGTTTACAGGCCTGTTTGAATTCTGCTAATGGCCATCAAAAGCTAATCAGAGATTTTATTAAAAATCACATGAATAATACATATATATATATATATATATATATATATATATATATATATATATAACGAGAGAGTTTAATACAGAGAGAGAGAGAGAGAGAGAGAGAGCTACAGGGGGAGGGAGAAAAGTTAAGGAATGTAGAAGAGGAGGGCGGATAAGGGGACTATTATTTCATTACCTATTTTTCATAGTGATTTGGAAATCATCTTATAAATCTAATTACCGATATTCATCAAATGAAATAAAATTTCGAAAATTGTGTTTTCTTTAAAAGACTCAATGAAAGGGCACATAATGTCTTTCTGCACTTCAAAGATAATTATCTCGAAACTTCACCTTTTTTTTCTTCATCAATCAGTTATTTGTTCAGTTTGTAATGCCTGGTAAACAGAATCCATAAAATATTTCAAAGATGACATAAACAAATTGTTTGATGGCATTTTTTTTTACATTCCTACATGACATTGTATATCATTCAAACCCATTCGAATTCGATCATCAGGTTTATTTGATATACATTCATTGATGAAAGACAGTATAAAGACAAACATTTACTTCTAGTTTAAGAAATCATCATATCTATACTTGAAAGACCAAATTTAATTTCAACGTAAAGAAGTCGAGTAACAAAACTTCCTCGATATTTCAAAGAATATAATACAGCCTATGTGAAAGAGAATTGTCCAATCATAGCACGCGTTTCATTGTCAAAAGGAACGAAGCAATGAGAAGTAATCCAGATGTTTTGATTGGTCCATCCGCTCCCGATCCGATGTTTTGTCCACAAATGAGCCAATCAGAAGCAAAGCTACGTGTTTCAGCGATGAAAAAGACCTCATTATCTTTGAAGGTGCTAACTTGTTTGTCGATGAGGAAGTAACTCACTCCGCCTACAGAGATGAAAAATAAATAAATATTCAAAATCAGCAGAATGTAAACAATGTTATATACCTCACTTAAGTAATCCAGCAATCTGATTGGTCGAAATTGCATTCATAAACTTTAACTGTTCCCGAAAATTCCCGGTAACCATGGTTAAAAAAACAGTTCAAAATCCCAATAACCATGGTTATTGGGAAAATAGGTCAGTCTCCATGGTTACCCCATAGGTTTACATGTTAAAAAATGGTCTGAGCGATCGAAGATACCGTACGTGTGCGAAGAATTGGTCGGTAATTTCAATACAATTGAATCTCGATCGATCTTACCGACAATTTTATCTTGCATTGTTGACATTAAGACGAAAATAAACTTCCAAAAACAAAAAAACAACATCTGCCGATAGATCTTGATCTAAATTCGTGCCAATATGCATTGCAAAAGTAAAAGAAGGGCCTGTTTAATGGATCAGCCGCGAAGCTTCCACCACGCGAAGCCGTTTTCAATCCATTTTAATGTATATATATAAGAAAAAGCTGCCCTGTATGGTAACAGAGCGCGATAGCCGAGCGGTTTAAGGCGGCGGTTTTCGTTACATCACCTTTGGTACGCAAGGGATCGAATCCCGTCTTCGACAAAAGTTTTTTTTTTTTTTTTTAATTTTTTTTTTCGGCATATAAAAGTATTAATGACTGCTTTAATATTCGAGAAATAGTTGTTTTTATACGCTCTCGGGAAAGTTACAATTGGGCTATTGCCCTCGGCACGCCTCGGGGCAATAGCACAATTCTAACCTTCCCTTGAGCGTATAAAAACAACTATTTCTCTCAAAGCAGTCATTAATACTATACTATTGCAATTTTTTTGCTAAAATCATGTGAACAGAATAAAGTCGTTCTTACTGTTGGTTGATTTTTGAGATCAACCAATGGTAGAGCACCTTTTTTGAAAAAAAAAATACTGGTCGTTTGTAAAGACACTGAATGACGAATATATGAATAATTATGTATATGTGCTTTGAGACTAGGTTTACTTCTAGTTATACGTTATTTGTAGACAGACAATGACAGTCCAATTTGCAGGCACTACTTAAGCATGGGCGAAATAATGTCAAGTGTATCAAAGTGTAAAACCTATCGCATCAAATCCTGGATACATTCTCCTGAAAATTATTGTATTATTCATCTGTGCATATCAACGGTACATTCTATGATACACATATGGAATTATTCTTTTCGAAAGGAGAAAGACAGGGTATTCATAAAATATCTCTTTCACAATGGCAGTGATTTTCTAAAATGTACAACTTCTCCAAGTTTGTAGACACTTGGCGCTTATTTGGGGGTCATTATTTTGTACCATGTGCGATGACTACGAACTGGCCTATACTCATCTCTTTTAGGCATTTCTTCCATAATTCTCGTATCATGCGGTAGTTTTAGACTTGCTATATCAAATAAATTTCTACACATTTATGAATCTTTATACCTTTTCCTTCCGTCCAGGCGGCATTGATTGGCCCGTTCCTACCCCTCCAGTTATCCTTGATAGGTCGGGGGTACCCTCGATCTGCTCGCATGGTGTTCTCATTAAGTCGCCAGTAGAGGGTTCTGTAAAAGACGTAGATTCGGTTATTCCTGCCCCACTTGAACGCTGCGTCAATTCCGTTGGTCCGGATGCCCGTACGTACCCGGATGTCACTAGCCTGGTACGCGCCCTGTGTGAATTCCCATATTTCGGTTCCTGTATATAAGAAAAGGGTAAGACAGGATAAAACGATTTCAAAATGATTATCAATATCAAAGTTTTATTGTATATATCAAAGAACGTTTACAAATTCAATTGCCTTGCATGAAACGTCATCTGCAATAACCATTGCACACAAGGCGTCATTTAATTGACGGATGCCTGCGTCAGCGATCTGCGCGATCTTTGGCGCTTTATGAGAGAATAATACCTCACCACAGGTTTAATTAGCACAAATAATGACGCATCGTGTTCAATGATCCTAAACAGTTGAGGTCGGTCATACTGGGTGCGTCAGGGAGAGGTGTTTTTTAATGTTGTGTTTGTTGGTTCTTATGGGTTTAGCCCATTTGATAATCAAATCCCTTGATTAAGACAAATCGAATATCATGATACATTCACAGGCTAGGTATACCCAGTAGACTAACCGTAATCTAAAATACCCCTCTTTACACAACCACAGTTTTGACTGATCATCTAATATGTAAAATGACGAGAAGGGAGGAATAACAGACATAAAGTAAAATTAAAACAAATGAAAAGAAAAAAAATCGATTAAGTGTCACACACATGATTATATTGCGGGATTCTAGGTTTTTGAAAGGACGCATGTACAGCTAATATCGGTGACAGCTTTGCAGTGTCAATTCCCATTTCACTGAAAACCTTAGGCGTGCATTCTAGAGTTGGCCCCAAAATAGGGGGCGCCCGTCTCTGGCACCCCGACTGAATAGATCCCTAAACATACGAGTATATCCGGCCTTCATAGGGATCCTGACGTAATCTTAACAAATGGGGGAACAGAGGGATTTGTTTAAAGGAAATGACAAACAGAGCTGGAAAGAAAGAAGACACAGTGAAAATAGGTGAAAAAATGGATATGCCAAATGAAAGAAAAATGACAAAAGACAGAATAATTTTTTTTTGTTAAATGGACACAGGTAGAAATGCATAAGAAAGCAATGATACTGTTACAGAAGGTACAGAATAGTATAAGTAAAACAGGACTGCGTAGACTTCCGAAAAATCAACCTTATGCAGTTTCAATAACCTTGCCCTTCACCTACACTGTATTGAAATGCGTGAACAATACAATGCCATTGAGTCGGTCTTTCAAAAGTTTTTGGGTGGTATTCTCGAAAGCGGACTATGGTCCATGGTTTAATTCAACGACTAAGTATGGAATGCCAAGTGTCCATATGAATATGATTTTGAATAATTTAATCTGTCACTAAATTAGAATAAAATATAATAACATAGTTAATAAACAGCAATATAACTATGATATAATTACGTTATCATGGTAATTTAGGAACATATCAAATTATTCAAAAACATATTCGTATGGACACTTGGCATTCCATACTTAGTCGGCGGATTCAACCATGGACTAAAGATAGTCCGCTTTCGAGAATATCACCCTTTGTGATTGTGTTTGAAATGGGCTGAACTCACCAGAAAAGAAGACCATTCTTCTTTGTCCCCTGAAGGTTCTGATAAAGGCTGCATCCGGGACAGCGCTCATTTCTGTGAATACTGCTTCGGTTCGGAGAGCATTCGATACGGGCTCGGTTCCCTTCCTCACCCAAAATTGTTCTCCCTGCAAATAAAAGTAGATCAAATAGGGCGGTAATGTTCAGTGTCAGATAGCATAATTAGCATCAAATTATTCATTCTGAAAAAGACGGAACCAATATTTAGAGGCTTCTTCATGAATATAGAGTGGAAAAGAATCATAAATACAGGACTTGGTGTATTTTTTTACTTTCAAACTTCCAGACCTTTCTTTTAAACATCCTCATGAATATGAAGGAATACAATATCATTCATTCTAATCAATTGCAAAAGTAATATATCTCCAAAGCCCTAAGAAGAACAAAAATGTATATTAAATATTTTATAACCAGTAGCTTCGCTGAATATGTATATTTTAAATACATATTATAGTCAATTAAGAATTTTTAATATACATAACTAAACAATGATGAAAATAAACCAAAAGATGGGAAAACGATTATGGCATATTTGTTATACTGGCAAATAACTCTTTTGCTTTTTCGGGATTCCACTTTTTTCATGATGTGAAAAACTAAACGAACTTACGCTGAATATGAAAAGTGAGGGTGTGGGGTGCCCAGCGACTTGTCCATAGGTCACCGCAGAAATGGGAGCATTACAAACCCCTCTGTCTTTAGGGCCGTTGTCGGGTATAACCGGACCCCCTGGCCGGTTTGGTCTGTTGGGGGCATTCGCACGGGCACCTGTTGTAACAAAACGAAGGAATCGTGTGGTCCTTTATAAACTGTGGAAACACTGTGGGATATTAATTGTGTAGATTCCTTACTTTCATACGAGAGGGCCCGAGTTCGATCCTTCGACAAAATACTTTACTCACATGACAATTGAATAGTAGGGCCTACTGGGTATAGAACCAAAGGCAATGGCAACTAAGAAGGTGTTAAGCTACTTCATGTCTAATTAGAGTTGTAGAGTGTTCAGTATAAATTCTAGTTAATCAATTTATGACAGTAGTGAATAAAGAAAGCCTCTGTTTTGCTAAATGAGGCCATTAACCAAACGGCAGTGCATGTAACAATAGCTGAATAAATCCATTGCAGTGATTTATGGGAGACTGACCAGTTCAGAATTTTAAAAGAAAATATTTCTAAATACAAAAATAAAATAAACATATCCTAAATATTACCATAGAGACTCTGAATTCCTCTGACATCATCAGTGTTGAGAGTGAAGCGGGGCTGGAATCCTTGGTAGTAGGGCGCCATCAACGACTTACTGACTTCAGAGTGTGCCAACCCAAGACTGTGTCCTATTTCATGAGCCGCTACAATGAACAAATTGGTACCTGAGAAAGAACAATTATTTGATATTCAGAATGATTAAGAAAGAAAAAAAAGTCATCAACAAGTACAACAACAACCACAAAATGCTTAGGAATTATGGAATAATGCAAAGGCTTGTGTGAAATTGTAACCAACTTATTAGATAGGTATGCTCTGAAAATGTTTTCTTGACATTAAGTTACTGTCGGCGAATGATCATTGCTTCTGCCGTCAAATTTTAAAATGTGCCAACGTTTCTTCTCTATAACAAAAGCTGACTACAAAGTGACATAAATGCGAATCAACTTTAAATAGCACAAAGAGGTAATAATAAGTACCAAAATTGTTGACGAGGATAAAAGGGAGAAATAGATGGAGTGATATCAAGATGGAAAGCTTTTGGTCAGAGAGAGGGGGCAGAGAGACAGAGACAGAGACAAACGTACACATAATACAGACTGACCAAATAGGCATCAAGGATAAAAGAAAAGGCTTTGTCTACTCTCTTTCAGTCTGTTCTTCGCTTACCTTGTCTCGTTCTGTCGCTGAAAGTCTCATCCTCATCGAAATGGACATCGCCTCCGATTCCGTCCCCGGGGAAGTAGGCATGGGCTAGCGTGCCTCCAGGGCCATCGAAAGCATAACCGTCACCGTGGTTACCTCGAGCGAACTGGACGATGATGTCGGCCTTGGGAAACCTGGTCGGGTTGAAATCAAGTCTGGCGACATCCCCCCAAACCTGGAAGGCCGTTGTAAGAACACGAATCGTGGTCGCTTTCGCCACGTCGGGTGTATAATTCTTGATTCTGATGGCAAAATTAAATGAGAATATTGGTAAGAATGGAAAGGAGAGTAGTGGGCTGATACATCAGCTACACTACCGAGACCGACACCAGTGCTACAACAGACCGATTGTCCAAGAATTGGACAGTGTGGCATTTATGGAGTAAAGGCGGTTCGGCGGTGTGACTGAGATAATTACTACTTTAGTTATTATTCTTTTCAGCGGTTTCTAAAAGTCCTTGGCAAAAAGAAAAGACACGCAGAGAGAAGGGGTATAGGGGACAATCTGCCTCTTTCAATACATGCATAATGAATACATTACTAATGTGATTTGGTCTTGCAAGAAGACGGTATTTATAAGATGCAGATTGATAAGATGAAAAAGAGCAGAAACACAGTTATCTGCGTATGGGTATATCTTCATCAACATAACATTACATCTGCTGGGAGCTGGCATGGCGTGTACTCAGATCATCTTGCACAAAGTTACCATCCTTCTGTCTCTCACCAGACTTGGAAGGATGAAACACATGACTTTGTTTGGCTAATTCCACATTTAGTTTACACATTTCATGTAAAGAAGAGGTTGCTCTACAACAAAAGTTAGACTCGACAGAGGACTTTATGCGATATCAATCGCATCGCCATTCTGAATGTCCTGACAAACTTTGGAAACAAATGTTTCATCTTCGTTAAATAGAGTGGATGACGGAAATTAATTAAATTGTGAGTTTAGTCACACATCTTGATAGAGCATTAAATAGTGTTTTATGGTGAACAATGGAAATAAAAACAAGAGATAACATGCCTATGATAGTCAAGAATAAACATATTAGTGCATCATGTGTCAGAACAGTTCCCGGTCAGGCGCATCAAAATATACACAAGTGGCAGATTGAGGTGCTGGAAGGGGGGGGGGGGAGGGGGAGAATAATTGGTCCGCCCCTTATAGGGGCCCTGTCGATGTAAACAAGGTGAAAAACGAAATATTCGGACTTGCGAGCTACGTTGTCTCTACTAAAGACTAGTGTAAACTTATGGACCTTGTAAATGCGTAGATGAAAGTGTATACAACAGTCCTTGTCAGGACGACCACTCCGATCGGTCAAAGCGGACAACTCCACCCGATAACTAACCCCGGACAAAATAAAACACCCGATATCTACCCCCAGGTAGCCTCCCCAATATCAGGACTACTTACGCCCAGGTGAGTTTCCTCTTGGACCATCCATGCTGGATAGCGTATCTTTTCTTCCTCATCTCATCATTGGAGACTCTCCTGTCCTTGTTGCCGCATCTCTCTGCATTCCTGATCCTTGCAAGGGTTTGGTTGTTGAGGATACCCGTGACTTCCACCCCTGCCATCCTCTGAAGCCGCATCACGGCTTCTCGGAGCTCCTCGGGGGTCTCTGCTCCTTCCACGTACTCATATATCTGCATATAACCCTGAAAGAGATTATTGACAAGGTAAAAGAGAACACAACGTTAAAGATAAAGTTGAGTTCTGGTCATGCGATTGCATTGTGAAAGAAAAGGTGTGGAGTCGATCAAAAAAGGTTGATCATCTAGCATATAAGTATTGGTGTGTACTGCAAGGTACTGGAATCATCAAATTATAAAAAAATTGGCCCAGTCTTGGTAAAGTTACAACCACTGTACACAGAAAGATGTACATGGGACTACAAGAACATGTGGCATAAAAATCCGTCCCGATTTTTATGCTGTTACATGCCATGTTTAGAATATTAAGGCATTTAAAGAGCCATGTTATTCAGGGAACATTTTCAATCTGATGTTCTTACACACTTGCATAATAAAAATGATAACGCTCACAAATTTTGTTTCACCTCTTCCAGGAACTCAACCCTCGTCTTGAACATGGTAATTATACTCCTGCCTGCCCCCCTTAAGTGTCATTAAAATATCGCCATATGAAATATCTTAGGAAAAATAAGAAAAGATCCCATACTGATATTGGACAGGTATGCACACGCCAATTTAATGCATATCGTACCATCGTACCAAGGACATATCTTTACACCTGGTAAGATAGAGGAAATATTGATAAAATGCCTTCCCTGACCCATATTAAGGGTTGTGCTGGGGTTTACAAAAAGTGTGAATGCAGACATGTTTCTGGAGAGACTGTCATTGTAGCCACAGTGTTAGATTAACCACAGTATTACATCAATGCTGAAAATGTGAAACAATTCTCTACACTGTTCGCACAATTAGATATACTATGCTGTTCACACACTGTGGTCAGAGACTGTAAAATAAATTGTGTATACAAGAGAGTAAGTGAAAGTGCATGGGTGTATGAGTGGGGGAGAGATAGGATCAGAGTGTGAACACATCACAATATGTCCGGAGTGTTGGCTCAGTCAGTAGAGCGTCCGCCTCACAACCGGGAGGTCGTGGGTTCGAACCCCGGCCGCGTCATACCGAAAGACGTTAAGAGATGGGAGTTGTTGCTACCTTGTTTGGCGTTCAACAATAAGGGATAGAGCAACGTCGATCTGGCGCTGCTCAGTGGCTGCTGGGCTCACGATCAATTGGGCAAAAAGAATTTCCGTTTCGGTTTAATAAAATTTGGAGTGGACTATTAGGCTGTTATTATTATTATTATTATTATATGATTTTGGACACTTTAACAGTGTACGAGACACTGCTTCCAGACTGGTAAAATACTGTACATATTTGTACTTTCACACACTGTGGACGGAGATAGATAGAAAGGTAGAAATTCACAGTGTTTGTAATGATGTGATTTTAGACACCGCTATGTATGGTGTTGACACCGTAAACACTTCTTTCATATTGATTAAATTATGTGAAAATACTCTCTCTACACTGTATTGTATAGTAAAACACCTTTTTTTAAACACTATTTACACAGTATGTAACACTCTGTTCACCGTGTCTATGTACCTTTTAATGTGAAACACTGCTTACTTTGCTTTCACACTATATGAAATACAGTATTCCTATTGTTCACACACAATGACTTGTAATGGAGTGTCAATCACGCAATTGCACAATAATGTGATCACAAAGAGCATTAGTATAATTGTTAAAGCGTCGACAGAAGTGAAAACTGCGTTCAAACACTGTGATTGCAAAACGAATGTGTGCAGCGAACACCAGACCATTTTCAGATTTTGCGATGTAAATGGTATTATATTCATTGTCTTATCTTCACGAAAACTGAAAATAACTCCATTGTAAACATCATGAATAGATAGCCGGGGAATGGTATAAGAATAAGAGTTTACCATTCAAAGTAAAGTTGAATCTAAGGTATACGTAAAAGAATATTCCTGTTAGTCCTCACATACAGCGCACACAATACACCCACTCCTCCACACGCACATGCAAAATGATGGGCGTTGTGGGATTTTCCCCAATTGTATATTATGACCAACTATCTTAAGGATAACATGAGGAAAATGAATTTCAAGATGTGCCATTTTTTAAATTGGTAACAACACTGGTAACAACACTAATACACAACTTCGCTGGTAAAAACAGGAAAATTTGGGCGACGGATGCCCGAAAAGGTTCATATTCTTTTTTCGATGTGACCGAATAAGACTTTGTATTCATGTATTCCGTTATAGATTTAGCGGTATACATACCTCTATCTTATCTAGTGTGTTTTCTGAACAAAGTAACATTTTTTTTGAAACCATTTGCTTGCTCGCTCGCAAGATTTAGAAACAAACGTGCCCATACGCGTGTACATGAGCCAGACTTATGCACAATGATTATTCTGTGATAAATTTGGGATTGAGGAGAGGCCAAACTACTTATATCTGAAAAGGGTGCCGTAAATAATTTTGTTTAAAGATTGAAAAGCATGGCTGTAAATGACAAAAAAGGCCGTTAACATGAGCATGTATGTAGTCACATTAAGTAATTTATACAATACAACTAAATATTTATTATAAAAAAAAGAAAAGCAGCACGGAAAGGAAAAGCAACTCTTTAACGGCATTCTCTCTGTAAAGAATATTAATTTAGACATAACAAACCCAACATCTTTAAGTGGGTGTACCATTCTTACGTCGCCTATATACTCCACACGTTGACGTGGAGATGAGGGCTCGATATCCGTGTTAACACGTTACTTCCTCGAAACGTAAACTAGCATGCGTCATTCACACGTGGATAAATAGACCTCCAGGAAACAAACGCTTAAAGACGGGAACAACGACCGTGTCATCGGGATAATTGGAAGGGTATAAACACTATAGACATGTTATGATTATGAATTTCGTGATGAAGGCGTATGATGTATCCCATGACGATCGGCGACGAAGGGCGATACTTTTTTTTTCTTTTTTTCTTCTTTCTTTTAACAAAAGTTCCTTACCTGGTCTTAAGTATTACCACCCTAATGAAAGCCTGTTATGCATTTGCTTTAAATTATAAAATGTGAAAAATCCACCCTCAAGGAAAAACTGATAGAAAGGTGTTCGGTATGAGGCATAGATGGGATATGAATGTATTTTCTAATTTAATATGTTTGATTTAAGGTTCCAAAAGTACAGACAATTACTAAGTTGCCTCATTGCTTTCAAGCAATTACTCATGGTAATAAATTGAAAGAAAGTTGTCATGATTACCACATTTTCAAAGGATTTCGATTCGAATCTATTTGGATTACACGTCTGTTCCAAACATATTTTAAAGATCGTCGTATTTTTCGGGTTTCCATCTCCTGTCAGGTCCATATTTTCATGTTTCCTTTGTGACATTGACCTAACATTAACGAAATAAAATTTGAATTGAAGTTCAATTATGCATTGAATTCATGAAACTCGAAACGAAACAATTACATCATTTCGGGTCTGTAACTGCTTTCCGATTGTATTATCTAATTTGATCAAGTTCAATGGTGTTATGGGTGATGTTCGATTTATTTTAGCATTTAGGTCTTACGCCACGTGAGGGTCATCCTTCCCGCCCTTTCACAATGTCCTTCTCATATATTTTAATGTTACCACGTTTAACTTATTATTTAACCATATTGTTTCTAATAAAAGTGGTCCGTATATGCCCATATTGTGTCGTATCTAGTCCTTACAATATGCCAAACTATTTTGATGAACTTTACCATCTGTCATGGAAATATACTCATATTATTATTGAAACCAAAATCTGTCTTCGATCTTTACTCGAATTCTAAATTACTATTATTCATGGATACCATACTGCAGCTGCAATGTTATATCTTCATTGTAGATCATCATTTAGGCCAAGGCTGGATAAAGGATTTCCAACGGCGTTTTCTGACAAAAAGAGACATTTTGATAATTTCAATCTTATCATTGATAACCAAAAATCTTCTCTGCGACCTCGAAAAAAGGAAGGAAATATTGGGAGTAGATTCCAAATCTTGTGCAAGTATATCTCCAGCTGTACATGCCCAAATTCATTTATTTATTATTTTATTTATTATTTATTCGCTTGAAAAAATGGAATCAGCCGAGGAGAGTGAAATATTCTAGTATTTTGGGCATATTCCAAATTCGTAATTCCTGATGACATCATCTTGCGCAGACGATGATTAGCGATAATTAGACCATATGATATTTTTGGCATATTAAATTCTAATGTCATGGACATGGTAAACTAAATTTAGTCACCTGTCTCCTGTATATTTTTATTGAAAAAGATGGGTTTATGATTGCTACCCTGGGAATTTGTTAGGCCGATAGCCAAGGTAGATAAATGCAATGGCGTATCCAGCACTAGTACGATGAGGCCGACGAGCCCCCTCTTCCCAACAAATATTTAAAGGCCCCGAAAAAGGGCCATCATTAACTATTTTTAAACAACATGCATGCGGGGCAACCAGGCTGTAAATGTTCACCTTATCTATCTCTACACATAAGTTGCTAAAGGTACCATAGCTACTTTGTGAATGTCATTTTTGTTTGTGTTGCCATGGAGATTTAAGAAATTCTCTCTGGGGAAGTGGGTCTTCCTGATATATATAGGTCATCTTGGGACCCCGTGTCACCATTGGTATGCGGTACAAAGAAGGGCAGATTGAAGAAAAAAAATTGTTAGTGTGGCCGGTACAAGATCATTTTTTTAAATAAAGTTTTTCAAAAAAACTTGTCAACGATGAAAACACTTTCAACAAGCGAGGGAGCGAGTGAGACAGAGATAGAGAGTGAGAGAAAGATAGATAAAGATATATAGCGAGAGAGAGAGAGAGAGAGAGAGAGAAGGAGAGAGAGTCGCTGGCGCAATCACACGTCATTATTATTATCATTAACATATGCTTACAGTATCGAGGATGGTACATACAGACAGTTAATGGATTTCTTTCAGTTCCACTACGTCTTCAACACAGTCGACCTGAGCTATAACATGTTTATAGAATAGCAAGTTAGGCTTCCCAGTTTAATCCCTGGTTTAATTGAGAGTTGGTCTGCCTATATATAGCACTGGGACTGACGTACATGGATCACGGGGGTAATGATGTCAGTCGCCCTTTATGCGTCATTTGCCCGATGTATAGACTGCGTCAGCGCCTGGCGCAGTCTATGATAGTCTCAGTGAAAATGACGTCGTACACAAATCAGTGCAAACATCTACCTCAACTGCTGACGCATGCGCTAAAAATACATTCATAGGTTTGATTAGGCAATAGCGCAATCCGGAGCGACGCCTCGTTTGCCACGGGCATTAATGTATCTATAAACGTCTATAGCATTTGAATTAACGTAGACATGATTATCAGGTGTGTAATGGGTCTGTCAAGCTTAAACCTGGTATAATTTGATGGGAGGGAAATAACAATGAGGGAAATATCAACTCAGATCACTCCCTTCATCTGACCTCCTTATGCTCGTAACTTTTTACCACAATTAAATGAGATCGATTGATTTTAATTAAACTATATAATATATATACCATTGATATTATGTCCTAAATCTACCTTATACATCAAAATCTTGGTACAAACACATGGATTGATTATTCTCTAAATTTTATGAATAATATTGAAATTTTTTGGTTTATAATTGAAATCCCATTTTTAAGTTACTCTTCTTTCTTTTTTCCTGAAGTACTTTGCAGGAAGATCTTGCAATAATATCACACAGGTTTACTTGTGATCGATTATTTCTTCGAAAGTGTCTAACAAAATAAACTCATGTAATAACATGAAATACTGGATTCCCGAGTTATTAAATCTGTTTATAAATTAAATGCTTTGATTTTATAAAACTCATGTTAGTTTATTTTACGAAATTGTAGATATATTTAACTCGGAGGTCGCTGGATTTACCGGCAGTGGGTGTGAGTAATGACGTCAACTCATATGGTCTCGGGGTTATGGCGTATCACGAGGTCACATAATGGTATGGAAATACATTCAGTAACTGTACTAATAAAAACTTTAATTTAAATTTTTGAAGACTCATTCTTTCTCGCCCATCTTTATTTCTACTGATGAATATGCAACTTTTCTTTGAATATTCAGGTATTCGGGGAAGTTGGAATTGTAATTGGAGCGAATAAGTGATGTAATTGTTCATTTCAGTAATTATAATTGTTCGGTGCGGGATCTTTCAACATATCTTTAAACGTCCCCATCCAAACACAATACAGCACATATCAGTATACATTATCTTACGTCTCCCTTTATGAGAGTATATTAAGACTTCCCAATTCGTTCAAATCATTTTAACGAGACGGACGTAATTAGGAGCTAATTTGGTCATGACCGTGACTATACTCTGACACATCTTCATCAACAAAGATGTATTCGTCAAAAAAGAGATCCGCCTTTCCTAATGGGGTATTTCTGAATAAAGCTATAATTATTTGAATTTTACAGTCATTATCTTAAAGAGTTTTGTCCCACCCTTCCGAAATCCATGCAAATATTGTTTTACTTGATTGATAAGGTGTAGTTTTCTTTGTAGAAACGATAGTAACTTATTATTGAAAAAGAATGTGTTAAATGTTAAGAAACATTATTCACTTAATGTTCCTGTCTCTTCTTTCCGCATGGTTAAAGCGAATATTCATTCAAATTGATAAAGAGTACTTTCTTTTAATTTTATTTCATTTTTACAATGAACTGATAGAAATGTCTTAACCTGCACTTGAAACTATCTTAATGAAGTTCATGGGATCGTTACGTTAGTCTTTGGGGGCAGCACCGAAGGGGGATGACAAGGGAACGGAGGGCACCCCACCGACGTTAACTTATAAAAGTCTATGAAGGGGTGTTAAGGGGTTGAAATGGCCATGTATTTGAACAGAATCGTTTAATGTCTGGTGTACAATTCATGTTCTCTTATTTAAGCTCTCTCGGCTCTGCCACTTCCCTTTTGGATGGCTGGTGAAGTGACTCAATTTCCGGTTCTGGGTAGAGACCTCTTTTGTTTCCACTGTGTTCTCCCAACTGTAGTTCTTGCACTCAGTTCCCCCTCCCTCCTCCACCCCTCCCTCCTCCACCCCTCCAATCACTTATTTCAAACTACATGCCGCTACTATAAAATCCACATAATAGTCCTATAGTTGGTACCATTACAATGGTGCAGACTGTCTTGGATGATTAAAAGACCTTTAACAAATTCAGTTCAATAAGTAATCATTTTTTTCACCAGTGAATCATTAATATTTTACAGGAGATTGGAAGGTTTATATTTCACAACTTTAAGAAATAAGTAAATAGATACATTTTGTTATAGTTTTGATCTCCACCCTAACTTAACATCACTTTTAATGGCCATCCAGTTCTTCCTATTTATAAACATTAGATATCAACATTATCGATCGTATCCACTACACATTAGTTTTTAATTTTTCTTCAATTCTGATAGAGGCGTGTTTTCTTCCTCGTCGTTCTCGTTCCATCTTACCTTGAAAAATTCGATGTCCTCGGGATCCATATCATCATCGAAATCTATATCAATGTTCGATGTTTGTCCTTGTCCTTGTCCTTGACTTTGTTGGCTATTTTGCTGGCTTTGCTGCTGGCCACCATACGTGGAGTCACTGGTACTTGTACCCTGGTACTGTGGGTAGCTATTACCTTGAGTGTTCTGCCAGAACTGTCCAAAGACGGTCGAAGGCACAAGGAACATCCCCAACAACAGGAGAAGCCTTTGGGTGGCTCTTGAAGATAATTGTGTGTACATGATGATAACTTAAACAGTGTTTTTTTAGAAACGAGTTAGATGTAATAAATCGGTTTAAATGATAGGCATTGTGTGGAGTACGTCCCAAGTATGTGTTTCGCCTTTGTGATGCAGAAGAAGATGGGCCCTTATTTCCAGACTGTAATCCAGTTTGTGAACGTCAAATGAACCTCAGTCCCTCCGAGGTTCTTCCGCAGCCTCTAGGTTCAAACCGTGGCTAAATCCAGGCACTCCAAATCCCGACTAATTTCAATCATCTGCATTGACGTCCAACACCGAATTGTTCCTATCGTACCACTCAGAAGAAAACGATACGTGCGTGCATTCTTCTTCGACGTACCCCCTTCCTAAAAATAACCCCAACTGTTGGCATGGCCTGGATCTAAATGACAGGAAGGGTTGCGGGGGAGAAGGCCCGTGACAGAGATTGAGGAGGGGGAACTATTGGATTGTATCGGGCTCATACAGAGAGTTAGGGATTTGGGTAGCCGAGACATTGCTAAATTTTGCCTGATGAATAATACCTGGTGACGGGAAGGGGGTAATTAGGAGCCCTCCAATCAGGGATGGGCTCACAGGCCGGGTTAGGAGGAAGAGGTTAGGGCGACGCGTGGATGAGTAATATCGCTGAGCCGATAGGGTAGGAAACATGTAGAATGAACCATGTGCTTAACCGGTAAACATGTAGCTATTCCATACCATCATCCACTTTTCATGAACATCGACACGAATGAATAAGCAGGCGGTTATTATAATGATATAATGCATTTTATATTTTTGGTACACCGCTGGCAAATTATGCCAATAATGTTGACACTTAACGTTTTAATCAGGAATTGCGATACTGCTGCATTACAGAAGGAGTGAAAATAAAACTTGTATTTTGCTAATCTGCGACTAATCCAGACTACTATTTTGGTACTGTACTGGAAAACAATTAAATAGTATGAGGGGATTTATGAATTTATTATATCCCCGGTGGATGGGTGCTGTCATGTATTTTTGGACTAGACCTTGCTATGATTAACGCAACTTTTCTTTAGATAATCTTAGATGAATGAAGTAGTTATGTTTCTTTATAAAAGTGCCTTTCCGTCTTCATCTACTTCTTTTTCTTCTTCTCTTCATTTTGTTGTTGTTATCCTTATTTCTATTCTTGTGATTATTATTATTATTATTATCATTATCGTTATCATCATTATTATAATCATTATCGTTATTATCATTATTATAATCATTATTATTATTATTAGTAGTAATATTATCAATATCATTATTATAATCATTATTCATCATCACCATCATTATCATCATCATTATCATCAGCATAATCATCATCTTTATCATCTTAAACAATATTATTATTATTATTATTATTATTATTATTATTATTATTATTATTATCATCATTAATATTATCATCATCATTACTACTACTACTACTACTACTACTACTACTACTACTACTACTTCTACTACTACTACTACTACTTCTACTACTACTACTACTACTACTACTACTACGACTGCTACTACCACTACCATTCTTATTGTGACTACTACTACTACTTCTATTATTATTATGATTACTATTACTACTATTACCATTTACTACTACTATTTTGTATCGTTATCACCATTCCTTCTAATCCAGTGTTGTATAATGGTTATTGACCCCCTTTAAATTCAAATACCAAGGATGCAGAATTAGATATGCTCAGTAGTTTTCCTACTTTTATCTTAAAAAGAAATATGAAGAATAGGACATATCCTTCTCCCCATGCACCTTTTTTCCGTCATAATTTTGTGTTTTTTGCTGATATCGTTGCTCTAGATCACTGAAACTAATAGTTCTGTTGGGAGAGCATTTTCCACGAACCTTCTATATATTGGTACATCTAAAGTTTCATTCCCAATCCCTAAGACTACTTCTTTTTTTTTCAAAAATAATTATTTTCAATATGATTATAGATATAAATAATTGTCAAAACTATGTTAATATCTAATTGGATGATAAATATTACTATCTGAAATAAACATATTTATCTACATTGATTTGATATTTAAAGTAGAGAACACATGGTAAATGTAGCGAAATGTACTCTAGAGAATTAAATGTTTATTCATGATTAAGCTCTTGTTAAGAATGATATCTATTGTTTATACCTCTGTTATTCAATGTTGGAATTTTAAAATCATATTGTGACCACACTACAGGGTAATACAGTATAGTACACATGTTGTTGTCCTGTCAAAATATGTATTAACAGATAAATAAATTGGTCAATAAATGTTCGTATTTTCCTTGATAGCTCCTTTAAATGATTTTAATTGGCAATAGTCATGCTTTATTTAGTCTCAACCCAATCACCTCCTACGAACCGAAATAAAAACACACTTTGAAATAGATATGGTCATTGAAAATATATATCACATTCCCTTTTAATCTCATTTATTTCCTCGACACATTTATTACAATGATGATCAGTTTTAGAAATAGTGAAAGCACAATCATATGCAGCTGCAAGATCGAGAGAAATTCAAAATCAAATGAAAGTATTCGTTAGTAAAAATGCAAGTTTTTAGTGAAAACAGAAACATTATTATTTAGACACCGCCATGTAATACTACTTGGTCATATTTTATGAAATCTATAACCGTGAGACATGTTCAATACGACGTTTTAGGAATCAAATGAAAGTGTTCGTGAGTAAACATTTTTTTTAGGGAAAACAAAAACATTATTATTTAGACACCGCCTTTTTATACTACTTGGTCATATTTTATGAAATAAATAACCGTTAAACATGTTCAATACGACGTATTATGAATTGCCTACCAAAAACTTGTACATTTTGACATAATAATAATATGCAATGTAAATATTATGGTAACGAATTTATTACAACTTATGCGAGTCATTCTTGATTTGGTGTTGTATTACGACCATTACAATTTGTAATATTTTAAATAATAATAATATTCCCTCGGTTTTAGAAAGCGCATTTAGTTTGTTTAGCATGAGAAACTATGTACACACAATTTGACTACGTCCACAAATAGCAGATTATACTATACACGTTGATTAATGTAAACAAGTACTAAACAGATTCATGAAGAAAAAAAGAGATGATCTTAAATAAACTCTATGCTTTTCATTAGTGAATATTCTTACTCATAATAATAATGATAATTAGATCAAATTTTATATAGCTCAGCTACTATATAAATATAATCTACTGTGCTGTGATGAAAACAAAACTCCTAACAGTGCTACTTTACAAACACGCACACACAAAACTATTCAAAAGCTTCTGAAAACAAGTGTGTCTTCAACAAAACTTGAAGACAGCAACAGAAAGCGCAATCTCCAAGAGTTACTTTTGTTTTTGTGTGAGGTAGCTTTTGAAGCAGCTCGTCATGTGTACTTCGCAAGTTACGTGCATTTGGATGCGATTTAAAAAACTTCATATGAATATCATAATCATTTCTAAATATAGCTAGTATACATTTTAGAGTTCCTACTTATTTAAGTTTTGAAGACTGTGAATATGCATGTGACGCCAGATAATACTATATTCAATGGCATTAGGAACAGCTACTATGAACGATGATGCTTATTAAGGAGAATAGCCTTATACCTCTATCCAACAGAGGTATCGCACTGGCTTGGGCTCATTAGTAAAACCATTTTCATTCATTAAGTTTTAGAAAAACAAATCATCTCAATCCTAGCGTACTTTGATAATATAATAAAATTGTATCGACGTCTATAAGGCTTATAAAACATAAATATAAAATAATATACAATATTATTGACAAAGCTGTACATGAACAACTTAGGAACACGTCAGCATAATCTATATAATAGATTAAAAGATACATACTTAAACGAAACCGATCACAAACAAAATAATTATAAAAACAACAACATTCAAACCCCAAGTCCTTAAAAAAAAAGATTGTGATGATTAGAGGAAAAAACTAAGGAATGAAGTATGATAATTTGTGTAACAATTATTGCGACCGGGAACCACAAAACCACAAAACAGTTGCATGGTTTTAAATTTTTTTTTCAATTAGAGCTTAATAGGTGTATTTGGTCAGGTTGGTCAAATTTCAGGGTTTTCTTTTTAATAATGTCCTAAAATATTATAGTTTCTTCTATGCAATTTCAAATTTTGGAGGCTCCGAAATATCTATTAGTTGTTTTTTAGCAGTGTTTTGTTTGTCTGATTTTGAGCTTGATGGATTAATTTAAATTTTGGCGACTTATTGGTGGTTTTTTGATGGGCATGCGGTTCTTGGTCACAATTCTTATGGCACACCAGTATGGTAAATCCCAAGATCATGGATATTTCACATTATAGATGTCAATTGAATATTTTGGCAGGAGCTATAATTATAGGGGCAGACATCAAAATCTTGGAAGCAGAGTACACCAAGAATCCTTAATCTCGGGGAGGGGGTAAATGCCCCCAAAGATAGACCCTCCCTCCAATGTAAGTTTTATTTTGATCCTAAACGAAGAAGATCACCGTTGATACCTTGATATCAAAGAGTTTAACTTTAAAATTTCAAATATTGCACTATGTATATTTTGAGGTTAAAATATGGAAAACTGAAAGACAGCCGATTGATTGAATTGATTATTAAACCATATTCAAATGGTTTAATTTCTAATATTGCACTATATTTTTGTGGTGAAAAATATCAAAAACTTTAAGACTACTGTCCGGTTACGGTGATTTGCTAAGAGATCAAACAGACACAACATTAAGTCCAAATTTTTAACAATCGGAGAACCACATTTATGGTGGGGAGAGAAACTTTTGTCCAATTATAGCATGCCTTTCATTGCTGCTAAAGTCGATGCGAGGAGAAGTGTACCGGAGACTGTGATTGGTGCGTTGGTGCCTGATCCAATGTTTTGTCCGCACATGAGCCAATCAGAAGCGAAGCTTTTCTTAGGGGTGACGAAATAAACTTCGTTATCCTTAAATGTACTCACTTGCCCTCCGATAAGAAAATAACTTGTGCGATCTGTATAGCAGAGAAAAATGAAATGGAAAAGGGAAAATGCTTTAAACATGTGTACAGAAATATTGCTTTCGTCTAAATAGTCACGATATATAGGGATTAAGTTTTTGTATAAACATTTCACAGAAAGTACCTTCAAAAGTTTTTAACCCGACCCCTTTAAGATCATGTACTACCCCTGCTTATATGTATATACCAACAGATTGATGTGATTTTAGTTAAATTTCTTATAATCTCTTATTATGAGAGTACTCTAAAAATTACTGTCTTTCACGTTTGTCCTCATGCCCTCAAGGAGACCACATATTATTTGCCCTATATTTAATATAGGGCTTTCACACACTGAGCGGATGGGATACACGCATTGTTTGTGGGCAGGACAGAACGGAAATAGAGTTATGTGAAGCACCCCCACTTGGTGCGTCAACGACCGAGCCGGTACTGACGCAGCCCTCGTACGTCAGCTATGACGCATCATGAGCGACAAGCACTCTTATAATCATAACGCCTCTGAAACGTCTCAAACATTCACCTTTATTCTCCGTCCAGACGGCGTTGAAAGGTCCAGGTCTTCCTCTCCAGTTATCCTTGATGACCCTTGGATAGCCCGATTCAGCTCTCATTGTATTCTCATCGAGTCGCCAGTAAAGTCCTCTTGAAAACAAGTATATTTTGTTGTTCCTGGCCCATTTGAACGCTGCGTCGATTTTGTTGGTCCTAATTCCTGTACGTTCCAATATGTTTCGAGGCTGGTACACACCTTGTGAAAATTCCCATATTTTACTTCCTGCGAAATAACACGGAAACAAGAAATACAATTAGAAGTCAATTCATTTTTGAAACACTAGCTATAACAAGCTTTTCTATAGATAATGACATTGCTTTAACATGCAATAATGCCTCGCGTCAATTAAGCTGTCCATGCAGACGCAATCATATGATATTCGTTGTTATTATTGTTTGAGAAAATGAATGGTTTTACTTTTAAATGAACTCGTATTTTCAAAACAATTGAAATATAAAACTGACAGTGTTTATCCGAGATATTCTCATCTACATATTTTCCTGATTATTTGTATTTCAAATGCTGAATCTTTGGGGTAAAGAGGTGTAAAATGTATCACTCATGATAGTGATCTAGTAGATTAGATTGAAGCAAACCTGCGAGGATGAAAAGCGACCGGGCTATTGGAGAGGATCGGGACAGTCCCCTCCAAGCATGCCCAGGCGAGGGAATTCCCCCTTCCGTGCTCTGGGAATTCCCCTCCTGGCTCAATAAATTTCCCCAACTCACCTGAAAAGAAGACCATTCTCTTTTGTCCTCTGAATGTTCGAATAAATGCTGCATCAGGTATATCCTGCATATCAACAAAGACTGACTCCGTCTGGAGGGCGTTTGATACAGCATCGTTTCCTCGCTTTACCCAGAATTGCTCTCCCTGTTGTAACATGACAAATATACAAGATGGTACATGTTAGTTATGCAATGCATCATACTGTCTTTCTTTCATCAGGGGCTGCTCTGTAAATTTCTAAAAGGGAGGGGCATACTTTCGAAAATAATCCTCGATTAAAGAGGGAGCAACATTTTCGTTTCATACGGAAGATATGCCTAGTGGGTTTTCAAAAGAGGTAATGGCCGGTTGTGCTCTCCTAAGCCCGCTACATTCATGTATGATCCTGATTTATGAACCATTGACTCTTCTTTGAATATGAAATATGCAACATCCATTTTAAAGGGGGAAAAGTGAAGAAAAAAAAATAACAAATATAAAATTTAAAAAGGCGAAAACGCTTTTAGCAGTTTTTCTGTATATATTATAGACTATGGTATCACGAGCCACGACAAGCCATATTCCATGTAATTTGCGGTAGTTTGTTGTACTTAGTGAAATATATTAATTTCAATAATCATAAGCATCAATAATGGCGGATCCAGGATCACCTGAAGGGGGAAAGTTATTTTCCCCCACGAAAGTCTACAATATCTGAGTAGCGTATTATACAAAGCCTATGTATACTCCACACGATCGCAGAGACTTTCGAAAAATCGATCTAAGACAATTATATTAACCTTGTCCATCACCTTCTGAAATGTTCTCGAACTTTATAATAACGTAATCCGAACAAGTAATGATGTCTATGGGATATACAATAGGATAATGAAATTGGCCTAGAGTTAACTATTTGTTCGAAAGTTTTTGTGATTGTTTTTTTTTTAGTTGGAGCGTCGCTAAAGGGCAAGGGTTGTCTGAACTCCAACTACCAATCTTCATTTTGAATAACTTGTCAGAATATTTGGTCTGACATGCCCCCTCCCCATTCCTACTTCAACATGGTCTAGGAATACCCTACACCACTGTGAAGCTTACTAAGGAACACGTACACTGAAGATGTATAGAGTGGGTGTCGGTTGTCCAGCGATTGTTCCATAGGCCACGGTGTTGATACGTGCATTGCAGATGGATCTATCCTTGGGACCTTTGTTGGGTATGGTGGGTTTGCCTGGAGGGGGGCGGGGTCGGTTGGGAGGCTGGTTTCGGGCCCCTGTTATGAGGGGGAGAACAGTGGGTACATATGAATAGGTAATTAGAAAGGGTAATTCATTATATGCCTACATTGAACAAATACAGATGTTCATGGCGTAGGTCTATTACGCGAGCCGGAAAAAACTCGATTGGCGAATCTAATTCTCATCAAATTTCTCACATTATGTTAATGTCATCCTCATTAAAGAAAAACTTATTGTACTTACGCTTATCAAAGCTTAATATCATATTTGCATTTGTGTTCATGCACTGTAAAAAAATAATAGTCGAAATAACTCAATAAAATTGAGGAAAATAATTGCCTTATTTTTATTAAGTAAATATTACCTACGGCATCTTAAGTAGAATTTACTTATTTTGTTGAATAAATTTTTACTCAGTTAAATCGAGTTACATTAACGTAAATCATTTAAGTATTGTAATCATTTTAGATAATTAAAAAAAAGCTATGATTGGATTACATATTGCACGATTTGGTACCCATCTAATCTAACAAGTAACATCCACTAATCATTCACTACTTCTATTTAAGATTAATTACTAATCACTAACACTACTTCTATTTAAGATTTAACCGTATAATATATATATATATATCTACCACCATTACAAACTATTACATACGCTTCAATTCGACACGTATTGAAAGGCTCCAAATTTTATATATACTTGATCGTAGCATCTTAAAAGGAAAATTGGTTGACAATTTCCTGAAATATCAAGTTTTGATTTGTTTTGAACTGGGTAACAATTAAAAATTGTCTTGTCTTTGCTTAGCCATGTTAAATGAATTAGTAAATGTTTTAAAGTCCTTAAATTTTCATTCAACCACAAAAAAAGAATTGTTTTATTTAAAAAAGAGTTTAATTTGGTCTTAATGAATATTCATAAATTATGTAAATATTTCTATTACGCACTGCATCGGTCCTAACTTTAAAAAGATAAGAATAATCAACATAAATTGTTTGAGTAATACGTATAATTTCTGATTTTGAGTTAAAATTACTAAATTAATACAAGCTAAAATTACTTAAAGTTCTTATGTATTTGATTTTACTTAAATATTCCACGTATGTTCTACTAAATTGAAAGTTTGAGTTAGCAAGACTTAAATTTAGTGCGTAAGTGGCAAAACTAATGTTTTCAAGTAAATTCTACATGGAAAAAATACGTAAAAATTACCAATGAACAAATTCTTTTTTACAGTGTGGTTTCCAGGTATGCGTTAAAATATTCAAGATTTGTTATTAAATTGCTTTTGTTTTTAACATGTATTTTATTTATCTTTCATAACCAAGATACAGCATGACATAATTTTGCCATGTACTCTCTGAATTAAATCCATTACCTGAAACTCCAATTTACTTTTTTCTTCTATCTTTTAAGAAACATTAACTTTGTATCCAACGCTAACATACTTAAAGCTGACACCGAGAACTGGTCACGCAATTAAATTGAAGGAAACTGTTTGGAAGCGATTGGAAATGTTGATTAGGTTGAACGCAAGAATTTGGGCTTCGTATACTATGGGGTTGTGGAATGATCAACATGAAAAGGAATTGACTCGATTCCGCTAAAACTGCACATAGTAAAACGGTATATGGACTACACACATGTAGCATTGAATGTTAGGTCCAAACTTTCAAGACCTTTCTGGTTCGATTTCGAATATGAGGGCATTTGAAGAGCAATTCTTTTGAGGGATTATTTCTCCTATCATCCTGAATTTATCATTCCTTCAAAACTGATATAAAACACAGGAGAAAGCTCATGATTCCTTCAACATCTTTACCACAACTTAACCTTCTCTTAAACTCTAAATGTCAAATTAAATAATAAACCGCATACCGTACAGACTCCGGATGCCCTTGATATCATCAGTATGGAGCGAGAAACTGGACTGATATCCTTGGTAGTAGGGCGCCATCAACGAGCTACTGACGTCAGAATGGGCCAAGCCAAGACTGTGGCCGATTTCGTGGGCAGCTACAATAAATAAGTTGGTACCTAAGGAGCGAAAAGGTGAGAATAAGTAGGAAAATTTTAATGGAATGTTAGAATACAGAGATAATTCACCTGCTCTTCAAGAATGTTTAAGGTTTACCACAAATTAATACGAAATGTCGATTTTTATTAATTTCTAGGTCATAATTACATTTAGACATATCAAATTTTACTTTTAAATCTGTGAGAGGGAAGGGATTAAAATTTTCTGTTTTCAGAAAAAAACTATATTAATTAATCAATTGTCACCAAACCAAATGCCGGATCACCGACGACGAGACACATTTTCGACCAGGCAAATTGTGTATGACAACACGGTTTGTCAGGTGTGATGACGATGATAATGATGGTGATAATGATGGAAATAATGATGACAATAATGATTGTGATGATGGTGATGATGGTGATGATAGTAACGATGGTGATGGTGATGATGATAATGGTGATGATGATGATAATGATGATGATGATAATGAGGATGATGTACAAAAAGAGTGATTGAATTTGAGATGTAAATATCCTACCACGCATGGTTTCATCAGTAAACGACTCGTCCTCGTCGAAATGGACATCGCCACCGATGCCGTCACCAGGGAAGTAGGCATGGGCGAGGGTTCCGCCCTGTCCATCGAAAGCGTATCCGTCACCGTGATTTCCTCTGGCGAACTGGACGAGGATGTCGGCTCTTGGGAATTTGGTCTGCTGGAATTCGAGCATGGCGACGTCGCTCCAGACTTGGAAGGAGGTGACGAGCACGCGGGTGGTGGTCGCTCGTTGCATATCAGGCGTATAGTTCTTTACTCTACAACAAACAAGACACAAAATTCGGATTAGCCATGATGAAAAGCCCCTTGAAGTTTAAACACGGTTGCAAAGACTTTCAATATATTGACCCAGGGCACTTTCAGTATTATTTGTTCACCACACTTTGAAATGTGCTAATAGTGCAATGGCATAATTTCATAATCAGAACATTATATTTAGAGGGCTGTGCAGGTATTGCCCTCAAATTAATTTCTTGAAGTCTTTGCGATAGAATTGGATAATAAAATTATATCAAAACTGTCATCAGATTTACACTGACCACTTTAAACCCCTGTGTTTCCCCCTCCAAAAGTGCAATATTAAACAATTTATTCCTAGGAGGGAAAATAAATTCCCAGCTCAAATAATATATGCCGACAATTTTGTCAGTTTTATTGTCAGTTACACTTTCAGGGTTTGTGCCCCCCTTCGTACGAATTCTGAACCTTTCCCTACCATACAATGTACAGGTTGTAACCTTAAAAAAGGTATGTACCAATCAGTTAATGGACATCTGTTAATTACAATTTCCTGAATGAAAGATGTAGATAGGCAGTGATAATTAAATTTAATCTTGACCATCTGTTCTGTAAGAGAAATTTCTGGAAAGAACCATTTACACTTAATTTTCTGAACATGTCTATTATGCATAGTATGTTTCATTTAGTGTCTTATAACTTCACTGTTCTTATTTATTTGGCTGATTATGTAGCTCACAATTGTGGCAACTGCAACAAAAACAACTACAACAACGACTACACCAACGATAACAACTTTAACAACAACTTCTACCACTACTATTGTTACTACTGCTGCTGTTGCTGCTGCTGCTGCTGCTCCTCCTCCTGCTCCTCCTACATACTACTACTACTACTACTACTACTACTACTACTTCTACTACTACTACTACTACTACTACTACTACTACTACTACTACTACTAAACTATTCTACTACTACTACTACTACAACAACTACTACTACTACTACTACTACTACTACTACTACTACTACTACTTCTACTACTGCTACTACTACTACTATTTCTACTACTCACGCCCAAGTAATTTTCCTCTTTGACCATCCATGTTGTATGGCATATCTCCTCCTCCTCATCTCATTTGTATCCACTGGCTTGTCTGAGTTCCCGCATCTCTTGCTGTTCCTGATCCTGGCTATGGTCTCGTTGTTGAACATACCTGTAGGTGTGAGGCCAGCCATCTTCTGCAGTCTCATGATGGCAATCCGGGTCTCCTCGGGGTCCTCTACCCCTCTCGTTGAGCTCGTGTACTCAAACTTTTGCATGTATGTCTGCGAGAGGGAGAGAGAGAGAGAGAGAGAGAGAGAGATGGAGAGATCGAGAGATGGGGAGTGAGAGGGAAAAGGGGGTGGGTGGGGAGAAAACATGAGAATGTATTTAAATATATACACGATATGCATTATACGTTTACTGAGAAGTGATCAAAATATCAGATATTGATGCGAAGTCAATGTTAATTGAATAAGATGCATGACACTGTGTATACGCAATATGGAATCTCATAGCCAATAGTCGAAATGATGAGGAAAGTGTCTGTCCAAATAGAGGACTTTAAAAGAACTACTGCATGTAACACATGAAGTATTATAATCCATTTGACTAATATTAGGACACTGATTATGACATTAAATTCGGCCTTTAAATTATTTCGTGGTTCCCCTTCAATTAATCCGTTATTTCTTAACACGAGTAGGCAAGCTAAATTTTGTACCATCAACATAAAGATATTATTACGACAGATGTGTAGTTATTTGTTATGGATTTCAACAAACATACGTGCATCGAATTAACATGCACTGTTCTTTTTTGCCTGAAGAAAAATCAAGCAAGTTATACAGGCAACATCTTTGATGATTTTTTTTCCCTTTTTAAATACAACTTCAGGCAATATTGTTCAAATATATGTTGTACTCTTCTTCTTTACTTTGGATTTTGTTAGCCCCTCCTCTCGGTGGAAAGAGAGAAAAAGAGTGGTCAGAGGCTTACATTTTCAGTGAGTATCATAAACAAGAAATTATTGCTGAATGACTTGGAACATTAATGCACTTAAATTCAAGAAAACCTATCATATACACTGTGTGCTTTTATTGATTATTACCAGTCTCTTTCCGGGGAGGTGGGGGGGGGGGAACTTTGTGAAGTCAGTGAGTGTACTTCGGCTAAGAAATTGCCCGATGGATCACCGAGAGCGTTTATACACGTAAATTAAAAATAGTTCTTCATTGACGTGAATCAGACAGTAGTGGTGAGGCCTATAAAAAGAGAACCTTATGATGAGTCAACTTGACATGTTTAACACTAATAACCTTCTATAGCAGGATACGGTTGCAATTGGTTGGGGTACCATCAGCAAGAAAGGATGGAATAACATACAAATATTCATGTAATGATGGAATCAGTTGTATGTAAGCTACATGTAACACTTCGGAAACATAGCTATTATTCTGTCAACTATAAACAACATTAAACAATTCATTTCTAGGTAGGAAAATAAATTCCCAGCTCAAAATTTCGTTCGGAGGGTCGTAGTCGAGTGGTTTAAGCACTTGACTTGAAATTCAAAGGTCGTGGTTAGATCCCCGATTCGACACCAATGTCCCTTTGCGAGGCATTAATCTTCATTTGCCACACTCGACCCAGGTGAGGTAAATGGGACGGTGCTATAGAAATGCCTATTATTTTTGTTGTATTAATGATCATGAAGTCTAACCCGATGTTAATTTGTTCATATATTAAGGGGGAAAACAATTAACATTTTCTACGTGAAAACAATAGTATTTCGTCACGCGGGTTAACACAAACTTGCTTTGTTAGATAGTTCATGGGCCTTGCTAATTTGTGTGCGTGCGCGTGTGTGTGAGTGGGTGTGCGGGAGGAGTTGAAGAACTGGCACATATCCCCATTTAAAACCAAGTGGTCAAACCTTGGTATACAAAATATTTTTGTGTGATCCCTCGAGATAAAAACCTCTGCCCTAACCCCTTCCGTCAGCTCAAGTATATAAACGTCAATATAGGGATTTAAAAATAGAACTCCTATTAAATACAATATTAACAGGTTACTAAAGTACAAATTCATGTTGACTTTTGTTGATCTGTAATAATATATAAAAGACATATCTTTTTACTTTTTGATGTACATTTATGTCATATATTTTATATTATTTTTTCTACTACTTTGGTTCTACCTGCCAAGCTCCACCGCTAAAAAAAACCCTCCAAAACCGAATGACTTTTGTGACATCATCATGCCAGTCATTCACCAACCAGCTAAATGAACAAAAGACATTGGTATGTCCCTTCCCATCAACTGACAACCTGTTCACAAAAGACAGTGGTATGTCCTCACCCACTGAGTTCCTTATTGCATTAGCATTGCATGTTTTCATATAATAGCACATTGAAACCTTTCTTTTCATGGTGTTGCTGGGGGATTTCTGACATAGCAACTGCTTAAAATGTAATTTAATTTTGTGAGCGGGCATTGTATAAAAACATGCAATGCTATTGTGAACTTGTGGTCAGTTGATGGGAAGGGAAATACCACTGTCTTTTGTTCCTCTGATAAATGACTGGCATGATGATGTTATTAAGGGTGGAGCTTAGCAGGTAGATCAAAAGTAATAGAAAAATATAATATAAAATATATGACATAAATGCACATCAAAAAGTCAAAAAAATATGTGATTAATACATTATTACAGATCAACAAACATGAATGTGTAATTTAGTCACCCTTTAACTAGTACGTGCATTGGGGACTTTTCTAATGGCATGATATTACACACAACAGTTCTTTATGTATGTTAACGGTTAGAGCAGTTTTGCTGAAATTTGTGGCTTTGAACGAGAATCTGATATCTTTTCTTGTTTTGATCCAGGATTTCGTGAAATCAGATAACGCGAATTATGTCGTGGTTTGCTCAAATCAGAGATACTGCTTTTTAAAATTTTGTATCCCATTACATGACCTTTAAAGAAAATGAAGATTTTCCCCCTTTAACATGCTTTTTATAAAGAATTATTCGTACGACATGATGATGATTCATGCCAGTATCAGCTGTTGCGTTTGTTGTATTTCTTTGTTTTTCCATTCGCCATGGCGTGTTATGTGCTTTTTAAGAATGATACAAGTGAATCTTTGAGTAAATCTGCGTGATCCTGCATGCACCGTACAACCAAAGTATCAAACCAAGAGTTTCAAGAGCCACAGAGTAGATAAAATGACGCTTGCATCCTTGCACAAAGGAACTTCGTGAATGAAAATAACTTCCATACAATTGAAAATACATTTAAAAGTACCCAAGAACACAAATTTCGCCTTTTTAAAATTATATTTTGTTAAATATTTATTTCTTTATTTGTTTGTTTGTTTGTTTGTTTATTTATTTATTTGTGTTGCATTGTTGTTCGGGGGGGGGGGTGTGCTCCTCTCTTATACAAATCCTAAAACTGGCCCTGCTTAAACTACACTCAATAATTTTCTCTTTGGCAAAAGCTTATTTTAACAAATCGTGGATTCTGTAAGAAGTTACACAGTGTGTTTTCCCAAAGTCATATTTATAGGCGCAACGGTTTTTCAGACTAGTTGTCTTGTCTGTATCTATATACCTTAAACCATTGTGAGTGTGAGTCATTGTCCTATTTTTGTCAAGGTTGATTATATTTTTTTCCTTTTGTGCCTCTTGAGATAGATTAGTAACAACACTGATGTCATGTGATCATGTTTTTGTTATCATTCCATGTTTCCTTAAATTTATTTAAGGTTCTATGCATGTTTAACAGTTTAATTTCCTTCCGTCAAGTTAGTCTGTTGTACCGCAACAATCAGATTGAAGGAGTTACTCAGATCATTGACTACTTCTAGATGTTATTGTTTTTCCCTCGAAAAAAAAATCTACTGATATTTACAAGATATATTTTGAATTTAAGGAGTTATTTAATTATTCAAAATACGAGTCTGCAAGGCCGCGTGATGTGTTTCATGTTCAACGTAAATTCACCAGAAGTGCATTTTACCACTTCTCCTCATGTCAGTGCGTCCCGTTATGTCTCGGTGTATGCAAATGAATAGTAATAACTCAGAAAAATAACTCCAATATCAAATCCGACTCGATCCCATTTCATTATGTTAATACCTTATCATGAGTCATTGTGCTACCCGAAATACCCCTAACAAAAGAAGAGAGAACAACCTTTTATCTCGTGTAAGTTCATTTGTTTATGAATTCTGATAATTCTGTGACATTTTAACAATAAACCTGAATAGGTAAGCCACTGTTTACTTTAATATACACCGTTTCTTCGTATACATAAAGCAAAAACGAATGATTCAACTAAATGAGGTTTCATTGTTCAGTCGTACAGCGGAAACGATAGTTTAAAATCTCAATTAGGCGTGACGTGAGATCGAATAGAGTAAGCACATCAGAATGATCATTCTATTGCCAATAATCAGTCTTGTTATGACATAAAAACTTGGCCCCACATCTGCGTTCTGTTTAGGAGATAGTTGAATCGATGAACGACCCAAGGGCATTATGTTCCATAATTATTGTGAAAGAGGAAGGAAATAATAGACATATTTAAATTTAAAGTGTTCACTAATTGAACTATTCTCTTACTCTTACGATCCAGTTTCGTCACATCTACTGACAATGTGAGTGGAAAAAGAGATATAATGTGTAAATGTTCCGGTAAAAGGTAAATTTTTACCAAGAAATTAAAATTAAAAGGGGGCTCTAGTATAATTAATACAAGAGTGGTTGCTCTACAATAATAGTTTTTCAATAGCTTCCACACCAACTACAGTTGTAGCAGTTTGGGGGTAGGGGGGCACAACCAACCCGTGCCCCCTTTTTAAACCTATCTGACATTCATTAAGTACACAACTCCGATGATGTGCCCTCCTCTTCAGGCGATGACATATTTTGTTTCGCATGCCAAAAACTTTGCAGAATATTGTACCCCTCTTTGTTTTACATTACCCTGGGTCCGCCCATCACCCAAACCAAATATGGTTGAAATTTCACATTTTATACACTGTAATGATATTTCGGTGCACCCAATGTTATCTAGGGACTACATGTTGATACTACATAATTATTGATAGTAAAAGAAAACTGAATAGAAAAGACCGTGTAGAAAAAATAGTAACACCTGTGTATTTAGAGCTTTCGTCTTAAACAACATACAATGATCTTTGCAATTCGTCTATTGTCAGTTGTAGGCCTTTTCGCTGAATCCTTCCAAACCGTCTCCAAACCAACTGATTCTTGGCCATTTGGGGATAATTTAAATGTTTTGTTCGTTCCACTGTCTAATGTCGGTCCCGTTGTTGTGACTGGGACATACACCTGACTCGAGTTAAGATGACCTAGCAGTAAAATGAAGTCAGCAACTTTCACTGTGACGTAGCTTGTGTTAATAGGGCATGTCCACCTCAATTCTGGCGCAAGCGGAGATAAGGGAAATACCTGATATGTTATTAGAAAAAAGGATTGCATTATTAATCCGTCGTGAGCTGGCATAGTTACTGATAGAGTATTCTGCCAAGTCATACAAATCATAAACATAATGTATTGTGCCATATTATGTCCATGTTTGTGATAGTAATGACTATCAATTAATAGTATTGTGGTATCTTTGATTGTCCTTATTTCTGGTTATTGTTTTGCCTTCAACGTCAGTGAATTGATTACTTGAAATCTGTTAACAATTTATAATTTGTTTCATTACCACTGATTACTGTATTTTTCAATAAGATAATAAGATTAATTACTGTTTTGTTACTGCCAGGATGAAAAGCAAGCCCCAAAAGAAGGTGTGCCAACTTTACATTGTATAATGGCCTGCATGAAGTAAGGACGAAATATTTAATTACATATATAATTATGTTTGGATAACTTGACAACTTTCATACTAGTCTCGAGGCACAGGCTGTTTTTATATTCAAACACAATAATTACAATTCCACTAAGCCTTTAGCCTAGAGTAAATTTGCCAGCATCTGCATGTATGTCAGGAGGACCAATGACTGTGAGAGCTTGGTTTGTTAAACTGTAAAATCCTTTCTCGCCATGGATTAAACATTATTATAATCTTCAAGAAACACTCTTTCGGAAACTATTTTGCCTTCAGAATAGTACCTCAATCCATGATATATGTATATTCTTTTACTTCATGGGGCACTGTGTATCGTTGTCATTTCATAAATGCCATTGGAAAGTCAACTGTGATGTGCACTTATGATAAACTATCGCCTACGTCATCACATGTATGGTATCCTTGAGCAACAAAACAACTCCGATTAAATAAATAGGCGTATTTCCGTGTCACCGACTCGTAAATAAGAACCTTTAAGGAAGTGCAGCACATATTGATTTGAATGATAATTGAGCAAAAGTGTATGGCATATGAGATATTTGCTGACGCACGTACAAATGAAAATGAATGTACATATAATGACATTCAAAGTAAGTACATGTCTTATGTAAATATATATGTGTCTTAGAAACCGATCATCTTTACTTCGAAATGACTCATTCAATTTTTTGCTTCTTGTTTACTCAGAATAGGTAGATATGAATAAATATCCAAATGGATATATAATAATAATAATAATATATAACATTTATTAGGCGCTTACAGGTGTTTCTAAGCGCACCATTGTCTTGACTTAAAATTACCAACTAAAACTTGTAATAAAAATTAAAAAAATAGAAAAAATAAAAATAAATAAATAAATAAATAAATAAATAAAAAATAAATAAATAAATTTAAAAATAAAACATTATTAAAACATTTTCTTCGAGTAGAGAGCATCATTATTTCTTGTATTTGTGTATAGTAATGTTCTCAAGTAAAAGGTGAACTGGGTGTGTAATTTGTTTTGGTTTTGTTTGTGAGGGTGGGGTGCTCCTAAGAGAAGGTAATATCATTGACTGCAGGCTCATATTTGACACAGTGTGTGTGTGCGTATTTGTGTGGATGAATGTGTGGGTTTGTGTGAGTGGGTGGGTATGAGGCTTATGTAGGTGCGGTAGGACGAAACAGAGCGCCGATTGAAAGGTCAGGTACAAGGGTTGCCTTTCAGGAGGGAATGACATTTTTCTTCTTCTATTTCTCGGTATAGGAATAAAATGAGAGGGAACACATACCTCTTTCCTCCCCCGGATGAAGTTCAGACTCATGTTTTATCTACTTTATATTTATCTATTTATTTATTCAGATTTCTTTAAAGTATCTAATCTTATATTTATAATTAAGTAATTGTGTTTCTCTATTATGCGACATATGTTTGATGTAAGATAATATTTATGAATGTACTTTTAACGTTCACATTAACTTTGTTGTAACATTCTTTTAAAATTATTTTATTTGTGCAAATGATACATCGTGATCCTCATAAAACAGCTAACTAAGCCAAATGTCGAATGACAAATGACTTGATATGATATACAGGGGCGGAAATTCGATCAATTTGTGACAGGGTGTCTATATTTCTAAATGTGGAACAAGAAAGAAAACAAATCTCCTTTTCCGGTTGCATTTTGTGTCTACACTTTGGAAGGAGGCACAAGAACACAAACTGAGGGGCACAATTATTACCATTTTTGTACTTAAGATTTTATAAAAGAACACGGATTGGGTATGCCCCCATAAATTCGCCACTGCTAAGTAACATATGATTTCGTTTACTTCAACAGATCAACTCTCGTCTTCTGTAACTTATAATGGGCGTATATCGATGACGTCATTAGGAACCTTCTTAAAGCAACGATCCACAAACAATCCACAACAGACCTATTTAGCTCAGAGTATTGTCAGTAGCCAATTACTTCCTTCTTAAACAGGAAAGTTTGATTAGAGTGTTCCTATTTTTCTCGGGAAATTTCCTATTTAACGCAGACATTGAGCCACTGAGATCTCGGGTTTGCCTAAACACCTGTAACAGTTCATGTCAGGTTAAACGTGGCCCTTTATATGAATAGGTTGGCATAAATACATTAATATGTTACCATTAACCTAAACTTGTAGGTTACTAACTAAAACCTTATGCAACAGGGAATCATTCATATTAGAGAGTCTTTTCTTTAAATCTTTGTTTCGTTTAAAATAAAATAATAATGATTTAGCATCGTGTGTTCTATTGTAATACATGATTTTTTTTTAATCAGGTAATTGTATAATTGTTTTTATCCAGTTAGACTCTCAAGACTGTTTAAAATGTAGACATTATATCAAAACATAGACTCGGTGTAGGGGCCTATTTTCAGATGTCCCTTCTTAAAGGACATCAAATCAATTTAAAGGCCTGACATCTTTCTCGTGCTATAAACCTGAAATCTTTCATTCTTTCATTTACATTTACAATTACATGTATATTAAAAAAGAAGTGATATTAATCTTGTTTAAATAAATGTTGCAACGTATCAAATTCTTGGAGGTGCTACCTTGATAGGTTTTACCATTATTTATAGGACCGGAAGTTCCAAGAGTTAGCCTGAGTAAAGGAATTTTGGTATTTTGATTCATTCTCAATCATCAAGTCCCTCAGATAGGACTTTTAAGATTTAAGACACCGTCGGTCCCCTGATGGCGATGACTCTAAGAATAAAGTGTAGAGGTACTAAGATGGTGAGGTTCTTGGCTCTTGTACGAGAGGTCCCGGGTTTGACACTTGGTTGGTGCTTAGATTCTTTGTCAAGGTGGTGGCCCACATAATATGTCCCTCCTGACCTAGGTGTATAAAATGGGTACCTGGCACAGTTGAGATGGTAATAATAATACAAGACCTACCGGAAGAGCAGGATTAATACTGATGTGGCTACTTTAGGCAAAAAAGACCTAATCATAATTATCCTCATTCTACTATATTGGTCTTTTTAATCAAGGTAGGACTAAAAGGAAAATCATGGCCATCTTACCTTCATGAAGGCAACATCCTCTGGGTCTAAATCCTCATCGGAATCTGCATTGGAGCTCACGGTGGCCTGACCCTGCGGCTGCTGCTGTTGCTGGCCATAGGGCCCCATACCTTGGTACTGGGGATAGTGGTAATTATTGTAATTATTGGGATAGTCCTGATCAAGGTTTGCGTACTCTCCATCGGTATTCCCTTGCCAGAATTGGCCAAGAACTGAAACAGGCAGTATACATAATCCCAAGATCACCAGAAGCCGTGGGCTGGCTCGTAAAGAATTCGTTTTGAACATGGTTAATGTTTGATGACGATCCTTGCGTCTATAAGTATTTGAAGAACAGAGCTCAGGTAATCAACCTTACAGCTCCAAGAATGATACGAGGTTCTTAATTAATGAGAGTATAATTCCAAGTAACCCTTCGCTTTCAGGAGTTGTTTTACAGATCAATGTTGATGGGGGCACTTCCTTATTCTCCCGTGAGGCAGGGCTGGACTAGGAGCCGAGACTGGAGCACTGGCACACTCGATCAATAGTACTAACCCCTTGCTGATCCTTCGTCGAAGCCGCACGTGATTCCGCAGATGCCGCTTAAAGTGGGCGCTTAAAAAAAACTACAACCGCCAACTTGGCAGACGGATTCTGAAGGAATAGGACACATGAAAAGTGAACGAGTGTAAACCGAGAATGAACGAGGAAGGGGAATATTGCTGGAATGTAGTTAGGAGGGGGTGAGAGATCGGTGGACAGACAAGAGTTTTTTTTAGAAGGTTGGGACGTTCACAGCCTGGGCAACGCGTAATTGTGTATGATGAATAATAACTGTTGACGGGAAGGGATAATTAAGTTTGGTCCAATCAAACTTCACGATTCTGGCCTGTTTGTGAGGGGGCAGCAAAGAACGTGCGTCGATGAGTAAGATTTCTGCGTATGAATGACTGAGAAAAAGGGACAATTCATTATTGATAACAACAATGGAATAATTAGAAATTGATCTACAGTACTAAATATCCAAATTACTTTACAGCAATAATTAAAAAATATGGAATGTTTGACAAGTTTGTTATGGAAAGCATATTTGTATTGTTAATTATGGTTGGAGTGCCGTTGTGATTGAACTTAAAAATGTTTTAAAAGTAGCAGTTCATGTGAGTGGCATGTGTTATTTCAAAGCGAACTACGAGGATGTACTTTTTATGCAATATCCCTCTCATAATCGGGTACAACCGCAACTTCAAGAGCTGCGGTGAAATGAAGGAAAAACTATCCACGAACATGTTTCACAAAGGACCTAAATATTAACTTTTATTCCTCAGCTTAACACTTTCATTCATTTAACAAGCGGTATCATAAAGGGGCCTTCATACCCATGACACGTTTATACGATTATAGACAGACGTATATATTACACATGAATTTTTTATTCATTACAAAAGCCACACATAATAAATCAGGCCTTCAACCATATTTTGTAATTTTATTTTCATTTGTAAGGCAATATATTCAGTATTGAAAAATATGCATAGTACAAAGTACACGAACATTTTAGAAATTCAAGCAACAAAAGAAATTTACAAGGCATATGACTCATATTATTATAGCGAAGTTTTAATGCTACATATATTAACTGAGCAGTTACTGGTACAAGCGTTATACCAAACAACCGGGCATTAACTGTATATAAACGTTTAACCAAACAACACAGAGGAAAGTAACTGGCATAAACGTACTTATATACCTAACAACTGGGCATTAAATTACTGGTATAAGTGTTACACCAAACGGGGCATTAGCTTGTATAAACGTTATACCAAATCAAACAGAGGGAAGTAACTGGTATAAACGTTATACCAAACCAACGAGGGAAGTAACTGGTATAAACGTTGTACCAAACCAAAGAGGGAAGTAACTGGTATAAACGTTATACCAAACCAAAGAGGGAAGTAACTGGTATAAACGTTACACCAAACAATGGGGCAGTAACTAGTATAAACGTACCAAACAAAACAACTTGGAGACAAAGAGAGTAAATGCATGGTCATAAAGAGAGGTCGAGGGAATTCTTGCAAAATATAGGAAATAAAAAGGAAACGTTTCCCCGTGTTTCTACCAATTGAAAAAAGATATTTATGACTTTATGGTTAAAAAAGACTCAATAAAAAAGATTGAATAGCATTTTCTGTATTTGTGTACAGCACATATGGAAAAATTCCTTGTAAAACGCGTAAAACATGATGAATATTCAGTTCTATGTGATGAGATTTCGAATCCAGGATTTTGTAAAGGGGTGGGGGCGTATGAATTCTGGTAGAATTACACAATAAGTGGCAGTTGTTTTTGTTGTATAATTGAAGTATGGCAAAAGGGCTACGTGGGGGGGGGGGGACAGGTTGTGCCCCCTTTAATCCCCCACCAATCTACTGTTGTTGATCTTCTTATTATTATTATTATTCTCATAATCATTATTATTATTATTATTAATATAACTATTATTATGATTATCATTATTGTGATTAATATCATTATTATCATCAGTATAATTATTATTATTGTTATTATCTATATTATTTTATGACTATTATTATTCGAATTATGATTCACCATACACAATTAGACAGAAAGAAGATAAATCGTTCACGGAATTTTCTTAAAGCGTTGTGATCTTCTTTGGAAAGAAAAGAAAAGAGAGAAAGAAATAAGAAGATGAAGAAGATAATGCAACGTATTGTTTATAATTGTTTTCAAAGGACAATAAATATGTTGACATGTTCAGCAATGAGAAGATGGTTACATAATTCATGATGATGACCGGGAAATCAATCAGCCAAACAACGGAAGTTACAGTACGTCCAGGATTTGAGAGGTCACTCCAACAACAGCTCTGAGAAGCGAGTGTTTACCTCGACAACCGGTCAATATTGTGGTACCAAGGGAGTATTGATATCTCCTTGGAGGTATTAACTGTTATTCTTTTCAGGATGCAGAAGAGAAATCCATTTATTTATAAACATTGAATATGACAACTGATCCTTGTCTTAATTAGCACTATACAAAAAGTTAAAATTGCCCTTTTCATTTTTAATGACAAAATAGACTTTTCGTCAATGAAAAGTTATGGGTAACATAATTGATCATGTTCTCCCTCAATACATTTTGTTCTCAATAATTGAGAAAATGGATAATTTTGAGTAATTCCGATTCAGAACACAAATGGGAGACCAAGGAGAGTCATACGTGTATGACATTACAATAGGTGATCTCATCGCCATGGGGATATATACTTTCAAAATGTCATAATTCATTTTTACTTTGTGTCCATTATCCATTCTTACATTGATCTTGGAATCATTGATATTATTATTTTCAGACGTTTTGCTTTTATTCAATCTATAGCGTATTATAAATATGACAAAGGGCTTATTTCTAGTAAAATGATTTCATTTCAAGAAATACGAATACAAATCATTTTCTAGTTATCGTGACTTTATTGGCTCGCCATGCTTTGTACATATTATTGTACATATTGCATAACAGAATGACCGTGAATTATTGATGGTCTTGGCATACTCTTGGCATATCTCGGCATGAATCAAATATGTATAATGAAGTCGTTCATTATGACATCGATGAGCAGATGGATATTGTGTGAAAGGGAAGGTGGGGGAAAGAGGGTAAAGGGAAGGGAGAGGCATTAGAGAGAAAGAGCGAGAGAGAGAGAGAGAGAGAGAGAGAGAGAGAGAGAGAGAGAAGATATAGGGGAACACACACGAACGCACACGCACGCAAACAGAGAGGGGGAGTGACAGAGACAGAGAGTAGGGAGGGGATAAAGGGAAATCACTTTTTAAAAAAACTTAATAGAAGAAAACAAGATGACATGCTTCCCCCATATTTTGTAGAATTTGTTAGGACATGTGACCTACCCCATCTGCAATAAATAAACCCACGCTACGCCATTTCTTTAGTGATAATTCACCTCTTAGACATACTCGCTATTATATTTCTACAAATGTGTTTTCATTCCTGTTTGATACTGATTGTTTTCATTCGTTTTCAGCCAATCGATTTAAAGGAAAGCCCCCTCCTTTTAAAACAATATCGCCCAAAATAATGGAATTTTGAAGAAGAACAAAAAGGAAATTAAAATTGTTATACCATTCCTCCTCACAGCTTGTATTCGGTTTTGAGATCTGTTGTGGTTTATGTTTTCTCGATGTATGAACATATTGTCTACGTGCAAGATGACAAAGCACGTATTTTCGCCGTTAACACATCCAATTGTATTATCATTATGTGCGGTCATTATCAAATGTCACAGCATTTGTTTGTATGGTGCCCCGATGAAAGCATAAAACAAAGAAACAAACAAAAGGCAATCACTGTGTGATTTCTAAATCAATACGTCCGATTGTTTATAATTGTGTTTATTTGTCAAAAAGGATGTGTGAATGGAAGATGAATAATACAAAGGCAAATCTTAATTTCAGCACACTGGCACATTCGCTCTTTACTTGAAAATACATTTGAATTTTATTTTAGATAGATTTACGCACAATGAATAGCTTTCAATTTTACTTAAGTTTGTTACCTTAAGGTGAAATTGTATTTTCGGTAGATGCAAATGTGGTCGCTTTTGTTGCTTTTGAATGTACGGTACATCACTACGGATGCATGTTATTGGTTTATTGCTTGTTTCACTACGGCTCGTTAGAGCTGTTAGGAGCAACAAACTAATATTTGTTTACCGTTACATCAGACATCTTCCTTCTCCTGATGACGAAGAGAATATGACGTCAGCTAGCAATGGCGAAAACGAGGCATATTTAAAGGGGGCGAGTTTTCAAGCTTGCTGCAAAGAGGATAAGTATGAGAAACATGTAAAGCTAAATAGAGAAATACACCATAGACAACTAATTAGAAATGAAACATTTTCAAGATGTTCGACAGTCGTCCCTTTAAAAAACTTGAAACTTGCAATAGAATGCAGATTTGAAGAGATTGTTATTCTCTATCTCTACCACTTTCTCCTTTTAGCAATATTCAATATCTTGCCTAACCCTCTCTCTCTCACACATTCTTCCTTATCTATTATATATTTATCTATCCTTCTTTCTCTCTCCCCCTCTCCCCCTTTCTCTATCTCTCCCGCCCCCTCCTTCTCAGTCTCTCTTTCTCTCTTTCTCTCTCTCTCTCCCCCTCTCCCACCCTCTCTTCCCTCAATCTTCAAATTTTTCACTCACTACTTTTGAATGAATCTTCAGTACCTCCCCTTTTCTCTTCCTCCTATTCTCACGTTTTATAATCAGGTAAAAATAACAAAACAGTGATGGTCTGACCTTCTTCATAATAACTAGGTCTCTGTTTCATAAAACTTGTTATTGACAAAAAAAAACTTTTACGAAACAGGGCCCTCGACTTTTAAATAGGTCATGTTTCAATCTATGTTATTAGCCAAACAGGAGAGGCCTAATGCTTCAACTGCACCCCTCTATGTCGGAAGACACCAATCATCGCGTCTATTACTATGGCAACTATTCGTGACGTGAACTTAAGATTTTGGGGGAACCAGGCTAGCATGACATTTAGCAATGACCCAATATGATACTTAGGAATCTATTTGAGGATTGACGTGATTAAGAGAGGGCGAAGTCAGAAGAGCCGTCATAAAAACTTAGTGAAGGGGGAGGAGAGGGGAGGGGGGACTGAGGAAAATGTGCCGACGAGTTTCTGCGGGGAGAACAATACGTTTTGGTACGTTAATGAAACGTCCTGTATTAAAACGTTTCAACGTAGCCAGGATGTCATGC